GGTCTGCTCAGGGAATATAACAGAGGACGGAGTTGCCGTGGTAGCTGCTGTGATGCTGGTGTACGATTCATCGAAGACGATGCCGTTTTGGGTGCCCACCGAGCCGCGAGCAGCCAAGGTCTGCGTCGGAATATCCCTTGTCGTAGAACTCGGTACTGATTCCCCGACAGCGGGAGCGATTTCTTCGGATAGCAACCAGTCGCCCACCGTTTCCATCAGAGACGTGCGGCGGGCTTTGTTGGAGGTCGAGGAGAGGCTTTTGAAAGAGACGAGTGAGTTCTCAGTCGTGCAAGAGACATTGTTTTGGCTGAAAAGTGCCATGATGCTCATCGAGTCCAACGGAATGCTGAAATTATTGCTCGCCTGTTCGAATAAGCGTGGGAGATCGCTGCCCATGGTTGCATTCTTGGATGTCGAGTCCTGAACGATCTCGGTCGTCACGCAGCTCGCATCGCCAGCCACAGTGCAGCGAGAACCTGTGTAGCCGTTCGCGCAAACGCACGAGCAGATACTCCCGCTCGAGACGCTAACACCGCCATTTTCACAGGGCGCGGTCTTTTCGCATTGTGACATAGAGGTGGACTTGTGGTGGGGAACTGCGACCAGGAAGACGGGCACAAGAACAGCGACGAGAATTACGCAGATGATCAAAAAGCAGACGAGTATGAACAACCACGGCGGCATGCCACAGCAACGGCGCGAGCGCTGATGGCCTTTCTCCTCGTCAGTTTCCGGGCACGTTTCACGCGATCGTAAATGCTGCATGGGAGTTCTCCGGAAGAAATCTGGCCACGAAGAGCGCACTTCGGGCGTTCCTGCTGGAGGCGGGAAAGATGCCAGGATGTCCTTGATAGATCCTGATTGGCGAGCGTTATGACCTGAGTGAGGTATCAGTTTCGTTCGAAAGTTTCGGTTTCATGCATCCAGTGAATGTGTAGCTTACCTTGCGCAAATCTACCGTTCCCATCATTGAGTAGGTCATTCCTACTGGCCGTCCTTCCGTGCTCAAGATTTGTAGCTAGCCGCGTGGCGCGCCGGATCAGGTCAGGCAAGCTTGTGAGACTGCCTCGGGCTTCTGCCGCTCGAACAGCCCCGAGATCTAGACGAGGTGGTCTACGGCCACCGGGCCTCTTGTCGCTCATGGTTGGTGCAGCCTTGGGCAGGGTTCCCAACTCCTTCTGAGGGGATCCCATATCATCGTCCCTGTTCTGAAGTGCAGGATGTCGGCCGCTGATGTCCACCACGATCGGTGGTTTCTCCGGATCGAGTACAGACGAATCGGTCGAGATTGTAGAGACGGAATGTCTTTCGTTCTTTGACCCTGCTGCGATCTTCTCCGAAGCAGTTCCGGCATGCGCGACATCGCTGTCCGAACGCTCTTCTACCATTGACACCGGGGATGGGCTGCTGGGCTTCTGGATCGTTCGCAGTGATGGTTTGCCCCTTTTGCCGAGGCTGGCTTGTCTGACAAGGTTCGAATCGCCCTCGTGAACGCTAGACGGGGAATCCTGATCGTCCTCCGACTCGACGTCTAGGTAGGCTCCAAGAATTTCAGACCCGGCCGGTGCAGAGCCCCAGCTAGACGGAATGACTCGGCTGGATGCATATGACCCCTGCAAGATGGTTGGACTGTCGGAGAGTTCTTCCGGGATCGGAGAGACCGACGACCTGCGCTTTGTGGAAAATCTCGCAGCGTTTGAAGGGGCAAGCCGTTTCTGTTGCTGCCTTTGGGCCGGGTTTGTTTCTGCAGGTGCAGGTTGGGCGGGGAGAGCAAAGTCGGGAATAGACGGAATGGACATGAAAGAAGAAGCTGTCGACTGCCTAAATGATTCATCAGTCATCATAGGAACTCGCGGGGCTGGATTAGCACCACAATCCGGTCCGTAAGGTGGAAGATGCCCCTTAAAGGGTGGACGGGGAGGCGGTGGATTTGGCAAAGGGTGCGAGAATGATGGTATAGGCCGGGCCAGATGAAGGGGACTGGGTGCTATGTCCGATATGCTTCTCTCAGAATAAACCGACGGAGACGGAGCATCAGGCCGTGGTGGTCGCTCTGGAGGGAGCCCTTTTGGGATGAACAGCCTTGCTTGAGTGCCGGACACGTTCGTTTGCAGACCACCGTCAGTTGGTAGGGGCCATTGGGTCATATGGGACTGATCCGCCTTGACCTTGGGGGTGGGACCAGGATGAATACTTTGCGAAGGCGCCATCGCGATATCCGGACGTCTGCCAGCCTCTAACATTTGTCGCGCCCGTTTGACGGAACCTTTTCTGTCGACGTTTGGGCCTGTCGATTGGAAGCCATGGTCCGAGCTCTGGAACGAAGTTGGTTCCATTTCTTGTGTTGTTAATTCTTTTCTGCGAATAGCGTAATGAATGTAAATGATCTATGTCAAGCCTTTCTTTGCCAGCATAGGGGCTATGACACAGCATAAAGTGGTGGTATGGAAAGATCGATCGCCTTCAAGTCGGTAAATAGAGCGCGCACCAGGAATGAATGACCAGCTCGAGTCTTACGCCGAGGCGTTATCAAGAGTAACGAAGGAGGGTAGCCGCGAGCTGAATATATATACAAGCCACGTGATTCGACACTCAGTAGCTGCAGCCGTTGGAAGAGCTGCAGTAGATGAAGATGAGGAATACAAGCTTGAGCTTGAAAGGTAAAGAGAGAAAGAAGGCTAAAGGGGCAGTCAATGCCTCTGCTGGATAAGGTGTCGAAATGAGCACATGCCACGGAATAGTTTCATTATGAATGTCATCACATCAAGGGAGGCATACCAGAGTTCAACGAGGAAATTCAAAGAGAGGAAGGAAGATCGACTGCGAGGTATTGCAGAACAACACAGTATCACAAACAGGCTACCTCAACAGAATCTCTGGCTGTCCATTGATCCAAGCCACTGAGACATCATACGTTGTTAGTGACTTTCTCGTCTCAAAGCAAATTTCATATCCGCACTTACAGGTACATTATGAGAACAAACCGACCGAACAAAAACAGAGCGTCAAGCCCTGGAGGAGAAGAATGAATGGCAGACTCAAGGGGACAAGAGCACTCCAACTTTCAGTATAGATGGAGTCATCCAGACTCGATTACTGTGCCCTGGTGGGTAAACAGGGAAGGGTCTTCCAGCGACCCGAAATTGGTCTTCGCCTAAAACCAGACTTTTGATATATTAGACTTCATCGAGAATCATTTCCGTCCGGGCGTCCGCATGATTCATATTATTTCATCGTCCAAAAGGACGAAAAACGCGGAAGGGGCGCGGACCGTTTGGGGCTGGTCCAATCCTCACGCGCGGAGTTGATCCAAAGACGAGCAGGGTGGAGGCTGACACTAGGAGTGTTTTTGATAGTAGGTAGTGCAATATCAGTACCGAGCCGGCTTCTGCACCCAGTCCCCTGGCAGGTACGAGAGTTGTGCCATTTAAGCGAGACCAGCTTCCTACCACCTGTGTGTTTAGTGGTCACTCTGAAGAAGCAGCTATGAGATCTCAGCTGTCCCCATTGCGAACAGGAGCATTGAGACTCTGCTATAACGCTGACCCAGATGGTCCAGCGGATTGTTGTTCAGATACTGATGCTCCTGTTTGTTCCGTGGAATGTGCTGGGTTGACTCGTCTTGAAACACAAGCAGAGGTACATAATAGACGACGACTCCAGATTGGCCAGAACCTCGAGATTCTGATGTTGTGGTCGGGGCAATATTAAGCTCGGAACGAATCAGTTTGGCGTGGGGCTCCACGGTCATTGGCCCCAGTAGAGAGGCCGAGTGTCCAAGAGGCACTAAGTGGATGTATATTCGACGCTATGTCTCACCCTAAGCAATCGGGGTACGCCTTTGCGAGCGGCACTTTTCAACATGAAACCGTGCTTCCCGTGTGTATCCATCCAGTCAGCTCCAACTCTTTTTTAGCTGGGTTCCCGAGACTATGCGTGAACACGGTAGGGATTATCTATCGGCCAGGCAGCTCATCGTCAGTTATGTTCCATGAGATAAGCTCTGTGGTATTCAACTGTGCATCATTGTTGATCAAAAAATCTGCTGGGATTAAATATGACTCAAAGAAATGAAAGGAGTTACCCCTGGGACTGAACCCATTAACCGTTAAAGACTATTTGCTTGCACTGGGCTATTTCGGGGCACAAGCCCGACAGTAACGCCAACGGTTGCCAACTAGCATGCGGACATGCGGATAAATCGTCCTCCATTGACGAGCTAAGATACTAGTAGTAGAATATTAATCAACCGAAGTGATAATAATAGACGAAGTCACGAGAAGGATACTCCGAAAGACATGCAGAGCAGGAAGCCAGGCAAGACACCGAAATATGATGGCAGCTGCAGGTCGATGAGAAGCAAAACAGCTCGAACTCTGTCATGTGACGCCATACTGTACCAACAGCTGCTGCATAAAGTCCTCAACAGCCTGGGCTCTTTGATATCTACATTCTAGCTATCAAGTCCATTGGATTCACATCCTCCAATAGTACTATCAGGTTATAAAAGACCCGAAGTTGCAGCTTATTCTGGTTTCTGCAAGCTATGAGGATGTGACCCCTGAAACTCAGCTGACTCTGTTGGGAGGTGCATAACAAAGCCCATTCTTGTGCAAGTTCGGCACATATACACTAATGCACATGCATGAGGGCCCAGATGGCAGAGAAGTTCGGGACTAGACGTATGGAGTTAATGCACAATCCTGTTGAGCGGTTTCAGATAACCACCGTCTCGCGTCCCGCCCAAGAACAGCCTACTTGGCCATATGCCATCCTTTCTCAGCCGGGAAGCATCATGGCCTATCTGCTGTAAAGCCAATGTTAATCATACCCGTGCCAAAGTAACGGCGGCACTCGAGTCTGAGTTATGGCCCACTACCGGCCGACCCTTGTTCGATGAAGCGCACTCCGTACCGCATGTCACAAATCAGGATCGACTGGTGAAGCGCAACGTTGAACTCATGCCTTGTATCATGTACTCAGTTTCCGGTAGGGTGAGCTCATCGTAGTTGACTTCGCAGTCGCTCGATCTCTCTCTCCACAGTCTGCATCTCCACAACCACACTGGCCAACTTGGGCAAGTATTGCTCTACAGCTTCCGCGAAAGACTTTTGAGCGCTGCGAAGAGAAGGTGAAACCAAGATCCCGTACCAATGGATAGGGTCAGAAAAGCGAGACTGCCCTTTTGAGGAGTTGGATTCTGACGTTGCGGAGTCGGGGTCTGAAGTTGCACTCGGATTAACTTGATGTGTATTGTCGACTTCCGAGTCGGCCTCTTCCTTGTCTTCGCTCGTTTCTGGCTCCTCGACTTGCTGATTGTTCGTAGTCTCATCAATCGCGAAGATCTGCCTGTACTCGTCCGGTTGACGCTCTCCCTGCGGGGCATCCTCAGCCCCCTCCATGATCTTTTCTTCTTCGGCGCATGGAGGAGATCGTATTGCCCTGATTATGAAGCGCTCGGTTAGTCCTCGTGACTATGGATTCTCGGGTTTCTGAACTCGAGTAGGCTCTCAAGGACAGTCTTCAACTTACATTCTCTTAATAGCCTTCATACGCTCGTCATAGTAGTCAGCGCCATATCGCCGACCGGGCGGACACGTATAATTTGCGTACGCCAGGGAGAAGAATCCCTTTCTTATCGTCAGCTTCTCTACTCAGGTGGAAAGGATTGCGCAGGACGAATAGCGAGATATACCGAAGATAGTTTTTTGGCGAGATCTGCCTGCAGTTTCTGATGCTGATCCAGGAGTAGAAGATATCTTTCCAGAGAATAGCCCAGCAATTCCAAGGTTTTGGCAGAGGACTCGGTGCCAGACTGCTGGAGATGAAGCTCCGGTGATTCAGAGCTCTGGCGGGATGCTGGGGGAGTTGGGAGTTCGGCCATTGACATGTCACAACGTTATTGCAGCGTATAAAGTTAGTTGAATACTGATAAACGAAATTGTGACCCTGAAAATAGGGCAAATGCAACAGCTGCTCAACGCCCGGTAGAGTGCAGGTCGGCGAATGGTGAATATCTGGAGAAGAGCACAGAGCTCGGCCGCCGAGCCCGATAACTCCGTCATCGCGCTCCCGGGGAAAAGCAAAAGAATTTCCCGTCCTGCGCGATTAAGGTGGATTGTCGGATACTTTCTCCTTCGTCCTTCCTTCTTCTATCTATCCGGGAGAGACTGTGAATCTTCTATACTATCTTGATATTCTACTATTCCGTGATTCGAGCTCGGACGTCCCTCCAGCTTGTCCGACTCTCCGGTCTCATAACCGCCACCTGCAGTTGAAGTTGTGATGCAAGATACTGTGCTGGTGATCCTGTGAAAAACATAATATCTCCTGACTAGGATCGCTCTGAAAAGGACAGTCTGATCATCTGTCATCGCTTAACGCTTTATCCGCTGTCTTAAGAAAGCCGTGGGTGCGAAGAGCTTGAAGAGAAGGCACAGGCCTCATTCGGATATAGCACCATCAGATTAGTGACTATTGTGGGACACGCTTCACTTTTGTCGCTTGCCAGTCTATTCTAAGCACTTTGCTTCACATCTCCACTCCTATCTTATAGAATCTGCCATTATGTCTGTGGCGAACTTGCAGCGGGACGCCGCGTTCCAGGTCCGGTCATTGGTATGCCTTTCATCCTCTCTGGGCGACCAAGCTACGTGGATCAGGAGACTAACGATGTGATACAATTGTACAGTTTCGGTCTTTGCTCCGTCAATCTTCCCAATTCTCGAACTACAACTTTCGTGAGTATGCCCGTCGGAGAACGAGGGATGCCTTCCGTGAGCACCAGCATGAAACCGAGGAAAGGAGGATACAGGAATTGATTCAGGATGGTCTGCAAAATTTGCGCATGTTGAAGGTCAGTCTTGACTTGTGTACGCCGGGGTCCGGATGAGACTCTTCCATCGTCTAAAACATCCGCATACCACGCTTTATTGAAGCACAGATTGCTGACTTCTAATACAGCGACAAACTGTGATTAGTCAGTTCTATCAGCTGGACAAATTAGTAGTGGAAGGACAGAAGACTGTGAGTGCTCACTCGGATGCATCTTGCTCGTTTCAAGATTCGCCTAACTATTCGTGCAGGGCGAGCAGACTGGACAAGAGGGCGGTATCGTCCGCCAGAAGGATACCGGGTATGAAGCTTTCTGATTCGCTTCCTTCGCCAAAAGCTGACAGTGATTGCAGGTGGGATTGATTAGTCGAATCTTATGAACGACGACATTCTTAGGTTCCAGTTTTGACCCTGAACGAACACCAAGCTCGACATGAGTTTGGCCTGGCCAGCCGCCAAGTTATTGGATAAACCGAGGGGACTGTACTTTTAACGAAATCGACTGCGCCGTATGTTGCACTGGTAACTTATAACTATCATAAAGACACACACTTCTCTTACATTATCTTAACTGTCTATAAATCGATTACTTCAGAAGTCCAAGTATCATCTCTTGTCTGGTTTTATTGCCATAGCCTTGTAATGGTTGATTAGATCACGTGACTCAGTGCTCAATAACTCCCGTTTCCGCACCATCGCATCGCGCCGGACACTGCCAGTCGCATCCCAGTCTGGCTGGACGGCAGACAGCACCATTGTTCGATTTTTTTTTTTTTTACATTGGCTTCTCAGTTAATAGAGTTCGAGGTATTGGAATCTGCAAGCACTCACCTTAGCATCTACGTGGCGGAGGAAAGACTGCGGGCGAGCCACTCACCATGCCACCGACTGTAGGTGTCTCCTAGCGCAACATCGCCCGCAAGGAGAGATCTCCCTCCATGCACTGGCGATAATTGTATCATTCACCTGCATGCTGACAAACATCAGTTCAGATCCTCGCGCTCAGGTCGTCAATTCGGCGAGAACGCTAATCGAACCCGAACCGGCCAAATCGATCACGATGTTTTCGAAGGACTTCCGGTGCGGAGGTGGACGCGCCAGCGCCAAACAATCTCCCAAGTTCCCAAGACCGAAATATCGGAGTCGCTCATTCAAGGCCCTGGAGGCAAACAGGCCCTCCCCGAGCACCCCATGCCTAGGGACAGTCATCTCCTGACGCCTATGAGCAGAGCGCTTCTTCGCGCTGCTCGAGCTGGTTGTATCTACATTCGCAAAGCGCAAAAGGAGCCAGAGGATGAAGAGAAAGAAGCTACCGATGTTGAGGAACAACCGATGATACAAAGTACGGACCGCAGCTTTACTGCGCGCAAGTGGGCAGCGCTGCCTAGACATCTGGAGCCACCCGAGGTGGAATTTCTGGCCAAGAGACGAGCGGGCTTACCATCACTGTACGGCGCTTCAACTACGGGTGTGGACGGTGCGGCGAATAATGTTCCGATGAGGAGAACTCGTTTCAAGAAGGTCGACCCGGTTACGGGTAACATTTCCATCTACGAGGCTTGGGTGCCGGAGGGACACAAGATTGAAGGCGAAATCACCGATGAAGCTCAAGTGAGAGCCGAAAACAAGGAGGTCGCTGTTATTCCGGAGGCCCCTGCGCCTGGGACGGTTGTCGAAGGCGTTGGTGTGGTCAACGCTGAGGGTGTGGTTGTTGCAGAAGCAGGCTCCGTCTCTGTCATGACGCCCCCGAAAAGACGCCCACCTCCTCCCAAGCGCAAGGCCAAGGGTTTCGGGAAGGGACGCAGGAAGAAGGTCATGTTCGCGCCAGGAGATGGGGCTGATGCTGCGCTTGTCCATGGTTCTGGCGCCAGTACGGCAGACGGCGTCACTGATGCCGGGTTTGCTAAACCGGATCAGGACGCGTCCCGCTTGTCAGTGGATCAAAGCGGCCAGGATGATGAAGAGGAGGAGGGTGACGAGGGCGAAGAGAGTGATGAGGGCGATGAGTCGATGTTGGACGCCAAGACACCAGAAACTCCACTCGCACAGCCTGAGTCTGTACCAGCGGCTGATGCGCCGTCTATATCTGACGCTGACGCTGCTCAAGAATCTTCAGCAGCTATCAAGGAGGAAAATGATGAAGCTCAATCAGTTGCTCCAGAGGGTCTATCGACCTTGGCCAAGGAACCCTCTACCCATACGCATCCACAGCCATCGGCGCCCTCCGCCAAACCCCCTAGTCCTCAAGCTCCAGCGTCACCGTCCGCTGAGGTGTCTGCTCCTGCCCCTTCGATTCAACCTGAAGCTACAGCTGTTTCCGAAGAGCCGGCACAGGCAGTCGTGACCGAAGATGTTGTTATGTCCGATGCGCAACCTCCGGCCTCTCTTCCAGATGATAGTCTGGCGACTGTACCTCAGCAACATCCAGAACGTCTGTCTTCAGATACTCAGGAGGTCACTGAGCCCGCTCACGAAAGTCCTGTTTCCCAACCGCTTCAGGAAGTGCCTCAAACTTCAGGGCCGGGCCCGTCTCCACCTGTCGAAGGCGCGCATCGGACAGAAGTTCAGACAGAGACCACAGAGAAGTCGGTGGAGCCAAGTCAGGCTCCAACTGAAGCAATGATTCAGGAGGTAGCCGAGACGGGTGATATAGTAATGGAGGACTCTGAAGCCGTTGCATCAGCTCCTACGACTGAGCCGATCCCGCTGAAAGAAACTGTGGCTGAGCAAGCTCCCAATTCTGCAGTTGAACCTCAACCGGCCGGTACTGAGACAGGCAGCAACGAGGTTGATCTTCTTGGTAGCTTGGAAGCTAGTCTGGGTGGTGCGGTTCGCGATGCGCAGACTGACGGATCAGCCTCATTGCAAACTGATCCACAAGCGGGAGTTATGGCCGCTGAGAGCAATGCGACAAATGCCGCAGGGGAAGTTGGAGAAACAGTCACAGATGAGCCTCAACAGCAGCCATCGGAAAACGTTGAAGAGCAACCTGCAAAAGAGATCCCGGAGCAGATTGTCGAATCTGCTCCTGTTGATGCAGAGCAAAAGGCAATCGAACAGTCCACTGGACCAGCCCTAGAACCGAGCACGACATCTATTCCAGAGCAGCCTAAGCAGGAGATGACAGAGCCTACCGCGGAAACTGCGGCGAATGAAGCCATAGAAGAGCTTAATCAAGAAGCACCCGTGGCACAGCCTCCCGAACAAGTTCCTGAAGCACTGTCAGCTGTAGATGCAGAGCCTGTTACTCAACCCGCAGAGAACCAGTCTACGGAATCCGCCACACCACAGGTGACCGAACCTGCAACGGATTCTAGCATGGTGCCTTCTACAGCATCCTCTGCTGAAGCCCCGTCAGATCAACCAGCTGCGCCGCCTACAGACCGACAACCTCCCGTTCCATCCCCAGAACCACACGCAGAACAACCGGCACAAGCTTCGCCGGAGCAATCGACTCAACCAACTGAGCCGCTTCCTCCTTCAACCACAGAGCAGATACCTCCGCAACCCACACACCCCTCGCCGGAACACATGGCACCACCAACAGAGCCTCTCACCCCTCCAAGTCCAGAATTCGAGCAAATCGAGGAATCCTCTCAAGAGCAACCCCAGAATCAGGCACCCGTAACAGACGTCCAAGAACCACAACCCGCTCCGCCCGATGAATCTCAGACCCCAGAGGTTCCTTCTTCAGCTGCTGCACCAAGCGCACCTGAAGTTACCGAGCCATCAACGACCCAACCGAGTGACGCTGCTCCGTCCGACGACGATGTGGCTCCCCAGCCTATCACCGAGCAGGAAAAGGTAGGACCTGAAGGCAAGGAGGGTGGAGAAGAGGCACCCGCACCGTCGACCTCTGACGTTAGCGCAGCATAGTATTTCTGGTGAGGATGGCGGTCAGATTCTATTTTCAATCCCTGCATGGGTGTATTTGAGGTGTGCGTTGGGTGTAAGGCGTTGCGCTCTCGGTTCTCCACAAAGTTTTTTGGTGATTCCATCTTCGGTAGTAAATATCCCATGTTGGGACTGTTTGGTCTGTACGGAATATACATCTGCTGGATTTCTCTGGTGTAGACGCTATAAATTAGGAAGGATTACTGTGTTTTCATGGCCTTCATGCGTCGTTATATATAACCTTGATGTTGATCGCCACCTAGCTGCTTCTATACCTCTTCCCCCCCCCCCCATTATTCTCCCTAAGCTTTTTGAGACCCATGTAGTGCAAATTGCGACAAAAGATGAATTTCAGAAGCCTTTGAGATAAAGCACAAGTCGCATATCTAAGGCGGACATCGGCAGCATACTCCGACTCTATGGGTGAGATTGAGTCGCATCTATTGTAGGTGCTATATGCACAGCCCCATGCAGTCTTCAGTTTATATCAATGTATTAGCTATAGAATCCAGAAACTTAAGTATTCTTCATTCCTTGAGACCCTTTGAATCCAAACACCAAGTCTGCACCCGAGCAAGAACAACCAGTCGAGACAATATGGGATACACCTGACGCCCATCATATAGATCAAACCAGTGGAACAGGGGAATAACAGTCAGCGCAGAGAGAAAACCAGAGAAATATCCATGTGACGACCAAGGAAATACGAAAACAACGACCGATCCACGGGCTGAAGAGAATTTTGCCTGCAGCGTAAGGAGATTCAAGGAATAAAAGCGAGGAAGCGAAAGCACGACCGCTTCAGGAGAAGCTAATGGACAACCATGATTGAATAAACAGCCGAACTGAAATACTGTTGCGATGTCTGACTGCTAGCGCCAGATTGTTTGTCTGTTCTTTATTATTTTAAGTGGAATGGACCATCTCCGTGCTTGCGCCCTTTGTCCGTTTAGTCGATGCCGTAGCCCCAGGGCGCTTTTTGATGCTGTTGCTTGTGGGGTTCTTGCAAGGCGATTTCGTACCAGCTGTCTTCCCCTTCGTCGCCTGTTTCCGAGCATTCGAACCTTTGGCTGCCTTGAGTATCTTCTCCTTGGCTTTCGCAGACGGACGACTCAACGTCGAGGAAGACGCAGGAGAAACCTTCGGCTTCGATGGCGACTTCCCTGTTATTTTAGGTGACTTCTTCTTGGGAAGAATTGCCGCCTTCACTTTCGTTTTGGCGGTTTTGACCTTGGGAAGTCTGACGCTGCTTTTGGGCTTGGGTACCTTAGCCTTCGCCTGGCTTTTGGATCTTGAGCTCTCGGGCTTCTTGACCGACGTTTTGGAAACCTTGGTCGGCACTTTCACTGTATTCTTCTTTCCCGAGTTCGCTGACTTGGAAATCGTCGCACGCGCTCTCGACACTACCTTTTTGACCTGTTTCGCGATGGATTTCGGAGCCAGAACTTTTCGCTTTTTGTTAAGCCGCGATGAAGAATTGTCAAGCACTGTCCCGCTTTTGCGTTTGGTACCAATGACCCTTTTAGTGGTAGTCGTCTTCTTCGAAGTTGACGTATTCTTCTGGCTAATAATCTTCGACTCTTTGGACCGCTGATCCTTTTCTCTGGGTCGCGGTCCTAATATTCCACGGCAGTTGGAAGCACCGCATCGGCATTGCTGGACATTCTTCTGAGAGTAGGGGCTGCGTAACAGTCAGAAAAGAACCTAAATGACATCGCGAGTAATGGAGAGTCTCACTCAAAATTGTAGTCGTAAGTTAATTCTTCACCGGTCATAATACCGTGGTCACCCGCGAACAGAGCCATGCGTGGCTTGCCTGCAACAGTCCACTTTTCCATTCGGCAGTTCGGTTCGCAGGAATGGTTCACGAAGCGAGCGATTGAGCCTCGAGTAGCATCGATTATCATGTTTTGATCAAAGTACATGAGATAATAGCACTAGCGCCTCATATCAATCCTCCGTCCAGGTGACGGCATTAATCAAGGGACATACCTCATTGTTCTTGTATATCGTTCTCATCCTCTTCTCGCACTCGGCTTGAGTAATGATTTCACCAGTATATTCAACGATAATCTGGTTGGGCTCGAATGTGCGATTGCTGCGGACGCCGTATCCGCGGTCCGCTGTCTTGATGACTTCCACGCCAATGTTGTATTTTCCCCGGCCTTTGTCCTTTGCTTAAGCTCCTCAAAGCTTCGGTTGCCACAGTCAGGGCCCAGTCCACAGTTCCCATCGTCACATTCGTAGAACATGTACCGATTTTGACAGTTCTCGTCGCATCCTGTCTCTTCTGTGCACATGCATTTGGACAGTTCCATGTGCTTGTTGGCTCTCCATATACTACCCGCCTCTCCAACAAAAACATCTAGATTGAATAATTAGCACGGCTCTCTCTTTCAACAAGTGCGTATTCAATAGTCAACGTACTTTTGTTGGTTTTCCTCCATTCGTCAGGTTTGGGTTGACCAGGCGGAAGAGGCGAGTAAATATCGAACGGCAGCTGGAAATCCCTCCCCAACTGTAGCAGTCGGTCGCCTGCGAACATCGGCATTGGCAGCAGTCTTCGCTGCGAAGGAACGCCTTGAGATCGCCTCTTCGCGTTCTTATTTCTGTTTTGGCTGGGCCGGGCCGTCGTATACTCTTGCCCAGTGTACAGTCCATGAGACAGCCAGCGCTTCGGCTTGAACCTGGGCTCTTTGGCGGCAGTGCCGCTTTGCGCAGCGGACTCGTCAATGGCCTTGATCTTGGACGGCAGGTCACTTTCAGAAACACGTCGTTTCTTCGCAGCCGGAGGCTCGCTTGACGCGAGAGAGGCGGGTTCTTCCTTGGACGCAACGACGTTACGAGATCGCAGACTGGCTCTGCGGTCAAGATTTTGCCCTTTCTCCATCATATCCTTTGACCTTTTGCCCAGGACGCTACCCGCCTTCTCGACAAAATCCGGTGCCTTTTCCAATAAACTCAGACGAGTTGAGCGCCTTGGTGTGAGATCATCAACGCGGGCCGCCGATTCATCCTTCTTCCGGTTGGAACTATCCTCCTTGGTCAATGCCCGTTCCACGCGCTTCCTCAGTGATCGCTGCGGTAGTGATGAGCTAAGATCATCTAGCTGTGGCTCTTGGGAGGAGTTGGAGATAGGCGTATCTGGCGTTATTAGGTGGTCCGCAACCTCCATGATATGTCGTGTAAGCGTTGACTCGCTCCAAACGGCGGTTTCCATGACCGCTATGCTGTGCCGAAGGTGGGAGGACTGGGACCGCTTGAGTTTCGTGACACCGTTGGCTAGGTTCCCACTAGAATTAATAGGGTCCATTTCACCAGACGAGGACGTGATGATTGCATCTTCCTGCTCAGGTCTGGCCTCAAATGTACCCGAAGCCCGTAGAGAAGAGCGTGTGACACGTGTAGACGTCCGTCGCAGCGTAGGCTTTTCCTCAGGGCACGCGTTCTCGCTGTTGCTGGAGGTTTCGGAGCGGCTGTTCTCAGGCGTAAGAAGTTGTTCTGGCACTTCTAGACCTATTGTCTCATCGACGTGCTCGTGAGCGTGCTTCTGGAGGTCCGAGAGGGTCGCGGGTGTCGCGGGTGACGCGACGGAGGATCTAGTTCGCTTTCCCATCTCGATTTCCTTGAGAACGATGTGTACGTGATTCTGCTGCTGGAACAGTTGAGAGTGCAGAGGAAGACTAAATAAAAACACCTTTTGTCTGATTCGGTCCGTTGCTTGGGGAAGGGTTTGTTGTTTGCACGCAGCTGAATGCGATCACGACTGACAAGGGCTACAATAGGTGCTCCTGTTATCAGCCGTATCTGCACAACGCCCTACAGCTCAAAAACCAGGTCACAACAAGACTCTGACAAACATGCTGAAAGGTATGAAGTACAAATGAGTGAAAGGATGGTTTTAGCAAGGTGGACGGCAAGGCATTGGAAGGGAAGGAGAAAGTTGAAGGTGCGGAGGGGGTCCAGTTCCTGTCGTCAGCCAGCTTGGGACGGCCGGAGGGGAGGCACGGCCGCGGAATGCAGAGGGAAACAGTAGCGAGACTACGGACAACACTAAGTCTTCCGGGCACGACCTTCTGCGCTCAGTTCTGCCATCTGATTTTGGGCAAATTGAGCTTGGACGAACTCTTTTTAAGCATCTGGAGTTCCAACATGCGGCCCGTTCTGTATTTGATAACAGCCTTTGCAGGCGCCTACAAGCAACAGTTGACAGCGGAGGAATACAGACTGAGCTCTTTTCTTTGCTCTCCTCTCTTGAATGAATTATCCATTGTCTATCTGTAAGGTCAGAGCCGATTATCATACATATATCCTTGATGTCGCGTGATATAAACCCAACCCAACAAATTGAACCAAGACAGATGGCCCCAATCAGAGGGAAATTGTGGATTGAAACGAAGAAAGAGATAACAGTCATGAAGAGCAAATGAATCGAGATCGCTCAATTGCAAGGTCTTAATTTGGACGGGGAATCTCAGGAAATCAGAAGGGAAAATGCGCAAAGATATCAAGATCGTGAAGTGTTGATGTTTAACAGTCAGAACAACAGAGGTCAAGTCAATCAAAGCAGCATCAGTGGCTTTGAAAAAGAAGATATAGAAATATAAGAAAAAGAAAACGTGTAAAGAATGCAATCACAGAGATGCGATCAGCTTCAGAGAAAGATCGAATAGATAGTGACGTGAGGCTAAGCTCACCCAACACCACAGCCATGTTAGCCCTGCCGTGGAGTCGGAGGAACATGCTGCATCTCAATGGCCGCCTGAGCTTCAACATCTCGAGGCCGGTCTTTCCGTTTTGAAGCGCTCAAGCGCTGGTCACCCTCTTGATAAGGCCTGTTGAACTGCAAATAGGTCGGAGGGCGGGCCGCGCTAGCACAGATACCCAGTTTCGGAACACGTTCCCCTGAGTGAAGGGCGATGGCGGTCTGCTTTGGCGAACTTGTGCGAGTTGAGGTATTCCCTTGTCGTCTCCCCTCGCCCTACCAAAAAGAGGTGATATGCCCACAATGAGGCCGGGTAAGGCGCTGCCAGTGCCCCATATATAACCATGGCCCAAGGGACTCTCCACTTGTCAATTGCAGAGCCAAAAGAAACGCCTTCGCGAGCACGATACACCAGAACATGTGCAAGGCTGGCTCCAAGCAAGAACAGGGCAAGTAGGGTCGCGGAACTGACGAAAGCAAAGAAGTACCGATAGTTACGGCGACCAACGCAATTGTTCAGCCAAACGCAGTGATGATCTAGAGTTTCAATGCAATTGTCACACACGCGGCAATGGTAGCAGCGCGGTGGGCGCCAGATGTTGCAAGTCTTGCAGTACTTCACCGGAACGTCCATTGCCGCGACATCAGATGTTGCCAGCTTCACCATTACCCAGTCATTGGTCGGCGGTCCAATCATCAGCGGGTCGCCTGAGGGTTCCGGCGGTGGCATTGGATGAAGGTTTCGAGGAATGATCCCAGGATCGACGACCGAGGCGTGGATGAATGAAGAAAAGCATAAGTAAAAGAGATAGGCGAACAATATCGGGACCGCAGGTGAGATATGATGCCAGAGCCAAGGAGCCGAATATGCAAAGAACAAAGCGGAAGGCAGAACGACAAAGATGCCAGTTGCAATGTTGATGGGCTTGTCTCTAGAATTCTGGAACCGACCGCCACCAAAGAACAGGGTGTTACCGGTGAAGTACTCATAATTCTTGCCCAAGTGAGCTCTAGGTGTTGTGTGATGTTGCTTCTGGATGGATCCAGGAGATGAGTCTGCAGATGACAGTCGCTCATGAGCACGATTATCGCGGTGTTCTGGTGCAGGATTTCTGTTTTGTAGAGACAGAAATGAGAGAGGGGATCGTTGGGGAGGATCGCTGGTTTCGACGCTATGATTCACTCCCAGGTTGAGGTGTTGCGGCGTAATTTTATACACTCTGTCTCGATCGTGCAAGAGTTTTGCACTCTCGCCCACGCTTCTTGAGGTCGTATTTCCGATGGGACTGGCGTTCGATGTGTTCCGATCTGGAATTATGGGATCCGTGAACTCGGTACCTCGCGATGGAGGGGCCTCCTCCTGTGGAGCAGAACTCTGGGGGAAAGTGCTATTTGAGATGATGCTTCGTCTATTCTGGTCGATTTGGTCATGCCAATCCTCGGATGACGTTGCCGTTTCTTTGGTGACTGGCCGACCTCGATGCGCTTGGAGCCTCTGAGAGGACATAGGTCGGAAAAAGCCCTGCGCAGTGAGCGAAGGAATGTGACTGCGACTCAATCTGCTAGCAGAGCTTCCTGGTCTACTTGTCATCTGGCTGTGTGCGGTGATTGAACTTCTCGCGGGTGGGGGGCCACGTCTAGAAAGAGATCTCTGCGACTGAGGCGGACGTGATGAAATCCCAGTGTTTGCTTGGGATTGTTCGCCATCTTCTGATGCCACGTCTGTCATTCGGGAGGAGATGCCCCCGACGGAAGGAGGGCGTGGAATACCGAGGACAGGTTGTGCGGCCGATTCATGAGCCGCATCGCTCGTCTCCGGCGCAGACGACATGATTGCCCACGAGTTGATAAAAATATCTACTTAGTAGGAATGCCGATTGATCATGGTGTAATTGGAGTGAAGGAAGCGAAAAGAGACTCGGAGACTGCTGAGTCTATGGGCAGCCCAGTCGCAAAAAATATATGAGAGGACGCTAATCGGAGTTTAGACGTGGATAAGGAGCGACAGGGAGTTATTTCTGCGTTATCTTTCGCAACAGGAAGAACGGATCGTAAAGGAATGTAAGCAACCTATAATATAGCGGTGTAGTTAGTTTCATGTGTGCTTGTGAAATCTCAATACTGCAAGCCCCTGGGAGTAGAGCAGAGGAGAGCAGAGCATATGTCATCGCCCCCTATCGGAGATGGGAAATCAAATGGTATGGTCCTCACAGACCTTGAGTACAGTTGCGAATTTGATGAGCGGATGTAAGAGGAAGAAGTCAGATCTTCGTCACATCACGGCTGGAAGGAAAAACAGTCCAAAGGCGAGTGAGTTAGCAAGCACCCTGGAACCCTTTTTCGCACTGACGAGGCGTTGGCACCCTTGCGCACTCGGCGACTCATTGAACGATGACATTTTGCCTTTGCAGGCGGCGAGTCCCAGCCCAATAACATGCATGACTAAGCATCGGGAGCGGATGGGCCAACGGGATGTCACCTGATGATGCGCCGGCAACATCATCGTTTGACACATTCGATCTTCCCACTTTCTCTCAGAGAACCCCCCGATTGCAGTCTTCGCAGACAACCAGTCTTCAAATCTACAAATTTCTCACCATGTCTTCAATTGCTGCCATGGCTTCCCGCCGGGCTTTCGCCCGTCAGTCTCTTTTCCGGGCTGCCCCGCGCCGAAACTACAGCTCCAAGCTTGAGGAGGCCACCCTCGACAAGGCCCCAAGCGCGACCCCGAGCTCTACGTATGGATCTCTTGCTGAGCTCCGCTCGACTGACTGGACTCCTCGCTAAAGGGTGTTGTAGGTTCTGCTCGGTGTCATGTCCGGAGCTTTCCTGATTGCTGGATGGTGAATAAATCCTCCTCCCTATCGCGCACATTCGACACAGAAAGCGACTGCAGAACCCGATTGTCACCAATTGCACGCTGGATTGTACGGACGCCGCTTACCAATTATTTGTCAACAGGTACTTCGGTAGAAAGCCCACCTCGGTCACCTCTGAGAGCAACGTTCGTATCGGCGAGAGCTCCATGCCTTGGGAGCGCGATGACGACGGCAAGATCTACAAGTACCAGTACCACCCTCACGGTGACAAGAGCCAGCCCCTCAGAAACGCTCCCAGCGCTCTGAACACCGTCATTGTCCCCAATGTCACTCTGCCCGTGGTAATGACCCCTCGCCTTTTATCGTCATGGCGGCTCTTATGTCAGGTAGTACATGTGAATGGATTGCTGACAACCCACTTCTTTGCATCATAGGACCTTCACGAGCGCTTCAACAAGTACGGTAAGGAGGAGTGGGACTACTAAATGGGGCATATGGCGGAGGATCGAAAGCTAGAGGCGAACATCGGATGTGTTCCGATGTTGATTGCTGTACACTAAAAGCGACTGAGAGGACTAGAGTTTGGGGTGCAGATTCATGCCAGAGCTTTGTGTGCATAGTATGTTTTGATGGAAGTCAATACGTGGATCAATTGTTCTTTTTCATCCTATTTTTTGCAGAACTGTCAGGCATTATCCTACAGTGGGTACGGTTCGCATGAAGAATTTGTGGAAATCACACGTTTAATCGCACATTTCATTCGGTCAAGAAGAATATTGTTCAACAGAAGAGATACTGAAACCGACTTTGCCAAGCCTCGAATGTTCAGAAAGAGGACCAGCAACCACTCCAAAGCCACTCATTACACTCCATATATGACATTCCATTGCTTTAATTCTGAGTTGCCTCATTTGCTTCGCTAGCCGGCTTTGGCTCAGGGGAACTTGGTTCCTCCACTGAGCTCTCACCCACAGCAGCCGAAGCTGGGCTGTCTCCTGCAGCCTGCTGTTCCTGGTTCTTGACAGTCTCAGGATTTTGCCCCTCCACATCTGGGTGTGGCGGTGCAATCTGACCGTCTACCATCTCTACTTCATGGGCATGTTCAAGGCGAGTCCGAGTTTCGTGCCGGGTTTCAAAAGAAACCTTGCCTTCCTTGGCAAGAGATGCGACGAGCGCCTCATCAAGAACATTGCCATGCTGATCACGGTACTCCACTCGCGCCATTGTTCCGCGAGGCTGTTGGGCCTGAGAAGTGACGCTTGCCCCCTGAGCCTCCTCCTGAGCCTCCTTGTGAACCTCCTTGTGAACCTCCTTGTGAACCTCCTGCTGATGCTGCTGGGGCGGTGCCACCGGCGGTTCCTGAACGGGTAAATCTTGGACAGGCAATCCTGGAACTGGGGTTACCTGTGCGGAGGGCGTTGAGGATGCAATTGGGTTCGCATTGACAAATTGAGTAACATATTGACCAAGCTAATGTGTTGTCGTCAGCCGTCGGGCGTTCATTAATCTAGTATCCTCGTCGCGGAGGCTGCCACTCTGGAACACTTACGTCAGTGTAAAATGTGTTGCAATCAAAATCCCAGGTGCTAAGGAGTTTGACCTTCTTGCAAGCATCTTGGGTCCAAGGATTGCCATAGACTAATGGGGAGTAAAGAGTGAAGGTGAAGATACTGAGAGCCAGAAAGACTGCGACCAATCCTTTGCCAATGATAGGCCTCGATGACAGACCGAAGGCCTTGAAGCGATTGGCGATAAAATCGAACTCCTGGCACAGCGCCATGAGGGCGAAGTAGAGGGCCGGGAAGTAATGATGTAGAAAGAGCTGCCGAGCCATGAGATAGAAGGGGAAGTAGTGGAGAGCCCAGCCAAGCACGCTCGTACCGACTTCATAATCAAATCGCTTGAAGTTGACGTTGCGATAATCACCACAACTGCGTTGCCAACGGATAACGGCGATGCCCTTGAAGACAATATAGATGACAATGGCGACAGTCGACGACCACCAGATGAAGGGGTTGCCGAGGAGATAAATCTGACGGTGATCACGACCCCAGAAATTGATGCCCCTGAGCAGAGTTGGCCACGATGGTGGACGAGAATCCCAGGCATGAGACTCGGTCAGCCCAGCATTTGTAGTCCACATGACTTTCTGGAGCTCCCAGAACTTCCCAAAGAACCCAGGGTTTCGGTAATTGACCTTTTCTGCATCCTCAGGTAACATCGGATGATGGTTTGACTCGATGTACCAAAGACTGTTCGGCAGGGTGCCTCCTCTGGCGCAAGTCACTTCCTGCTGCTCGAAACCCCACTCAGGAAGCTTCACCTTGTGGGAGAATAGAACGCAGCCAGTCATGACATGGACAAGCCGGAATTTAGATTCGATGGTTCTTAACCTTTTCTTCGCTTCCTCGCCGTCGGACTTCGACTTGACAATCTCAACACGGAAGAGATCATTTGCGTCGCCTGGGAACCCCTCATACCCATACGCAGACACTTCAAATTGCCAGTCGACGTCTGTCACAGGAGGTCGCTCGTCGTGCGAGTGAAGTCTCCTATGTGTTACCGCATGGTAGAGTCTTATCGCCGCACCATCTTGGATGTACTCGGTAGTAATATTGTCCCAAGCGTAAGGGCCCTCCACTTGTCCAAAGGGACCAAGGGGCTGGGTCTGGTTCTCAAGGATGAAGACATTGTTCTCGTCTTTGTGAGGATAGAGAGTGATCTGCTGCTGTTTGCTTCCGGTGGGATACATATGGGCATGAGAGTGAAGGTAGCCTCCCTGGGTGTTCAGGTGACGAATGCTCACACGCGAACCGAAAACAACGTCTGCAGGAACATCTTGCATTCCCTTGGAGTTTAATGTGGCCTGGAATTCTGACGACATGAATCCATCTCCATCTCCCGGGTTGACCAAGCATAGGAAATGAATTGCAAACATTCCACAGTAAAAGCCAAGGGGAATGATGATGAGACAGAAAACCCGGGCAAAGAAGTGTTTGAACCATAAGCGCTGGAGCAATTAGCTTTGACATAGGGTGAGGAAGCTCTAATCAATAACGAAGACATACCGGTGTGATGTTCTGGGCGTCGCCCCAAAGCACCCACAGTTGCAGGAGAGTGAGAGAACCGACCCACGCGACTGTGAAAAGCCCGACCCATTTAACGCTCAATGTGGCGCCCAGGGATAGACCCGTTGCTGCCAACCAGAACCACCAGGGTCCACGGAAGGCATGAGAAGGCCCAAGCTCCTGCTGGTTTGTAAAACTAGTAAACGCCAGCGCCGTGAGCGCTGTGAAGAAGACCAACGGCGAGTCCAACAGGATTAGACGGGATTGAGTGATTAGACCATTTTCTGCAGATGGTCAGCGAACATAGTCTGGTCAAATATATATATATATATATATATATATATCAGTATCATCTTACCAAAGATTACGACTCCGGCCCCGAGGACAGCAGTTATAGTTCGGCAACCGCTCGCTTTCAGGGTCAGAAACATCAAAGGAACGGTAAGGACGCCCAATACGGCTGGAAGCAAGCGCATAGCAACATATGGGACTCCGGGTTCAAGATAATCCTTGCCAATGTCCTTGAAGTCAAAATTACCATCAAAACCAGCCAGCCAGCCAGCAAGTGTGATGAGCAGTTTGGCGAGAGGAGGGTGCACATCCATGAAAAATCTGCCTTTTATATATTTGCTTGCGAAGCCGCCAAAGCTGTTCACCAATTATTAGCGCCATAGCATACCCACAATATGTGCATTCAAAAAGCGATATGAAGACGTACTGGACTTCGTCGAAAACGACGCTAGAAGGCTGATAGATACGGAAGAGACGAACAACCAGAGCAACAAGCGTGACCAAGACGAGCGCCTTATAGTCCGAAGTGGGAAGGTAGAATATATTGTTATCCTTGACACCCTCCGATCCATAGCTTGATATGTTTGCCGGCACTTTCTTGCGGTCCTTCGGTCTCGGAGAGCGACTTGGAGAGCGGCCTTTTCTGGGCAAAGGCTTGACCTGTAAGGTCTCTTTCGATTTTTGCGACATGTCTGATAGGGGCTCCCGCAATTGGAGCGAAAGTAGATAGGTCAGATAACAAGTAAAAAAATTATGCCGTCAGACAGCGAAATAATCTGGCACGAGTGGTAGAATGCTCCGACTCCAGAGGGGAGCTCTTAGATTACCCCACGCCGAAGGATGAAACCAAGCTGAATTTGGGTTATAAACGAGAGTAATGAATCGAAATGCGACTCGCCATGACAAAATTAAAAGGTGAAAGTAAGAGGAGGAAGGCTACTATCAAAGGAGTAGCAAAAGCAGGACAACATGTGTGAAACAATCAGGGAGGTCGAAGAAAGCGTCAGCTCAGTTTAGGCCAGATGTCAGCGGAGGCGGACAAGAGCTAAGTAAGGGTAGTATGGGGCCGGCGTGCTCAGAGTACCTAGGTAGGAACCACTGAGAAAGAGCGAGTTTTGGTGGCAGGGACTTAACTATCTCATAGAAAATAGTTGACTTTACTTTGAAACGTCTCTCCTGTCAAGGCTCATTATCAAATAAATATTTCTGGCCGCCATTCAACTCCATTCTTAGAACCTCCAAGTCACTGCAGCGCAGTAGATGAGGACCAAAGTAGTACGGATGCGGATGTATCTAGAAAGGTACAAAGTACCGCCATAAACTTGAAGTTTGTGACACACATAAATTACTAGCCGTAATTTTGAGCTGGCCTTAAAAGGCCCACCCAATAATAGTAAGTGCCTATGCGCGCGTTTATCCAGTAGCCGCCAACAAGGCGCGGCAACTTTCCATCCCAATGAAGTCAGTCCCAGGGCAAAAAGCACGCCGGCGGAGTCAAGGACAGCAACCACACCGTCCTGACATTTTCCATCGTCGTTCTGATTCTGGCATTGAATATGGCTTCTAATGGGAATACTCCAACTCTTCCAGATGAGGTGAACAAACCTCCAGAGGGTGTGGTCCTGCCACCTAAAGACATTCGAGGTTCGTCTCTCAAAAGGTTTCTGTTGGAGATATATGCTGACATCTTATTTAGCTATTGTGGAAAAAACTGCGGGCTATGTTGCTCGGAACGGATTTGTTTTCGAAGGTGCGCCGTCGCTATACGTCGATTTCGTCGATCTCATGTTCCATTGTAAGCTAACAGTATTCTTCCAGAGCGTGTGCGCGAAAAAGAGAAAAACAACCCGAAATTCTCCTTTCTGAACCCCGGGGATGCTTATGCGAGCTTCTACCAGTGGCGGCTGAACGAGATCAAAGAAGGAAGAGGGACTGCAGTAGCAGCAGGTCGTCCAGGCGAGCCAACGGCAGCTCCAGAACCAGAGAAGCCCAAGGGGCCCGCAGAGCCCCGGGATTTCACTTTTCGGCTCGGATGCCTATAATCAACGCGCAGGATCTGGAGGTTGTTAAACTTACGGCGCTCTATGTTGCTAAGAGGGGCAAGTCTTTTATGACCGCTCTGTCGCAGCGCGAAGCGAGAAACTTTCAGTTCGATTTTCTTCGCCCGCAGCACAGTCTCTATCAATTTTTCACTCGATTGGTCGACCAATATACCATCCTCTTAAGAGCAGAAGGAATCGACGAGTCCACGTCAGAAAGGCGCAGAATCGCCGAACTAGAAAACAATGTGAAGAACAAATTCCACATCTTGGAGCGGGCGAAACAGCGCGCCGAGTGGGTGAAGTACCAAGAGCAACAGAAACAGAAGAAGGAAGAGGAGGAGGAACAGGAACGGATAGCTTATGCACAGATCGACTGGCATGACTTCGTGGTGGTCGAAACTGTCCTCTTCACTGAAGCGGACGATCAGACCGACCTACCCCCACCTACATCTCTCAACGATCTACAATCCGCCTCCCTGGAACAAAAAGCTATGATGTCGCTAAACCCACTGCGGATCGAAGAAGCCATGCCAACAGACCAGGAAGCCCAAGTCTACTACAACGCCTATCCTCCAGCACAACCCGAGCCGGTGGCACAACCTGCCCCTCCGTCAGTTTCACCATATCCTCCTCAAGCACCGGTACCGCAACCCTATCCTATGGCCTCCGCCGCCGCGCAGGAAGAAGAGCAACGGATTCGGGAGCGGATGGAGGCCCGAGAACAGGCCGCCGCCGCACAAGCAGCTGCCAAAGCGGCCCCTGGACAGCAACCGATGCGTATCCGCTCCGACTACGTACCGCGCGCACAAGCGCGCCGTCTCAATCCTTCCGGCGCCACTGCACTCTGTCCCAACTGTCACCAGCAGATTCCTGTGGCTGAACTCGACCAGCACATGCGTATCGAACTGCTGGACCCCCGGTGGAAGGAGCAGCGCGCCAAAGCCGAGTCGCGGAGCGCCACCACGAATCTGTCGACCGCCGATGTGGTCAATAATCTGAAACGGCTGGCAAGCCAGCGAAGCGACGTATTCGATTCATCACTCACCGCAGGCCTCGATCCTGAGGAGGAAGCAAGGAAGAAAAGAATGGCCTACGAGAATCCCCCTGGAGCGGGCCCCACACCGCCGATGGTTGGTCCTGCAGGGGGCCCGCCCAACCCTCAGAGTCTGAATATCGAGGAGCAGATTCGACAAATTCACGAACGTTACAAGCAAGGTTAGAGCGCTAGAAATAGCGGGGTGAAATCCAAATTGTTTTCGAGGCGTTTCTCATTCTGGAGTACTTTTCCTTGGACTTTCTTCTGCGAAAAGGCGCGCATGTTCACTTTACCTGTAAAGTAGTACTCTTCTTTCTTCCTTGGTCACTATCGAATGTGATGGTTGCCGAGTTATTTGTCCCTTCATCTAATGACTATTTTTTGGACGTTTGACTGTGCATTGAGTAAAATCTTCTCAAATCCATGATCCCTCTGTATTACTCCAAGTTGGGCATGCGGAAGACTTGATACAACGTCGAGCTATCATCGTAACTACAGTATTGATGGGCATGATGGCTTAAAGTGTAGACACATAAGGGCGGAGGACGGTTCAGTCAATATTCCCGAATAGTTCATCATTATCTGCAGAAATCTATCGTATATGTGCAAGTAGATGTCATGTACCAGACACAAATCATGCTGTGCACCATTCCCTCCATATATTAAATCCTGACGGCTTCTCCGCTGGAATTAATGGAAACGACGGATAAAAGGGGCCGAAAGGTTAGGTATGAGCAAGCAGAATAAGAAACAAAACACGCTGGATAGAATGGGTTGATGTCAGGTCAGCTGGATGCTCGATGGGAAAGGAAACCATGTCAAAACAGTCCTGAACAACCTCACTAAGAAAATGGTAAAAATAAGCGCAAAGAAGGACAAAAAGAGGCAAATTATGCGTACAGACGTTCGGGCCGCAGCTCCATATTAATTAATAATACACGTAGCCTGCTGCGCGGTCGAGCCATTGACGGGCAGCTATGCAAGAAGGGCAATGGGCATGTAAGTTGAAAATAGCGGCAGCAAAGGGGGACTCGAAAATGAAGGACAGTCGTATCGTAGATGGAAAACAGAGAGAACGCTGAGTCGAAAGTCTTCAGCTTCGATCATCATCATGGTCGTCATCATTCTTCGCGGTCCGAATAACGAGGGACTCCTCAACGTGAGCGATAGACTTGGGGTCGTCACTAGTCGCGGATAGTGTCACTTGACTCACGCCATGTTCAAGATACCCATCTCTCTCCTTCTCCGAAGCATGAGACTGGGGGCTGTCATAGAATGGCCTTGAAACGCCTGACGCGGAAGTATACCCACTCACGGATGCATTGTCATAATCGGAGTCCGAAACGCCGTGGTCGTTGTCATGATCGTGAGTTTCACATGTCTCAAGAGGAGCATCAAGCCGATCTTGCTCATCATCGCATGTCTGGTCTCCCAAGTTACGTCTTGATTGCGACGGACCAGCGTTTTCAAAGCCATTGGCCTGAGCAAACGTAGGGACGACCCCTCCGCCGATGCGGGACCAAAACATGCGCTCTCTCAAGCGAACTGTTTCTTCCCAAGCGTCCTTCTCTTCTTCTGCATCGCCCGCACGGATATGACCATCCAAGATGAGACGTAGATAGCCAGTAAATTCACAAGAAGAGCGAACCTTCTCTAGACAAAGGACACACAAAGGATAGCGCTGAGCCGTATCACTGTCGGACGTCCGAAAGCGATGCGTTCTCTCGTTGGCAGATCCAGGTCTACGATCACCACAGAGTGAGCATGGGAATCCATATTTCCTTGTTGCAGGCGGGATCGGTTCAACAACGAGGCTCCCTTCGCAGATGCTGCTCAATACCGCACGTCGCGTCAACCACGAGATCCCGGGCGCAGCATCCAGCCGAAGAGTAGGTTCAATGTCCTCCATGAGCACGCGTTTGTAAAAGCGCGTGTCTTTGAGTGGGATATGGGAGGTGGCAGGCTGAGGAGATGACATGCTTCCATTCGGCGAATGAGTGGACTTGGCGGGGGATGAAGACGCCGAACCAAACCCGGCACTGCTGAAATTGGCTAGGCTCATAACATTCAAGCCGGCGTAAGAACCACTGGCAGCCCTGCTTGGCGGCTTCGACGCACTCGATAGACTGAACAGTTCTCGGAAATCTTCAAAGGCCTGAATATCCGTCCGACATACTGACTTGAACAGATGGGGAAAACTGGTTGAGGGGCCTGGAACGATCTCCTCGACGTGCGGGGACGGTTCGGGAAGATCGGCAGTCTCCAAGCTCCTCGTAAATATACCTGGTAAGTGTTGATGCCCACCTGGCGAGGATGGCGCTGTGGAAATGGTGGTGCGAATTTCAACGTCGTCCTTGGCAATATTCATTCCTTGCATCACAGACTTAAGCTCGGCTAACTGTTCTTGATGAGATGCAAGGAGTAATTCTGTGTCCTTCACCTGAGCTCGTAATTGTTCGTTCTTCTTTTCGACCGCCTCACGCTCCAGCTTCGCAGCAGCGACCATCTATTCCAGTCATGTTAGATACTAGTTATATAACGTGTTGTCGAAAAAAGAAATTGACTTACCTTATTCGCCTCCTCGAAGAGTGCGGCAGTTAGAGTCTCCAGTTCCTGTTCAATGGTCTTTTTACCCTTCTCGACAATGGCGCGCTGAGCCTTCTCCTCCGCGAGAGCGGCCTTCAACTGCGAGATCTCACGGTCCGCATCGGCTTTCTTGATAAGAACCGCGTGCTCAATATCATGTCGGTACTTCTCATTTTCCGACTCCAATGACTTGATCCGATTCTGGGCCTGTTCCAATTCCTGTCGGGTGGCAACCAGATTGTCATCGAGTGTAGTCTGATTATTGATCGCCTGTATCAATTTCACACTCAAAGCAGCAACCTCACTGCTCAAATCCGGATGATGGGATGGCGTCGATGATGTGTCGGATGCCTCAGAGTTATTCGCGAGTCTTGGGTCCCTCAAAGTACTGAAACCACTATCAGGGATATTCCCAGCACTATTAGAACGACCTGCAAGAGAAGGCTTCTCGGTGGCAATTGCTGCGAGATCATTTGTGGACTTGGTCTTCATCACCGTTCTATCAGGAGAAAGTGTCCTGGGACCGGAGGAGAGGGATCGCTTGTGATTGCTGGGACGGGGAATCATATTGGAAGGTGAAAGGAAGCTATGCCGTAAATGATACGTTTGGAATGCAATTAAACTGCTCTTGAAGTCAGTAAATTCACCAATCATCATACCCAATGGCGAGGGAAACAATGGGTACATACTCAGCCATGGCGGAGTGGAGAGAGCAGCAACGAATTCAGAGAACCGGAGAGGCGCGGTGACCCAGTTCAGGTGTCACGACCATGAATATAGGTGATACACCTCGCCCATTCAGAATTCCCACAAGTGAATAATTATTTCAAAATAAGGTCCAGTCCGGACTCGCAGAACACGTAGCGGCTAGCGAGTTGAGATACGAGGCATCAAGAGATCGAACTGGCGTCGACGATGGAAACGGGAGAAGGGGTAGGAGGGTAGGACACGACGGAGACGATGAACAGAATGAGAGTATATATAGACAGCAGAATTAAAATGTAGGAAGGGTGATATATTGAAAGTAGTAAATAATTAGTTGAAGGGAGTGGTAGTCGGAGTAACCCCTCTTTTATGAGGAGAGGAAGCAGGTTGGGAGGCGTCTTGAAGGAGCAGGCGATAACGGACTTGACTTCGGGTCTCCGTTAAGGACTGCTGGGAGGATTCTTGGCCTTGTCCTTCAGGCCCAAACGACTGGACGCTTGACGGTGAGCATTGACAGGTGTGGCTGTCATTGGCCTGAGGCAAACAGGATCCACTCGCTGAGTCATTGAACGCTTTTCCAGAACAGGCAAGCCGATCTTGATGCAGATGCAGCTACGGAATTACGTCGTTCGACTCGGATCCTCCGTCAAGAGACAAGATGCAAGTCCCAGGTCCCTTCCATGGCTGGCGCTTAAGACATCATTCACTGAATTGTTATCGCGAAATTGCTATTTCTGTTGCTTCTTCGCAAATGCTTCTGGAGAATTGGATGACCCATGAGAAACCGAGTACATTCCTTGGAGTTCGACTAGCTAATATTATCGGGAATAATCGTCATCCAAGTCTCATATAGTTTCCTTTTCTACGGAGTAGACTAAACGGATCTGCCGAATAAGCTCTATCCATCTAAATGCGATCACTATCATATTTGATGAGTGTTCAATTGGCAACTGATGACGACACTACTCCCTACACATCACGCAGCCTACAGGAAGAGACGAGTGGATCGCTAACCCGCAATCAATGTCTGAGACATGCCAGATACCCTAGAGACTCCATCGTAACCTTACATAGATAGATACGGATAGACCAACGGGTTTCGAATGTCGATCCTAGGCAACGAGGCAGTCACCTATAGTTGCCCAACTGGGCGAACAGAACGGGCTATGCATACAGATTGCAACACAGTGGTGTACCTAGGTACATAGTAGGGTGACCCTTATCGAGCCTGAGATACCATCATGGATGGCCCCTGCAAATCATAAACTAAGGTACGGATCCTGCTACCTTACGTACTACCTTAGTCGAGCGGGAATGTCGATGCCTCATGGCGCCCCACCCCCATTAAGGTGGCCTCAGGCCACGAAGTGGGGTTCCAAACTTCAGTACTCCGGATGAACGATTATTGGAGGTTCCAGCACCAATATTAGCATCTATTTTCTCCGAACAGTCTCAGCTCCCTGAATTCCTTCTCATCAAGAGGGGACTCCTTTTGCAGCACAAAAGACCCCTCGGATATTGACCCCTTGTCTCACGAAAACAAATCACCATGGCTGACGCGGAGCTGGAAGAGGTTGGTACAGCAGCCTTGCGACGTTTTTCAACGTCCCCAATCTGGTATTGTTGGCCAGGTATTTAACAATCTACAGATCAGACGGGCCCGTCTCGCACAACTCCAGCAACAACAAGGTGGCGCTCGAGGAGCTGGTGGGGAGAATCAGGATGAACAAAGAAGGTAGGCGTCGCCTGTCGACCACTTCACCGTCTCCTGTAGCCTTCTTTATTTCAGTCGGCAAATGCACACATGATCGCTAACTCTTTCCTTCGCAGACAAGCTGAAGGTATGCTATGATGACCTCGCGAAACACCGGGCTCTTTTCCCAACAACATACTGAACTGACTCGCTAGCTGAACGTCGCTCCGCTATCCTGAACCAAATTCTTGAACCCGAAGCTGCCGATCGGCTGGGACGAATCCGTCTTGTTAAAGAATCGCGCGCCATCGATGTCGAGAACAGGCTCATCATGCTTGCCCAGACAGGACAAATCCGCCAGAAGGTCACCGAAGAACAACTCAAAGAGTTATTGAACGCCATTGCGGAAAGTCAACGGAAGGAGGAGGAGGAACAGAAGATCGTTATCTCTCGGCGCAAAGGCGGCTGGGACGACGACGATGATCTGCTGGATTTATAAGCACGTATCTCTGAAAAGAGAACAGGATTCGTCGGCGGAAATGTGCTTTTGCTTATTAGCGGCCTCTTGCAGATAAAGCCCATTCTGATACCTCTATCCTTCGGTTCTGGGAAAAATTTCAAAGCGTTACAACTGATACGGGCTAATTCATGATTCGACAGTTGTCTCACGTTCCCCAAAGTCCTTCTTGATGCGAGCTAGCATAGCGGGCGCATACAAGCTATGTATTCTACAAGTTGGGGCAATTTCCTGTTTTGGCAGTCTTTGAACCCAGCTTGAGCTAAGCAGTTGCTGATGAGTGGTGTTAATTTATGATTCACGATTTACAAAGACAAATACCCGACTGTGAGGTCATTGAACAGGGAATCCAGGCGATGGAGACATTCACGGGCAGAGCGAGCTCTCCCTAGCTTCAACTCTTTGTTCAGTCGACGTTGACTTGAGTCGCCTGATGTAGTTCGTGGCCTTGAAACCAGATGTCCGGTTGCGAATATCCATCATCTAGGGTAATCTTTTGGCATCTCTTTTTGAATCCTCCACTGCTTCCTTTTGGTAATACGGAAGTCAGAATCTCTGGAATCTCCTCAAGGAGGAGCTCTGTTGATCGGTCACGATTTTCCTTCGAGCCTCTCCTTCTCCCGCTTTTGTTGTTGCCGCATCAATTTCCGGATTTCTCGTAGATCTGGGGGTCTCTCAATTCCCAGCTCTTTCCGAAGCTCGTCAACGTCTTTCTCCAAGATCTCCTCCCAGTATACATTGATCAGTTCTTTACTGGCAAGCCCACTGCGAACCGCCCATGGTAAATGTAGGGAGAAGAATCGTTCCCGTTCTGCGGGCTTCAACCGCACGAAGGCAAAGATGCTCAGCCCCGTCATGGGAATGAGTGTATTCAGAAACTCGAACGCCTTGAGTGCCAATTCTCCCTCGACAAAAATAGGGAGTCCAGTCACCGCATGGTAGAAGTCGTGACACTCCCGATACCGCTGCATGACATACGCGCATTCCTCGTCATCAATATACTTGACACTATCGCGCGTGTCGGGAGAGACCCCTTCCCGATCAAGCCATGTAGCATAGGTGCGCCCCACTGAGTTCTCGGGCAAGGTGCGGAGGTAAGGCAGTTTCAGAGTTTCGGAGGTGATGCGGGGGCGGTCACGAAGGATGCGTCGGCCCGTGGGATCAGATAGCATTGCATCGCGAAGTCTGTATATAAAGTAGGGAGTTGCAGTAGCTTCGCCCAAAGCCGCAATGAGATCTGAACGAGGACGCATGCGTTAGCCTCTCCCGGCATTATAAGTACATAAAAATGGCGGGCACAATCCCTTACCCGCTCTTCGAGGGTTCATAAGCGACCCTACTGCAGAACCAACGGCCAGGGCACCGCGCTCAAGAAAGGTTAGAGGAACATGGCCGGGATACTTCGGCGGAGGGCGGTTCAAGGCGGAGAAGGGCCGAATGAGGTAACTTGCAGTTGCTGATGATGCTAGAGTGGTCCCTCGAGCAGCAAGTCCTGCCCCGCGCCTCCCGAGGACAGACATATTGTGAGTTGGAGGGGGTTCGATGTCGTTGTGGACATGACCCTGTTCTAAATCGAACCAAAGATGATGGCCTGATGGTCCGGGAACTTTGTGATATTGCGGAAGACCTCCGGTTGGCGTAATTGGTCGCCTTGGGACGCCGTAGCCCCGATAAGCGTTCGATAAGAGGTTATCGACATAATTTATCTTGCAGTTTTATCACTTGTTCTTGTTAATCTCCGAGTCAGATGCCATGATGAGATGTTATGACGCAAGGGCATTCTTATGATATGAATCTTGTGCCTGGATATATGACCATGCATTGAAAAGACATCGGTCGATAGGACAGAATTGCAGCAACGCCAAGCCAATTCCGATATTTCCCTCTTCTTCGATGCTATTGCATGCAATTGGGATCTAGGGAGCGTCAGGGTCAATCTGCAAAGATGATGCCAGACTGGTGGCCTGGAGAAATCCATGACCGTTTCACAGAATGGGCCATCTCCCAAGGAGTCATTGTGAATGGAATTGCTCCTGCGCGGTTCCCAGGCCGTGGTTTAGGAATGATATCCACTCGAGCTATTGAAGTATGTCATGATCAAATAGTTACTTGACAATTGTACTCACATATAGTGTATGAAGAAAGGCGAAATCATTCTGACGGTTCCACTGAAGGCAATGTTGACAATGAGACGCATTCCCATGTCTTTCAAGCGAAAATTCCCTAAGGATATTTCCGTCCATGCGCTACTTGCTGTTTTCCTGACTATCGGGGACAAGGAGGATCTCCAGAAGTATGAGCTCTGGCGACAAACTTGGCCGACCCGTCGGGACTTCGAAGACAGCATGCCCCTTTTATGGCCACGGTCTGTACGAGGACCCAATCCGTGCTATGATGACGGCGCCAGTGAGATGAATCTGCTTCCGCCCTCGATATCTGGCGCATGGAACACCTTACGAAAGCGCAAAGATGAGCATGATTATGAGACATCTCACCAGAACCTCCTTGCTCAGCAGGAACAGAGATTGCACAAAGCCTGGAGCAGCGTTGTGTCTGTTTTTCCAGATGTAGACTGGGAGACTTATTCATACAACTGGCTCATTGTCAACACGAGGAGTTTCTACTACTTAATGCCTGGTCAAAAACCGCCAGAAGATCGAAATGACGCCATGGCATTGCTGCCTTTCGCCGATTATTTTAATCACTCGGATGTGGAGGTTTGTCTTGTCGTTCTTGACCCGCTTCAAACACCATCACACTGTCCAGTCTTTTGTCACCTGTTCTGATCATTGAAACTTTTGCCCGTTTTAGGATGACGTAAAATTTGACGGCCAAAAATATGTCTTCAGGGCAACCAGGCACTATGGTATTGATGCGTCCGCGCCTCAACTCGGTGAACTCTGCTAACAGGGTAAAGACTCCGGAGAGGAAATTTATATGAGCTATGGGCCTCATCCGAATGATTTCCTACTTGTTGAATGTGAGATAAATCAACAGGTTTCATCACGTGCATGCCACTCTAACCTCAATCAGATGGGTTCTACCTCGAGGAGAATGGTTCTGACGCGATATACCTTGATGATATCATTTTCCGAGACCTCAGTGCGTCCCTTCAGGAAGAGCTGCATTTGCAGCAATATTACGGGTATGTTGAATCTCAACTAATCTGTGATGTCTTAAATTTCATTCTCTAGCTTGCTGCCGTATTGTGCGAATATCAAATGCTCATGATTTTAAATATCCAGCAATTATGAGGTTACCACCACAGGTGCCTGCTATCGAACCGAGATTGCCGCTTGTCTGAAATACATGACAAGAAGAGATTGGCGGAACTATGCCCTTGGTTATTCGACAAAGGGCTGCGACGCCCAGAAATCTAATGCAATCATCCAAGAATGGATTCGCGCATACGCGAAGGAAGCAGACAAGACAATCGCCGCTCTGGAAGCCCTTAGTCTCAGAGAAACGGATCAGAAGTACACCGGGAAAGTGAGCACGCTGCTCAGGCGTTGGAAGCAGATCAAAGGCCTCTGCGACACAGCCTTGGAAGCGGTATCCTGCTGAGGAAGCGAGGTGCTGCCAGTGGCGACTGACCTCGAGCGCGAGGAAGGACTAGACTCGGAATTTAGGGCGAAGAGCTGTTCATAATTTAGAGCCATCCAAAACGTCGATTGGGATAGCTCCGGACACTCTTTGCTTCACCATTTGTTGTTTGGCGAGCACCAGATGCTTGATCATATAATTAACCGCGCACTTGATGCCAAGCTCCTCCCCCCTGCGCACTATATAGCCGTTTATATACTCGATTTCCGTGGTTTTTCCAGATCGCACATCGGCCAGCATGGAGCTGGTGTTCTTGGCAGTCTGGTTCGCGAGCTTCGTCACCATCGATCGAAGCCGCTCTGGTGCAAAGCGGTTCTCAATGCCAGGAATACCTTGCAATTCAGGCAAGGCGCAAATGACACTCGAGATCTCGATGAGGAGCATACGCATCACGCGGGTGAAGCTATAGTTGTAGAGAATCTCGCCATTCTCACAGTCCATCAGAGCCGTAAGGGGATTTATGATAGCATTCAATGCCACTTTTTCCAGTTGATATAGTAGAAGGGACGAAGGAGTTTCGGCGACAGCCACGAGCGGCGGCGTGAGGGTCAAAGTGCGTGTCAGGTATTTCGTGCTCGGTGCCCAATCCGTATCCTTTTCATCCTTTGATGGCAAGGCATCACGCGGCAAGACAGGACTGATTATAGTAGTTCCGATACCGGTATGAGTAACATGGAAGGCGTCCCTTTTCCGCGCCAAGCCATGCGAAATGATGCCACACATGTAATGTGGACGTTGATGCGGGTCAGGGAAAACTTTTTCGTTGATCTCCTCGATGGTGCCCATGCCATTCTGCAGAAGGAGTACAGTAGAGTCAGGGGTTAAGCGGTGACTGACTGATTCCAGGGCTCTCGCGGTCATGGGTGCCTTGACCGCAACAATCAAACATTCGATATGTTCATCATCCTCCTCCGACTGGGAAAGAGACTCTTCCACGCCGGCTTCCAAATTTTCTTCTGTAACGCTATCACCATTTGTATTGAGCTCGCCATTTTGATTCCAATACGGTAGCGAATACCAAGTCCGGTCACTCAATACGTTGACATCAAAGCCCGTCTTGATATCATCGAGGCCGTTTGTATTGACCGCTAAGCACTTTTTCTTTGCTAACCAAGCCCCATAAAGATTCCTACTATGTAGCAAGAGGGTAATAGGAGGCGGAGATGGCCGACTTGCAAGCGAATGAGCAACAAAAGTCCCTACATTCCCAAGTCCCAAGATGTGTATTCGGCCCGAGAGCTTGCGCCTCCCGCTCTCACGGGATGCTTCATCAGCTTCATGCATCCATGTCGATAAAGATCGACGAACTGGCGCTCCTCGAGAGCAGAGCCGAGTAAAGATCTCTACTTCGCAAAAGCCAGTCCGCAAGAGCGGACGGCGCCCGGAAACGTACAGCGACACTTTGACGAATGGGAGGGCCCTGCAAGCGAGTTCGGTTGCTATCTCTCAGATGGAAAAAGGGTGAATTGAGATCGTTTCACCTGCTGCTCATTCTTCTCCCATTGGTTATGATCAATGACGCACCTCAGCTTCAGTAGCTTTGAGAGGCCGTTCTGAGCTAATAATAATAATGCGATAGTGGAAGCATGAAGATAACGATGACGGTCAAAAAGTAAAGAATGAGGCAATAGGGTTGTCACCGCCAGGTTCACCGCCTTTAGATAAAAATCGCCCTTATCCATCGAGATTATCAAAAAAACGCTAATTTTGCATTTGCAATCGTATCTCACAAGATGGAGGCTGCCGACCTATTACCGCTTCTTGAGCAATTGGATGATAATGTTGACGATTTGGAAGAGGCGCTCAACCCAATTTTGGAGAGTCCGGTCTCCGAGACATCGAACAAACTCCCGGTTCTAGACAAGGCGAAATTTCACGTCTTGGTTACCTACGCTTTGGAATCTCTCATATTTTGTACAGCTCTCTGCCTCATTTCTACCTTTTCAAACTTGCTAATGGAGTGATAGCTTATCTGCGTCTTCATGGCGTCAATGCAAAGGAACATCCTGTCTTCCGAGAGCTTACTCGCGTCAAGCAATACTTCGGAAAAATTCAGGCGCTAGAGACTGAGCCCGAGCAGCGGACTATGACTCTTGACAAAGAGGCAGCTGGCCGCTTTATCAAACACGGCCTTGTATGTCACATCTTATTTTTCTTTTCTTTTTGTCAGACCTTGACCGTGGACACGTACTAACTTCGTGTAGGTCGGGAATGATAAACTAGATATGAAACGCAAAGAACAGGAGGCCAAAGAGAAAGCGCGCGCTCAACTAAAAGCAGCTCTACTAGCTAAGAAAGCCACGGCATCTGAGACATCTTCCAGGAATCGTACGAGTAGCTCGGACTCGGAGTCAGAACCTGATAACGAGGAGTCGGACAGCGAGGAGGTTATGATTGCAGAGTCGGAGCAGCTGACAAAGGCATTGGAAACAACACAATCCGAAAACTCTCAGGAGGTAAAGAAGAAGAAAGACAAAAACAGGCATGAGACTTCCAAGGCCACCAGGAAAAGGAAGAAGCGAAGCAAGGAGGAGCAGCAAGAACGAAAGAAAGAAAGACGGCAGAAGAAAATGGAAGCTCGAAAGGCAGCAAAGGCAAAGTGAGAAGAGGTGGGATGATGACTACAATCGCAACATGACTCCTTTCATCTCGGTCGGCCGGCCCGACCTCAGTGCCCATATTGAATCTCAGCAGTTGCATCGTTAGCAGAGCTGAACTAGGCTGTCAGTCTGTCAGTCCCTCGGACTGCCCTGCTATCAGTCTCATCACCTCGTCGTTGGCAGGGTTGGCCGTAAGAGGCGCCGTGTATGTTCATGCCGCGAGCTTACGTTTCCACAGAGGTACAACATGACTGCTAAGGACTACCAATGCTATATGCGAAGAGCGTAAGCACTCTAGCTATCTCACTGAAGAGGTTCAGCAGGCACAATTACATGACCTATGCCATGAATCAGAATTAGGTACTTTCCGAATAGACCATTCTATGCATTTGTACCTCTCATATTACTGTGTACCTGTTTTGCCTTACAATGCGTAATTTATCTTACAACCTATGGCACGTGATGTTCCCATTTTTGCCGTAGTAAGTTTACATAAGCCAGGGGCGCAGCCAATCAGCAATCGGAAATCTGGCAGCTGGATCGGAGTTTGTTCTCTGTCTCCGCCGACGCATATTCGAGGTTCTTCTTTTCCGGCGCCTCCATCAACAACATATAAAAACCAACAACTCTTCCACCTTCCTACCGCAGAATCGAATTTCATCAAACTACACCTTATCTTTCCGCTTTTCCAACACAAATACACTCACCAAAATGCCTCGTCAACGCCGTGGTGCCGCCCCTGCGCCTACCCCTGCGCGCAGCGCCCCCAGCAGACCTACCGTCGCTCCCGCAAGACCGGCTGCTGCCCCCGCTGCTCAGCACCACCAGCCTCACTCGACCGCTGCTCACCCTCCTGCCCAGGCTCAGCAGGCTCCTCCTCCTATGGCCCCTGTTCAGCAGAGCTCTGGCCCCGGACTCTTCGGCCAGATGGCTTCGACCGCAGCGTAAGTTGCCCGCACATCCGTGAGATCCTCGGCTGTGATTCATTCTGGTGGCAACGTCGCGATAAGACTTACCGGGGACTTGCCTCGCCAGTTTCTGCGCCGAGGAATCATTCTCTTGCATGCAAAGACGTTGACTGACTGATCTCTTTTTCTAGTGGTGTCGCAGTTGGTTCCTCTATCGGACACGCCATCGGCGGCCTGTTCAGCGGCGGTTCCTCCAGCAGTGCCCCTGCTGAGGCCCAACAGGCTCCTCCTCCCGCTCAGGCTCAGCCTATGGACAACGGACTGTGGCAGAGCAGTGCCACCAACAGCTCTTGGGAGACTCCTGCTTGCGAGACCGACGTTCGCAACTTCCGCAAGTGCCTGGATGAGAACCAGGGCAACATGACTATTTGCGGATGGTACCTTGACCAGCTGGTATGTTTGATGCCCTTATTATCTGTGTATATTGAACGCTGCTAACAACTTGATACAGAAAGCCTGCCAGGCTGCTGCTAAGCAGTACTAAGCGACATCGCTTGTTCTCGCATGCTGTTACATTTTCTTTGGATAAATGACATCAACTTTGGGTGAGACATGGCCCTGGCGCAAGCCTGGCTAGCTTTGGAATGGGTGTCGACGATTTTTCTTTGCATGGCGGCGTAATACCTTTACTCTACTGTATACCATTCTCCCAAGGGAGCCACTTCTGTTCTTACAAACTTCTTGTCTGCGTCTATTCGACTCATTGGGCCGAAGACGCAGGAGGAAGCCAGAAAAAAAGTTGAAAACAGGAAACCAATGAGATGAAATTCCACTCTTCGAACAGATACCACATTTTTTGCCAAAGCTGAGTAGCATGATAGTGCAATGTACAACGGTTCCTGGAAGCGTAGGCTTGATTATACTGACATAGAACTCTGGGTATATTGGGAAGTGAGTCCTGGACGAGAGTAGACATCCATCTAGCGGCCCAACAGATTTTCAACCGCTTAGAAGCAAGTGAAAATAGGCATCTACGTAGTGCCCTTGTCGGATGCAAGATAGACAATATCAAAATATTAGTGAAATAACCGTAACGCCATATAGGATCGGAATCACTTCAATTTATTGCCCATCTGTATCTCTCCGAGGCTCAAAATTCAGCTAGAGACAAATAAGCCGAGCTGTCATCGTAGTCTCGAATTCCGCGCGTGGTGGCTTACCTGATTCCCATTGTACAGTTGACTGTCATTCTGCTCTTCGTGCTGATCTCGCAATGTCCGAATCCTAGGACCTCTGGAAGCAGCAGGCTGCGGACTCCGCGCTCCATTTCCGGAAGACGAACTGGTGGTTGGAGCAGACCCGGAAGAGTCTGAAGAAGCCGGGTTATAGCCGATGAAAGATCCCACTAGGCCCGTCGCGGTGCCAACTGCAGAGGAGAGCAAGCCGTACGCAGAATATGCAGCTCGCAACGGCAAGCTAGGCCCTGACGAGTTATATGCCTCTGTATACGAGTTGATGGGGATCATCACAAGGTTCGCCGTGGATCCTAATCCAAGATCTTCAAGTGTACGTTCTTCGTCGGCGATCGTGAGCGTTCGGTTGGGCAAGGGTGTCAAGATATGCTTAAGATTATACGGGCGTTTCTCATCTTGTAATAGACCGTCAAGCCACGGGCGTACATCCCCACGGATAGTCTGTGTTGGTGCAAAGCTGTTTCGCACTGAGCTGCCATCAAACAATCGGACTTGCAAACGATATTGCTTGGGAGGCGATGGTTGGCGCGGTGTCGACGCTTGCCTTGAAGGACCAACACCCGATCCAGCGTCGGCGGCGGGAGACGATAATGTGTCCTTTTTAGGCTCGACGATGCTTTGCTTCTGGATATTGGCGACGTATTGCCGAACTTGTTGCTCTCTCTTCGACTGTTGGCTTTTCCGCGTAGGTTGAGGAGCACGATCAGAACCAGCTGCCTTCGTAGGCGCTTCTTGGGCTTGTTCAGTACTAGGATCATGCTCTTGCTGATGATGCTTCGGTTGTCGTGTCCCGGAAGCTTCTGGCTGGCTCTTCTCTGGATCTGAGAGCGCAGATGTAGGTGTAGGCGTAGGTTCAGCTGTCACTGTTGGTTCAGGAGCAGGCGCAGGAGCAGGCGCAGGAGCAGGCGCAGGAGCAGGCGTAGGAGCAGAGGAGACTGCTGCCGAGGCACTGGAGGTATTTTGAGGAACATTCTGCGTCGTAGATTGAGTGTCGTCAAGAGCAGCCCTTAGCCGGCTGCGAAAGTCGTCCTTGGATATTTCAGGCACAAGGTACTCTCGCAACAAGCCATTCCTGCAATCCATACAGATCAGTGAACTTGTTCGCAACCAACGCACCGGTAGAGGTCACTCGTACTTGATCACAACAACTGCGGGAAACCTGACAATTGGGCAAAACGACGTCAAGAATCCGGCTTCATCGCTGCCCTTCGTGAGTCGTAGCAAAACAGATCGCGTCTCGAGTAATCGTGCAAATTGCTAGGTAGATGGCATTTCGGTAAGAAGCCATACAACAGCGATCGCCATCATCGAGGGATTTACCTCGTCATCCTTGAAGTATTCATCCTCCCATACACTACTAGTCTGTTCGTCATCTACATTCATCCCCGTCAATCAGCATGCGACTCCAAGCGATAGTAGCATCATATGTAATGCAGATGCGATCATAGCGGCCGTGCGGGGAATGACAGACAGACCTCGAACGAAGCAGACCACAGCTTTCCCCTCCGTGACAGCAAGGGAGATTCCTTCCTGAAGACCTCCAGAGTAGAACATGATGGCTCCCTGAATTCTCTTTTTTTGTGAACCGAGTATGGTTGTTTATGTGTCCGCAAGCGAGCCAAACCACGCCATATGGCCAGGCCAGCACAGCTCGTCGGGGAAAGTCGTTGATCTCCGCCGATCACGGGTTCCTCTCCAGGGTCCTAAAGGTCCGTCCCGCATTTTCTCCTCATCATCCGTTCTTCAAGCAAAGCACCAAGGTCGACTGCAGAGGCCGCATTTTGATCAATCATGCGGTCGATATTCACCGTTCTGCAGCAGAGGGCAGCTACATCGTGGCGGTCACAAATTGCGTCTGTTCGGAGTTCTCGCGCAGTGTTCGAGCTTGATTCGATTTGCGCCAGATGCCGCCGCCAACAGATTCGTTTCTCCAGCAATAGGCAGCTTGCGGATGATCCTAGATGGCTGTCTGTAGTTGATCATCCTGCGCAGATTGTACGCACGGGACGCAAACATGGGCCTGGCCTGATCATCCTAGGTACGATGCACCTCATACCTCATGCAACCGAGATATTTCTGGGAGCATCCTCGTGAATAAAAGTTTATTGACTAATTACAATTGGCTTGCTACAGCATTGATTCCAGTCACGGCATTTATCCTAGGCACCTGGCAGGTTCAGCGGCTCGATTGGAAGACGAAGTTGATTGCGAAATTCGAGGATCGTCTCGTGAAGCCTCCTCTCCCACTGCCGCCCCGTATTGATCCAACCGCCATCTCCGAGTTTGATTACCGACGAGTCTACGCTACGGGTCATTTCAGACACGATCAGGAGATGTTGATCGGGCCGCGCATGCGCGAAGGCCAGGAAGGCTTCATCGTGGTCACTCCACTAGAAAGAGGCGAAGGGGAAAGCACGATCCTTGTGAACAGAGGCTGGATTTCGAAGAAGATGATGAACAAGAAAGACAGAGCCATCGGGTTACCACAGGGCGAGGTAGTCGTCGAGGGCTTACTGCGAGAGCCGTGGAAGAAGAACATGTTTACTCCAGACAACAAGCCTGAGGAAGGCAAATTCTACTTCCCCGATGTCCATCAAATGGCTGAACTGACGGGAAGTCAGCCGGTTTGGATTGAACAAACTATGGGTAAGCAAATTCCTAACAGTCCGAGCAGAAGTTCCCGACATGACTGACTCTTGAATCTCCCAGTGCCGGACATGGTTGAATCGATGGACAGAGAAGCCAAGGGTATTCCCATCGGCCGCGCAGCTGAGGTCAACCTGAGAAACAACCACAGCCAGTACATCTTCACATGGTATGTTTCCATGCGCGAGAATGTTTTTCGCACTCGAGCTTAGCCTCCTTCGGCTCTCGACTCTAGTTGCTAATAATCAACAGGTACGGCCTGTCGCTGGCAACATCAATAATGTTGTGGATGGTCATTCGCAAAAGGCCAAATGAGGCCACTCGTCGTGTCGTCCAGAATCGGAACTGGTCGTAAACTCTCGATGTGTCATCCCCATGTGCATTGTCTGACGGCGTTCGGCTCTGTCCTTTTTTGAGATCCTCTAGTATATATCCCTGTTCACGGTGGCATCGCCAATCTCATATCCTGCAGGAGCTCTTTTGGCAAATGCTTCTGCGCAAGAGAGAAAACGGTAGTGGCATTGTTGATGTGCCGTTGTCTAGCAGATCAGCATCCTCCTGGTGCCATAATCAAGGCAATCTCACTCACCTTCTCAACAAAGTCGTAACATCAGTTTCATCAATAGTTTTTCGCCCTGCATGCTTAGAGTACGCTGCCAAGTCTTCACTGACTTGCTCAAAATACCACGCCGAGGCTTGCTCTATAGCAGCCAAGGTTGCCTTGCTTATCTTGGCCTTGGATCCGGCCCTTGCACGGGCAAACCGAGTAGCTAGCTTTCGAACCACTCCCACTGGCATATTGGGGACGGGAATTCCATGGCGTGAGAGTCTCTTCTGCTTGGCACCTGGGTGCACACTATCTTCGTCTCGCAATCCTCCTCCAACGAGCCCTGGACTCTCGCTCAAGGAAACTCGTGATGGCATATTGAGCTCCAGCCCGAAGTCGCCAGCGACACCGCCGACATCGCCATCGCTCATGTCTGATTCTGGACCTATCTCTGGTTCAAGATCAACCGGAGGGAGCTCGAAACCTTCGTCGTCATTCAAAGGTTCGTCGTGCATAAGATCACCCTCACCAGGAGGAGGTGGAGATGGGAAGTTGAATTCGAAGTTGAATCGCCCAAGATCCTCCGTTTCGCCTCTGCACCATAATTAGCTGGGTCGAGATGAACAATAAAAGCGCCCTCAACACTCACCCTCTGTCAAAAGCCCCCTGGCTGATCATTGTATCGTCCGGCCCATCTCCTTCCATGCCCGTATCATCGTCTTCGCCGCCTTCAGAACCGCTCCCCAACCTGGTCGAGTCGCCGAAATTCTCGCTTAGTCGTGGATTACCGTAACTCATCATAGATAGTCTTGCTCTGTCATATTCGCTAGTCGCTCTTCGTGGGTATTCAACAGATGTATGTGTGATGTCTTCCTCGTCGAACGCTAACGACAGCCTTGGTGGACGCATTTCGGGACTTCCTTCGTCGACCTCTTCCACCTCCTCCAGAGGTAGAGAGAGCCTCGGCCGTTCCAATTCCGGTTCATTGTCAAGTTCCTCGATCTCATCCTTCTCCTTTTCTGGTTCCGGTGTCGGCTCCAGTTTCTCTTGCGGTGACGAGCGTATCGGCTGAGAAACAGGGGCAAGAGCTAGTTGAAAGTCAGCCATGAGCTTGCGAATCCATGCAATTTTTCAATCTTGATCCTGAGCGCGCGTACCCTTTCCAAGATTCCGCAGAATGTCAAACGTTGTCTCTCTCTGAATCCGCCCGCTCTTCCTGCGATCGCGTCCGGGCGTATTGGCCGCGCGCCGCTGCATCGCGCGAAGTCCATAGGGCGTCGACGGGGCATTTGTAAGCCTTCTTCCAGGTGTCCATCGAGAGACCGGAGGGTTGGCAGATGGGGTTGTCGACCCTGCTAGACGGCTCGGGGTGAGGGGATACCTCGTGTGAATTGGGAGTCGTTGAAGCTATCCATCGATTCGTTAGACCATACCGTCAAGTATCCTGAGAGTTGACTAACCCTAGTGGCTGTTGTATCTCCCGCCGGAGTATTCATGTTTGAATCTGAAGCTGCCGCATCGCGCGACGGCCGGCGGCCGTGCGATCTGGGAGTCGTTGACATCTATAGCTGTCGAGAACAAGAGATCCAGTCAACTGATCATCCACAATTAGAAATGTCGCGCAATATTAATTCGAATCAATGGAGTGTTGAGAATGATCCGGAGTGAATAGAGCAATCGATATTCAAGTACACGATAGAGGGGTTTCATATGATGATCGGGCGGAGCGCGTCTTGGATCATCCACGGTAGGTACTCTGGGCCCGTTCTAATTGGCTTAAGCTTATCGATAAGAACAGCTGACTCAGCATAAAAAGTTGTGATCAGCAGAAAGCACCTGAATGCGACGAGCAAGAGTCCGGCGTAATCGCTCTATCGTGCTATTGAAAATCTTCCGATAGTTGCAAATATACGAGTTTATTCTTTGCCTTGCAATGTCCGACGCTCCCCCGAACCCGTCCGGCCTCTCGGTCAAGGTGAACAAGAAGCGCAAGAGACAGGTGGAGGAAGTTGCCAAGGAAGATAAAGCTGCACCAGCCAAATCTGCAAATAATAATACCCCGGAGGCGGCTGAGGGCCCTCAAAAGAAGAAGAAGAAGAAGAATTCCAAAAACAAGCAGAAGCAACAAAAGCAGAAAGAGCAGGATGAGGATCCCAAGCAGCAGGAGCGCAAAGGCGGCATCGACGAGTCTATCGGCAAGATGGACGGCCGGTTGCTGGCTGATCACTTTGTTCAGAAGGCGAAGAGACATAACAAGGAGTTGACTGCGGTTGAATTGGGTGATCTGAGCGTTCCAGGTATGCTTGTATCCGTCTTGCTCGGTCTCAAGTGCAATCAGGCTAACTCGACGCTCTAGACTCGGCATTCCTCGACACATCCTCTTTCGAATCACCCAGATCGCTTGACCAGCTTCCTGCGTTTCTCAAAGCTTTCAGCCCCAACAAGGGATCCGGACTCGCAAAGGCATCGGAGCAAAAGGGCACGCCGCATACGCTAGTGGTATGTCCGGCTGCGCTTAGAGCAGCTGATGTGGTGAGGTGGGTAGACCAGACGTATATCGCTGTCCTGGGGTGGGACTGATCAGATTTTCCAGGGCTCTCCGTACGTTCCAGACCAAGGATTCGACAGTTGGCAAGTTGTTCGCAAAGCACATCAAGCTGGAGGAAGCAAAACAGTTCTTGCAGCGCGCACGGTATGCTCACTACGATCTTGTCCTCAATTGACCATTTGTCTGACAATTATACAGAACAGGCCTTGGAGTCGGGACTCCCGCCCGAATTTCGGACTTGATCGACGCTGGTACGTCTTGTTCCTTCCTGGGCTGCTAACCGGATGTCATGTTCGAAGTAATACTAATGGAAACAGGGAGCCTCAAATTGGACGAACTAGAGCGTATCGTGATTGACGGGTCTTACATTGATCAAAAGCAGCGTGGCATCTTTGACATGAAGGAAACACATCTCCCACTCCTTCAATTGCTCACTCGCTCCGAGTTCCGTGAAAGATATGGAGCGAAACAGAAGCGGATTCAGATTCTAGTATTTTAAATGAAGTATTTATTGTCTGTGGCATTGGCGTTGCTATTGGGGCATCTGTATATTCAAAAGGTATGCATACTTATATAAAATCGTGCCAGAAGTTCTATTCGCATGTGTAGAGTTGATGCGTACTACAAATGGACACACTGCAGAGTACACATACTTGGAACAACTGATTGCCTGGAATTTAAGGCAAGAACTCGGTGGAGCCAACAGCTCTCACCGCCATAAACAACCGCCCGGCAAAAAAGTAAATTTCCCTTTTCCGCTAAGCTTCTGGAGGCAGTAATTTTGCCGACTCAAAATTTCCATTTTTGTTTTGGCCGTCGAGCTGTGGTTCTAAGTCTGATTTTCAATACGGAGTATCATCTGCTTGATTTATTTCCTCTACTGTCACATCTTAATAAGAAAGACCCTTCTAGCAGCTACTCCGAGCATATCACACCAAAATGGGCGACAAGAAACGCAAGCTCGCCGAGGAAGCCATTGCGCCTGAGGGCAAGAAGCTGAAGCAGGAAAAGGCCAAGGGAGAGCGCAAGGAAAAGAAGGAGAAAAAGAGCAAGGCGAAGGAGGTTGTTGAGGACGTGAACACCACCGAGGAAGTCCCAGCGCCTGCCGACAGCAAGCCGGAGAAGAAAGAAAAGAAGGATAAGAAGGATAAGAAAGACAAGAAGGAAAAGAAAGAGAAGAAGGAGAAGAAAAATAAAGATGAAGAAGAGGAGAAGTCAAGTCCCCAGACCGCAGAGGCCGATTCCATGGACATTGATGGCGATGTGAAACCTACCGAGAAGCAAGAGGCTGAGGGCAACGAGCTCGAAAAGGGGGAAAAGAAGGACAAGAAGAGCAATAAGGATAAGAAATCCAAGAAGGAGAAAAAGGAGAAAGAGTCCGCAGATGAGACGCAACAGCAGCTAGAAGAATCTACAGAGACAGCCCCTGCCGAAGATCACTCACAACATCACGAGAAAAACGCACGTTTCATCTGCTTCGTCGGTAAGTCAAACCTTGTTGTTATCAATGGCATATGGCACAGCCGCAGCATTGCTAATATCGTTCGCGCTCTCTTCTCGCAGGAAATCTCCCTTACTCGGCAACTGCCGACTCCCTCAGAAAGCACTTTGAGAAGAACCCTCCAGCCTCAGTTCGCGTAGCCACTGAGAAAGACAAACCGACCAAATGCCGCGGATTCGGTTTTATCGAATTTGACAACTATGACCGCATGAAGACCTGCCTGAAACTCTACCACCACTCCATGTTCGATGATGGGAAATATCCCCCTCGGAGAATCAATGTCGAATTGACGTGAGTGCACCGCGACTAGACACATTGGGAGAATCTCGAAACTAACGATATCGTAGGGCCGGCGGCGGCGGCGGTAAATCTGAGCATCGTAGAGCCAAAATCGAAGCCAAGAACAAGAAGCTCAACGAGGAGAGACAACGTCAATCCAAGGATATCCAAAAGGAGAAGACGAAGACGAAGAAACCTCATTCTAAAGAGAACGAGGACCAGGGCGCCGATCAGTGGGCTGGTATTCATCCCAGTCGAAGAGCCCGTATAGCGTAAGGCGCTCGACTTGGACGGAGTTTCAGCAATGGTGTTGCTCGACGACAAAAAGCCTTTTTTCAGTTTCCATTTCCAATTGCCGGTGTGCCACCTTTGATATGTTCTATCAGAGATATCCTTCTTGTCTTCGTTATATGAGTGTGAATACTGGATGGATTGAGTTGGGTGGGTGGAAGTATATAGAATCTTCAATGACTGCACGGTCCCTAAGGGAAATCTTGATAGGTTGCATACAGCTGGTTTCCAACACGCGCCATATCTACGTAACAGTTAGGACCATGGAGGTTAAAAATCGATTAAGCGACAGCTTCCTGTTATGGCGTAGCATGTTACAAGTTTATGCTGCATGTGCACGAAAAGACGACAAGATGAGGAAGGGGGTGTCCTGACCCAGAAAGAAGCTCATCAGGATCATGACATGTGACAGAGAAAGCGAGAAAAGAAATATGAACACAGTTGGAACAATCATCAAGGGGATCATTGCAAAACCTTCAACTATCCCAGACGCCGAATTAGTTGTTTATGATTAAATGATAAAAAGCTGATAATGAGAGTCTACAGAATGGTGCATTTCTTGCTCTTCGGTTTTGCGGCAGGTCGAGGGTTAAGGACAGCACTGGCGATGTAATTAGCATCGGGAACAACGTCACGACCACGGGGCCAATGCCAAACATACCGAATGGCTTCATCAAAGACGCTTTTGAGGTTGCGCTGCGTGAGGGCAGAACATTCGAGATACTTGTGCGCTCGGATCTCCTTGGCGACGGCCAGGGCTTGCTCGTACGAGACAGGCTCCATCTTTCTCTGCCGGAGGGATTCTGCCGTCGCGGGATCGTCTCTCAGGTCGAGCTTGGTACCAACAAGGATGATGGGAACATTTGGAGCATGGTGCTCGATCTCGGGGTACCACTACTTGAACGGTTAGTCGAAGCGATTCAATCGCTAAGCTGTGAGCGCACAGCAGCTGCCAGAGAGGAGTTAAGCACCTTTGCCTTGACGTTGTCAAACGAGGGAGGGCTGACAATGGAGAAGCAGATGAGGAAGACGTCGGTTTGAGGGTAGGACAATGGTCTCAGTCGGTCATAATCTTCTTGTCCAGCAGTATCCCACAGTCCCAAGCTGATGGGTCTGCCATCTACCATCACACTGGCCGTATAGTTGTCAAACCTGGAAGTCGGGTCAACAACAGGCTTCGAATGAGATCAGCGCAAGGGAGGAAGCCACGGACACGGTAGGGATGTATTCTCCGGGGAATGCGTTGGTTGTGTACGAGATGAGGAGGCATGTCTATCATATTCTAGGTTAGCTGCTGTCATTTACCAGGTAAAGATAGCACCAGGCAATATCTCATGATGTCCAGGGGGAAGAGAGAAGAAGAGGGAAAGCACTTACTTTTCCAACTGCACCATCACCTGTCACCACACACTGTAAGGTTCACCTGTTAGCCGCGGTCTGGTCAACCGACTAACAATCCATGGGATATCTCGCGAGTTCTAACCTTTAATGACTGAGTCGCGGGTCCGGACGCCATGGTTTTGTTGTTGGAATTAAGGGTATATGCACAGAGAAGAAAATCACAGTGAGGATATGATGATGAACAGCTTGTAAAGATGAACCCAAATGATAGCGATCAATTAGCGTCGCGAAGTGAATTATGGGGGTTTTTAGCGTCAAGTGAAGGCGGATGGGGCGATAATAATCTTTAAGGGTATATCTGCAAAAGGAGAAGTCAAATGAGTCAGGACAATGCAATTGTATACGACAAAGAGCACATAAAAAGTTTTTAGAAGAGAGAGCAAACAAGCTGAAGACGGCAAAGGACAAAAAGAGGACAAAAAAGGGTCATTGAGCAGCGAAACAGGACAAGATCGAGGGGCGGAGGTCTTTGTGGTTGGGGGAAGACAAGAGAGTGGGGGCTAATCGGGACGAGCGAGGGTAGCTCCATTGCGGTCCGTGTAGAAGGAGAACCAGACTGGATAGCTCACCTTTTGGAAGTTAAGCAGTCTGTCACTTTGTATACAGATCAAGGTACTTTTGGTCTACCAATATTATTTGCAGGGAGGTGCAGAAATCAGCGATAAAAGAGCTGCACCCGAGGATGCTCCCGACGCTCAGTGTTTGATAGAAGCTCTAAATCTCAAGTGATCTTTATACACTGTAGTATGCACCTATAATCAGGAGTTTATAAGTGGGAATGAGGCACGATAACAGAGACGTCAAGTCAGATCTTATGGAGAATGAAGGCAGATTGATGATGGCTGGTATTTGATTGATCATCGGTACACCCTTCTTTAATATATTGATGATCAAGTCCAGGCTAACCAAGATCTTACAAGTAAAGTACCTGCGAGCTATCTATGTCAGTGTCTGTATTGCAAGTCCCCAGCCTTCTCTTTGTAAGGTAGTTTTGACTGGTTCTGTCACTGCCTGAGGCGCTTGCGACAGTTCAAGCAGAAGTAAGAGTCGTACACTCCGTACTACTTGCTTGGTGGAACAGAACGATCAATTCGATCAGATGAGCACAGATATACGGCGATGTTCCTCAATTGCTTTTATAACGACAGTCCTGTAGTTCTCCGCGTCTGAGACTGTTGAAAATCCAAATGCAGAAATTATTGATATTTTAGATATCTTTCAGGCAACAGTAGATACCTCTGTTTTTGTTTAGGATCAAGGGGTTTGACCCATACGAACCATGGAATATTGAAGGCAAGGTATGGAGGTACTCCGTCCTAATAGGGTGCCATTATTGCTCCCGAAAACTCATTTTCTAGTCCAGACTCACTTTCCGTCCATCTCTGGGATTAAGCGAGACTAAGTTGATACTTGGTAGCGAACAACCTAGTTAGTATACTCTGTATTGAGGTCTAGCTGGATAGTACCTCAGTGCTTAGACTATGGAGTATCTGCCATTAATATCTTCTATGCGCCATGCATTGTAGACTAGATGATATCGCATTAGAAAATACCTCCAGCAATCATCACCATTGGACGCCGTGTCCCCCATTATTTGACCGCCACCGGAGCCCTCTTAACCAGTAGAAGACGAGAAACAGTACTTAACCTCCCAATTATCCAGTGCATCTAGCCTTGCTACATTGAGGCCGCTAGGTTGCCATGAGCATGGGGTGACATTATCGCGTCTTGGCTGCATTACATGGACATCCCTAGCCATGATCAGCATCCAGCGCTGAATAGGACATCTAATCATTTACTCATGCTTGATAAGGGGGGAAGTTTCCATCTGCTTAAAGTTATGCCCTACCGATCATCTGAGACGGGTGTGTGCTCCAGGTGTCCCTGGTATCACCATACAAGCAGCCATATGGCAGCACACAGGTACGCCTATTGGCTTCCTCATCAACGGGGCGCGCTTATATATGGTCTGTGTGTTCACAGAGGGGACCTCGTCCAGTAATCCGATCTCCCAGCCGTTTAGACAGCGAGACCTCAGATCGGCTTACATCCACAATAGTCTTCAAGGCATGCACTTCATTGAGACTCCCTCGTAACCGTCGGTCCCAGTAAATGCCATGCGCACCAAACCCCTGGCAAAAGAACTGCGCAGTTACCATGTTATGATATGTGGGGCCGAGCAATCACTGTGCTGATTTACAGCCTCGGCAAGTGTGATCCGAGAGATCTTCCTTCCACGAACTCTCGATCGAGAATCGTATCACCCTTTTTGCACTCCCTAAATCAAATGGTATCATGCAAGTATTCTATATACACAAGATGAAGTCGTAAATAGATATCTGTGAGCTCCGGCCAATTGGCACTTGGTCGCCTGGACAGCCAAGATCACTGGTTGTTCATGTGCAGTTGCACAGGTCGCTATATGGCTACATGACCGGCGGTGCAACGAAAGAATCTGGGATCCCATCAAAGACCCAGTTGAGGGAATCAAAAACTTCAGAGAACCCTGCCTCACTGATGAAGGCCCCTTGGTCGAAATTTGGCGGATAGATCAAACCAGGTTCATCTAGGGTATCATCGTCCTGCTGCCGGGTGACAGTGCCAGCGGCTGCCGATATGTTCGGGTTGGCCACGGTTACTGCGCAAAGTCAGCTTTACACGATCATTCAAGCGGCCAGAATACGGAAGTAATAAGAATAAACTAACCTTGCGCGTCCTCGACGCTTCGCATCGGCCTGAATCTCTGTCGCCAGCGCCAGACCGTGTCATAGACATGACTCATGCTCATTCTGCAGCGAACTTTCAGCTCCAAGATATTCTCGCCCGGAGAATGTGCTGCCTCGTTTGCATTCCACATCTGAGCTAAGATATCGGCCAGGCGAACAGGGCGATCATGATCCATAACACTTATCCGTCGGATGGCCGAGATGGCTCCATTGAACAGTAATTTGCCGTGATCGAAGTCGATATGACGGCTGAAATCACTCTTCAACAGCTTCATAAGGGCAAAGGCAGCAGAGACTATCATCTGGAGGATATAGTTGGTGGCGTGGCCGATCAGTTCTCCAGGAGATGTCTCCAAGTCCAAAACTCGTCCGAGGAATGATGTCGTGGCGATGAAAAGCTTTGTCAAATCCTCACCTCGTGGATTAGAACCAAGGAACACAAAGTATCTCAGGTGTAACTCCGCGGCTCGCAGATGGATCATATTGATGTCTGAAGATGACAATTTAGCGGCGGCTCAACAACAACAGCAGTTCAGATGTTCAGATGTCCATACGTGATATGTCTCGACCAAAGTCGACCTCCATCTCCCGAAGTTCACTCTCCAGAAGCTGCACGATTAACAACTTCTCCGAACTGATGAATTCGGCTGGCTCGGGCTTTCCGCTATATAATGCCTTTGTCACGCGGTCACAGAACTTTTCAATCCGCAATCGGATTCGCAAGTCATCCGAAGGATTGTAATCAGCGTCTCGGAGAGATGGTGGCTCAAGCGCCCAATCATAGATGGTGCCCGGAGGCTGTCCGTAGCCGGTTGCGACGCTGCAAAGGACATTTATCAACATCCAAGACGCACGACGTTGCTAGCAGGGGTCGCCATTACTTACTTCTGAGCCACAATATTACAGATAGCCCATGTCTGTAAACGATCCTTCACTGCTTCTCCTTGAGCTTCCATTCGGAAAGTCGTAAACTCCTCTGCCTGGACAGGCCGATGCAGACCCAGCTGCATCGCAATCTGCATCATCAGTCCGCTAAGCATAAAGGTAGCATCTGTCCTTTGACTCGTTGTAGGCAGCGGCCATGTGCAAAGTAGGCATAAAGCCTTGACCACACGGTAGTCTTGAGGAACTCCTGTAAGGGTCGACCAAAGAAGCCTGCTGAAAGGCCCAGTGAGTGAACTCAGAAGACCCGGTTCGGATGGCGCTCGACGACTAGCGATGCAAATGATCGTCCAGGCTTGCAAGCGGTTGCGGCGCAGATACTCCTCGGGAGGCTTTTGAGGGTTTAGAAGGGGCAGAAAGGGGTGATAATATGTGAAGTACCTAGCGGGTCGTTAACAGGCGCCAGTCCCTCTTGAGAAAGGGGAAGCGGGCAAGTACTGGTCAAACAATCGTGCTACTCGTTGTCTGGAGAGGGTGATATCCTCCAGCCTCCAAGGACTGTCATCCTGGGAGATGATGGAACTGTCTCTGGGTAAAGCCAAAGGAGCTGGCAGAGGTTGCGGTTCCAAGGGGGCAGAGAGAGGGCGACTCCGACTGGAAAGCGCGGAGTCTGGTCCACAGTACACATCCTCTGAACACTGCGACATTTCATCGCTGGCATTGGCCTCCACCGTCTGAGGCCGCTCGCCATTGATAGCGAGCCGTCGACGGAGTTCTGCGATCTCCTTTTCCATTTCAGCGTTGCGTCTGTCAAAGAGTCAGACAGGAAAAGGGTACTCGAGTATAGATCCGGATTGTAGAAGACTTACCTCCGCTTGGAAATTCGCTTGAATGTAGGCTCAACCTTGCAGTCTATCTGAAGGCGCCGACAGCGCGAACATGCGGCTGCCGGCGTCTGAACAATATCACATCGAAGCTATTGAAACCCAACATACCATGTTCAGCAAGCAGTCGAGGACAAAAAAAAGGTCTTTGATCATGTATATGAAGGTAGGTTATTTCATTTTGGGCCCTTCAACACCGCGAGCCCAGTAGCCAAGGACTGATTAGCTCACCTTTTGCTGTTTACACTCGTTACAGGCCTTTCTACTACCACCCCGGCGCTTTCCAGTGATTTGCGGGGGACCTTCTCCATCTCGCCAAGTTCCGAACTCCTATTTGGGAAATCGAAGCCTGTCACCGGCCGGGGAAGCCTCGGCGTGTTCCGAAAGTCGCTGGTGGTGCCCGGGGCGTTATCAAACTTGCTTGTGGAGGCAGCCCATGTGGTGCTATGACACCCCGGAACTCCAAATCCATCAGTATAAAGTAAGAAAAATTCGCCAACGGTATTGTACCGCGGAGTGCCGTTAACACATGCAAAAAGCGTGGTATTGACACAAGGAATGTGCTTAGGTGCCGGAAATCGGCAGAAAAACGGCGTGACCCCTTAAGCGCGAAACTCGGCGGTTCTGGGGAAATTTGCTGACTCATTCTCGTGCCTGAGGCAAGAACTTGGAGCCTTGTCTTATGTGTAATGGACGAACTACAATTGCAGCCGAATAGCCTCAATCGACAAGAATCATGAACCATTGATACTCTGTATTTGCCCAAGACATTTTTTTATGACCAGGATTCTTTCGGTCTCGCGCCAATGCGGCTTGGTCTGTACTCTGTCGGTACTCCAGCCCGTACGGAGTAGAGTGTACCAGATAAATACTACACACTAGCAGGTAGCAAGGGAGGTCCGAAGACAAGCTTTCGTTCTCATGAATAATGACTAGTTCCCACCACCGTTTCAATATAACTAAATATCATGCTCAATAGTATCATGAGTTCACGACTGGCCAAGTGCCATCAAGGGCCGCATCTCAGAACCCTAGAGAGGTACAGCCCCCGCCATTTCCCATGACGTATATGCGAGTTGGTCATTGCATTCCAGTGACCGACCCCTCTGACTCTTTAAGCTTCTTGAATGCTTCAATCGTCGAGAGGCTAATTGCCTTACTTAGTTACTTAGGTACCTAGCGTCTCGTCAACCTGTCGAATAAAGCATGTTCTGTAAGGTACATCACGGTGGAAACCTAAGGTACCAAGCCTCCACTAAGGCAAGCCCTCCACTCCATCCCCACCGCCAGCCATACTGCCGCTCTGCCAACGAACCATCCGCATCCGCACCAGCATATTATTATTAGTAGCATCCCGTACTCCGTACTCCCCACCATTTAGGCTTCCGCAATTCGACAAAGCGATTTCTTGTAGACTCTCGACTATCCTCTCGTCTTCGAAAACACGACTGTGTGCTTGATTCACAGTTAGCTACCGTCAAATCCCAGCAGGATTTTCTATGGCCGACGTTGCTACTCCCGATGGCTCAGCGCCAATTGTTCCGGTGCTCAGGGATCCGGATGCGCCACCATCGAGTGCTGGCTCTGCGGGACAGTCTGAAGTTCGTCCAGGGCCATCGCCTATGACAGAGGAGCTGAAAGCTCGCCTGGACAAAGTCATTTACTCCGATGTAGGTGACTCATATCATAGCTTCATCCCACAATGCGCGAGACAGAGGACTTGCAGCTGACCCGAGCTCTCAATATCTTAGATCGGCATCACAACGCTCCTGGCACGATTGAAGCAGAGCGTAGCTTCTGCGAAGGTGCGTTCTGGCCACCTTATGCCAATCCCTCGGATCCCATAGTTAGAAATAGGGTGCGCTGACCGAAAGACATGCAGGATTTCTCCGCATTTCTCAAGAAGCGGTCCTCCCTGGAAGAAGAACATGCGCAGGGTCTGAGGAAGTTGTCTCGCTCTCTTAATGACGCTGCCAGCCGCCCCGACAATCGTCAAGGCACCTACGGCTCCAGCTACAATGATCTCAATCGATTCCACGAACGCATGGCGGACCATGGACTTCAATTCGCAGTATCTCTGCAGCAGATGGCTGACGACCTCCACGAGCTCGCCACGAACATCGAGAAGGGACGCAAACAATGGAAACAAACCGGCCTGAGCGCGGAGAAAAAGGTTACTGAGGCTGAGGCGGCAGCAGAGAAAGCAAAGGCCAAGTACGAATCTCTTGCAGAGCAGTATGATCGCGTGAAAACTGGGGACAAACAGGGCGGGAAGTTCGGCTTGAAGGGACATAAATCTGCTGCCCAGCACGAAGAAGAGCTGCTGCGCAAAGTGCAAAATGCGGACGGGGATTATGCTGCCAAGGTCACGGCCGCACAAGCGGCTCGACGAGAATTGATTTCCACCCATCGTCCGCAGGCTGTGCAGAACATCCAGAAATTGATTGCAGAGTGCGACTCTGGTCTTACGTTGCAGCTACAAAAGTTCGGTATGACTGCCATTGCGTCCCGTCATTGAAACCGGTTCCTTGATCTTTGTGCTAACTCATGCTTCAGCGACATTTAATGAGAAGTTGCTGTTGGGACAAGGCTTATCCATTACGCCTTTAGATGAGGGTGCTGGCAATGGCTCTATTGGACCAAGGAGTCTGTATGAGGTGGTACGGCAGATTGACAACCAGAAGGACTTCCAGGATTATATACTCAGCTACGAACATAATCCTGGTGCGGTGACTTCCGAGCAGGTTCAGTACCAGCGTCATCCGGTAGGTTAATTTTTATCGATCATTATTATCTGCATGCTCATCTCGTGTTAGACACTGGGAGGTACGCCCACCCCTGTTGCTCCAGCCTCGCAGCCTTCCACACAGAACAAGCGCCAGTCAACCATGTTTCCTTCATCTTTTTCCCAACAACATCTTCCTATCAGTCAGCCCTCCACTCAGCCATCTGGACCGGCTGCGGCCCCGTCTCCGGCACCAGCGTCAGCTCAAAGCACCCAGCCGTCGTCTTTTCAGCCACATCCAGACTCCTTCTCCTCGCCGCCCCCATTTCAACCACCTTATCCGACCTCTTCTGGATTACCGGCTCAAGATCAGCACAATGTGAACAAACCGCCCATGACGGCACCGTCTAATCCTCTGCCTCCACCTGGAAACAACTTCCAACAGGATCTCCCTCCTCTGAGGCCGGTCTTCGGGGTGTCATTGGAAGATCTATACGCCAGAGATGGGACTGCCGTACCCATGATTGTTTACCAATGCCTTCAGGCAATAGAATTGTTCGGGTTAGATGTGGAAGGCATTTACCGTCTCTCGGGGAGCGCCAATCACATCAATCATATGAAGTCGCTTTTCGACAACGGTATGTGTAACCGCAGTTTAATCCGCCTCTCTGCCAAGCGCTAACCTCTGCGGATGACAGACTCATCACAAGTGGATTTTACGAATCCCGAGAGCTTCTATCACGATGTCAATAGTGTCGCCGGGCTGCTGAAACAGTTCTTTAGAGAACTGCCTGATCCCTTGTTCACTTCCCGATACTATTCTGAGTTCGTTAATGCAGCTCGTAAGTACCTCGAGTCGAACCCGGGTTGCGATGTGACAAGAGCTGACATCTATCCCCATAGGGATCGATGACGACATCCAGCGTAGAGATTCACTACATGCACTTGTCAATAACCTTCCAGATGCGCACTACGCCACGCTGAGGGCTCTGATACTGGTAAGTGATTCGGCCTTCACCCATGTTTCTATCCTCCAGGGTCTAATTTGCTCGATTCTAGCACCTCAACAAGGTCCAAGAACATTACATGAATAATCGTATGAATGCAGGGAATATTGCAATCTGCTTTGGGTAAGTCGCCGACCGCATGCTCTTATATTCGTTCTCTCCCAGACCTTCAGAAGCTGACAAGCATCGCTAGACCTACTCTCATGGGTGCCAGTTCCGGCGGCAACATTGCCGATGCCGGTTGGCAGGTCCGCGTTATTGAGACGATTCTGGTCAATACCTTCCAGATATTCGATGACGACTAGATTTCACTCTCGCTATCAGACTGGGAGCTCTATAGCCTTTCATTAGCCATGCTTAGGGGTTCAGAAATCATGTCTGTCGGACCCCGTTGCGCTGCAGATTGCACATTTCAATTGTTGTTCTTGATTCCCCCGTCATAATTTCAACCGTTTTCATATAGCCCCCAATGTAAATATTGTTTCTTTGATGTTGGATCGACTGTCTTCTGATGAGATACCACCCCCGTTTCATAATTCACCTCTACTTCAGGACATGGAATGTATTGCTGCTTTGAACGTATTGGCAGTCCAATTTTGGGATATATCCAGTAATTACATGAATAACGAGAAAGGCAAAATTGATATGGTACAGTTCATAACGAGATCTAATGATCCAGACTCCCTATATCCCGCTGAATGATACAAATCATAAGGAATGTGAGGAGATGATCCCAAGCCGGAAGAAGGCACGACCAGAGATTCTGCATAAGTATAACACATGCGAGAATGGAAAGTAGCCGGCACTTGGATAGCTATGAAGCCGCCCACATGCAGGCGATTTGCAATGGAGAAGGGCATGGAAGTCTTCTCAGTAACTCAATGCGGACAATGCTTGTTGTTCGCCGGGTTGATAACAGAACGGGGACTTATTCTCAAGACGATCGGCCCCAAACGCACTGGCATAGGGGGATTCGAACTGCGACATGGCGCAGTGAATTAAGTGATAGGTTGAAAAGAATGATTCACGTCATTTCTTTCCTGTCATCATGTCCTTCATAGCATCCATGCGCTCGGAGAGTGTGAGTCCCGGGGCAAAGAAGGGGCTGTCGAGATCTTCGACAGTCGTGGGAGTGGCATGGCCCCAGATACGCCACTCTTGTTCTTCACCAGTCCACCGAAGTTTCTGGATAACGATGTATTCCGTGCAGTCTTGCTGTTTAGCTGGCGCAGGCTCTGCGGCGACAGCGCTTTCAGCAGCGCGCTTGGCGGGGATAGTGACCTTGCTCGTTGACTGACGGCTAGTGATGCGCACAACGACCTGTCGTACTCCAGAATCAGGCAAGTCTGGAATTTGCGTGGCGCGATCAGCCAAGACGCGAAGACCAGTGAAGAGCGTGCCTGGTGTGCGATTGTATTTGTCCAGGGCCCAAGTGACCTTCTCATCCTTCGGACGGCTGGCTATGCGGGAGCTGAGGTTATTTGCGAGGCCGCTGCAACAGATCTTGCGCAGGGTGTTGACATCTCCACTACAGACGATGAAAAGAACTGGTTAATTGACTGCGCAAAGCTCGAGGTGATATGATGACAACTTACTCAGCAAAAGCACTATACATCTGCTGATGTAGCTCGCGAGCAACCTGGCGCCGCTCCTTCAGGCGCAGCGGTAGTCCCTTGTTGATCCATTTGCTGTAAGCGATGAGCCTGGTATAGGTCAGCACCAGACTGTTTTAGAGAAACTCTATGCCACGCGAAAGCTTTCCCGGATAGCCGTAAACGAGGAACGGCACACATACCCAAGGAAGTTCTGAACCGCATTCTTCAGCCATAGCCACTCAAGCTGTAGGCGTTCTTTCGGTTGTTGAAAGATTGATGGCATGTCTCTCCACAGAGGTCGAATGAAAGTGCCGGGCAAGAGGCCAATGTCTTGCGGTAGTTCCGACCTCGACAATTCTCTTCCTCTGGTTCGCATACTCGGTTGTGCAGGCTGCTTAACTGAAATATTCTGCGGTACGCCAGACAGGCCCCGCTGGGCCATCTGAGACTGAGAGAAGAAGCGGCATTGGCAATATGCTACAACTGTGGAACTCGGCGAAGGCGCGGATTGACAGAACTCGGCAACGGGAGTGCCGGACCGCACAACCGTGCGCAAGGAGCTGGGAGAACGCCATAGGGAGGACGCCATTAGGGGCTGAGGTAGCAGGAGCGCCGAACTGACGGACTGGACTCTGGGATGGCCTGTTGAATGTGCAACAAATTATTCCATCCAAGGATGGAAATCACGGGATGGGGCTGATCACATGACTGGCTTCTCCGCTGCGGGTCTCCAACCGGCGTTTTGGCATTTACCATCACAATGATCACTGAAGTCCGCGCGGCACACTGGCTTTTGAAAGTGTCAGGTCCTGGCTGCATCCCTCTGACTTACTTGGCTGTTTTTCACTCTCCTGAGCCATAAGTTTTACAATTTTGCCCAGCCAGGAGCCTTTTGTTCTCGCAGAGGGAAAATAGGAAACGGAAACATCACGCCTTCAGCAAGGGGAACTGATCCCCGCACAATCTAGCTTATCATTCTCTCGTTGGCGATCTCGCTGACCTTTTCCCCTTTCTTTCTTCTGGGTGTGATTGCGCAGCGGCCGCATATGCCGTGGAATAAGGCTGGCTCCTCCTCGTCGTGATGCCGCTCCTCCGCCCTTCCCCCTCCATAATCGGATTCCTTCTGGGCCTGATATAAATACTCCCCGTTCGGACTCGAATCGGTCACCGCTCCCGCCTTCGTACTCTTCAGTTCGCAACTCGAGAGGCGAGCTTCGAGATAAAGGCGTGGCTTCGCCGTCTACTGTGTCCGCTATTGTCCCTCCATCCCCGGCCTCACCTGCATCACAACTTTCCTTCAGCCACGATGCAGGACGCAACGCTCCCTCTTCGGCGCTTCATCCTCGCGTGGCCGTCATTCTGGGAGTCGACAGGAAGTGGCACGCGCCTCTGCTGGTCTGTCGGGCGCTGAGCACGGTGCCTGCTGCATGGTGGGGGCTGCGGTGTGCTTTTACTTTTCTGGCTGAGCTTCTTCACATACGGCCGGGGATGGGACGGGAGGGTTGGGCGGCAGCAATTATCGGGAGTGTTGGACAAGATTGGGATGTAGAGAGGAGATTTAGAGTGACGGAGGTGGCATTGGCTATTATGTGGGTATGTAGACTGGATATGATTCTCACGCCCCATGGACCCTTTGCCCTCTACTCCATCCGGAAGGTTTAAGACTTTTGCTGACCATTGACTTTCCCCATAGTGCTGCGCATCCGCATATCTTTCTTATTTTTTTGCTGATTGCATGATGTCTCGATGGTTCGTTTACTTTGTGGACCGCATGTTTCCTTTCCGGGTTGCTGATCACTCTCCGCAGGCTTTTGAATTATACCCCACCGGCTGTTGTCATTCGTCTTCTTACAACAAACGGGCTGATCGCTTACATTACTTCTTGGGTTCTTTACCTCTCCGGTGCATCGTCAGACCCACGTCTTCTTCTACCGGCATGGATATCGATCACAACAGTATGTGCGACCCTGTCTCCCTAATTATGTACTTCTCAAAACCGTTGAAAATACTGACATCTTGAATCGAAGACCCTTACCTTCCTCTACCACGCCACTCAAAACCACGCCACAATTAAGCGTGAGACAACCGCATCGTTGTTGGTCGTATCAGTCGCCAGCTTCGTCAGTATGTCCTCGCTTCTTCTGCAGCTACACTTGACCCGCGAGAACGAGCCAGAGGTACCCTTGTTCGTGATCACACGGAAGTTGTGGGACTGGGCTGTTGCGATATTCCTTCGTATGCGAGTTGCGGATGCAAGGGCTGGAGCTAGGGAGCTGTAAATATGGTTGAAAACATGGTCTTTTCTCTGTTTACTAGACAATATCTGCGAGCCTCGCGAAAGCATTCGTCTTCGTTGAGCCCCTGTCTATGATGGGAGCGGGCTTTCGTCGATAGAATAGGATTTACTTTGCCAAATCTGGGTACTGGTCACCCGTCGAACACATTGCACCGATAACGAAACCGGGTTAAGTAATATTACCAAAACAGGTACAAGTTGTCAAAGTAACATGGATTGACGAAGTAGAGAGGAGCCAAAAAGTCCCTCTCAAGACGTCTGCCGCGCAAAACAGGCCGTCACAGACTGCGAAGCAGCACCACATAAAAGTTAAAAACAGACTGAAAAACATCTATGCAGATAATGGGTATCTACCAACGCCTCGTTCCGTCGCTAATCCCGTTCTTTGAAAAACAGTCGAGTCAAGAAAATAAGAGAATCTGAGACCCGCTTCAAGTGAGTCGTCCGCTCACGAGGGAGCAAAGGATTAACTTTGAGCGCGTCATTTCGACATGGCCCAAGTCCAATGTGCCGGGCACAGAGATGGTTAGGAGTAGAGACCAAGCAGTTTTGGCAAGCACCACGCAGGTTCAGACCAGGGATGGACCAGACAACATGCTCCCTATCCCAAACACTCCGAGGGCGATGTAGACTGGGAAGAAGGGACCGGAACGGGGCGCGGCGTCTAGATTAGAACCCATGGACTTTGATGGTCTTGGCATCGAGCTCGAGACCTTCCTTCTTGTCGGTCAAGAACTCCTGAACATCCTTACGCTGATCTCCTTGCAGCTGAATCACCTCTCCCATCTCAGAGTCATTGACGATAGTGCCATTGCATGCTAGAAAAGCGTTAGCTGTTTGAGTCATACAATTTCTGTTGAGGGCCGTGGCAACAACATACCGAACTTCTTCTTGATCACCTTCAAGATCTTCTTCTGATCGAACTTCTTAGGGAGACCCTGAACTGTGGTCAAGGTCTTGCGACCATTGCGTTCTGTTAAGGGTGACGGTTAGCAACTATTGTCTCAGGTAACAGAATCTGCCATTGGCAACGGCAGATAAAATGAGTTGGTGGATTGAGACGTACGCTGAATCCGTATATGGATGTAATTCTGAGACTGTTTAGTCTCGCCGGTGTCTTCGTCAGCTTCGGCGAAGGGGTCTGCGTAGAAGCACGTGTCAGCCTTAGGCTCTCATGACCTCAAAACTGCCCCGCCAAACCGTTCTGCAGTTCGTATCTCAAGACGAAGCGAGTAGCAACTCCATGAGGATGGGTTATCCATTAAGAATAGTATAAGTGGTGCCATTGTAACTCTGTGAGAGGCACCGTGATGTTCTCCCAGAATGGGACCGCAGAGGGGACAGAATCGCAGGTAGTTAGGGGAGGTGGCAAAGTCACTTACCGAAGGTCTTAAGGTTTTCGATGGACATAAACTCGGCCTTTGGTCGTAAACGGCCCTTAAAAGCGGTGGATTATAAGTGAGCGAGGTGAGAGATCAGATGTCTCCTTGTAGTTGCGAGAGATTGCGAGTTTGCGAACGGAGGGGAGTTGATCAAAGGTAGGATGGTGGTGTCAGAGAAAGAGATAGAAGAGGAACAGAAGAGCCTTTTGAGGGGCGCGCCTCGATTTAGCGCCCTTGTGGGGGAAGGCGGTGTGGCACTGACTAAGCCACACTGGCCCTCGCATATAGTATATTTATAACCTCTTCACTTTTGACTGGACCACGACTCAATGGCAAAAGAAGCTGTACTATGGATTTCACGGGCAGTGGGTGGCGATAAGTATCTGGAGTCCGACCTGAGGGTGGGTTTGTCCTCGACGTGGTGGCGAAGATCACACATTATGCTTGAGGGATAGCTACATGACGGGTATGTATCAGCGGGTAATTTGCGAACATGGAATCATTCCATCATTTAGAAAGGTATTATTACAAGAATTTGAATCCATAAATTACGGAAATATGGTCACAATGCCACACCGTGCATATATAGGAATAAGACGGCTGTGGCAAGGGCACATGGCCTGGCTGACTTAGAGCACTTAGATGATTTTCTCCTGACTTTTGACCACTGTTTTCAGCTTTAGTCTGTAGCATATCGTTTGTAACAACTAGCCTCGAAATGCGATTCACGACTGATCCCGGTACGACTTAGTCGATATTTAAGGTGAGGTTGAAGGAGAAGGAGCAGCAGCGGTGCTTCGTGCGGATGGAGGTGGCATAAATATGGGGAAATATGTCTGCGCGATGTGGTCAGAGATAGGTCGGGCTATTGAAGAATTGAAGGGGAACAATATTCCGGTTACATACAACGACGAGCGCCATTACTGTAGAGGTTTTCAGCTGTCAGTCATTTTCCGCGCTCACTTGCGGGGGAAGAGGGAGAGACGAACAAGACATCAGGACGGACATGTATGCAGGCGTAGCTGCCGACTTCTTTTGCTCAGGCGTTTCTCCGAGCCACGACTGGAGAGAGAAGACGAAAGAAACCCATCCAATCATCCTATGCACGCCGCGTACAGTTGTCAGATACCATAGCTTGGACCCGCTCGACGAGGTATCTCTCACCTATTCCGAGTGAACATCTACGGAGAGAAAGTCAGCATGCGTCGAGACCGTGACCAAGAGACTGCAGCTTTGACCTACCGCGGCCATTGGCATAGTGCTAGACATCGCTCCTAACGCGGAGTATCAGCCAGATCGTCCCTTTGCTGCACAAGGTTCCCAAATTCAAAAATCGAATGACTTTGTACCTGACATATCGGCCTCATTCTTATCCTTCGGCGGCTCGATGTAGGGGATGGCTACAGTTCAGGACTGATATTAGCGAAACTGCGCTCTCATGATCGACGTTGGGCTCAATTGAGGCAGACTTACCGAGGTCTAGCCTCCGCATGTCCTTCTTTGACGCCATTTTATGTTGATAATTCGACGGTTAGGCGCACGGCTTCTTTGAATAGAGCAGCGTGATAAGGGATGTTGTATTATGGCCAGCCAAGCAATCATTCTGACGCCAGGACCAAAACGGCAAGGTTGGATGGAGGTTGGTTAGATAACCATCCGCAGATAATCCGTGGCGGACTGCGGGGAACGCTTTGATGATCCATCATCCGTCCACGTTTATCGATCAGCAGTGGATGCTGGTGAGCCTGATCCTTCATTTGATAAGACAGCATTGGTCAGAGTCGACTGTATTGGGACCTGAACTTGAGTCGGCTATAGAAAGGGCTGGATTCTCGCGGGATAGTTAAAAGTGGACGACGAAGAACATTCGTGAAACCATACTATTAGGAGCGTTTCTCAGCTGCTCAGCTAACTAGCGGCAGAGATAAAGCTCAACTGGTAGTTGGATCGTCCATGATGACTTGTTATCACTCGTCTTATCGGGTTCGGTTTCCTCATTCCAATCCAAGACTTGCTGCGACGATCCCGACGAATGGCGCTGTAAAAATGGGATAGCGACTGACCGACGGTCCTGATAATAGCTAGCAATCGAGAGATCCTCCAACTGCAAAGTAATATTAGGGTCATGATAGGCGACTGCAATACTACTCATCGCACTACGGAACATCTATATATTGGCTTCCAATTCAACAGGCACTTTATCTGCTCATCTAAAAGACGTACTACTGGGCGATCGCCGCCCCTGTTGCTGTTTTCTCAATCACCTATTTGTTTGGCTAACTCGGCGCAGGAACTCACATGAACGTGATAAGCGTTGCAAATGATTCTACGAGGCCGGGAGAAAGCGCAGTTTATCACCTCTGGGTTGCAGACGATAGAAATGGCCTGTCGACTATCAACATAGGACGCTTTCGTGCCTAACTTTCCTCCCATCATCTCTACATGCATGAAGCACAGGTACAGCTGTAGATTGGCCATTCAGAAGCCAAAGGTATGCATAATGGTATCTTGAATACTTCACAGATATGATCTCCTGCATTTGAAAGGTCTTCCTGGATCCTTGAATGGCCGGGCGCCTGCTAGATAGGTATCGTCTCGTTCCCAGGTGCACGTAGGATCTGTAAAGTTTGACTCTGACCGCCACAGTCCTGCTCCAGTCTGCAGCTGGGATGGGACATGTTGATACTGTGCATCAGAAGGGGTGGCTGATGAGTCTTGAGGGGTTGATTATTTATTGTTAGCAGACCTACAACTGCGCAAGCTACCAGGGTCTCTGTATGCATCTGGTAGGGTTAAATACCAACGGGATGCTCCTGATAGCCCTTTGTCTATTTACTGCTGACAATATGACCGATTTGCAACCGATGCGGTACTTGCATGGCCATCTATAATAATCAGGTACGGAGTATGCATGAGCCGATCACCTTCTGGTGACAAATGTATTTCTGCTTAGGTGCATCGAATGTTGCGACATGATGTTAACATATCCAACGATAGGTGGTGAATGATTCCTTCTCTAACCTCAAATCTTCACTGCAAGGTTCCGAACATCGACTCCTTTGTCCATCACCAGTGTCCATGTCAGGTTTCACCGTGTCACAACAGTGTGTGTGTGGTGCCACAAACAAATTGCTCTCTCCGAAGCGACACTTGCCCACTTTCGGGGATCAGAGGAGTCTTACACATCTGGGGGAGGGCAGGCAGGAGAATAAGGTAGGTAACAGAAAATAGTTAGGTGCTGCGGAGTAGTAATTTGCTGATCGCACACACGTATGGTCATATGTTGGGCCATAGCCTCGTAGGCACCTGATCTCTTGAGGCTAAGGCGATCGCCTGATACCCCGAGATCTTCAAAAGTGCTGTGTTGTGGAATGATTCGCCAGATAAGCCGAGACAACAATCAACGATTGACAGGCGGATTCTCCGTAGAGATGAGCGGAACACCGTCAGAGAGATCCAAGTTCCTAAACGGCAGGTAAAATTGCGTGATAACAGTTGATAATTATCATTGTTGGCCTGTTTACATGATCATGAACCACAGATTCCAAATCAGTAATTGGATCTGGTATGTCTCCTTACGATCTCGAATCCCGGCTAAATACTACTACTTAGGTAGATAAGGGAGCGTTTGGAGAGTATACGTATCACAAACTACGGATAGTTAAGGTCTAGATACTTATTATTGGATAGTAGAGAAAAGTACAATCTGTGGTCTACTTTCCATTCCTCCCCCACTGTAACTGACTGCTGAATTCCGACGGAAGTGTCAGTTGGTATGGTATTCGCCTTGGTCACCTTACGTTATCTGGAGATCTGACTAGTTAGTATTATCTCCGTCTCCGGGCTCGGCTGGATCTCTCATCTGCCTTCTCCTATATTGCTTTTTCATATTCTGCCTCAATCTCCTTTCTGAGTCCTGTTTGTTTGCTCTAGTTCCGCCATCCTTCATCAGCAATCAATCGTTGAGCAATGTTTGTACAATAGTGCATTCCGCCGATCGTCCGAGACCATATCCTCCTACCACCGGCACGATTACCCACCACCCGCGCCGCCGTATCCGAACCGCTTCATCCTGATTACCCATTGATCGGGCGTAAAATAATTCGAATACCATCTCGGCCTTTTCCACATGTTCAATAAACTGCGAAGCATCCTATAAAACACACGCGATTTGATGCGGATAGTTTTAAGTGGTCCATACCCTCCTCAACTTGTTCCGATGATCCAGATACCGATGCTTGTATACACCATGAAGCTGAGATGATACCTCATTCTTCTGCCGGCGTTCAATCCTGGGGTCAGCCCCTTCACGCCGTTTATAGCGGTACTGGACGTGCCGACCTTTCGCAGCCCCTGGGTCAGCCTGACCGTCAGTCCGAACAACCATCTATGCCGGTGCCGCAACTACAAGGTAGACCACCGGCACTCATCGATCTGACAGCGAATGACGGAGATGTGCTGGATCGCGAACCACCGGCGAAGAGACTGAAAATAGATGTGCATGCTGGGTCAGGAGCTGGTGATGGAAGCCCAGCTTCTGCAGGTGTGGGAGAATCAAAGAGTACTCCAAGTACAACAACTTCGAAACCGCCTTCGCTGTCCTGGCGTGCGCGTCCGGTGTGGTCATTTCAAGCATTACTCTCTGAAGTATCTGGAAGCGCAGAGATCAATGGTGAAAGTGCAGCAGGTGTCGTGCAGGATGTGAAGCCCCCATCGCCGCCTTCATTTCCTGGTCCACCTTGGAAGCTTGCTCCAGCAGATACCATAGCAAGTGATCCCGCAGGACCACAGGATGGCGCACCGGCAAAGGAGGTGCAAACTACACCATATCACATTGAGACCCCTTCTGTTGCACCAGTTATGGGAGGCGAGAGTGAGTCAATACCCTTCAACACGGAAGAAGCATGAAAGCCGTCTCTGACTGTTGATTTCTCTTGCAGAGGTTGCGGATTTCTCCCCATGGATGGGCAATCATCCGGAAGACGTACTTAATGAGCAAACGGCAAAGCAAGGATACTACGATCGCACACAGGTGTCCCAAAATGAGTCCAATACAGCTCGTCCCTCCCTGTATGCGCAATTGAAGCACCGCTCTGGCCTGCAAATACTGTCGTCGGTTTTTGCAGCCGCACTGGAGAAAAGACAGGGCCATAACATGGTCACTGCGCCGTCAACATTCAAGCCCCCTCCGCGAGTCACGCTGACGGACAACAAACGTGAGGCCTGGCTCCGCGATCTCGCGAATCCGAATGTCCCGCTGCGCAAACTTAGTCGAACCATTCCTCATGGTATCAGAGGCAGAGTTCTTTTAGATCAATGCTTGACCAAATGGGTTCCTGTCGGCCGTGCTGTGTGGCTTGCGAAGTGCGTCGGCGCCAACGAAATCCGTGCTTTCAAAAGGAAAGGTACCAGTGGCGCTTTGGCCATCGGCCTGGAAGCTAAATGGGTGCGCGACTGGACTGCCAATGTCCAACAGTTTCTCGAAGGTGTAATCACTAGTTGTGGAGTAGCAGACTGGAAGATGAAGATGACTTACGCGGTCAGTTTGACCGCTCGTTTGTTCTTCGAGCAACTGCTTGACCATGACCAGTATCTCGGATGGTTCCTCACATCGCTGGAGGCAGCGCCATTTAACACCTTGCCAGTCTGGCTTCTAATGTTAGGAATCTACTGGAGCAACATACTGCGATATAGGAAGCGAGGACGGCGGCTCGCTGAACTCTTGCTTGACAAACTGCAACTAGCTATCAAGGCGGATTCGGCCACATCCCTTCGCCCGTTGACAGACCGATTGTCACTGCATATCAGAAAACTAACTCTTGAGCATACTTCATCCATGGTGCTTCCACAGTCATGGGAAAAGTACAAAGATCTCCTATCGTCCTGTTTGAACCTAAACGACAATGTGCACAGAGCGGTCTTTCAAAACTTGGCTGAGCGAAATGCGCGGGTGCAGAGGCCTTGGAAATGTGAAGAGACAACACAACAACCGGCACAGCAACGCATCATCCAACTGTTCGACTCGATAGGCTCTTCACGCGACATCACATCTGTTTCCGCTGCATCTTTGGGTGCGATAGATGACAAGGCTGCTCTTGTTCTCAAACTGCTCGAGTGGGCAGCGACTCCGTTTCGCTATGGTGTATCTCGTGTTTATGCCGGCGCCCGCCTCCTGCGGAAATGGAAGATCGCTGGAGTCGATGTGGATACCTGCATCATTTCCTTCCTTGGCGAGAGTCAGATGAGAGACCAATTGAACATCGACAACATCTATCATATCGTCTCTGAGCTCGTCAGATCCCAGACATTTTCGGTTGGAAAGTACCTTCAGTGGCTGATGGCAAAGGGGGTTGCAGATTTTCGCCGAAACTCCGACCATCAGCCCCTTTCGGGGACGTTGCACTTCTCATGCAGCTCCCTGTGAGCCGCCTTCCTGAGCATGTACACAACCTCCGTAACACTCTGCTGCAGCGCGCCGGAGTCGAAGTGTCGAAAGAGGCTTCTACCATCGCCATACTCAAGGCATTAATAGCCGAACGTCTCCCAAGGGTCTTTGGTTCTGTCGCGACAAGTGCAGGATCCCGTGACCCTTTACCGTCAGATCTGACCTGGGCCGTGAAATCTGAGCTTGGTCAGTGGATTCGGCGTGGAGTTACTGAGTTTGGGCGGGATCCTCGTAGCGCATTTCAGGATCTCCATTCCGCGCCTGGCGCAGAGCACTTCGCACTCACCCCTGGCGAATTCTATACCGTAAGGGATATTTTGGAAAGTTTCGGCGATCTTTCAATTCTTGCGGACGTACTCAAGCAGGCCACCGTTTGCAATGACGGAATTGTTTTAGCATCCGCTGCGGATACAGTCAATTATCATTTCCGTTCTTTCTGTGTTATCGGTGCTACAACCGATCTTTTCAAGAGATTGGTAGAGTCATATGCCCGTCTCAAACGGCTTGGATCGACCTCCTTGGACTTGATCTTCTCATTGATAGACCTTGGGCTTCGGCTACCCGGAGAGCTCAATACAGTTGCTCTTCTCCGTCAGGACCTCTCACGGATTGAAAGCAAATCATCTATGGCAGCACCATCACCACTGTCTGATCACATACCCTCTGCTTTTAATGAAGCCGATCCGCTCTTTCTGTTGAAGCTAGATCAGCTCCTCTCGTCCGCAAGTGGTATAGATGAGTCCACGTTGGATACGATTTTTAACCTTCTCATCAAACAAATAGAATCCAGCGGTGGTCATGCTAAGCTCTCGGTGAATGAAACATGCAGGTATTTGTCGTACCTCAGACCTTTTCATCCCAAGCGTTTCGACATCATGATAGTCCGCTGGATCTGTGGCCTTCTCAGATCCACCACCGGAGGGATACTGTCCCAAGTCCTGCCTCCTTTGATCGGCGTTGGATGCGTTACCATTCAAGCCTTCGTGTCCCTCGTACGAAGGCTTCTCAAGTCCGAGAATATGATATCCAACCCAAGGGACTTGCGCATAGATCTTCTTCAGCTTCTTGTACCTCCACCGGCAGGTCAGAGTCGATATTTCGACATGGTCACATATCGCTTCCATCTGTCACGGAAAGAATTTATGTTCAAGCACCCTGAGGAGGTTTTCGACATTATTCGGGATGCTATCGCCTTGATTGATTCGCAAAGCCAAGAAGGAAACTGTCGTCAGGGACAAGTGGATCTAGGTCACAGTGCGATGGCACTCCTTCAGATTTTGCTCACCAAGAATCCAGAAAGTGCTGTTCAGCACTGCACAGAGAAACTGATTGGTCAGCATCCGTCTGCAGTGACAGTTTTGACAAGAGCGCTCGATTCCCTTCTGGGATTGGATACCAAAGCAGGTGAGCGCTTATTCACTTCAAATGGTCCTTTTATCTTCATTCCCATTGACACTGGTCCAGCGCCCCCAGACATATCTGTTGCTGAAAAGGTCATCGAACTGACCAACGATTTCTCCCTCCCTTTCTGTCAACTGAAGCTTCAGCTTCTATTCAACGCGGAGACTAAGGGCGATGTGAGAAATGAGATAGTGGACGTGATGTTCAAAGCTGCAGTTGCAGACTCTCGCTCAAGGCGATCCAACTGGGTGGGACTGGTTCGTCTGATGAGTCATGATGCAGTCCGACAGGTAAGGTGCCATGATGAAGGTTCAATACGGTTTCCAGACTAATTTGTCTAGATTCGAGAACGAGCCGAGAAAAATTTCTTCGCTATACCCTTGTTTGAGGAGTCACCCGATGGCTGTTCGTCATTTGCTGCAGACAACAGCAGCTCACTCGAAACGGCGAAACTGTACCTGACGATCATCGAGAAGCTGGGGTATAGCATTCCCGATGTGGGCCCACAGGCTGTTATCCCTGCCCTCACCGAGAAGATGGATATACTGCTCCAAAGACTTATCAGCATGCAAGCGAACTACAGTGGTACTACTGAGCTTAGTCATGGAGTTGACGCAGAACAAATGATCCGGTCACGCGGGCAGTTCGAGAGAGCCGTTGCGTTCTGGTTTTCTGCGTTGCTCAGGATGATTGTCCTTCATCGGACTGCTTTCAGTGTGCCATCAGCCGCACTCAGACCCAGCGCATTGCCAGAGCAAACGCGCTTGCTGATATCGATATTCTGCATAACTTTCGCGCGTCTTCCAGATAGTGTGTTGCGACTCTTCCCAGCGGCCGACTACTTTCCCCACTCGATGAGGGCAGGAGACTGTCGTCCTTGTCCGGGTATCCTGCTGCAGACGCATGCCCTGGATGTTGCAGCATCCCTTATTGATACGTTTCCTGATGAAGCCCGGCATCAATGCGCTCGCTATCTGAGGGAAAAATGCCCTCCTTTCGCTCGGGTTCAGAATGACTCGCGCTTCCTCTACCTTCTTGGTCCCCTTGGCGATAGCCCATCTTCTACTAACCTTACACTTCCTGTATCCATTCCATCACCTGCTGCTTCTGGCTCCACTCCCGCCCCTACTCCTTCGGGTAATCCCACAGGCGGATTCTCTCACCCCCAACAACCTGCATTCGTTTCAGGTGTGCCGACTGGACTGCCAGATGGCTTGAACTGCGCTGCTAGCCATCTTTGTCTTCAATACCGTGGCCGGGCCATTGGAGCTTACCCTGTACGTCCATGGGAACTCCTCGAAGATGCTGCCCCCATTGCTGGTACCAACGACACTGCAGTCAGTCTAGGATACTTTGATGCCCGGCGTGTCAGGGTCTAGCACGTCGAGATCTAGTTGACTTCTCATCTATCTACGTCATGCCCTTGTACATATCATCTCTCTGCTTTGTCATTTTGGTGTTGTCTTCATTCGATTATTCCATATTCCCGGAGTTTGATATCATATCAAATCGCTTCTCTTCCTCCCTCTTCCTCTCGTTTCTCAACACATGGCTCTGAAAGAACTCCTGGCCGAGGTCTTTCACCTTGTTAGCTCGTTCTTGTCCACAGCCGGTTACGCTCACTCACTCTAACTATTGTGTCTTTATTACATTTGCATCATTTTCATGCCGCCTGTGCATTTTCTGGGATCGACTGTTTCACTTGAAAGCGTTTGGAATGTGAGAACCTCGGTGCGCAAACATATGCTTATTGTCATCGCATTTGGCTTCTGTTACATGGTTTGAGAGCATTCGCGGTGACTTATATAGAACCTGGCGTTCATATGGGATGGGTGGTTCATCGCACTCGGCGGGCAGCATACACATATGTTAAGATACTTCATGGCATGATATCAATGGCCTTAATTTACGGGATATGACTATGTTTTGCTATTACATTCGTTTTCCTTGTATTTTTGACACGCTCTAGACTAAAGGATTGACTCATGCTTGACAAAATGTCCTGATCATTATGATATCACGAATACATACGCTCAACGCAGCCCCTGGTTCCTAGGGCAGCGTTGTTCTAAAAATACCTCGGTGGTTCACGACGGTGCAGTGGGCTCTCTGAACTGCATCAAGAGATATTTTAAGTGAAGAGGTTGAAGCAAGCTGTGTTGTTCATTATATTATCCCCAGTCATACATATATGCCTGGTACTTTCATATCATCTAACCAGATATATAGTCAGAATAGACATTATCCCATTTCCTCCATCCATCAAGGTTATCACAAGGGTATAGAGCTTGATCCATGAATCATCCAACATATCATACGCATACGCCATAACCATCTTGCGAACAAAATCCGACTCCAAAACGCCATATAAAAAACTGTGTTGATCAAATTGATGCCTGAGTGCCGGTAACCAGCTTGACTGCTGGTTCCCACCATCCCACCCCCGGCACCCTTCCTCCAGGTGAACTGGAACGCGGTTTGCCTCCTCACATCGGAGTGAGAAGGACTTGTTGCATGCCTGGCGAGGCATGCATTTAGTTAGAGTTGGAAGGGGACTTGGACTCGATGGTGTTTGAGTCCAAGACCGAGATTGACGGTTCCTCCGTCTTGTGGTTGTCGTTGTCTTCGTTGCCGAAGAATAGTTCGGTATCGGGTTTCCGAGGCGGTAAATCGGCGCTCGAGCTGCAGGAGCGCAAGCGTAGGCGTGGGGATGAGCCGGTGCTCACTGAAACACTGCGGCTTCGAGATCCTCGTCCTCGGCTGGATTCTCCTTCGCACTCTGGGACGACTTCCAGGTAGGACGTGAAAGTAGTGGTGGAGGTGGATGTCGACTCGATGAGAGACTCGAAGTCGGTGGTGCTAGAGGCGGACGCTGTGCTAGACGAGACTTTGGAGTGCGAGCGCGAGTCCGAGGTTGATTCGTCTGCATCCGAGCCAACAGCGGAGGAGTCGTTGGGTGTTGTCGAATCGTTATCGGTAGTTGTAGCAGGCGTGGGTTCGGTGCCGTTGGATGAAGACCCGGTCCATTCTTCACTGACGCATTTGTGCCGTTGTTCTGCCTCCAATTCTTCGACCACGTCGAGGACCAGGTCCTCGCTCAAGCTGAAGTGTGGGAGATTGTTAATTTCTCGGGTGTAGTCTTCGACGGTCTTGCCGTTGCCAGTCTTTGGCTGAAATTCGGCGGGAAAAGGCACCCGCGAACGACCCTGGTCCCGCATGGCGTCGCGGGCTTCTTTGCTGCGCGAGCGTCTGGAGGGACTGGGGCCGGATGGTTGCGGCAGTACCCAGGTAAATGTAGGATTGCCTTCAATGTCCAACGGCTGGAGGTAGTACATCGGATGTCTTTCGAAGGCCTGTTGATATTGACTCAGAACATGCACATAGTCTTGGGGCGTAGCTGAGTGGTGTACTGACCTTGATGGCGTCTCTGTAGTCGTCGATATAGGCGAATGTCACTGTGAAGACAGTCGTGAGCAACCCCAGGTCAAGGAAGAAGACTTCCTCAAGAAAATATGATTCAAAATGACCTCGGCCAGTAAGAGCCGTCTCAAAGTCATGCGGAGACACTGGGAGCCCAGACCGGTGTCCAAGGCGCGCAGTCCCTATATTAGCGTCAGTAGATGTTCAGCAACAGGACGAGGTTAGAAAAATGGGTCATACTCCTCCCCTTGATCTTTTCGATTCTCAGCCAGCGGTCGTGAAGCTTGATGAGGTCGTTCTCTGCCAGTGCAGCTACGGCATGTTCAACTTTCTGTAAGAGATTAGGTTAATCTACGGAGCCACACATCAGGGCGATGACAAGAGCCAGGGAGTGTTCACCTCGAACTGCACAAAGGCCGTGGGGATTTTTCGCTTGTCACGTTTGACCTTGACATGACATGGACCGAACATAGAGAACGTTTGCTGGATATCCCGTACTAGGTCTTTGTCCTCGAGGGTAATTTTCAAACTAATGTATGTTAGAATCTCTAGTTTATCAAGTAGAGAACATCTTGCTACTCACTTTCCGACGAAAATACAGGCGTCTGGGGGAAACAGCCCCTGAGCGTTCTCGGCCGTGATTGTCGTGTACTGCCTATCCAAGCGAGGAGGAAGAGGCTGCTGAGGCCAGTTTGGGTTCGGAAGAAGGCCAAGAATAGCCATGTCGAATTGTGATGGAAAGAAGTGAGAGACTTTAACGAGTGGAGGAGTTCTTGAGGTTGAGGGCTGTAAAATAAACGAGTGTAGAAGCGAGTAGTTTGGTGATCAGTCGAGTACTTGTCGAACGATGAGAGGAAATGAAAAAGGTCAGAGCAGAAAAGTGGCATTTGCGGGGGATTTAAAGCCCACTGCTGGCTACCACTCTTCTTACTTTCCTGGCGGTTCCAGAAATAATATCGGAACATAGTATGGTTCTCTCGTCTCTGAGCTGGTCTAGCTCCTGGACGGAGCACTTGAGAAATCATGACGCCAACTGGTATCGAAACTCGCAGAACAGCTGAGCTGAAAACCGGTATGTGTAATGTAAACCGTTCTGGGTCAAGAGACAAAGGACGCGGACAGATTGAATAGATGTTTCGATCGTGGATGTCTCGAACGCCGCGCATGGGACTCTTTAGTTCAGGATGCAAAGCAACGCATTTTCACAGGCTCCGCCCTTTCTTCGCCTCCAAGTGTGAGCAGGTAGAAATATAGTGCGCTGTTGAATGGATTGACCATTGCAAGCTCGGAGGTAGTCGCCCTCACTGCTCCATTTGCTTGACGGCTTTAAGCCAAAGCGCGCAGCCATTATTGGGTTGGTTTCGAAGGCCATTCAATTTTTAAAGTTACATGACCGTAAATTTCGCTCGGATAGTAAACTTCCCGAGCATCCTTTCTGTTGGCGTCCTCCACATCCCATGGATCTCCAGGAAATTTCACTGGCACAGGTCACAAGGCAGGACAAAAATAGATCAAATGTAGGGATTTTGCATCCAGAATGTTCTCATGAAAAACTCTAAGGCAAAATCTGCTGCCTTAATGAGTCGGAAAGCCAGAAGTGGTTTGTAAGGCTGTCAAGCTGCTAAGGCGCAGGTGGAGTGTAGGTATATAGATCGATGTTTTGATGGAAGTGGGTGCATGAGGCTAACATAAATAAAGCAATGATTATCGATCTGATCTTATCTTCGGCCCGATCAATCCACAATTGGTTATTGGACGAATGATTGATCAACACTACGGAGGACGGAGTAGCCCAATATGCAGCTTGGCGACATCACCATCATTTCATATAATCCTGGTCTATGATTTATATACTGAACAGCTTCTCCAGCACTCAAACATCAAATAACGAATATTTCAGATCGCTTGATACTCCGATAATATTTTCACTGCTCAAGGGATCGAGCGCAAAATAAAACAATAAGCCATGTTTCCCACGGCTAGGTGTCTGTCCGCCAAACCCGCAGGATTTATCAAGCGCAGCGCGGAGGAGCTGAGCCGTCTATCGAGGATAGGTGGGTAATCATCGCTTCTGTTCCTGCGCTCAATTATCGACTGCGCATGCAATATAAACAACCTCTGATATCATTGTGTTGTATAGCCTGGAACTCCGAAGCTCTCCATACTCCAACGAAGCCCTACACTCTCCTCGACTTTGAAGATGAATCCACTGTCGCCGCGTGCAAGACCATGGCCGACCGTGCCGTTGGTGGATTCAGCAATGCCAGTCTTGACTATGTCCCTCCAGACCCTTCGACGAACACACCTGCCCATGCGAGGTTCCACGGGAGCATTTCAACGAAGCTACCTAACAATTGGCGAGTAGAGAGGACGGGTACGTTGGATTGTTCTCATTGACATAGCTTGCTATAATCCGGAAACTAACTACCCTCGAAAACCAATAGGATATGCCGCTTTTCGCAACAAGGACCGAGGTTTTTGGCTCTTCGGCCGACTATACTGGGATGTCGACCCATACTCGTACCTGGCCCTTCGAGTGAAGTCCGACGGTCGGCGATACACCGTGAATATTCAGACAGACTCGATCGTCGAGACGGATATCCACCAGCATAGATTATATACTCGTCATCACCGCGTGCAAAACCAGACCTCCCGTGACGATCTCCCCTCATATCCGTCGGAAGCAGCCGAGTCACCAGAGCTCGCAGAAACCCTCTTCCCACGCGGAATTCCTCCTTCGCTCTCCGACGTCCCTCCCGAATCGACAATCATGTCCTCTTCCGCAACAACATCCGGCGGCACGGGCTGGGAGACCATTCTCCTGCCATTCCACTCCTTTGTTCGTACGAACCACGGCCTTGTGGTCGAGCCGCAGACATCTCTTCTCCGCCAGCGAGTGAAGAGTGTCGGTATCGGACTTACAGATCGGGTCGAGGGTCCTTATGACTTGCGAATCCATCGTATCTGGGCTACCAACGGTATCAGCGAAGAAGAGTTCGAGGAGGAGAAGCGGATTTGCGGTGCAGATGCGCTGCCTATTGATGAGGGAGTCAGAACTGGCTGGAGGGGCGACTCTCATTCCGATCATGCCGAGGATAAGGGTAGTCAATTGGGAGGAGCAGGAAAGGCGAAGGGCTTAAAGGGGTTGCGCTCGGAGTGGGAATAATGATCTACTCTTTCTCAAAATTCTATGTATTTGTACTTTACTAATCGTACAGTAACTTATTCTCTCATCGGCACTACCGATAACTATTCATTTGATCGGAAGCTGCGATTCGATTTCGTTGTTCGTGGGTCATTTAGTGCAATTTAATTACCCCCGTGATCCTCTCCCAGGCCTCCTTGTACTTCTCCGAGGTCTTCTGCACGACCTCTTCTGTCATCCGGACTCCCTCCTTGCCTTTCAGTCCCTCCTTGACGAGCCAATCCCGAAGGAATTGCTTGTCGAAGCTCTGCTGGCCGCGGCCAACTTCGTAGTCATCCTTGGGCCAGAAGCGAGACGAGTCGGGCGTCAGGACTTCGTCAGCCAAAACAACCTCATTGGTTTCCTCGTCGACACCGAACTCGAATTTCGTGTCCGCGATGATGACACCGCGCGACAAAGCGTAGGCGTGTGCGGCCTTGTACAGCTGTACAGCCAGGGAAGCAACGGTCGAGGCATGCTCACCAAGAATGGTAGCGGCTGTACATCGGGATATTGTTAGCTCTGGGCCCGTTCTGCAACTCGATAAACATTCCCGAAGCGAGGAGGATCATGCATACCTTGATCAGGGTGGATGTTCTCGTCATGCTCGCCTTGCTCGGCCTTGGTGCTGGGAGTGTATATCGGGCCATCGGGGAAGGCTTCGCTCTCCCTCAGACCAGGAGCGACCTTGATTCCGTGCACTGTACCGGACTTCTTGTACTCGTTCCAAGCGGATCCAGTGATGTAGCCTCGGACGATGGCTTCGATGGGAAGGATTCTAAGCTTGCGCACTTGCATGCTTCTGTTCTGAAGCACTGGCCGTAGTGAAGGGGGGATCTGGGGCGGGAGATCGAGGGTAATGAAATGCGTGCGTAGAGAGGGAATAGCATCGGTCAGGATCTTGAACCATGCTTTTGTGCATAATGTCAGAAGAACTCCCTTGTTCGGGATACCCTGAAGAGACATCGTCAGCAGATCCAATATGGAGAACTATTGGCACATCCAAGACTTAAGAGCCGTACATTCTCCATGATCACATCGTATGCGGAGATGCGATCAGTCGCAATGAAGAGAAGAGTCTTGTCGTCGACTTCGTACAGATCGCGAACTTTGCCCCGTGCAATCAGGGGCAGCGCACCCAGAAGATCCGTGTTTGTAAGTGCCTCGGCCATGACTGTAACTACACCGATGAAGAGTTGCGGTAGTGACAATCTCAAGATGTGACTAAAAGCGAGTCATGTCCCGATAATCGATAAGTTTTTTGGCGGGGTCCGCTATCAATCAATTTCTGCCTCAGGCATCAACTGCCTGCCTTGCAAAATCCCTGTACAATCAAGCTGCTGGATCAATGGAACCAGCAGAGCACATTCCACAGGAGTTGCTTTGAACATAGAACCGATCGGATTTTGTGTGCTCGATGTCATTTGATCCTATGCTTCTCCAAGATAAAGCTCGATTGTTTGGACTCAGACGCGGCGTGTTTGTATACAAAGGACGCGCCGATGGTCTCATCGCGCAGTGAAGTTCCAGCATAGTCATTCCATTGTTGGATGAAACCCTCTCCGGCAAAGGATGTTAAGTATGCGAAAGAGGAATTAGATAAAAGAGGTCGAAGAAGAAAAAGAGAAGCAAGATGAGTCGCTATCTGACTCCCTCGAAGATTGCTCTTCTGTGTCTCATCTCCGTTTACACCGATGGAGTCGTTCCCAACTCCTCCGCAATTCATGTCCTTTCTTTTCTTATGTCATGTCTCAATCCTTTGGGATCAGATGCGTCTTTATCTCTAAACAGAGGCGATAGCAACTATATCGTCGCCATTGATGACCTGGAACACGCCCTTTCATCCAAAGCGTCCTCGATCCCTGGCCGTTCGATATGGGATTTGTTTCTCAAGAAGATCTGGTCCATTGATTCTTGTGACGCTTTAGAAGTATTTTTCACGGAGATTAGCACGATTCTTGTCAAGTCTCGAGAAGAACAGATCCGCGACAGGGATAATGGTCTGGCGCCTGAGACCGGTCGTATGCGACTCTCAAGATGCTCACCACTCGGCGCGTTCGTGAGAAGAGCCCAGCTCGAGTTTACTAGGCTTCAATTCCATGATTCTGTCAAGCTTTGGAAGGGCTTCGTGCATTACCGTCTGCCCACGTACCGTGTGTGGTCAAAGAAGAATCCATCTGCCGAACGGGACCCCGTGGACATCAATTTACTGGAGCTTAATCTGGACTCCACTAGTCACCTGGCTCAAGTAGCTTATGGAAATATCGAAATACAAGAGGAGGATGGAACTTATGTCAGCACTAAGGATGTCGAGCGACTGCTGGAGTTTCAGATTGGCGAGCTACAAAGTACGCAGACTTTTCCCATTGAACGTACACATTCATGATGCACACGTGCTAACGAAGCGCAGGGCTCGGAGGGAGAGTCCCAGATGGCATGAAAGTGCAGCTTGAACGTATCGTGACGTCTGGCGTCGCAATACCCAACCTGACTTACTACCTAAGGTGAGACCGAGTTCGCGAAGAAATCCGCCGTCGCTGACGATCTCAGATTCCTCGATGCATGGAGAGCCGGAGACTACCCTTCATCCTTCGACAATCTTCACAGATATTTCGATTATACAATGCATAGTCGTGACCGGAGCTCATATCAATATGCGCTGCTCAACCTCGCAATCCTTCAGGCTGATTTCGAATGCTATGGAGAAGCTGTTTCTGCGATGCAAGAGGCTGTGTCGATTGCCCGAGAGTCCCACGATATGAACTGTCTAAATTTTTGTATGAGCTGGCTGTACCACTTTGGTAAAGCCTTCCCTGAGCAGATGAAAGACGTTCAGAATACGGGAATGCTCGGAAACGAGAAGGAAGGTCTTGCTTTCCTGAAGGCTAAAGCGAAGGAGACTGAGATGTGGAGTCTGCTGAGCACTACATTGCTGAGTGAAGCCAAACTCGAGCTGCAAAACGTGAGCATTCCTGCGTACTGTTGTTCTTGACCACAGCCCTGACAATACTAGGGGGAGAGTCTTGCATCTTCCATGGAAAACATCGTTCGGGCATCACATCTCAATGTTACAAAGAATTTGGTGACATCGATGGGTCCACAGCTTCTACTACAGACTGCGCTTTATGCCAGAATTGGTACCAGACCTACGCATGTGTATTTTTCCTCGTCCAGCCTCTAACATCGGCAGGCGTTACCCATCTATCGTGGTTGAGTAGCGAAATATTTCGCGAATGCTACGCAAACAAGTCACCGTTCGAGGACTATTTGAAGAGTACATTCCGTAGCTGTCAACTGGTATGCCGATTGTTACCGAACTTTCTGATATCTGCTTTCTGACAATCTCTCCAAAAGTTGGCGCAGCAGGGTCGCTACGCTGATATCTCATCTCATATGAAGCAGGTTACACCAGAAAAGTTACGATCTCTCAGAGCGAATCAACAATGGACGTTCTTCTCTGGTATCCTGCAACTCAGGCGGCATATCTGCCGGTATGTGCTCTCCTTGCCCAATGAAGATGTGGTTTCTAACAGCGAACTAGGGATGATAAAGTGGCAGCAGCCTATCTACTCTCCCAGCTTCAAGCGATTCAGCTCCCTGACAATGACGCCTCTCTTCTCCTATCTTTCCTCTCAATCGAACACAAAATCCGGCAAGGCGACTATGCCCGGGCCTTGGAAATCGTCGAGCAGACGGCTCAATCCATGCACCAAGACAACTTCGACATCCACTCTCAGGTGAAGCTGCTTTGTTTCAAAGCGCGCATTTTCGAGAAAACGGGCCATCCACAACGGGGCTTCTCCCTAGCGATGCGAGCCGCCAGTATCGCGCACCGCTCCCGGCTTTTTCCAGGTCTCTGGGAGGCGATCTGCGTGCTTGGTGGGGTCCTGCTAAGTCTACGAGAATTTGAAGCTGTGAATGAGATGGTTGAGAGCATTATGCCTCAGATCCTCGAGACCGAAGACTGTGACCTAGCGGCGCGGGCGTACTCGCTTCTCGTGGACGCGAATATGGGCCTGGCTGGAAAGGCGTGGAGTCAAGGACAGGACACGCCCGCGAAAAAGGAACACATGAACCGTGCCCTTGGCTACCTCGACTGCGCCTACGACCAATATGAAGAAATTGAAGACATCAAGGGTCAATGTGAGATGATGGCTAAGAAAGCCACGGTGATGCACCTCACTGGCGACTTGGTCCTTGCGAATGACTATGCGGCTAAATACCTGGATCTGCAGAGATTGAGTGAGAAGGGGGTATAGCATGCATTGCCGGTGTATAGTACCACATTTGCGTTATGACGAATATGGGAAATCGTGAGAGCAGACAGCTCCTGTCGTACACCGGACTGGACTGCTGCGCGGCAGAGCATATCCATGGGCCGTCCCCGGAAAATCACTCCGAGTCCTTACCTATAGGAATGAAGACGCATTCTACTCGTTTTCCAATAACCTTAGGAGAGTGAAGCACTTGTGTGTAACAAAAGGAAATCAATCAGCGTTGATCTTGTAACTCCTAGTCATTTCACCAAAAAAATCCCCAGTGCACACTCTCACAACGACTTCCGCCCCGATTTTGTGCAGTAAATATACATGCTTTCAATTGCCCTGATCACGAAACCGAGATCGATTGATGGAAGCTGTTGTCCTTATTTACTATAAGGAGTTTAGGTAGCCTTGTCCTTGTTGTGGTAGTTGACCTGGTCGTTCCAGCTGCAGAACAGTCAGCGAATGAATCAAGAGAATGGAAGGAGAATAGGCAGAAATCCGAGTATAGAACGAAATGGCCGCTCCACAAAGATTGTCCAATGAATTGGAGACTTACAAGATGGTCTGCAGAAAATCACCAGTCAGCAAATAACTCTATTGAGAGATCTTATTAAATGACACTAACCTTGTCCCCATCGCCGAAGGGGAAGTTCTTGACACGGATGTTCTGGTAGGGGTACTCGGTACGCTCCTCGAGAGGAGGCATGTGCTCCCAGTGCTCCCAGTGCTCGTTCCAGAGGTTGTAGGCGTTGATACCGCCGAGAATCAGGCAGGGGATGACGGCACTAGGCATTGGTGAGTAAAGTGTTCGATAAATTCGCGGAAAAAGAAGCCGATTGCGTCAGATAACACATACTAGATGGAGAGCTTGCGCCAAAGGTCTGGAGAGCAATTGAGTCAGTATCAAGCATATTATGTCCGTATCATCATCCAAAAAAATTCCTTGGGGCCAATTGGAGTATACGAACCGCTGGTGGCAGCAGCATGGTGCTTGACAGCAGCTCTCTCGCGGTTGAACGTGTTGTCGACCATCCAAGGAAGCTTGTTGTCGGTGCTGTTGAGGCGGCGCTGGAAAGCAGCGCGAGCAGGAGCGCTACGCAGCTGCTGAGCAGCGCGGAGGATGTTGCGTTGAGGGAACATGGTGCTGAGGGGCAGTCGAACGGCTGTTGCGTCTTTCTTCTGCTTTGACAGACAGTGGGATTATACGGACGTCGGGCGTTCCGGCTTAACGAAGCAAAGCCGGTTTAGCGTCCCCGTGATTCGTCTGCGGGCTGCCGCTGGTGCCTTAGTCATCAATCAGGCCATCATCGCGTGATGTCACGGCGCCTCCACATCACGTGCCATCACGGGATCGTATAGCTGCAGCTACAGCTGTACGACGAGCAAGTACCACGAATCGATTTTATTGAAGGAGATGAAGTAAAACTGTCCGCTTTGGATATTCTCCGAGCTCTGGCTGACTGTGGTATGCGCTTGAAACACGTTTCACAGCATCCGCGATGGGGTTTCGCATAACAACATGGAACGGTAAGCTTGATTGATATCGGAAATCAGTTCCCCTGCTGGATACTCGGATTGAAGATTAATCTATATAACAGTGAACGGGATACGGTATGTGTAGTAGACATTCACAGTGGCAAATTGTGGTGCTGAGATCTCGCAGGAATCCATTCTCGTATGAACCATGGAGAGGCAACCGAACCTTCGAGGTGGATTTACCCAAGGTCCTTCATATCTAAACGAGAGGCTCATCATAGAACAGTCAATGTTTGATATTCTCGAGGCAGATATTGTCATTTTTCAGGAGACCAAGATTCAACGAAAAGATCTCCGCGATGACATGGTGCTAGTACCTGGCTGGGACTGCTACTTCAGTTTACCCAAAACCAAGAAGGGTGCGCCCTCCAAGGTATCCGGGATGTTTTTCAGTTCTGACATCTTTCAGGATACTCCGGAGTTGTGATATACACTCGAAATGCGACATGCTGTCCCATCCGCGCAGAGGAAGGTCTTGCGGGAGTTCTCTGCCCGCCCAATTCGTCGGTGTCTTTTCGAGATCTGCCTGAAGAGCAACAAATAGGAGGCTATCCAACCATTGAGCAACTGTCAGAGCTAGAGGTTGATGCAGCTACTCTGGACTCGGAAGGTCGTTGCGTCATTCTAGAGTTTCCTGCATTTGTTCTGCTTGGAATTTATTCACCAGCCAATCGCGACGAATCACGGGACAATTTTCGCCATAGCTTTATTGACCTGATGGATGCTCGCATCCGAAATCTGGTTGCCATGGGGAAGAGAGTCTTTGTCACAGGAGACCTCAACATTGCGAAGGGGGAAATCGATGCAGCTCATGCTACCGAGGCCATCAGGAAGGGAACAATAACAGAGGACGATTTCATATCTGTCCCGGCACGGCGCGTGTTCAATCAACTTCTTTCTGACGGCAGAGTAATTGGTGAGCGTGATGAAGGGAGGGAAAGTCCTGTTTTATTTGATATCTGTCGGTCGTTTCATCCCGGCCGAAGGGGAATGTACACTTGTTGGGAGCAAAGAATCATCGCTCGACCCGGCAATTATGGCTCGAGGATAGACTACGTCCTGTGTAGCCTGGATATGCAAGATTGGTTCAGCGATTCGAATATTCAAGAGGGCCTAATGGTAAGCCCCGAGGTTGCTAAGGCTTTATTGTAGATTGATTGACCAGCTGACTTTATGCAATTGGAACAGGGATCCGATCATTGCCCGGTTTATGCGGTCTTCAAGGACGTCGTACGCCTCGGCGAGAAAGAGGTCAACATTTTTGACATAATGAACCCTCCTGGTATGTTTAAAGATGGCCAGCGTCAGCAAGAATACTCTACTAAATATCTTCTCCCTACGTCGGGACGCTTGATACCGGAATTCGACAAGCGGAGAAGCATCAAGGACATGTTCTCGCGTAAACCATCAACCAACGTACAGACACCAACGACGAATCCCCCGACGTTGAAACGATTTGCCTCTACCCAGGCAACGGAAACGCCAATGGCTGTTTCGGAGAGCACCGCCAGCCGGTCTGTAGCAGTTTCTGATAGCACTCAAACGAAACAAATCGTTCGTAAGAGGTCTCAGAAAAGTGAGACAGGTACCCCTGTCTCAGTCAAGCGTTCGAAATCTGGCTCAGCTCAACCATCGGCGCCTTCCGCTGCTGGACAGAGGACTTTAAAGGGGTTCTTCAAACCTAAAAGTGATCCAGCCGGCCAAGCGACCATAACCCAGGATTCTGCGTCGGTGTCTACTGAACCAACAACACAAACAGCCGCGTCCCCTACGAAATCTACCACAGTTACGGAACCTGCGACATTGGAAGCATTACGGACAGCTCCCTCTGGTGGAGCTTCACCGGGAGAACAGCCAAATTCCGCGACCACCACAACTCCCGCTTCGTCCCAAAACGATGATACGGTTCACGATCCCATTGCCAGCAAGGAGGACTGGTCAAAGCTCTTCACTAAAAGGCCCGTTCCCAGGTGCGAGGGTCACCAGGAACCATGCATCAGTCTGACAACTAAGAAGCCTGGCATCAACTGCGGAAGATCGTTCTGGATCTGTCCGAGGCCACTTGGGCCCAGCGGGAACAAGGAAAAGGGGACGCAGTGGCGATGTCCTACATTTATATGGGCCAGCGATTGGAACCCTTCCGCTCCGTAGGTTTCTGTCTATTCAACTTTCTTTTTTGATAGTGCAACGATACCCGGTTTCGTACTTAGAAGGCTAGGAATGGTATGAGATATCATGGTTTCGGCGATGAGACATTTGGTGCGGAGTAGAATGAGACTCTTCGAGGTATATCCGACTGTAAACAGGAGTAAGTATGGGACGAAAGGGGGGACAGCGAGCTGAATCCCGAGAGCACTTGGCCGGATTGACGGCTACTTGTCGTCTCTCTTTCCAAGCAAACGCATAGCAGTCGATTTTCCTCAAGCAAGAATCAAAAGTACCTCGTGGCCCCTGAGGAACGCATGTTCCGGTGTCCACGGCAACAAGCATGCCGGAACCGGATATGACAGGTGCACGGTTCTCCAGCGGTTGCAGCATGCAAGGGCCCGCCAGGACCCGCGGACCGCCTTGCAGCATGTCTTGGAATTGGGATCTAATTAAACAGCCTGCAGAAGCTGTCGGGTAACCTTGAACAGCAAGCAGGGCAGTAGACTCGCGGAACTTACTCTCGACCTCGAGGATGAGCTGATCAGATGAGGAAAAGAGAGTGGACACTTGAATAACACATACTGATTAACTCCGTTCTTTGTATTTGTTTGTCTGCTATGTCCTAACTAAGTGACTATTTAGAAGTCTGATATTCTCGGAGTAATTACACTGATTCGTCTGATATCTTCTGAAAACATGTCTCCAGAGCCATCAGAGATCCTTCCACCGCCCACGATAAAAAATGAAGAAAACAAATGACCCGCGCCGGTATGGTACAATGTCAAGGCAACGATGTATCGAAACCCTCAGTCAGAGGTGCGAATGTAGAAATGTACACGGGGTGCTTGCTCAAGTAACAACAACAGAAGGGGCAAAAAAGACAAGTAGAGAAGAAGCACATGTTCCAGTCCATCCTAGAAGCAATCGGAGATGAAGTCAGTGAACTCAAAGTTCTCTCCGATCTGACCCTCGGGAAGGCTGAGTTGCTGGTAGAGGGCAGCCTTGTTGTACTCGTTCTGCATCTGATGCATGAGATCGAACGCATTTGGTTCAAAATGATACTGCTGGTCCTCCGGCATGCCGTTAGGAGTCATAATGGCATTCATACCTGGAACACCTTCGAAAGCAGCATTGAAATCAATCTCGCCCACTGGCATGCCCTGGAGCATGGCAGGAGTGGAGACATCAGACGGGATGTTCGTTGAAGCCGGAGTATCGAGCAAGGCAGCGGGCTTGGTGTTCTTGGAGAACTGACGGGATGAAGCACGACGCTTTCTTTCAGAAGGCTTGCGGGGGGTGTAATGATAGTCCGGATGATCTTCGGCGTGCTTCTTCTTGAGCTCTTCTGCTAGGTTTCGGAATTGGGCCTTGACCTCTTCATCTTCGTCTTTCCACTGCTTCCCAAGCATGATGGCTATGCATATTAGTAAATATGATCGTACAAAAAAGTATACGCAAGCAACTTACAGATGTCGTTGTTCGAAAAGTCAGGATATGCTTCCTTGATCTTGGGGTGATGATGCTGACGATACAGAATGAAAGCATTCGGAGGACGCGGGACCTTCGGCGCCTTCATAGGTCCCGCAGGTTTTCCACGAGGTTTGAAGGATCCAGATACGTCAACCTTGTCCGTCTTGACAGCTGCACCGTGGGATGCAACCGAGACAGCTGTTCCGGAAAACGCTGGGGTACGCATAACACGGAGAGCTTTGATCGACTCGTCAACGAAGGCAACAACAGGTGCGCCAATGAGTGCACTGTCATTCCGTGTTATCAGTCAAGCTTGGGAGAGGCTCTAGAGTAGACACTTACCCAAGACGGGTTTTGATCTTGTCGACATTGTCCTGGCCGATCATGTCGGTCACATTGATGGGGAGGAGGACCTCATTGTTCGTGGACTCGAGGTGACGCAAAGCATCCTGCCACAAGAGCTCTGTGAGAGTGTCGGTAGATTCCGCTGCCGACTTCATGGCGATTGGAACTGTAGCCATTTCTGTTCTCGGCCTGCAGACAAGATTACTGCGAACAATGTTGAGATCTTGAAGTATGGAACTCCGCAGCCCTACTGTCGAATTTGAAGAGGGTCGAAAAGCGAAGGAGAAAGCCTAAGAAGAAAGGTATCTTTTGGACAGAGCGAAAAGTTAGAGATAAGCATGCTAGATGGGAGAAAAAAGTCCAAAGTCTTTGTAAAACATGGCAAATGAGGCTGGTGTTCGAACTTGAGGGGAGGTTGGCGGGTTTCTTTGTTTACTCAGGTGAATGCTTGAAGTCACTTCACTTCTTCACCCAGCCTCTGACCACTCAGTTCATCTTCACTTCAGTAAACCAACACAAAAGAATCATAAGTTCTCTCATTTCAAGTCTTCTACCTCGACATCTTCTCAACTCTCTTGTCCTTCGCAGTTTCTCAACTGTTCCTCTCTTTGCTCTACGAACGATCCTCATCAAAGATTTCCCTTCAGGCCTCGTGTATCTCAAAGAATCTCATATTGACGACTCTTCAATATGGATCATGAACGAGATGTTCTTCTGTGGTATCTTGGTACTGTCGCTGACAATGCCCGTTACCCGCCAGACTTGAGAGACAAGGCTACCCACATCATCGCTTCCTTCATGCGCCACAGAAACGCTTACAGGCTCCTGGCTCAGGCTACTGAATTGGCCAGAGGAGAGCTTGTTATGTATCCGTTTCAGCAGGTCGGTAACATTCCTAGAAACATTGGGCTCCCTGTCCGGCGTTTCGGTCAAAACATTCGTGCAATTACGACTGCTTTTGGCATTATCCCAACCAATGCGGACTACGAAGGTCACCCAATCGAGCTCATCAGCATTCTTGATCCCACTGTTGAGGCAAACATGAATGACAACCAGAGACTTGAGTTCCATCGCGCACTGCTTGTCAAGGAACGACAGGCGAATGCCGATCTCGCGAGATCCGTTCAGCGTTACGGTTACCACTACATCTTTAGAGCCGGTCTTCAGCAGTACTACATGACGTATGTATTTCTGCACATTTTTATCTGAATTCTGCTTACAGTTTTAGCAAAACTGTCGTGGAGATGCTCAACTTCTGGACTCCGGATCCTCGTGGTAATGCCTATCGTGTTCGTGTTCAGCGCGTCTGCTATGCAGCCATCGAGACACGTCTTCGACTCAACAATCTCGAGAAGACACTCCTCATCAGAACGACTCGCTCTCTGCCTAATGATGCGTTACGCTTCTGTAAGTACATCTGTGCTCTGCTGTCGGGCGTGCTAACTCTTGTTAGGGGCTTGGATTGAGAGAAACCGGGTGGCCTACAACGCGATGAAAGCTTGTATTTTGCTGCTGAATCGTCTGAACTGTAAGAATTCTGAGACTTCTCACATGGATGGTAATACTAACTTTGCCTTAAGAGACAGCTTCATAGCGTACATCAGGGGTCACCTTCTCGTGCATCACGCTCTCTTCCGGTGCTTTCGGGCAACTCGCATATACTTCGAAGAAGCATTTTGTACCAAAAGGCGCTGCTTGATGATGTCTCATCAATCTACTCGTGTACACTACTTAAACTGTTTCAGTATTCGGCTCTTTTCATCTTCCCATCGGCGTTACGAGGCAAATCGCGGTTACGAAGCGACCCTGGTTTTCCTTTGTGACGACATCAGCCTTGCGATGCACGCCGACTTTCGATGATTTGGGGCTTTCATGATTCTACAATCGACATCAAGTGGTCTAGCTTATGGATGTCTGGCGCAGTTTCCGTTTGTTATCTGGGTTTCGAAGGGTCTCGTCGGGCTTGCAGTTTACAACGATGTCATGGTCTTTATTTCTTTCCTTGTTTCCCTGAGCACCGATGCACTTCTCGTGGAAGTCTTTCCTACCGGTGGCTCAATCAATTAGCATAGCTTAGCTAGTCAAAAGATTAAAAAAAATGATAATAATTTCGAGGTACTTCATCGCTCTCACAAATAGGATAATTGCTCTTCCGAAGGCACTTTAACTTCTACTCTCTCTGCAAAACGACCTTCTTCCTCGTATATTCTGTATAGCATCACAGAGTACGGGCTCGTTTCTTTTCCTGAGCGGACGAGTAATCCAGAGTACAATCTTTGATCAAAGACTCGCAATTTTCCTCGATTTCCTTGGGACAAACACATCGTCGATCTGGTATGCCAGCCACCTCGAAGCTCCAGACCCGCAGAGGTATGGGGGTACATCATAGCTTCACAGAAGCGAAGACAATCCAGCCACCCATCTCCAACCGGCTTTTCCCTCTTAGTTTACATGCAGTGAAAGATCTCCCGAAATCTGTTTCCTGTCACCTTCGCCACCGTTCTGTCATCCGTGAATTCGAACGAACTACAAGGTCGGTATTTCCCTTCTACCCAGCCATCCACAACGACAGATCGATGCACTTCCTTTCAGTCTTGCTAGCCACCAGCTACCCAGGCAAGTGTGGGGAAAGCTCGGATGAAAGCTGGAGACTGCCGTTCACTCGTGGCAAGATCCATAATGCTACCTCCCACCTGCCACCTGCCACCACGAGGCGGAATCAACATGCTTCAGCCTTCACAAGATCGACGCAACGACTCGAGCACAAGCCCGGCCGAGAACAAGGTGCGCCACCGTCATTTAGGTACTCTGTCACTGTCACATTTCTTATCTGTATCACACTCGAACCACACAGAGCACACCAGCCCCACCAATCAAGACTCTTGCCCAAAACAGTAGCAAGAAGCAAGAAACCAACCCAACATGAGACGGACTCGCGGTCCATCCAACTGGCCACTGGCCCCGCTCCTCTCACCAACTTGACTGACAGACCAAGAAACCCAGTGCACAGTGTCCAAAGAGCAGGTCAGTATCCACCGCAACCCAGCTCGCCGGAATAGGAAACCGTTTACAAAAGTCCAGACATGCAAAGTTGCTGACCCTCACGCTAGACTAGTGTACCAGCAGGGGTACGCTGCGAACCAAGCCAAAGCCAAAGCCGAAGCGCGAATTGAGAACGATCTACGCCGAGTCCTACAAGCCTCCTCCCTTACAAACCAATCTCGACGACGTCACAGAAAGCGGGGGTTTGGGATCCCTTGTTCTTGTTCCCCGACTCCCTGTCCCAAGCGTCATGCATACACGAACAAAGAAACCCGCAATTAGCCCTAAGTCTAAACTCCGGCGTCACGATAAGATTTGCGGTGGGACCCGCGCCAAGACGAACCGGCATCTGTCAGCAGGGAGTGTTGAGGGCCAAAGACCGAATGGGAATGCGGCGGCGAATGAGAGGACAAAGAACCCGTCAAGTTTCAACGCGATGGGCGCGCAAGGGGCTTCTGTGGGGGATGCAGACTGGACTGTGATTGATGCACTGCGGCACTCCCATGGATGCAAGGGCTGTCAGCTGGTTGTAACTCGATGCGGGTTCAAAACGATCAATCTGCATCTGGCATCTGTACTAGAGGCTTAGCCTAACCTCGGATACAATCAATTGACTGTGTTTTTGCCTTTTTGATGGACAAAGGATGAAAGTATGTGTATCCCTCGTGGTGTAGCCGCGCAGAATCTAGTCCCTCTTTACTCGTTACTACATAGTACTATGCAAAACTCGATTTTTGTGCGTAACACCGATACATACACCAAAATATATTGCTCCCTAGTCTTGGTATATTCAATATATGAAGAAGAGACCGCATAACGAAGGGAATCTGGGCAGACTGGACGAAATGAATACAGAGCAACCGGGGATTAGAGACACAAGAGAGAAGGAAAGAAGGAATGACGGACTTGTCCATCTGTAAATATCGAGAGGCAAGCAGTAAAATACAACTACATTGCCACCATGGCTTGATCACCGAGGTTGTTTCTACCACGAGCACCACGTGGACGGAAGGCAATCCCGCAAAACCCACGGATATAGACACCTTGTAGACCACCAACTCTCACCAATGGTAATCGGGGAATGGACTTTAGTCCTCCTGGTAAGAAATCTTGCGCATCTCTCCAAGGCGTTGACGTGCCCGGGCCAGACTGTTCTCGAGTTGAAGGATTTCGACCTATTGCGAGCAAACAACCAGTCAGCATCTTCGAAAGAGACACGCGCTAAAAGCAATGTAACATATTGGACAAAATCAAGCATACCTGTTGCTCCATTTCTCGCACCTTGAACTCGTGCGAGCTGAGCTTCGCATAGTCAACGGTCTCCCCTTCATCCCGATTGCGTTCGGCAATGATGTCTTGCACTTGTCGCACCAGAGCGCGGCAAGCGGCACCGACCGCCTTGCTAGCGGCCTCGAGGCGATCCTGCGTCTTGCTCATGAATGTGGCCTTGACTCGGCTAGCAGCCACCAGCTGAGCAGTGCTGGCGGCCACATCGTTACTGGCCACGATCAACTGCTCAGGAGAGTTGCGGCCGGAGATCACACCGTCTGCTGTCTCGATCAGAGTATTGGTCGAGGTGGCAACAGCCTTGGCGGCCGAAATCAGACCCTCCGTCCACCGGTTGTTCTTCTTGTAGAAAGCCGTTCTGGACGAGCTGCCACGGCCCTCACGCACGATTTCCTGTTGAGATTCCGTCGCAGCCTTGATCAGCTCGGCAATCGCGTTGGTAACGGCAATAGCAGCCGCCAAGATCACATCGTTGATGCGAAGCTCATATGTCGAGAAGCCTTCGCGAGGCTTCGTCTTAAGCTTGGCCAAACGTGCTGCTGCTGCCTCGATAGCATCGGCGGCCTTGCTAAGCTCTTTGTCCACCAGATCGCCCAGGTCGCCGCTGGTACTGATCTTGGTGCTCTTGGGAGCAAACGCGTCAACCAGTTTCGACAACGACTGCAGATCTTTCTGAACCTCCAAGTTGTTGTTGATCACAACATCGGTCTTCTGCAGAGGCTCCAGACCCTCAAGACGGAAGGACTGCAGTCCGCGGAAGAAGCGCACGGTCGCCTGGGCCGACTTACGCGCCGCATTGAGCAACTGGTCGGCGCTCTTGTCGTCGTTGGCGAAACGAGTGAGACCCTTAGTGTTGCTCAACACATCCGCAATGGAACCAGAAAAGATAGACACAGTGCGGATAATCTCGGCATGGGGACTGTTGGGGCCGTCGGCTATGAAATTGTTGAAAGCGGTCGAAAACTCGGTTGCGGACGCAGACGCCTTCTCGACCTGAGAGAGCACGTAGGGAGGAGAAGCGTTCTGGTTACCAGCCTGCATGGTGGAGTCAAGTTCGTACAACGCGTCATCGACACGCTGCACACCTGTTTGGAGGACCGAATCAATAATGTCGTTAATCTTGGTCACAGTGCCTTGCAGGACGGTGTCAATTTGAGAATCCAATGCGTGATCGACGTCACCCTGGCTCTGTATTGTTCTCTAGCATCAGTCACAGTCCAAAATAGCAATGTAAACAGCAGAGACCACAATAAGTAAAGACGTACCAGTTTTAGCTCCTCCAGCTCCATGAGGGCCTGTTCCATTCCCGACTTGTAAACCTCGATCTCTTCATCCTTCTCGCGCAGCGCAAGTTCATGGTCTCCTTGGCGATCCATGTTCCGAGATGAAATTTCTTCCAAGGCGCGAGTTTTGTTCTGGCAATTGAGTCAGCGGACTTATAGAAAAAATTTCCAGGTCATGAAACTCACTCTGAGTGCCTCCTCGAGGTCCGCCATCTCACGGTTGTACTTCGACAACAGCGTCGAGATCTCGGTGCCCTTTGAGCGCTCAGCATTCTCAGCGCGTTCGATGGCAAGCCGAAGCTCGCGCTTAAGCTTCTCCAGTTCCTCCTTATTGGTCCCCGTCAAGCGGTCCCTGTCATGCAGAGCACGATCCCTTTCCCTGATCATATCAGCCAGTTCAAGGTTCTTCGTCTTCAGCTCCCGCTCAAGCTTCTCGCGCCGCTCAATTGCCTCTTGGGCTGACGCTGCCTTGAGTTTGAGGCTCTTGGTCGTCTGCAGAAGGTCCAGATGCTCCTGTCGAAGCTGGGAGTAGAGCTTGGCCAGGGCCTCGTACTTGGAGCGCCAAGTATTGACTTGCTCCTGCAAAGCGCGAATCTGTTCGTCTTTCGAGGCGTTTTGCATATTCAAGTTCGTGGTCAGCTGCGCCATCTGCTCCTCCAGATCCTTCACGCGGCGATCATATTGCTGCAGCATCAGCTGGTCACGCTCGTACTGCGCCCTGGCGTTCAGATTTTCCCGTTCAAGCTCCGCCAATCGACCCTGCGTGTGGGTCTGATACTGCTCACGCAACAGTTGCTCCTGAGCCAGTTGCTGCTGCTCCGCCTGCAGACGCTGCTGTTCCTCAAAGTCACGTTGTGCTTGCTGCTGCGCAAGAAGTTGCTGACGCTGCTGTTCTTCCCACTGTTGCTGAAGGCGCTGCTGCTCCGCTTCAAACTCCTCCTGTTGACGCTTCGCCTCGTTGGTCCAGAAGTCGTTGATGGGCTCCGGCTCAGCAGCCACTGGCTTCGGCGGCGGAGAAGGCTGTTTCTCAACCTCCTTCGTCGGCCGTTTTGGTAGAGCTGGACGATCCTCGTCTTCGCCCAACAAGCTCGGAGGATCTTGAGGCAACTTGGGGACAGTGATCAGACTCGTGAGATAACGCAGGTTTGAACATTCATAGTAGAATCGGACAAGTCGATGGTGCTGTGCGTCGTATCGACCACGAAGTGGCTCGAGTGCCTCGTTATCTCCCGTAGCTATGAGTGAAAAATCAGGTCAGCTTTCAAAAGGCGACCTGCTCCGAGGACTAGCGGAGGCTTACTGGTATGCATAGCCCTTAGCATGCTAGTGATAAACTTGTAGATGCCATAGCTTTCCTGAACAAGGGGAACCAATGCGGAGATTCTACACTCGTTATTGGTTCCCGACTGGAAGTGGGAGAAGATGAGCTTCTGGAAAGTGTCGATCTGATCCTGTAGGGTCATGAGATCGGTAATGGTCTCGTATCTGGAACAGTCGTCAGTGGAGGTCACCGTCGGTGGACGCGAAGGGCATAGCTACCCTTCATTCGGATCGTTGATCGTCTTCAAACTGATGTACTCCTCGTATTCAAACAGCCCTTGACAGAAAACGTCAGTATCCCATAATAAGCAAGCCTCCGGCTCCCTTACCGTTGAACTCGGGATGATTCCGATGAAACGCCAACTTCGACTCGAGGAAGAAGACATATTCGCGAATAAGCGGACCGTATCCTAATGAGACACACACAAGTTAACCAAGCGCTCTCCTGAAGCCGAACCGTCTCTGCCGCATACCTCGAATCCCATCCCCTCCGACACCCCTCATCAAGCTGTCAATCCAATTGACATGCTGCTGCGCTTCTCTCACAACAATCGGGTGACCTTCCTGCAGAACTTTGTGTATCGTAATCAAGGCCTTGAATGTCTGGACTTCGTCGGCGAGCACAGGTTGACTACATGGAACCGGAGCGCCACAAAGTCAGTCATCATATCCACAACATAGCCACGCAATTTTTAAGCCATCACGCACACTTTCATGCCAGCCCAGAAGGCGGCAGAGGACTTGTGGTCCCACGTATAGACGATACAACTCCGGACATGTTTCCCTGGCGAACAAAGATCAGCGGCGAGCTCATATCAGGGGAAGCCGAGGCCGATGCGCGCAGGCGTCTCAGCGGGTGATCTGCATACGTTTCGGGGCGGTTTCCTCTGCCAGTTGCAAATTCCAGATCAGTCATATGAAACATTTGGAAAAGTAAGCATATGGTGTACTCGCGGGCAGACGTACCGATACTTGTTGCTTTCCGGATGTTGATCGCGAGATCAGCCTCCGTGCTACGTGGACGTATTAGATGACCCGTTCCTTTATCTTCGCAGGCTCAATTTGCAAGTCAATCAGACAAGCTACTCACCGACTCATTTTGAATGCGGGCGATTTCACGGGTTTCGCGGGGATCAGGGGAGCAGAAGACGATCGTAGTAGATGCGGCGGGAGCCGGTGGGCCCGTGACAGCGGGCGTGGATGACAAGCAACACTTGCGCTAAGTTAACAGGGAAAGACAGAACAATTAGGGAGCAAATAAGGCAAAAGACAAGTAGTAAAAGGCCCAGAGGAAAAAGAGAGATATAGAGAATGACTGTGATGGGGTAGCGATCGAGATTGCAGGGTGGCAGAGCCCAGAGAATGACGTTTTGGGCGTCTATCGGGAAAGTTGGCGCCTGCAGTTCGGCCATCACAAGTCTTGGCAACGCGTAGTCCTCCTCCTGATAGAGTCTCCTTAACGGAGGGCATGAAGCCCAAGATTGCGATTACATACGTGAAGCTTCTGCCTAGCGATAGATCTGAATATGCATGAATCTGAGAACCCGGGCGACTGCTGTATGCTCAATGTACTAACTTCAACGTCTACCTTGAAACTGTGCTAGTACTACTCTGTAGAATGAGATGGCAATTGGTTGGTCCATCTACCCAATGATGAGACAATACAAAGAGACCACATTATACTGCGGTCAGCCCTCCAATAAACCTATCTGCACCAAGAACGCCGGCTTGTCCACAAGCATTCACTGGCTCTGCGTCGCAGAACCGTCCGGATAAAACATGTATACAAAGTGACAATGAGACTGGAGGTTTCTTCCTTCATCAGATGTCTCAGCCGAAGTGATACAATTCTCACTAGGGTAAGATTCCATCTGTTGCCGACAATATTTCCATGCCGTGCTTTGTGATACCGGGCATTGCTTGACCAAAGGAGTCATGCTCGCTCGATTTTTGCTCCGTACCATCATCCCAGCGACGGCTTGCAACCACATCGTCCGATCCGGAAAGGGAGAGATCCCGCGTATTGCCCTGAGTCGCACTCGGCAGTACTATACCTATCTCAGAAGCGGAATCAGGCGCCGGGCTATTGGGCGTCGAATCGTATGGCGCCTCAACCACGAGCAATTCGTCGGGGCTGCTTTCGTCACCCTCCGGTCTCGTTGGAGGCTTCCGTTTTGGCAGGGGCGGCTTTGGGACGGGCCGCTTCGCGTCACCTTTGGAACGCTCGGGGAGTGGCGGCGGTACAGGCTTCCGTCGAGGTATAGGGTTACTCCTGATACCGAACTTATCAGGGCGCGGTAATGGGGTGCCTGGCGGAGGAAGAGGATGACCACGTCCAATCGGCTCGTCGGGAGTGCCTGCAGGCCGAGAGATTTCCTGGCCATTTGAATCCCCCTTTCCAAACACACTCCAACTCCATTTCTTTGCTGCGGCGGTCGCTGTACCCAGCGAGATAGATAATTTTGGCTTCTCTTCGGGAGCAGTCGAAGACACGACGGACCTGGTCAGGGTCCCTACTGTTTCCAACGTGCTTCGCCTGCGCGATCTTTCGCTATTGATAGACGCGTTCGAACTTCCATTAGCGCTTCGGAGAGCGATTGACGATTCACTGGCCAAGTGCGCAGATGTAGGGCGCGCTGGGGAGCTGCTGCCGAACTCGCTAACACTTTCAATAGACTCCATAAATGAAGACCCTCGGCTGGGAGATAGCTTCTCGGGGTTCATCTGGCTGATTGAAGGCGGTGATCCATTCGGCGTCTTATTCGGCGAGCTAGGAGGCGAACGGCTCGAGATCTCAATCATGGCACTGGCAGCACTGCTCTTCTCTTCGCCCTTGGAATCACTCGTAGCTTTTTCAATCTTGATGTTGTCAGCGGTGACGACAGGATCGGCCACATTAGAAAACGTTTGAGATCGAATAGCGCGAGGCGGAGACAACCCGCCTGTTTTATCAACGGCAGATGATATACTCGTTTCGGAGTCTGTTGTGACCGACTTGGAGCTTTTGCGTGATTTCAGCGATCCGGCAGTGGTCTCCAAAAGCACTGGCATGCTCATTGCGCGATCGTCCTTCGTCTTCAGAGCGTCAATTGAGTCCTTTGTAGTCGGAGTCTGTGGCTGACTGATTGACTCGTCAGGAATTTCAGCCTTTGAATCTTGCCCTGGGACCTCGCGTTGCCAGATGCCGCCGCGGTAAGGCTGCGAAGCGGTGTCCAGGAAGGGAATATCATCCCAGTATGGCTGAACAACACTCTCGGCAACAACTTCGCGAATTCTACTCTCGATAGTTCGCAGAATAATGCCGTAAGTTATCTGCTTCGAGCTGACAATCGGTTCGATGTCCATAACCATGTTTGGCATTGTTTCGAAAGAAACCCACACTCTGTTACTGGGCGGGGGCTTGAACCGAATCAGCATATGTCCTTCAAGCTTCTTGAGGACTACAGCGAGCACAATGTCGACTTCTCGTGCCTTGAAACGAGGACCTAGGTCAATGCGAACAGTGGCCGAAATCTCAAGGCGAAAGTTGCCGGTATATTGGATGTCAGTCTCCACGCAGCAGTTTCCATCGACCGTCAGGTCCTTGAGCCTCGGGTTGGTGATAAAAGGGGCACCTTCACCCATGTCAATTCGCTGCAGACAGATCTTGCTGATGAAGTTCGGCTTGTTGACCCGGGAGATCTTCTTCGTGATCTTCTGCCGAATGAACTCTTCCACCTCCGGGGTCTTGTATAAAGCCAGGAAGAGTCTGCCGAGCACGGCGTTGATCCACCGCGTCTGCAGCTGCTCCTCGGATGAGTGCAGGCGTTGGACCAGTGTGACAATATGCTTGACGTCAAACTGCTGGTGCTTGGGCGGACAGTTTGGAAAGTCGCCCATTCTGGTCTGGTTCTGGAGCATAGCGAAGTAAAAATCTTCCTTTTCTGATAAATTGTCGGAAAAGAGGTAGAACGGAGGGGTCGGCCCTCCCAGGTCACCAAGGGAGTCCAACCGCCTCGAAAGACAAATGGCGTTCCTTTTCAGCCATAGTTCGCCCTCCAAGATTTCTCCTTCACCACCGTAAATGCTCACATCGTGGTGCGCGAGCGAAACGACATATCGGACTTCCACCTGGTTGGCGTCGTCATAAAGCATCAAATGGCCATGTCTATCCAGCGATATGGTCAGCATTGAGGAATGCCAAAGGGACGGCACTAATCGACACCTACCGCAGAACAATGTAAAACACATTACGGGCCCTTTTCCCGTTCTTGCCATTGTTCTTCGCAGGCTCGATCGTCGGCGTTTGCTTCCTATCAAACAGACTCCGGTACATAGTTTGGTAGACGCTGGGGCTCTCGGCGGCGATCACCTCACCCGCCGGTGTGGTTCTCTCGGGAGGCTTGCCATTGACTCCACCAGGGACATACTCGCGACAGACAGCAAAATAGCCGGCAGCGACATCGGACTCGTGAGTCCGCTGAAACTTTTCTGCTAGCTCATCCGTGCCGGATTTCAGACTGAACTGATCATCGGTCGGTCGTTGAATGCTATCTGGAGATGGTCCGTCTGGATGATCGGAGGGTGGGGAAGCGCGCGGAAACGTAAGATACGCATGAAGGAGAACCATCGACAGGACAAGCGGGATGAAGGTGAGTCCGCCGATCAAGTATGCGACAAGAAAACTACCGAATGAACCCATCGGGACCAAGTCAATCAAAGAAGTAGCAGGAAAGGCTCCATTGTCGTCGGTATCACTGTTGCGACCATGTGAGGGGAATAGAGCCAAGGGCAAGATAGCGGAAGGAGCACACTATGTGGCAGGTATAGGACGACAAGGAGAGAGAGAAGGAATGAGTGATTCAGGAGGTAGACAGAGATTCAAGAAGGAGAGGAAAAAGGATATCAGGGACCCATGGAAAGAGAGCGAGATAGACGCAGGCACAGTCGTGTCTAATGCAATAATGTATCGCTGTACTCTGTCTCACGTGGAACAGACAGCCGGCGAGCTAGGTACTTTAGGTAGTGAGGACGATTCAAGGGCAATCATGAGTAACAACACCACCATCGACAATATGACCAGGATCGTCGGTGCTCCTTATTCGGTCTTCAACCCCTCAACAGCTCAGGAGTAGATAGATAGATAGTTCATGCGTATGCAAGCGACTGCCGTGAAAATACTGCTCAATTCTGCTCCCGTACCTTCCGCTTGTAATAATAACAGATCCCTACCTTAGGAATCGGCCTATGACGGCACCTGACGATAGCTGTCCCAACAGGGTTTAGTGCAGCTTGTGGGTCTGGCATGAGGAACGTTGTGAACTCCGCAAATCAGCATCAGTAGGTGCTGTGCAGCTGGAACATCATTGCTCCCGCTCAATCATCTGATGGAATATCAATTAGATCCATCCAATGAGTAGAGCCCTGCAGGGAGTGTGAAAGCATCAATCTGAAACCATTTTGAAGCAATGGTTGAGACGGCCACGAGTTGATGAATAATTTGGGAATGAGCAGTCTATTTACTTCATACATGCAGTCTATCTATCTATCTGTCCAATACTATGAACTCCCCTGAAGTACCTCCCCTATGCTACGGAGTACTAGGGCTACAGCTAAATGCCCTCAAGATGTGGTCAAGATGACCTATTTAGGTAGTCACTCAAGGTCAGATATCTAGCGCTCGACCATCACTGCATCATAGCACATTACAAAACTACATGTCTCACTCATAGTCAAATGAATACATGATGCCACAATTCGCAATACTAATAACATACAGCATTTGATAATCTAATAAAAGCAAAACATCTATGGTCCCATAAGAATCACATGAAGAAAGATTGGATCTATTGACAATTACATTTTATGTCTTCCTGTCTCATTATCATATGTCTATGACCTTTCTTATCGCTGTCAACCAGATGCAGAAACAAAGGGAAGGCATAAATTGGTGAGAGGGGACAGAAAGATGCAAATTCTAGGAATCATAGAAGGAGAGGGTTAATGATACATAGATAGTGGAAGGATAATGTCACACTCGGTCGTACGTCGCGATCGACGGCTGTACACTTTGGGTCAATCTGTGGTTGGATGTGGAGAGCGTATGAAATCGGGAGAATGTGTAGGCAACTTAGTCCTGAGGACCAGCTGGTATATACCATCCTCCGACGGACTCCTGACGCAGCCTTTTAAAGTAATTCACTTCCTCCGATTCATGGTTTTCTCGCACATCTGGATCAGACCACTCTTCGCTTCACTGTCAGGGAAGTTGCTAATGGCAGCAACGGCCTTATCGGCGTACTCCTGGGCCAAAGCGCGCGTCTGTTCAACACCATCGCTCTTATACACAATCTCACGGGCCTGGCGAGTTGTCAGCTTTCGGTCTTATCACACTGCTGCAAGATGAATCATTTTCCAAGGCTAGAAAATCACCACTTACTCTTTGTACGTCTCCTTCCTGGCTAAACTTGCGGCCCACTAGGGGACCCAGCTCAGGGTTTTGTTTCCAAGCGAAGAGCAGCGGAGCAGTCGCAAGTCCCAGTTCCAGATCTGCGCCAGCAGGCTTGCCCAACTCGACCCCGCTCACCGTATAATCCAGCAGATCGTCCACCAGCTGAAACGCCAGGCCGAGATTGCGTCCATAGGAATAAGCAGCTTCAACCACCTCGGGCGTACTACCACCAAGCAATGCAGCAGCGCGGCATGATTTGCTAATCAGACTAGCGGTCTTCAGATAGGTCTTCTGCAAGTAGTACGAGATGGTTTCGTCGGTGAAAACGGGATTTTTCTCGTCCGCTACAGTGTTCTTCAACTGCATGAACTCGCCCTCAACCAGGTTGGCAATCACAGTGGCGAGGAGCTCGGTGACTTCGGGGTCCCTCAAGCGCGCCAGAGCAACGGAGGCTCGGCCTAGCAGGAAATCTCCGGCCAGGACAGCCATTTTGTTTCCAAATTGGAGGTTCGCAGAGTTGGACGACCGGCGGGTGACGGCATTATCTATCACGTCGTCGTGGAGAAGCGATGCAGTGTGGATTAATTCGGTGATCTCAGCGAGTCGTCGCTGGGATGGCAGGATGTTCTCGTCCCCCGCAAAATCATATTGGGCCTCGGCTGACTCTGAAACAAGGCTGTTTGTATCCGGGTTCGTGTCGGCGAGTATCGAGGGTGAGGAAATGGGATCATTGACCGAAATTGGGGCTACATCGTTCGGACGACTCTTCCCCGGAGTCAAGGCAGTCGCTTGAGACATGAGCAGCACCAGAAGGGGACGCATGTGTTTACCCTCGCTTCGGGTATAATACTTGGCCACTTTATCGAGAGTCGGATGTCCCGAGCCGAGCAATTGACGAATATTTTTCGTTAGGAACTTGAGCTCTTTTCCTACAATCCTCAATGGGTCCACCGAGATCCCCGGAGGAGCCTTTGGTAGACCTTTGAAGATTGTCTGTGCTGCAGAAACGGCAGCGCCGAAGGGAGAGGCATCTTTCCGCCGGGTTGGGTGATAGTTTCTAACGTGTGTCTGCGATTGTTTGGAAAGAAGGTCATCGCGGAGGCATTGCCAGCATATCAAGGTGGAAGGTGTTCTTCGAGATGAGAGCACAAGGCCAGAGGCCGAAACCGTTCGAGCTCTCATGCTCAGGCGAGAGTAACTATAATTAGTCTCAGAAAGAGTCGCAATCTAAGGGGACAAATACAATAAGGTCCAAGAGAAGCTGAGAGCCCTAACGATTCAAGGCGTCGTGTGCCTTCCACTTTGCGGAGTGCATAATGTTTCCGCAGTTATCAAAAAAGACCGAAGATTTCGAGCTTACGGAGCTGCGCTCGGGCCGGAACGGGAGACGACCGCAGATAACAGCTTCCAAGGCCAGACCAGAACACGTCGTCATCGCAATTAATCACCTAAGGTATCTCGTACCTTTTTCAAGGCATGTGAAAAGCATTGGCCAGTATGGCAAGTTTTTCTAAATGATAAAAGGCAACTCGTAAAGATACTTCTACAAGAAACGCGTTGAGATTTTCTTGTCTAAGATGTAAAATGGAGATTACAGAGAGATCCTGTTGAACTCCCACCAAGGTAAGATGACCAGCTGGACGGACGACATCTACAAGACAAAATCCGTCCTGATAACCGGAAACGAAATAAATCTGTGAATACAGGAAATATGGAGAAATCACGCCCGCAAGTTTAACTCAGCAAACTTCCCCCTCATACACACCCTGGCAGAGGAAAATGGCGTAGCATGACTCGGATACTGCAAAAGCCCAGCCTGGGAACCATTTTCAGTTTGCAGAGGAAAAGCTGAGCAGAGGCAGTCTATTGGGCCACTAGATGGCGTCAAAATCACCGCCAGCGTCTTCGTCATCAATGTCTCCCTCCTGGATCTCTTTGGCGAGCTCTCGTTCCCGTTCCCGAGCCTCCTGTGCGCTCTTGAGCTCGAGACGATGCTGATTCATGGGAAATCTCATGGCCTACACAGAAGAAGAGGTAGATGTTAGCGATGAATTCAAAAGACCCGTCCGAAGATTGGAACAAGAAAAAAAGTAGCTGAAAACACTGAAAGCCTACCTTGACGCTTTCATCGTGCAGAGCCAAGCAAGCGCGAATACGTTCGTGGAACACCTCTCCAGGCTCGCGAGTGGCATAGATATCTCCGACTTCCTTGCTCTTCATGTATCCGTGCTCATGATCCAAGGTGGCCTCAATCACACCATCGCGGATCGCTTTGGCCACGATATATTCTGCCGACTCCTCACTGTCCAGGCCCAAACGCAGGCAAATGTCCCGAAGCGAGATGCGAGAGTAGGACAACGACATCATCCGGATACCCGTTTTGATGACATTTTGCCTCAAACGCAGGATCAGGGTGTAGGTACCATCTTTCCGGAACGCTGCACTGTGCGTATTTACAATGTTCAAGAAACCATCCAAATCTCCAACGCTCACCGCTTGGACGAGTAAGAAATAAGGGTGCAAAGCGCGCTCAAGCGCAGGCTGGCGGAAGATTGCACGATCGGGAATATCGCCCATCAAAAGCTCAACAACTACAAGCAGCTTGTGGGAAGCCTGGTAGAAACCACGAGCACTATGACTCGAAGGAGACTTGCGAGTGGCACCAATCAGGTGCCCGTGAGCATCCGTATATTGCAGCTGAATCGCACGAATACGGCCCAGATAATAGAGGTACCGAGCAATCTGATTGTTCGATGCAGAAGGCGGAAAGCGGTTGTGAGAGATGAGCAAGTCAGCCTGCGAGATATGGGATGTGGACAAGTAATTCCGCAGGAGAAGGGTCATCACGGTGGCCTGAGTATCGACATCTTTCCGGAGAACGGCTGTCCGAAGCGCAGCGAGCAAGGGCTGGCGGATGGAGGTAACCGCCGCAGCAGGAGATGGGGGAAGGGGAGCAACCTGCTCGAAGAAGAGGGAGTAGTAAAAGTACACGCGAGCAGCAAGAGAGTCTAGCGTGCGACGATTAAGAGTCCGCAGACGCTCAATCAACGCTGTCGAGAACTTTGCGCCCCCTTGAATATCCTTCTTGTCGTAGAGGTAGATCTGAACGAGGATGGATAAATAGGTATCAACCTCTGGCAGTATTTCTTTGGGAGCAGACTTGTTCTTCTCCGAATCGACCTCCATCTTCGAACTAGCAAGGGCGCTCTCGTATGCGCCAGATTGATCAATAGCTTCCAGTAAGAAAGAAGCAGTAGGACTTGATGGTGGGTAGGTCTCAACGATCACTTCTGCCAGCACATCAGCAGTGATGTGCTTGCGCATTGAGGATATCGACCTGAGAACGCGCAGTGTAAATCTGGGGTCGAAGTGGGCTACAGCTCGCTCGAGGAGTGTGAAGTTGATCTTGATATCTACAGCCCAAGTGATAACGGTGATGGTTAGGCATGCATCCATCAGGACAGCAGCGGGAAAAGAAACGAACCTTGAATGGCCTTGACTCTGGGATCAACCTCCGACCCCGGCTTCTGAGAATCAGTCTCTGCGGCCTCCATGACAACATCTTCCTCCTGGTTCTGTCCTTTCTCTCCGGATAACCTCGAACCCTTGGACGGGGCACTACAACAGTCATCTTCTCGTCACCTTTCCGATCCTTACGGGTGTTGAATGAGGATGTAGGCCCACCTGCCGTATCCTCTCCCATCTCAATATCTTCAGAACCGTTCACGCCGTTGGTATGCGGCTGATCACGCTGCTCGCCCATACCGGAGTTAGATACGTTGTTGGACGAAGCCGCCGGTGTGGGAGATTTGGCCTTGTTGGAGGCGGCGCGGTTTGGCGCGGCCTTGTCCTTGTTGGAACTTGAGCTCTGCGAGTCGGAACGCGCTTTTTCACCGTTAGCAGATGAAGAAGTATCTGACTTGCTGTTCGATCGCAACGAACGTCTCTCGGCCGGCATCTTTCTTCAACTTGGAGCTCGGCTGAGCAAGGAGCGATTGCAGGAACCGGGGAACGGAGGAAGGGGAAATAAGAGGACCAATGTCCGAGGACAAGAAGAAAATCTGCAAAGAAATGACGAAAGGAACAAGAGTAGGGATTGAAGAACCAAGAAAAATAAGAAAAGATGGGAGATGGTGCCTCGGTGAGTAGGGGAAGATGAGTTGATGAAGTGGTGATGTGATGTCAAGGTTGACCTGGAGATGGATGGATGGACAGCGAGAGAACCAGCACTGGGCTTAGTCAGTTGGGGGAAGCTCACTGGGAGCGGCAGCTGATGTGATGCTGGAGCTGGTCAGCTGCAGAACAATACTCGCCTCACTGTAATTTATTGACAACGGAATTACTGGAAAGATAAGAAGTAAAATAGGATAGCTTCGTCTTTCTAAGCTGCGAGTCGGTCACCAGCTGTACAGTCTAGGTATATCTCTTCTTTCTACTGGGGACCTCAGCTACAGAGTGAACTGTTCTGTTTTTCGGTCGCAAAACAGTTGCGTTGCCACCTGAAAGCGTCGTCGGAGGCCTCAGGCAGCAACCAGCTTGGCGGCAGCTCCTTCTTGGCGGTGATAGAACGCGACCCAACACCGCCGCCATTGGATGTTTACACCCGGAGTAATATTATTGTCTACGTAGTATCTATCTACAAAGTTAGGTAGCCTGTAGTACTACCTTTTGATTTAATGAGGCTCCCGGAGCACTGATTTTGGATACTTTATTGCGGCAATCATCATTGTTCATCAAAACTCAATAGTCAGCGGTGTCCACGATGTCTTTACTCGAAAACCATCTGGAGCAGATCCAGCTCTCCTCAAATGCCATCGCCGAATTACCGTAAGCGTATGGCCTTGTCTTCTTCGTGACCGTGTGCTGATCGAGCTTTTTGACAGCTTTCCCCGACCTCGCATATTTACTAATGCTCTTTTGGGCCCTCACGATATCACTGCTTTGATCCGCGATACCGAAACTCATGAACGAGCACTTTTCCAGGCGGACCCGTCTGCCAAGTCCCAACGGCGAGCAACGAGGAGGGGGACAATGTTCCAATCCGAAGGCGACGGAGAGTCCATGGCGAGTCGGATTTATGCTGCGCGAAATAACAGAAATCAGTCGGCTGTCGCAAGAGTCTTAGGTTCTGACATGATAGACGAGATTAAGCGCTCCGCGGGAACATCAGCCAGGGGAACGCGAAGTGAGGTCAATATTGACGTCCTTCTTCGCGGGGCGGAGATCCTCTGCAATGTCTAGTAAGCAAGCTGCTCCTATGAATCGCCCTTCGTTTGCTGATGCTGATTTCGTGAAGTCCCGTTGCTGGTGCCCAGGAGAAAATTGCGACTCTGCGTTATCGTCATGAGTTGATTAGTGATTCTATTGCTGAATTAGAAGACCGAGTAGCGAGGAACACTGCGGAATTGGAGCAGATGAGCCACTCCTACGGGGACGAGTACGACGACTATGACAATTCTACCACCGCACCCTCGGAAGTCACAGACGCCGATATTGAGCGAGAGATGGAGGAGATCAGGGAGTTGGAAAGGCGGAAACGAGCTCTAGAAGCGCGTGTAAGCGGCATGGAAAGGGATTTGGGTGGCTTGATAGGCTGACCTGTCTGGCCGACCACTTCTTAATGCCTCATAATCAGCGCCTTAGACGCGAGCATGAGCCTCTCCTCCCCTCAACAAGCTTCCGTCGTGAGTGCTGAATCATTTTTCGATGATCGACAATTTCCTATTGCCCTAGTCAAGTACGTCCCTTGGCTTATTCGGATCAGGAAAGTGAGCAGACAACTCTATGTGCAGCACTTGAATGTCTGTGATCGAGCAGGATGTCGAAGCGAGTTCCCGGGCCTTGCCTCGGGCCAGCACAGTCAGTTGGGGTCGTCTGCGCTTGCACGATGGGCCTGAACGCTGTAGGCTTCATCCTTCGAGCTGTCTTAGAGAGCACGTTAGTCCTCGGAACGAGAGCCCTATTGAGCAGAGACACAGCAAAGCAGATGACGAGTTTCCCTTGCTAGATCTCGACATTGTCTGGTCAACTATGCGTGTGTGTGGCTTGGGTTGGTTTTAAGAATGGCATAGGGGTCATATGATTGCAGCAGTCCTTTCCTCAGCAATCGCACTGAGAAGAAAGTGAAGGAACTCTGGCCTGGCTCTCACTTGTGATTTTACCTGAAGATCTTCAAGCCTTCATTTACACTGAAAATCCGCGCATCTGTATCCTAAAGGTCAACTCGTCTGATCAGAAATCGTCGCTGTACCTCCTACGTATATAGCGCCTTTGGTAATATCCATCTAACTACTTCACTGGGGGTTCCGATGCACAAGAGTCAGGTACACCTAGAATCCTAGTTTCATGCTATGGTCGAATCTACTAAAGAATAGCTCAATAAGACTGTTGGGGGTAATGTACGGTCAGTAGGAGCCGAATCAATGGCTAAGTGAGGAGGTCAAAATATGGAGACATCACCATCAGTGAGGCGCACTACAGTGTTCGTCGCGTTTAAGGCTGCGATGCCAAGCCTGAGGCTCCAACACCCCTTCCGCTTCCTCTCCGCCACCATTCATCGGATACTGGGACTGACCAGGCTTTATCAATCCCTTTTCTCAAGCTGGAAGGCTGCGTCTGGAGTCTTGAATCCATCCTGTGGGAAATTTTTTTTGGCCCGTCTGCCGGCGTTACGAGGATTTTACAATATATCTCCTCTCACCATCACGACGCAGTCCAGGCCGAATTCACCATTTTGACCTCAAAGTAACACCTTCGGAGTAACCTCGTCACAAGCGCAGCCTCCTTTGTCCCGTTCAGCTACCTCCCTCACGAGCCTCGGCATAACCCGTCAAGCTTCTCCTTTTCGATTAGACTACGAGATCTCTCGCTGCCGACCAACATGGATGGCTCTCAGGCCCAGGCGAATCAGCCTATGGTTCCGCCTCAGCAGCACTCGAACCTAATCCGGACAGACCAGGTCCAGAAATTACCTCATCTCAATGAGCAGCAAAAGGCTCAGCACACCCAGTTGGTGCGCAATTTCTGGGAGATACTCAACAGCCGGGACCCCCAGAGTGCGGAATATCAGAACGCCCATATGAGACTCACACAGCTCTCTCAAAATCTGATGAAAGGCATGCGAATATTTCAACAAAACCGCCAGCAAGCACTGCAGCAGCACCAACAGGCTCAGGCGGCGGCTGCAGCTGTGCAGGGACAGCCAGTCCAACGGACGCAGTCCGCCAACCCCCAGTCTTTCGCGCAGCTTCTCCCACAAATCCAACAGAAAGTGAACGGTCTTCACTTCTTCCTCCCTCCCAATATCAGCAAAGAGCAGGTACAAACATGGTTGCCGGAGGCAAGGCTACGATACGGTATTGCGCTTCAGAAACAGGAGATCGGACGCGTACGTATCGCGGAACTGCGCCAACAGTTCGCGCAGCGACAGGCCGCTGGGAACATGAGCCAGGAAGAGGTGCAGGAGTTCAAAAATCGGCAGCTTGGGCGGAAAAGCTCTACCGAGAAGGCAGCGACTTCTTGAACAAATTCAAAGAGCAACAGGAATCTTTCAAGGCACAGCAGCAGAACCAGCAGCTGAATAGAGCAGGTCTACCGAACGCCGCCCCGGTCAACCTCAACAGCCACAGGGGACTGCAGAGCAGGCTGCTGCTGCGACTGGGACTGCGCCTGCGCCTGCCGCCACACCTGCGCCCACTGCCGGTGACAAGCGTCCGGTGAATGTCCCCGGATCCATGCACCCTGGGCAAGCCCCCACTCCGGCACCTCACACCATTAACTCTGCTGTAAATGCGGCGCGAAATCAAGCCGGGCAAGCGGCCATGTCTCCCTCCACGACTCAGCCGGGCCAAGCGCCCGTCACACAAGCTGCAGGCACCGCACCTGCCGCTCCGGCCGCGCCTCCCCATCAACCACAACAGCAGCAACCGCAACCTCTTTCGCAACCTCTTTCGCAACAGGGGACTCCAGGCGCGCAGGTCACATTTAGCCAAACCCCTAATCCGGACGGTTCGACGCCTACTCCTTCAGCTTCACAGCCAATCAACGTACAGGGTCCACCACGTCCTTTGTCCCATCAAGCTGCGATGGCGCAAGCTGCTCAGAATTATACCAACAACGCCGCGAACAATAACATGGCTCAGCAAAATGTGTCGCAGGCAGCTGCCAATCCTCATGCACATCCTCAGGGCTATATTTCCAATCGCGCGTCGGAAAATTCAGCGCGTAACATCAACATGGCCATTCCAAAGAACCTCAACGTTCCTCCTCCAGAGCCGGTCAGCATGGCACCAGCCCGGCCCACTCTGTCCGGCGGCCCCAGTCATGGCGCCATGGGTATGATGGGCCAACCAGCCATCCAGAAGCATCCTGGCTACGTTCTTGAGGGCGAAGGCCAGCGTGTATTGAGCAAGAAGATGCTTGACATCCTGGTGCGCCAGGTCACCGGAGGAGGAGAGGGTGAAGGGCTTACGCCAGACGCCGAAGAGGTAGGTTTTATTCTTCGCATTAGGGCTGCTTCCCGCTGTGCACAGCGTTCAGGATATGCAATTGCTAAATCATCACGATAGTTCATCCTGCAAATGGCCGACGATTTTGTTGATGACGTGATCACCGCTGCTTGCCGTCTCGCCAAATTGCGCCCATCCTCTACGCTTGAACTCCGCGACATCCAACTCGTCCTGGAAAGAAACTACAACATGCGCATCTCCGGCTTCTCCACCGACGATCTCCGCACCGTGAAGAAACCGCAGCCCACGCAAGGCTGGACTCAAAAGATGTCCGCCGTCCAGGCCGCCAAAGTTACTCAGGGAAAGGCCGAGTGATCCACTTTTATGTTCCTTTTCCCTTCCTCCTTCATCCTCTTGACCAAAAAAATAAGGGAAGTCGCCAACGATAGAGCTACACACAAGTCGGGGCAGCTTCCTATCAATCCTCTTCTGGCTTTTCCTTCATCCTCTGAATCACGGAGAACTTGAGACCTCCCCTGGAGCAACACTCAGAACGTGAAATATTCTACATTATGCGTATTCGGACTGGCGTCATCGGTGGGGTCGGGCCTCTGCTTTTTTCTTTTTTCTTTTTCTGATGGGTTTGCCTCTACTAGGTTGTCTTTCCTTGGGGGGGTCCAAACTACGAAATCGCTCAACTCCTGGAATGTTGCATGTGTGCCGGCGTCATTATTTGAGAAGGCCTGTTATTCTGATATACCACCTTAGGCTAGGCACAGATTAGGTTCAACGAATGGTAGAAAATTGATTCATGATTTCATGTCTAAAGCTGCTTTCTGAGGAATTTATCCATAATCTCTATATCTTTGGACCCCTCCTCCTGGAAGTCCCTGTAAAAAAATGTCATGTCTCTTCAACGGGGATGCATTGCAGGTCTCGGTAGAGTCAAAGCTGAGGTAGCAGGCAACGAGCATAAAGTGTACAAGGGGAACGGAAGGAACCGTCGTCGATGCCGTAAAGAAAAGGGAAACTACATTATCACTCGGGTCGTGCTTCTTGCTACTGAAGGTATATGCCATCTATGGATGTCATGTCGGAAGCAGGAACATATAGGTATCAATTTTCTATTTGGTGTAAAGTCTTCTATCGATCTTCTAGGGCGTAGAAAGTGCAACACTAACTCACAATGCGAAAAAGGACAATGACGCGCTCAAACCTGCTCACAGAAATTAAACCAAGGCTTCTCCCAACCGACTATTGAGTCCAAAACAGAGATCCAAGCACAACTGAGAAATCACCAGAATAACGTACAGGAAGGGAAATGGCAGGGAACAAGGTCCCAAGTGTGTCTAGGATGGCAGAGAATTGCAACTCTGACGATGGGCGGCTTCGATAGGGAGTAACGCGGAGCAGAGGGGACGAAGAGAGAAGCAATATACAAAATATGTGTGATGCAAGGAAATATTGGGGGAATGGATAAGAATAATAAAAGGAGAAAAATTGTTCGAGAGAGGGAGATTAAAGACAATCCGTGTAGCCCTTTGCATAGGAGATTGTCAGCTAGATGTGCCTGGGTTGGAGTCGGCATCTACCAGAAGAGAATGAATGGACAGAAGGCAGAGCAAAATACACAAAAGGGAATAAAAAGAGGGTATGAAAGTGTTCCAAATGATGGTGCGCATGGTCGAAAATAGCTTTATCATGATACAAAGAAGAAAAACGAGGGTTTTTGAGACAGCATTGATTGTCTCAAAATAATTTGGGGCAATGGAGGAAACCATGGTACTAAGGAAAATCATGTCAATCATGGTAACATGGACACTATCACAAAATTGGTCTGCTCAAGGATTGGTAAAGAACCGATAGATGGCGGGAGAAGATGCGTCGCACGAACATGCAAGGTAAACGATCTATGGCGCCCAAGTAACAAAGCGTCATTGACTGCGAATGGGGATATCATGAGATAATCGACCGAAAACAGCACGCCAGAAACAGAAATGGAGTGGCGGGTCGTATAAGGGCGATGCCGGTTATCGGCTTGCTAAGGGTGATAATGTGCCGTTCGGGCTGCTATAAGAAACTCCTTTCCCTTTTGGACCGTCTTGCGAATTGCCCATGCCAGGCAAGGGCGGCAGATCCTTTTCTGTGAGCGATGGTCCTTGTCGGCTATGCTGGCTCTGTCCACCAACACTGCTCTGCTCACCGGCTTCGTCCACTATGGGCAGTGTCGAAGTCGGACCTGGCCCGTTGGCATCCGCAGGGTCCCAGACAGTTGAAAGCGTTCGAGGATGCGTGGTCGAGACGTCCTTTGCGGCCTCCTTCTCGGCAGCCTGCATTGTTCGTTCGACAGACTCGGTTCGTTCCGCTGATGTTTTGCCCTGCGCTCGAGCTTCTCTATGCCGTTCGACTTCCTCCTTGGACATAGTAATGCCCCTGATGAAATTAACAAACCGCTCGCCGTAGCTCTCAGGCGGAATTGGAGAGATCTGGCCGCGATCATGGGAAAGCCCTTTGAAGAAGTTTTCCAGTTTCTTCACGGTCCCGTACTGCCACAGTGTCAGTCATTGCTCAGAGCTTGATGGAAGACTGGCTGCTTTTGCATTGCCGTAATGCACTTACATGTGTCAGACAGTCAATTATGCCAAGGTAATAGATCTCATCTCCAGGCTGGCCGTTCTCGTGAGTAGCTCGGAACCCTCCGTCGTCTGCATAAAAGACATGATACTGTCTCTCATCCAGAATCTCTTCAGGCATTTTTGCAGCGGCTTTATCAAGCGGCACAGGACGCTCTTTTTTGATGAGCATCCGCAGCTCACGTGCCTTGCGTTCGTTTTCCAGCTTGGAAGGAGTGCGCATCAGCATGTTCGGACTCGTCTCTTCTTCACGGTCACCTCCCGGTTGAAACACTTGCAACGTCTTGTCGCGAAGCTTTTCTTCGTTGCCTCTCCCAAGATCGTGAATGCCCACCAGAAGAGAGTAATCCATTATCTTCAGCTTTTTCAGTAGCTCAACATCGCGTTCCAGCTGAGCGAGGAAGAATTCCCGTTTCGAAGGCCCGCACTCCAGGTGACGACCTCTGCGAAGCCAGTTTAGATCCTTCAAAGTGGCCCGCGGATTCCTCTCAAGATCCTGCTCCCGAAGGTCCCGGCCGATTGTGGACCCCTTCAGATCGAAGGTTTGGTGGATGTCGCGGTGGGGAGGGAAGAGGTTATTCATGACCACAAAGTGGATCTTGCGCCCGTATGCCATCTTCACCCGGTGAAGACCATAGAATTGTGATATCAATGTGTTAGGATTCTGCTCCACATGTTTGTAATATTCTGGAAGGATCTTTCGCAGCAGTTTGTGTTCGGAGTGGTGAATAGTCTTGATAATGTATTTGTAGTCCCTGGAGAAGTAGAAGAAGCTTCCGCTCTTTCCTGGCGAGCCCAGCTCGGAGAGGATATACTTGCTGGTCAGGGACATCAAATAGTCGGCCGGATCAAGGCGGAACTTGGCTCGCAAATGCCGGAAAACCCACGGCGCATAGTCCTTAAACTTGAAGTCGTATTTTGCAGAGGGCGTCAGCTCGTTACCAGTACTAATAGCAACGAAAATGTTAGCCAATCGACAAGATTTTGGAAGGGGAACGGAAGGTGAGAGTCGTCATACATGTCGAAAGAGAATTTATGCTTGGCTTCGAAATCTGCGGGTGTTAACTCCCGGTCCATTTTTGCGTTGATTCTCGACACCGTAAAGCGAATTCCAGTCAGCATATTGTACGCAGTCACCCAGTTCACGTGGTTCTGGTCGACTTTTGTTCCAACGATGACGCGGTCGTCGTCGTCGTCATCCCGGCGTTTCCTTCTTGACGCTCTCCTCTGCTTGATCGCTTCTGCCCAGCGCGCTGCATCCTCGTTCGGGTTGGCATCGTCAGGAACCGAGTCCGAATGATTGGTTTTTGTAGCCCGCCGAACCAAACTGAGCGACGTTCGACGAATACCCCCTGCTGTTGGAGACAGCCGACCACTACTATAAGCAGTCTCGTCCCCTTGATCGCGGCTATTACGGCGGCCGCTTGTTGTTCGGGGAACTTGCAGCGTATGTCGATGTCGAAGGCCTGATGCTGCGGGATCTTGCGTGTGACTAGCGTCAGCGGCGGCTGAGGGGAGAGGCGGGGAAGAATAACGGTGAGGAGCTGCCGTCTGTGAGGGAGTCAATCGATCGGGTTCGGACGCGAGCCGGCTGGTATCTTCGGGGAGCGAGGCAGAGATGGTGTTCCCGTTCGCGGCCGCAGTCGAGTTCTGAGAAACCACTTCGTCAACCGACGGTTGGGGGCGATCTCCGTTAACCAGCGACTTTCCGTTGGGGGTCCGGTGGCTCGACGAGATCCCATTGACCTGCTGGGCGCTGGAGATGGACCCTGCAGCTGAGCCAACGCCAGCACTGGCTCCAGCATCAGAAGATTTTCGAGTAAAATCCTTGTCCATCGTCATTGAAAACCGGCCACTCTCCCTAGGATCGCGGACCGATCCATTCCCTAACGAATGCATGCTGCCATCTTTCGAATGTGGTAAATCTCGTGTGTAGGAGCTAGCGCTTGATCGGGGCCCATTCAAAGAATAGGCACTGCCATTCTTCAGATCTGGGGAATAGTGACGATCGGTGGATTGCGATTCTATGTGGTTCGTATCACCGTTCGGCCAGTTTGTCCATAGAAAGGTATTTCCCACGGGTGCTCTGTCGTGCGGTTTCCCTTGCGGTGAATCAAACGGGCGAGGGTGTGTGGCCGTAACAGTAGATGACTGAAAAGGCCCGTCGTTGGAGAAAGAGGGCATGGTGCGCTCCTTTTTTCCCTTATTGTTGCGGCTCCCAAGGGGCAGCGAGGAGGAGTTCCAGGGGAAAGGAGGGAAGAGGAGATGGGACTGTGACGTGAGGTCTGCGTGGACCAACGAATCCGAGCGAGCAGACGGGAGGAAATCGCTTCGGGTACTTAATAAGATGACGCTGTGAACCAATGGGAGGACGACGAGATGGACAAGACGACAGAAGGCGTAGAAAGGGAAGTGATTGTGACAGCCGACCGATCAAGCAACACGGGGTATTGATTCAATGCGCGTAATATTAAATGAATGCAAGGCAATGAGGAGGAGAGAGGTGGGGAGTGGTGGTGTTCTTCCCGAGTCGAGCTGGAGTGGCCAGCCAGGGTAGGCGTGGCAGAAAGTTCAGCGACCGATAAGCATGTTCAGGACGGAAAGAAAGAGTCGAGACGGAGCAAACAACGTGGTCAGAGGCGGCGAATCACCGAGACAGACCAATCTAATCCGAGGAAGAGGGAGAGAGGAGGATGAGATTGGTTAAAGGTGTATGAAGATGAGGATTGGAGAGAGGAAGAGAGAGCAAAGGAGAGAAAAGAGACAGAGAGCTGGAGCTAAGATGGAGAGGGATGACCAAGCTCGGATAGTTCGAGATGGCGTCCTGAGGGAGGATGATGATTATTAGGTATTATGCTGTATGTAGGAGTTATGCAGCAGTATAAATTTCGTTCCTCAGTCAGCCCATGCACGGTAGAGGGATTGACTATGATAATATTGATATTGATATTGGTATTGATACAAGACAGTTGAGAAAATGAGTGTGGTGATAATATCAAGAGGATGGAAACACAGAGAAAAGAGCGGGGAGAAAAGCAAGAAAGGAGAGGATAGAAAGACGGAGGCCTGGAGTCAACAGGTCCCGGTGCTAGGAACTAGGGATGTTCTTTTCTTAGATCTTTGTATTATTACTACTATTACTGCTCATTAAGGGCCTCGTGGAGTTCATATTTGATGATTTATGAAGATACTTATGAAAGGCCCGCACCGATGATTGGTATTTTCCCGGCGGAAACAAAGAGGTTGGTTATTTTGAACGGAGAGAACGGGCCCAGTCTCAGCTCCACTGTTCAGCTCCGATGGCAGCATCAAGATCATTATTGTTTCCGATTGTTATGGTTGATGTAGAGTCGGATACAAACAAATGCATTGAGTTTGAATATGTCCAACGATGTAGACGTTGAACACCCACCCCGTTCAGTGCTCCGTACTAGTGTTCCGTAGCCGACGGAAGAGTAACTGAACTACTCCGTACACCCCATGCCGACTGCCGAGTACTTGCTCATTGAAGCCACTTGCACTGTGCTAGATATATAGGTACCATCATGGTTCCTAGGTTACGGAGTAGAGTCTACATTATCAAAAGACAGAATCCCAGGCAGAGCTTTCTATCCCTCTTTCTCGTTGTCATGGATTTCGTACTGTTGGTCTGTTGGTTTGGACAAGCCAAGCATCTGATATATATAAAACAATCTGACACAGGGGAGTCCTTGTCCAGTGGGTATATTTACCTAGCAGATCGCCTGGCAATCAAGCAACCATAGGTACTCCTGTCATACCAATAAACATAGCAGCTTAACAGCTGACCACTATAACTGCTGCTCCTATAATATTAAGCATTCTCTTCTGTCTACTTGTTCAACACCTACATCCATTCAATGCATGCTCGCATGTCAGGTCAGGAGACACCATCGCCAAGCAAGGGACATCCTCGCATTTCTGAAGTAAACTGGACTGTCCTATCACTATACTTCCATCCAGACGAAATAAATCCAATTCAGAGCCCAAGGAAAAAGTCGAAATAATGAAGTATTTCTAGGTATCTTGCTTCCTGCTTCTCGCTTTGAGTAGCCCATGACTCAGGAGGAGCAAGATCAAGTTACCTGCTGGAATTCCAATGCTGCGTGCAACCGTAGCTCATAGTTCAATGTTGCTGTCTGCTATTCAACATATGTCCACTCAACGCCCACGCCTGACAGAACGCGTACCACAGAGGCTAAAAAAGAAGTCCAGAGAGCGTAATTCAAATTTCCGACGCCGAGATAGTACATAGTACATAGCGTAACCAAATGAGTCGGGAAGTACGAGTCAAATAGCAGTACAATGATCACAACCTGCAACTACAGCCTACGTGTGTCCGTCGTGTAAACATGGAAGAAACAATTCCATTTCAAGACATATCCTCGAACGAGTGCCCCAAACGCAGATAAAATGTTTCCCCTGGAAAAAAAAAAATCCACCGCAGGACGCCAACCCTACCAACATTCCAAAAAACAACATAAAAAATGAGCAAAAGCAATCGACAAGACATCCCGGGAGCAGCCACAGCAACGGCCAGTAAAGATGGTAAGTGGCGGGACAAAACAAATTACAACAGAAGGGAAGAAGATAAAGGGATACAGCCCAAAGAGATATCACTCGAAAACGCATGTCACAGACGAAGAATCATTTGAAAGGAAAGGAGCAAACATAAGAGAAATCGCTCAGAACGACCTCAGCGATTGGCATTTATGCCTCGCTCTTCTCGGCCTTCTTGGTCGTTGTGGCCTTCCTCTTGGTGGCCTTCTCAGCGGGCTTAGCTGTCGTCTTGGTCACTCGGCCTGACTTGGTCGTGGAGAGAACCTTGGGTTGATCGACAACAGCAGGGGCCTGCTTACATATTAGCATACATTGAGAATCGAGAAGCAACAGCGATAATGATCACATACCGCAGTCGAGGCCTTGCGAGGTTTGGCGGTGTTGGCCTTGGGTCTGCCAGCAGCTTTCTTGGTGGTGGTGCCGGCCTTTTTGGTGGTAGCTTTGGCAGCAGGCTTCTCGGCCTTCTCCGTCTTCTTAGCGGCGGCCTTCTTGGGGCAGCAGCCTTTGTAGTAGTAGTAGTAGTAGTGGCCTTCTGTGTGAAGCATATTAGTTATGTCTTTACTTGATCGATTCAACATGTACTTTGAACTCACCTTGGCAGCAGGTTTAGCAGCAGGCTCCTTCTTGGCAAGCTTCACAGGGCCGGAAGGACCTGGAATTTGAGACGCGTCAGTGTTACGATTCCGCAAAAAAGAACATGCGCAGGCAGCGAGACGCCGCAAGACGCCCAGAATTGACCAAAATGATCGGAGGGCACGAAAGGTAGAGATGCGCGGCAGGCAGCGACTTACCCTTGGGCTGAGTGAACTCTCCCTTTTCAACACCGGCCTTGATAGCCTTGTTGAACTGGCTGTCAAAAGCGGCCTGACTGGCAAAAGCAATTTTGTTGTTGGCCAGTACATATTTCTTGATAGACTGGCGACTGTAATGATGTAAAAATTCATACGTTAGTTTGATCGCGTCATAGAAGTAAGGTGATTGTGAGGGGAAGTTGAGCCACGTCGCCAGCGGCGACGAATCTACTGAGGATAATAGCAGAAAACTACATACCTGCTACCGTTACGCTCTTTGAGCTGTAAAAGAGATGTCAGCGACCAACTTGAGATAAAATAAAGAGCAGCCCGATGGGTGGTTGGGACAGTCAAGCGCCGTGCAGACGTGTCACGGTCGGGGAAGTTCCCACCCGGCACCATCATCAAAAGGCGCCTCGGAAACAGCGTGATTAACTCACATTCAGGATAGCATCCTTGATCATATCTATAATTTCAGAATTAGCAGACGTTCGCGACAAAAATGATATCAAAATCACCCAAACGCGAAGTGGTGGTGATGAAAGATCAGTAGAAACATACCACGGTAGGAGGCGTGGCTCGAGGTTGCCTTCTTGGTCGCGCCGGTCGAAGCTTTCTTGGGAGGCATGTTGAAAGGTAAGAGGGGGATTGGTGTTGCTGATGGTGAAGCTATGTATATATATAAATCAAGAGATCCAGAAGATGGATTCAATGTCTAGAAGCTCCTAAAATAGACTGGTGAGTGGTGTGCGAAATCGACGAAGAGAAAAAGCAGTCGACAACGGAAGGGGTGGAAAAGCCGCGGGGCACCGCGATTTATAGGGCAGCCGGTGTTGACACAGGATCACTCGCAAGCAGAAGCGGCACAACACGTCAAATCTCTCCCTCCTTTTCTTCGCTTTCCTCGTCTTTAATTTTTATTTTGCCTCGATATTTGTGCTCTTCATACCTTAGACTTTTATATAATGACTTAGCAGGTACAGATTGAACTAGTGTAGCGCGACGATCAGCCTTTGAAAGTAACAGTAGGGAATCGCTAAGTGTATCGAGTTCATGTTTTGTACGCGCATGATCCTACTGTCTGCCTCCCTCAACACTTCTTGTCTTCCCTCTGCTCCATACACGTAGGCGATGGAGTTTAGTTCCTTCTCCCCTTTCGCACCTGTCTATCATACTCATAATGGGGATCAAAGGGGATTAGATCTCGGTCTATGCGCATTCCAGGCGAAACTAATCAGGCAACTTGTTGTTCTACCTCCTTTTTGTCCACTCAATTTCTCCATCCTCGCGTTGTTTGTGGGCTCTCGATCAGGACCCCTCTCCCTTGCCAAGTTATTCACCTTTTTTCGAACAAATTACTTGAATCCTGGTATGAGTATTTCATAGACTTTGATTTGAATTTGCCATCTATCGCTTTTTGAAGAAAGAATTTAAACATTTTCTGTCAGATCTCCGGTGGTTGAAAGTGACCTCTGAAACCGTCAAGATGCAATGCGATTGTACCTTGAATCACTGCAGTTCAATCAAGCTCATCCACTCCTGACAGGTTGCACCGTGCTCATAAACTAGAGGCTGAGGAACTGAAGTCAATGATCTATCCCCTTGCATATTTACAGTTTCTCTCTGTTGGTAAGCAACATGATTGGAATCGAAGGTGGAGGAGGGTTTCGTCTACCTCCGCTCGTGCTTTTGGTTGGGTCACGAGGATAGAGTGCGTCCATGACGATGATATCCATGATGTACTCTAAGGGCTGAAGTTTGTCTCTGCGCCAATGAGCATCCTTTCCCTGGACGACTGTAAGAAAGGTTATCTCAAGTCAGGTATGATTTCAGCTAGAAACGAAGGGAGATCATGTGGCTAGGTAGAAAATATACCCAGGTCGTCAATGGTGGGAGTCATCCAAGTACCTACTCGACCTCCCTGCCAATCACTCTTCTTGCTGAACCATGGTATAACTTGGCATTTTCACCCTGATTGCCGTCATAGGTTACTTTTTTGTGTGATTCAATTCTGGATCAAATTGTCCTGAAGGATATGTATGAATCCTCGGCCTTGATTCTGGTTGACTGATCCGTTGTTTACATCATTGCAGCGGGCCGCTGTTTGGCTCATGGCCCAGAGGACATCACCACATCGGTGGACTTGGTGGCAAAAGAATTCCAGGGAAGGGTGCATCGATCTAACATCGATCTAACATCCAGAAAACCCGCTATTATGAATTCTCATCTAGTGTGGTATCTATCACGAGTAGAACAGTGTCGACGAAGTCCGCTAGTACCAGCTGCACTTCTCATCCTTGATGGTGAAGTAATATGGTATAAGCCTTCATTCAATCCTTCCATTGCTGTCCAATCTGCCCCTGATTCTAATGTTGATGGTATCAAGTCCTACATCAATTCAAGGGACAAGAGATTGACTCTGGCATATTGTATTGGTGGGACCAGGGGTTACCACTGTTGCTAGATATTAGACACCAATGCATATATCATTCCGCAGTAGGCGGATGCACGAGCAGGCTTTTTTCACGACTTAGTACTTGAAGAACTCAAATCGTGCAATGCAGCCATATCATCGAAAAGAAAAAAGCCCCACTGCTCAGACATGTCCATCCCTTGGGCGTCTTGTCAAAACAGATCAATGGACGAATGGAGGATAGAGGAATGCAGTGTAGAACGTGACCTATAAACAGAAAATAACCATGTTCTTTTGCGATCCCTAATCATACGTGAACCATCATTTGCCGTGAAAAAAAGAAAACGCCACGCCTGTAGCTAAGGCCAGCAACTCCTGCAATATTACATAGTATTGACACGCAACATGCGAGCCCCCGTGTCCCCCTCAAGATAGTCTTCCCGACACGAACTCCTGCAAAGCTGGTCCTGCAAAGAGACGAACAACCTACGCAGCACCGCGTGGTTTCGCCTTGGCCTCCTTCTTAGCCTTGACCTCTTCCTTTTTGCGTTTCTTTTGTTCCTGTAACTTCTCATCGTGCTTGCGTTTGAGACTAGCCTTCTCCTCATCCGTCCGAGCGACCGGCTTGAAGAAGCCCTCAAGCCGTGATTGTTGAGCGGTTTTGAGATTCTTCTGCAGGCGCGCGGCTCCGTTCCGGACCCGGTCCTCGTTAAAACCCTTATCCTTGACCAGGAATTCCACCAGAGCTTCAACATCTGGCGCCTCCCATTTAAAGTCACACTCGGGATGGTCAGCTTCTCGCACGTCCGGATGGAGAAACAACTCCCTTGCATCCTGATAGGGCCAATATTCTGGCATGACATATTTCTTCTTCGGGTCGTTCTCGATTGCCTCAACCACCTTCTCCAGGCTTCCGTGTTCCCGAATGAGTTTCAAAGCGGTGTTTGGCCCGACCTTTGGGATAGGTTCCAGATAGTCACAGCCGAGAAGAATGCATAGATCAATGAACTGTGCAGTCGGGAGTAAGCATGAGAAAATCGTATCCATGACGGGATTCTGGGGACAAGAGAGTCGCCTACCTGTTTGCGATCCATGCCGAGTCCCTCTAGTGTACGATTCAGATGGATCTCTTGAATGGGCTCCTTTCTCTGCTCGCTGAACGTAAGATGTCTGAGAAGAATTGGCGCCTCGAAACATAACGTGTCCATATCCTCGGAAGCAGCGGCATAGACCTTCCCTGCCCGCGCAAGCACTGCACACTGGGCCTCCGCCTCTGTCGGAGCGTCGATGTATGGGATACCCATCAACTTCAACAGCTTTTTGCATTCTGCATTGTGCTCCTTTGTAACACGCACCGTGCGCCGCGAGAACTTCTCAACATCTTCCGCAGTGCCCGTCTCTTTTGCTTCCTCATGGGCTTCAGTAGCCTCCGCTTTTCGTGCAGTACGCTTCGCCAGTTCACCGGACTTGAGCTTCGGTGGCGCTCCATCAAAGACATAGAGAGGCTTGATTCCGTTATCGACCATGCGCAACGTCCGGTAAAACATACCCATCAAATGCGACGTTGTCTCGCCCGACTCGCTCATGAGCTGCTGGCCCTCGGAGCGGACGGCGATCAGAAAACTGTAGATACTCATAGACCTGCAAGATGTGAGCTACATAAACTGACGTGTTCGAGAAGGGTCCAACGCACGCATCCTATTCAACCACGGCATGTAAGTATCACTGCAGCTTTCAACTGTGTTTCCATGCTGGCTAGCAGGACCGGGAGAAAAGACTACATACGATGGCGACCTTTCGGCCAAAGTGGTTCTTGATATCCCCTGCCTTGATAGCATCTGGTGCATTCTCTTGAATAACTTGAAACAAATCTAGAGCCCCCCAATCAGCTCTATTCAAGCTTCAAACCATGTGGTGGTAGCTGCTTAACTGGCCCAAAGTTCACTTACGTTTAATACCCATGGCGGCGGCTCTCGAATTTAGAATATAGCCAAAAAGAAGAGGATGATCGCTACTCCCTTGCTGTGTTGGTAAACCACTCACTAGAATAAAGTGTTCGAGATATGAAGCTCAAAAATAGCTTGATTCGCGATCAGACGCGCCGCGGAAGGATGAACGCGCCATACATCATTTGAGCCTGATTGGGATTAGTGCAATAGAGACGAATTTATTGAGACGGATTTCCACGTGATCCTAACACCCCGCGGGAGTTTCCCCGGCCTCAGGCGCCAAGGCTGTAACTGTAAGGCGGTAAGACCCCAGGGGCCCAGACTTCTGATCTCCGCGTGTAGGAGCTTGGAAAGCCGAAAGGAAAGATTGTAACGGGGAGGGAGGCCCTGCTATTCGCTGACGGCATCCGTGGTCCCTCCGTTCTCGGTCGATAGATCAGGTAATAGACAGGTGAAGTCGGGGCATATGTAGGCAGAGCCTGCCAGAGAGGCGCACATCTACCCCGTACTAGGCCGGACTTGATTATTCAGTCTCCCCCCTCAGGCTGAATGTTGCACCCCTCCTCAACGGGGGCCAAATTCGTTGGGAGCAGAGTCCAATACACCAGTACAATCCTACGCACTACTTCGAGGATGAGTCTCCCCATTTTACAGTAACCATGAAGCGAAGTCGCATTCAATTCGAAGCCAATGGCCATGCGTCTTCAGACTCTCCTCAGGGAGCTTACTCGCATATGGCGACGGATGAGGATTCGAAACAGCAAATTCTGAGGCATATCCCTAAGATCTCACGGAGAATCCGTGCATGTACAAACTGCAAGAATCACAAGGTGCGCTGTGATAAGGAAGGGGAGGCGCCATGTCAGAGATGCCGTCGCATGGGCTTGGACTGTGTTGTCAACAAAAGCCTACAGACTTTATTGGACGATGAGACAGAGTAAATATAGTTCATACGTATATCGTCATTATTGTACGCCATCGCTAATCGTTCCATAAACATACAGGTGGAAGACGACGGTTGAGCTTGCAATGACGGATTTACTCCGAAAGGCTCAGCTACCTGACTTGTCATACTATCAGTCGCTGGGTAAATCGATGGAAACCCCTTCCAGGAAAAGAGACCGCAAAGAATCAACAGCATCAACCGAAGATACCGGCACTGCGACGGTCAACCATGACAGGAGACCGAGCTCGATAGGCTCAAACTTGGAACCCGTCCCAATAGGTCCAAACTCATCGGCGAATTATTCCTTTTCTAAGCAACACTCCCAGTACTCCCTCGATCGGGAAGAAAACGGGACATCATCCTTGATTACTGCGCCGATGGGAAGTCTATACGAAGTGACGAGGCTGAGCGATATCCCTCCAAGTTCTCCCGGACGTCAGCATGCACCCGACCGGGCACTAGTGACCGACTTCATATCGCGAGGAGTGATTGATCTTCAAGAGGCGGAGGACCTATTCCACTATTTTGATCAGGTGCTTAGTCGTTATCTGTGGGATGGCATGGCGTTGGTGCACAAGGATCTTACATCTGTTCGCAATTCTTCTTCGATGCTCTCCGCCGCCATTCTTGCTGTTTCAGCTCTCCACTTACCCAACAAGGAGAAAACATTCGATACCTGTTATACGGAATTCGCGAGGCTGGCTTCGGAATCCATGCTTGATAGACACCATACCCTCGACGACTTGCGTGCGTTATGTGTTGGCGCATTCTGGCTTGCGGATGTCAGCTGGAAGCTTTCAGGATATGCGGTCCGAATTGCGACTGAACGAAACCTTCACCAATCCTATCGCAAGGCCATGCAGGGTTCTGTGGAGCATATAGAACAAGTGAGGCTCTGGTACCTTCTCTATGTAAGTCTAGGTCGCGATCACGAGTTTGTGACGGGTGCCAGATGATTGACGCACTGAAATCGACTGTATAGACCCTGGAGCACCATTTCTCTATCGCATACGGACGGCCGCCTATCATTCATGAAGATCCAAGCATCGCGAATCACAATACGTTTACAATTTCGCCGATGGTGCAGCAGTCGGATCTGCGCCTTCACAGCCAAGTGGACCTGTTTATCATTTTGACCCGAATATATCACGCTTTCGGTCCCGATGTCGACTTGGAGGTCCCCGAGAGCGAATTCTCTACAATCAATAAGTTCGACGCTGATCTTGGAGATTGGCGCTCCGCCTGGCTCCCTCGTTTAGGTACGCATAACGGCTTAATCTGCCTGGGATGGTGATCTGAAAAGCATGCTAACATTGAGATGAAACAGCTGGAAGTCGGTATGTCGGTGCGTACCCTTACAAAGCCGTCTATCTGCACTACCACTTCTCTCGTCTGCAACTAAACTCGGTTGCTTTACGGACGTATCACTCCTCGAATTCGTCGCGGCCGATGTCCGCTGAACGCAAGAAACATGCCAATCTGGCGATAGAATCTGCGATCGAAACGCTCCTGGTGGTCCTCGATGAACCTGACATTCAAAGAGCTTTGATTGGCGTTCCTCTATATCTCCACAGCATGATTACCTTTGCAGCCGTGTTCCTTCTCAAAATCGCCGCCAAGTGTTGCTCCGGGACGCTGCCTAATGCGCACGGACAGGAAAACTCCATTGCGTCGGCAGGTCTCTCAATCGATGCGCCTTACGTGCGTGCCTTGGTTGGTAAAATTATTGAGCTGATGGTCACTTGTAGCAAGCGGGCTAGTGAGCGCCATCTTACTCATCATATAGCCCGTGGCTTGCGCAAGATGCTCACAGGACTCGAGGAGTGGGAAAAGAGAAATTCAGGGGGCCAACAATCTCTGGGACAGAATTCCTATGAGGCTACATCAATGTTCAAGCCCGTTATAATTCCTGGAGCGCAACCGTTGGGTGAACGAGACACCATTCTGAGCCACCCTCCTCCGCTACCTGGAATGGCTCCTCTGTCGGCTGAGCGCAGTAATGGGTATGAACGTGTTCAGTTGCAGGGAAAACAGGAGCCAGGTCTCTCGATAAGCTCTCTGGATCCTATGATGGCTGATTTATGGGGCTTCGACGAGGAGTATTTCCCTACGGGAGTCTTCGATTTTCTTCAGTCTCAGATGCCTGCTTGAGGTGTTCCGGCAGTCATCGGCAACAACCCACATTGTCTTGGTACATAGTTCATTTTGCTGGAGGGCGCGGGTTGGGGTTCTGGCTGAACCCTCCGACAACACTACTCGATTATAATGGAATCTAGCCAGTCAACTCCGGCTTCTGTCATACGTCCCATATTTGAGTCGGCCGATGAACTGTTGAGCATTACATTATCGTGTTAATGTGTCCACGATCATTTCGAATGGCTCGAAAGGCCGAAGAGTTGCCATCCGAGCGTGCAAGTCACGTCCGTCCAACTCCCCACTGAGAAGGCATTCCTCTTCCGACAGTGGATTTCTCCAGCAACAAACCTACCCTGATATAGGTAACTGCAAACTTCAGCTGTCGCCGAATGTCACCTTCATAACGATTCACTCCACCAAGACAGGCATGTGGGACAATGTTACCAAGATATAATCGTGAAGCGAGGCTTTCGGCTATAGAGTAAATAGTTGATATGACAGCCATGTAGCCTAGAGTATGCACATAGATTATCAATTCATACAGACAGCCAAATGCCTCAGCTTAGGACTTCCTTTGTCCTGACGGTTATTGGATGGGGACACCGACGGAACGGAAACAATCCCGAGGCTTAACATAACCCAAAGTAGGTGGTGCGGATGACCGAGGATCACCGAGGTCGGCCTTCAGTGTGGGTATATATAGGTATGGATGAAAATCGATGGTTGAACTCACTTTGATTCAATTCTTGCTTTCACTACCGAATTCGATACTTCAAATTGCTTTATCATCGGAGGGCAGAAAGACATCCCGATCGACTGCCGAGGTCAAGCGTTATCCGGACAATCGGCCTCCCCGCAATTCATATTCCATCCTTGCTGCTCTGGATACCGTCAGTTGCCGCAGTCGATTCCAATTCGACTTGGGAGCTGCGCAGGGGGAGATTCGCTAAAATAGATACCCGGTCTTCATTTGCTTTCTACTACTTCACTCACATTCCTCTTGCGCCGCATTCTTTCATTGAAATCAATCATGAACCGCTCAATCTTCCGCGCAGCATCGCGTCACCTTCGATCAGCAAATCGCTTGTATAAGGCCCCCGCGGTCCGCCAGAATACTTCGATACGAGCATATTCGACAGTGTTTAATTGGGAAGATCCCCTCGCCGCGTCGGAACTGTATACGGACGAGGAATTGGCGATTCAGGACACAGCCCGACAATACTGCCAAGAGCGATTACTTCCCGTGTTCTCGGTAAGTCATGCCTAGGGGCGATGTGTATGATTTTCTGCTGACAGATTTGCATTTGTTTAGATGCCTATAGAAACGAAGACTATGACCGTAAAATCCTGGAGGAAATGGGGGAGCTAGGCCTTCTCGGCGCGAGCATTGAAGGGTATGGATGCGCCGGTGCGAGTACGGTTGCTTCGGGGTTGATCACAAAAGAAGTCGAACGGGTAGACTCGGGATATCGATCGGGAATGTCTGTGCAGAGCTCACTGGCGATGACGGGTATCTACGAGTTCGGCACTCGGGAGCAGAAGGACCGATTCCTACCGCAACTGGCCAAGGGAAAACTGGCGGGTTGCTTTGGTCTTACAGAACCCAACCACGGCTCCGACCCCGGTTCGATGGAGACGACTGCGCGCGAACACCCGACCAAGAAGGGATACTACCTGTTGTCCGGAGCTAAGACATGGATCACCAACTCGCCAATCGCGGATATCATGTTGGTATGGGCCAAGTTGCAGACAACCGGCAAGATCAAGGGTTTCATCGTCGAACGTAGCCAGTGCCCGCCCGGAACACTGCAAACGCCGGCGATCAAGAACAAGACTGCTTTGCGCGCATCGATCACGGGTATGATCCAGATGGATGACTGCCCTGTGCCGGCGGAGAACATGTTTCCGGACGTCGAAGGCCTCAAGGGACCCTTCACCTGCCTGAACAGTGCCCGGTTGGGCATTGCGTTCGGTGCCATGGGCGCGCTGGAGGACTGCATCGACCGTGCCCGCACTTATGCACTGGAGCGGAAGCAGTTCAAGGGGAACCCGCTGGCGAAGTATCAGCTCATCCAGAAGAAACTAGCCGATGCAGCCACCGATGCGGCATATGGAACGCTGGCTGCTACTCAGGTCGCTCGGCTCAAGGACACCGGCAAGAGCACTCCGGAGATGATCTCCATGGTCAAGAGGCAGAACTGTGATCGAGCTCTGGCGAATGCACGGCTGTACGCTTCTCCCTTCCCACAATCTTCCGCTGTTAAGAGTTGATTCATGCTGACACCTTCTTCGATGGATAGGCTCCAGGAGATTTTCGGCGGTAATGCAGCCAGTGACGAATACCATATCGGACGACACGTAGCCAATCTATTTGTGGTGCAGACTTACGAAGGACAGAGTGACATTCACGGTGAGTACCCGGTGCATATCATAGCCTGTATTTTCCACACGATGAGTTCAAAACTGACATTGCTGGGGTTTAGCATTGATACTGGGACGGGCCATCACGGGAGTTCAGGCGTTTGTCTAAGACATTCTAGCCCTTCCCGGTTGACCTGTAGGAATGATTTGCTTTGGAACCATGTTTGATATTGCCTGTATATATCCAAGCCGCAGCATGATAGAGGCAGAAGGAGCCATAGCAAACGACTATGCTACCATGATTCTCATACTTCTCACTCCGTACTCAACCTTACATCTGTAACCATATATATTTACCGAAAAGATCTGATATCTCAGATCTTCTACTTGCCACCACCGCCGTACGAGATGCAAAAAACGGCTCAGAGTCTTACTTTGTCATCGATTTGTAAATCTGCGTAATCCCCTGTAAGAAAAAGGACAAAGGCTGAATGAAGAACAAAGGAACGACCCGTAATAGCGTATCGATCATCCACTTAGAGTTGAGTACCGAGTCACCAACTGGCGGACAGTGGCGATGCATCAAGGTTGACATGGAAGGCCTGAAAGATCACCTTGACCCGATCAACAGGGGCTGATATTCTTAGTTAGGGTTGATTGTGAATGTAATCATTCACTATCTCAATCAATCTGAATTTTATTCTCTACGTTCAAGGGATAGGACGTCGCTTGATAGCGCTTTTCACTTTCAAAAAGCGACATGACCATATGACGCAGAGTGGCTGAAGCAGGAAAGGACTTAGTTTCATCTGGTAAAATTAAACGTAATCTAACCTCCTCAGGTTAGCGCTGCAGGTATTCTGACGGTAATACGGCGCTGTACGTAAGTAACGCGCTGATCGGGAAGTTTGCCTGAGGTTCTCTGCCACTCTCTCTCCTTCTCTCTCGTTTTCCCTCTTTCAGCCCAATTCCAATTCCCTTCCTCTTTTCCCCTCCTCCTACTCTTCTTCTTCTTTTTCGCCCTCCCATTTCCGACGTAATCAAATCCATCTCTTGTCCCTAGTGAGTCCACCCTTAGTCCTCCCCATTTTTTTCAATTCTCTTCCTCTTCTTCTCTTCTCTTCATCGTCTTCTGTTTGTTTCAGTTGATCTAATACTCACTTCGTGATTTTCGGTACTAACGTGCGGAACTCTGTGTGTGCAGAAACAAACAATACCTTTCCTTGAGTGGCTGATCTTTTATCGACACTCTTTTCATATCACACAACTTCGACATGGCTCTCAAGAGAATTAACAAGGAACTCACTGACCTCGGCCGGTAAGACACACTCACTTCTTCGCTCTCTCTGTCGTTGTCCTTCGTGTCAACTGCGGCATGGTGTCGTTCACCCCACTACTGCGGGGTGCCTTGGGCGTCCTCCAGGCGCTTCCATTTCCCGACTTCAAGACGTCATCCTTGGGTTTCCACAATGCTGATATTGATTCTTCATCTAGTGATCCGCCCTCTTCCTGCTCTGCTGGCCCTGTTGGAGATGATCTGGTATGATATCTTCCCGACCCTTCTGTCGCAACCTTTGTTGTTACTGTCGTGTGTGCAGCTGCCATGTGCGGCGCCGCATACTGCATGAATCCGCCTGTGTCATGCAATTTCCTACGGCATCCCATTACACTTTGAATATGGCCACTGACAGCAGGTGTTTCTAAATAGTTTCACTGGCAAGCAACAATCATGGGTCCTGTAAGTTCCTCCAATATATTTCAGTCACTGGTCGCATTTGTGACTCAAGAGTGATTGGATCTAATGCTGACATTCATCTTTGACAGGGTGACTCGCCATACTCGGGAGGCGTCTTCTTCCTGACCATCCATTTCCCTACCGATTATCCATTCAAGCCACCCAAGGTCAACTTCACGACTCGTATCTACCACCCCAACATCAACTCGAATGGCAGTATCTGTCTTGACATTCTGCGAGACCAGTGGAGCCCCGCTCTTACAATTTCTAAAGGTATTCATCAATGTGAATGATCCACTTTTCTTAGATGCTGACCGCTCTTCAGTGCTGCTTTCGATCTGCTCAATGCTCACAGACCCTAACCCGGACGACCCGTTGGTGCCTGAGATCGCTCACGTCTACAAGACCGACCGCCCTCGGTACGAAGCGACGGCCCGTGAATGGACACGCAAATACGCTATTTGATCTTCACAGTTGACTTCTGCGCGGCCACCTCGGTCTTCCCAATTCTTTCTGCGTCATCTTTCACTCCGTTAGATCAGATCCGAAGCCTGGCGTACCGTGATCGTAGATCCGTTCCTTGTTCTTACTGTGAAACAAATCGCATGTCTCTAAATTCGTGTTATTCTGCGCTTTCTCTACCGGCGGGAAGTGTCATGTCCTACGATCATAATGACCAATTGTCTTTGATGCATTCATAGCACTTTTTTTTTCGATCTCGACTGGATGGAGTTCGACAATCCATTTGATGAACATAAAAACCTCAAGGCTGGGTCTTTGGGCGGCAGAGGCTGTGGCTCGTATGGCTTGAGGATTCTACCTGCGGGGAGGTCGCGTGAGTCGTGAGGAAAGCGGAAAGGGCGAGAGTCTTGGTGGTGCGCCGGTGGTGGTAACGGTGTGTATTAGATAGCGATAGGTATAAAGGCAAGACCACGTCCGACCCGTTGACCGGTTAAGAATGAGTTTGCTTTCGATGCTTGTGGTATTCATGCGTTCCGATCTGCTGTAGTTGTAGATATCTAGTCTAAACAAGCGCCCGTGTGCAAGTAATTTCTCGGTGTCTGGATGTTGTTGCGTATGCACCAGGCCCAAGTATCAAAGCTCGGTTTCGAGGATACCCTATTCTCAATCTGCCCAGTATGTAATATAGACAGACATCCATTGAGCTAAAGTGCAGAATGGACTGCAGTATGTGAACAACACAGGGAGGACTACGCAGACATGCATGCGAGATGTTCGTAAGAAATAAATGCGCAGGGTCGACCTGTACGGTCACCAAATGCATGAAAGTAAATAGAAAAGAAGAGAAGATAGAAAAATCGCGACCCAAACACAAGAAGGAGAAAGAGAAAAGAGAAATCAAAATGACCAGCCAGCTTCTTGAACTGTTCTATGGCCGCATCATATATAGTCTATGTGGTTTCGAGTATATGTACTAGCCATCAATGCGCGATCAACGAGACGACGAAAATTAAAAAAAAACAAAAACGCCCAACCTTGCTGCCTGTTTAATGCGTGAGATATGTCGCGAGTACACTGTCGTTACATGGCTCATAGAGGAGTCCCGAGAGAATGTAGAGAAAAGGCAAGAATGTAGAAGAGAACAATTGAAGAAGATGATGATGAGGAGGAGGAGGAGGAGGAGGAGGAGGAGGAGGAACCATGCGGGTCCTTGACTCTGCTCAGGCAACCTGGCTGCCTCTCCGACTGCTGACCGTGGTTGGAGCCTTGGATGGAGCCTTGGAGGCGCCCCCGGCTATACTGCCGTTGGCTTTGATGGTCCGTTGCGACACCTTGGATACATTGGTCGAGACCTGACTAACGCTATCGCTCGGTTGGACGGGTTCGTCGAATTTGCTGGAGCGTTTGGACACGTGAGACGGGGCTTTGGAACGGTGAGATTGATGGGAGTAGGAGGACCTCCGTGAGAAATCAACCTGGCTTATAGAATCGTCCGGCGTGATATTGGTCTGGATCTCAAAGTCATCCACGACGCTCTGGGGAAGCGGGATCTCACGGGCAGAGACACCCGACTTTGCACCGCTGCGGTACGACGCATAAGATGTCGCGGACCCCTCAGGCAGCGGGACCTGACGGGCCGTTCGTGCGGACGAAGTCGTGCTTCCGGCCACGGATCTGGCCGCTGACTGATGCGAAGAATGGCGGGAAGAGTGGTGATCCTGATAGCTGGTCTTGGATGGCTTGGCAGTCGATGCTGAGTAGACGCTCTCTTTATCATTGACTCGCGACTTATCCGGGAAGCTGCTGATGAGAGTGCTGGGATTGCATGGATACGTAGTCGAGCGGGCCGGTGGGGGATACTCAATCGCTCTCAGAGGGATATCCCTCACCGTGTAGACACTGCCATCCGAGGCACGACGCCCACTTTCGTCAAGGTACACACTACCATTCTCTCCACGAGGGTGAACGAACTCCGTGCCTTCGTATATTGTGCTCGCGCGAGGATTCTTCGAAGAGACACTGCGAGTCAGAGTGGATCGCGCATCTGATCGCGAGAAGGTGCTCCTGGCGGGAGGAGCGTCAATAGCCCTGTAGCCCTGATGTTCCTGAGCTAGCGAGGGAGCTTGCGATGGAAAAGTCAGCTGAGGGAAATCCCGGGGTGTGTACTGCGGAGGAGGAGTAACCTCCGAGGACTGCGACTGTGACTCGGTTTTGGTCAATGCATAAGCGATTGCTGCACCTGCAGCCGCTCCGATGAGCGAGCCAACGATTGTCTTGGCCGTGCTGTCGTCCTTTTTTTGGGTGGTGTGGGTATGGTTGACAATATAGGTAGGAGACGGCGCTTGCTGAACCTCCCGCGAGATGATGGTCGGTGCAGTTCTCTCCGACGGCGCTCCTCGCTCTACAGCAGTAGTCGCCCTTGAGACGTACGATTTGGCGTCTGACCTGACAGAGGGCGCGATACTTTGAGGCTTGACGGAGCTGACCTTTGTGCTAGCTCGGGACACCACGGACCCATTCTCAAGCAAGCCAATTGGAGATGCGCTGACTTCCGACTTAGCAGCAGAGATACCCGGACGGTACACAGCCTCGATGCTGTTGCCGTCAAAGTCGATCACCGCTGCACTGTAGTATCCCGAGTCCGGGTCGCGCGTCTTTGGCTCACCGTGGATCTTTCCGCCGGCTTTCAGTGCACTGATGAAAAAGGATCCTACAGCATCTTTTGACGGAGCAGGGAAAGCAACATGCGCTGCACCAGCTGGCGATCTATGATTTCGTCCTCGTCAATGGGGCTATGGTAGGGTGTTCAGAAAGAATACTGACCCTGGCTTCTGTTCTGTTATCCAGAAGTCTGCCGGCTCGCCTGATTTCTGACCAAATCCAATATAGTCGTCATGGCGACCAATAAACTGATATCCCAGGGGCTGTAGGCAGGAGAGGAAGAAGGAAGTCGATGTTGGGAGGTGAGAGACAGTCAGGGTGAGGTGGGACAGAGGCATGTCTGCGTTGGAGTCGACTCGCCCAGTATATACTTCAGGAGTTCAAGGCAGGATTTGTGACCACAGGATGATACGTAGATATAGAAAAGTCGAGTCACAAAATAGGGATGTCTATGAACAACATCCAAGGAAAGGAATCAAAAGAGGAGCTGAGATTCCTAATCCTCCAAAGACGAGTACAGCGTATATATAATGTTCGAATTCTTGAGTACAGAATGCGGATAATTGAATGACACTTTCAAGGCGAAGAGGAGAGTCCAGAAGCACGAAAGGACTGACGGTGCTATTTCAAGGCAGGTCTTGCTGTACAGATGAAGAGACCTAAGCATGCCCAACCGATATCCAATAACAGACGGTCGGAAGCTTAGAGCAAATGTACGTATCCATGAAGGGAAATGAACCCCTCCAGGAATACGGCTTTGGCAATAGTACAGGCACAAGTCGCATGCCTAGTTGGATTTTCAGAGCATCCGAAAGGGTGGCCGGGACTATCCACCGTACCTCGACCAGAGTCCGGGCCCTGCAGGTCCCTAACCGGGAAAGGTGAGCTCCAATGGTTATCAAAATCATGGAGTCAAGAAACTCCTGATGCCACGCTCTTCTTTCCGTTTCGGTGAAGCTGAGAGCGACTCCATGGCGCCAGGTCATCGTGGGGCACCGGGGGGAGCCGCTGGACGCAGCGGACGGTCCAGTAGGTGACCCTGCCCAGGTCAAATGGGGCGCCCATCAAAGAACAGTTGGAACCTGCTTGCAATTGAGCCAAGCGAGTTAGAAAAGCTTTGGGTGTCTCTCTGCGAAGCGTTGCTACATTGGACTATGGATAGACCAATATTCGAGGCAATTGACCATGATGAATACTACTTGACACCGCGCTGACCGCTGAAAATAATACCTCGAATAGTGAATGGGAGAATAGGGTCACCAGTTAGTACTCCGTAGTTACTGACTTGTTATCGGATACTGCAACAGCCTGAGAGGATGGTTGCAGAAATTAGGCCCACTAGATCACCAGATGGATATGGTGCGACAGTAAGTGACAGACGGACTTGTCGGTAGTGGTCGTATGGGGCCAGTGAGGCAGAGCTTGGAGGGGATCTCTCTCTTAAGACTTAGATGCTCCAATCCGGTTCGTGTTTGGGCACTTCTGCTGCTCTTAGTCGCCAGATGGTGCTGTCAGACCGCCAAAATGCATCCACTATCTGCGACTGTGCCTTGGGCGATGCACCATCTCATTTGTGTCGTCAGGAGTGCGAGACTGACATAAGACAGCGCTCTTTCAAACACTGGAGCGATCAGTCGAATGACAAGATGACCATCACGACCCAGGCTTTCTCTGGATTTGTTTTGGAACCAGATGGTAGATGCGCATATAATGACCGCCATCGCTGTCCGGAAAGATTGTCCGATGGATGCGCCAAGTATCATGGACATCTACTCATGTCGGTAGCCGACCATGTCATCCATACAGGACAGACCAGGGGCCAAGCAATCCTAAAAACTTGGGTATGAGTCTCATACTCTAGACCTCCGCAGCCAAAGAGAGAAAAAGTGAAGCGGAAGGTCCACTAGATGAGAATGGAAGCCTCTCTGCGTGCCACGTCGAAGCGAGTCTAATCATAGTTCACCTCCCGTCACCCGGGCCAGCCGATCAATAATGGATCCCCTGGTAGACATGTTTGTAGAAAGCAGCAGGCGAAGTAATCGCAGGATCTCGAATTTGCCGCTGTCTTCTGTTGTCTTTACGAGCGTTTTATCCTGCAGAGTTGGAGGGAGAAGAGAAGAGTTGATCAAATGAGCAAGAAGCATACAGTTGTCGGTGCCTTGGTAAATGCCTGTTATCTCAGGCACTCATGGTGACAAAATCCATCCTCATCTTGTCCGACTCTTGGTCAATCATTTTCTACGCTACCTGGAGAATTCTCTATCTCATCATCAAAGTCCACATGGTATGAGTCTTTGTTTCATGTTCTTCACTGATCCACCGAGCAGCTTCCTGTTTCCTTCGACTTGGACAATGACAGGCGGATCACTAGATGTTTATATGGTAATACACCTACGATGCGGAATGCTGAAAATGTACATGAATCTGATTGATTTATATTCATATATAAGACCAACCCGAAAGCTCAGTTATCGATCGTACTGATTTTAGATCCACGTGGTACGGGCTTCCAGCGCCGGCCAGTCCCTTGCACTCTGGAGGACAGATCAAGAGGCAAAAAGTCAACGGCAAAATCGAGTCTGATTTTGTTTGTAACTTCGACACTCCATGCTGGATGGGCTCGGAATGGAAGCTTTTCAGAGTACTGGAGTCGATTGTCCTGTTGATGGGAGGAAAGAAAAGCCGTCCAAGAAAATTTCAAGACCTCGAAAAAAGCGTAAAGCAATGTCGTATTGGCGGTCGTGTATCAAGTCACACTGGTCCCGGAAGCTAATAGCGAAAGGGAGAACGTAGGATGATACCAGAACAGACGCGGAATGGGAGGCAATGAATCCAAAGGCGGAGAATAAGAGGCATGCGTCCAGGGGCATGCGTCCCAAGATTGGCGTTCGCTATACTTCGACCTCGGCGCCGGACGGCAGGTAGCGAAAAAGAAAATTCGTCAGTCGTCAAAATATGGCCGCTCTCGAGCCCCGATCCACGGGGTCGCTCAAAGAATGCCCCATGATTCCTCCGCAGCATGGCAGAATTTGCTGCACGCAACACTGGCGCTCAAACTGTAGTTGCTGATACTGATCGTATCATCCTTGAACGAGTCCGCAAAGTCATCATGGCCCTTTGCCATGGCACCGACAAAGATACAGATACTCTCCTTGGGACCCAGGGAATCGATGTAGTCCTTGACCCGCACGACTGGGGCTTCGTAACTGAGGGTGACTTTACGGCAGTTGGGAGGTAAGTGGTCCGTAATAGGATTTTTGATGACCTTGAGTAGTTTTTCTTGAGAATTGGTGGAACGAATGGAAAGTCTGTGCAGCAGCTGAACCATCAAACCAGCGAAACGTTTGAAGGTACGAGGAATGCGGACGGATGGGTTAACTTCGATGAGGACACCTTTCGCAGTGTGGATGTAGATTTGGAGCTTGCCAGCTTTATTGATCGGAGAGTCAAGGAGAGTGAGGAGGCACTGTTGCGTGGAGGATGAGCGAAGAGATTAGCAATCCAGAAATCAAATCTTTCCATGGAGGGAGTGAGTCAAACCTGATGGGTGATATCAGGTCTAGCCTCACTGATATCTCTGTTCATCTTGCGCATCACACCAATGTGTTCATCGCTATTGAGCAACGAGTATTTCTCATCCCGACCCGAGCCATTGCGACCACCATGGGAAGCACGATATGTCTCCAAACTGGCATGAGAGAGAACGACAATCAAGCGCTTTGTCTCCTTGTCATTGGGAGGAATAGGGACATGCTGTTCGGCGACCAGTTGAGGCAACTCGGGAGGCGGGCAAGACTGGGTCCCTGAAGATCGATCGCGGTCAGTCATGTTGGATGATGATCGCGGTTGGTGTAGCACCAAGAGAGAGGTAAGATGATCGCCCGAGCCTGGCAGATGAAACCTCGCAGATAAAACAAATCTAATTCCAAGGGAGGGGAAGGCAAAGGGACAGTCTGGATTCGCAGTAGTGACACACGAGCATGTGTTTAACACGTTCGGTAAGAATTGAGAATGATGTCTGCTTTAGAGAAAAAAAAAAGAAAAAAATCTTTGCCAATCTTCCAAAGAAATGGGATATATGGACGCTCCCAAAACAAAGCGTAGATCACAGGGAGATAATTTTCAACAAATAGGATGGAGCAGAATAGGATGGAGCAGATATATGCAAGAGGGGAAGAAAAGGTACGAAAAAAAAAGGTTGTGAAGAGGGAAGAGGAACAAAGGACACAAGCAGATCGATAAGTGACAGGTACATACTGGGTCTCTTTCTCTTCCCGGCGGCTTGAGCAGAGTCCGACATAATGCCTGTATTGTTAAACGTTTCTTCCTTTGAAGATTCTGATAGCGAGAAGAGGAATATAGGTCTATTGTCGAAGGATTGAAGAAGAGATTCAACCAAGAGAGAGGAAATAAAAAGTTGTTGGTGGAGAGCAATTGGCAAAGGAACGGAAGAGGGAAAAAGAGGAAGAGGAGATTTCTCTCGGTCACCCACAGGCGTACCAGCGGGATAAGAAGTCCTCCGATACTACGGCGTCCGTATACCACTCGTATATGTACTGCTTACTACGGACTTTTCTGGTCAATTCGCCGTAGATGGACAATAATACTTATCACCACTATACATTCTTCTTAGCTATTTAATCTAACTAGGTCGTTTCCATGGGAAAAGAGCCTTAGTTATTCGTATGGTGGTTCCGCCCCCAATCTAAGTAGTACTGCACCGAAGTAGAGTGTACCTAGGTAGTCAACGAATCCTTCGTCTACCATGCTATCTTGAATCCAGAATAATAAAATCCACCGTCATATTCAACATCGGATATTCCTGAGGCTAATAGGAGACGCATGGTTTTCAACCGAGATCGTACCGTCCCCTGGGAGTTGATAACTTCCGAGGGCATCGACGTACTCGGATAATTTGTAGCCATCGTGTACCTAGAGAAGCCTACCTACCAGCTATCGCAGTAAGCAAGTTGGAGGCTCCGTCTGTACCTATTATTGACTAGGACTAAATACTCTGCTGCAGCTGAGATCATCTTTAATCAGCACTATTTTCTTACTAACCCCCAATAAGTGTCCAGTAATGTCTAGTAGTCGGCGCATTTTCCCTCAAGCAACAATCTCAACCGATAGAAACATCAAAAGTAATCGACAACCGACGTGATAGGCTCCACAATGTGAGCTCCTGCAGGAAGATAGTAAGAAATCCCTCCGGCGTTGTTGGTCTGACACCTCGTCTTTCTCCATCTAACCTATATGGGCTTCTGTGGTAACAAAATCCTACATAGAGGCAGTGTATCAAGCTGGTACTTACCTAGTCTATCCCACATCTACCTCCGGTTTGCGGGGATCATATTCTCATCGACAAATGATTGGTCGATCATGCGTCGGCTTACTGTATATCTCTTGCATCAGTCGCTCTGTCTACGCTTCGAGCAAAAGTAATTATACAACTGTGTGCTCAACACCTTCAAGAATCAATGCGGTGCTTGAACTGAGCATGAGGAGGACAGAGGTGTGGGATGTCATCCAATAATGTCATCCAATACCCTAGTCTAACCAGCAGCGCTCTTGACTGATTTGATTGGACGTATCCATCGAAGGGAGTGTCTGTTACGGAGGAGACAACCCTGTAGTCTTTTGATACACAAGAGGGACTTCGTCCTGTAAGTCCCACATTGACTGTGGTTGTGATCTTAGAGACTGCCAGCTCACGTGTCTTTACAGGTATCTGATCAGCAGCCATTTGCATGGTAAGTAAGGAGTACAACTCTTAAGGTAGCTTCCGTCAGAAGAGCGGTCGGCGATCGTGAGCCCGTTCACATCACCGGTGTGCGAATTGACAAAGCTCTTGCCTGCCTACTGCATAGGATAGTATGTGGAGAAGACCGACGGGCATCAAATCGGAGACCACATCTGTTCCATTGATTCGAAGCCGTCTATCCCTCAAAACTCTCTGGGAGTGGTGGCTTCAAAGCTCTAACACTCCGTCTTCCAACGGAAAGGAATCGAGATACTAGCAGTTTGGATCACAGTTATTGATCTGACTGATCGTAGCACAAATGATCAACATTTGACATCACTCCCTATCCTCATACAGCCATTAGCGATAGGGGGAAACAAGACTGACTGATGCTGCAGATGCCGGCCGGATGCATGTCAATATCGTCCTACCTTCTTGTGCCTCCTCGAAATGGGAGAAGCGAAAGTCAGATGTATGATCAGAAGGTAGTCGTACGAAACGGACACCCTGTAATCAGCGACTTTTTCGAACAATCAATGTATGAATTGTTGTTGCTCTTGCCTACCTCGAGTTACATCTGCCTGATCCCGTCAAATCCAAGATTCCTTTCAGCGATGCTTCTAATCCGTATGAGATGAGACTTTGTTCATCTCTAGGGTATTTGGTTCTATCATGTCAAATGAGTAGTCGCCAGAAAGACAGATGGGCCATATCACGAGGCGAAAAAGGCAAGGCGCAATTCCGTACACCTCTCTCGTAAACCGTCCAGTAAAAATCGTGCCTCGTGAGCTGTCTCAGCAGTAAGGGCATAGGTGAGGCTGGGGATTCTGCGACACCTTGTGTACCAAAGCTGCGGACGATCTATGATCTCCAACCAAGCGAAGAGCACGTACGGAAAGGAATGAATGATGTCTGGTATGCTGTCAGTTGCCATCCCAAGGTTGCCGATCAACCCTTCGATATACAATAGCCAAAACGGGATAGATCGGTTGGGGTTATGTAGGAAGACACGGCAAGCAAAACAAGGAAGTACACACCTATCACCTCAATAGTAATACCAATCTGGAGTTGTCAATTGTCGACAGTGGTGGTATTGAACCTACCAAAGCAAGGTATCTATCTATGTAGTAGCCAAAGTAGCTCCCCCTACCGATGAGTGGTCCTGAAACTCCTCCAGCAAGGTATGACGATTGTGGTTGGTGGCCGCCATAGTCTGTCATGCTTTCAGGAGGCAAATTCAGCCCACAAGAAGGATACCCAGGTAACTAGTACGGAGTACGTCCCTATTATTATTGGTATAGGAGGCAGAAGGCAAAACCTAATGGAAATGAGGCCATGCCACTAGCTAAATCATGATTAGATACGTGCCTACCAGCTGCTGCTCCTCTTCTCTTCCTAACCCCCGTGTCCCACGATCTTCAGGCTGCCCAAAAGCCAACAGTGAGCATCCATTATCCACTTGTGTTCACTGTTAATAATTATCATGTCACATTAATATCATCATCACAGCCCCTCCGTGTCCTATATTAATGGTAGCCTGGAGATCACCTCCGGAGCTGTTCTCCATATCTTCTACTACTTCCCCTTGAGTCTGTCCACGCTCCACATACACAGAGTATTAATCCCCATCATTCTTCTCGTCCTGTATCCATTTCTGAATTATCGACAAAGCCCTTGTGTGCAACTACGGGAGACTGTATCCTTCATCTGAGTCATTCACATCGTACAGACCCTCCCATGTCTGTCTGTGGCTTAGATTGGTAGCCTCGTGCCCGGAACATCAAGCTCCTTTCACATCGCTACGGAGTATCACCAACAGACGTCCGACCGTTTTGATCGAACAAGAACCTAGTCCACTTTGGTTGCTTTGGGTGCCTCTAGGTCACCTAGTGGCCCATTAGTTTCTGTGCTAACCTTACCTCCTTAAGGTATGTGGAACTGTGGAAGGGCAACTGAAGAATGATCCCCTGTCAAGCGCCCGAGCGAGTAATATGACTAAATGTGGATTAGCGCCTGAGGCAACGCGTTCCGTCACTCGTCGATCAAGCTTACATACAGAGGTACGTATCTCGACTATTATTTATCGCCGGGTTATTATTATTGTTTCCGCCAAAATCCGCCTGTTGGCTGGAACGAAATATCGCGAATAATAATAATAATAATAAAATCCATCATAATAATATATTCCTTAGGAAATCATCTCTGCTGCTACTCTTCCTTCACTTTTGCGTTCGCCTCCCATCAGTGCACTCACACACATATGCTCTTGATGTTCGACTAGGTTGAATCAGTGCTCTGAAGAAAAATAAGGGAGATGCCGTGGACTGTAACAAATTCATTCAAGCGGTACGTTTTGCTTTTTTGTCTAGTTTCCCTCTCCTTACCCCTTCACTCACTTTGCTCGGTCACTATTATCACCATTTACTTTTTGAAATCTACTGCCGGTTCTAACTTGTCCAGCTCTAGAGGACTCATGAAAACTTACGGAAGATCTTTATGGCGCGTCTATGATGACGACGATAATGGCCCTGCCGCCAAGAAACGACGCGTCGAGGCGGGCAACGAGTCCGACGACGCGGAGAACAGTCTTCAATATGCTATTCGCGAGTCATCTGCTGCCATTTTATCGAGTCCGTCGCGTCGCAATTCAGTAGTTCTCTCGGAGGGGACGCAGGACGATGACTTGTCCACGCCTCCGTCATCGCCACCTCCCAGATTGACCCCTCCCCCGCAAACACGAGAAAACCAACATTTTCGTTTCTGAAGCGCAAGCAATCGTCGACGAAAGATGCGAGCAATGGCACCCCGCTCACGGAAGTCAACTCCAACAGTGTGCGGTCGTCGGTCGATCCCCCCAAGAAGAAGGCGGCGCAGTCGCAACCACCCGTTTTGAAACAGATGCAGATTGATCTGGGCCACGAAGTCAGAAAAACCTGTGCTACTTGTGGGATGGAATACGTGCCCTCCAATGCGGAGGACGCGGCGCTTCACAAAAAGTTTCACGACATGAACTCGACGGGGGTGGATTTGGGGAAGGCTTTTATGAGGGCGAACGCATGCCGCTGGGTTTACGAAGCCACTCGGTTCGACGAAGGTTACGTTGTTATTGTGGACCGCAAGGCTTCTCCGACCGTCAAGAACCAGGCCAAGAAAGTGCTGGAAGTGATCAGCAAGGAGTTGTCTGCGCCTGAAATCTCAGACGATGTCTTATGGAGCCAAACGGAGCCGCCAGAACGTCTGCGGAAGAACGGTGCAGAGGAGAAAGTAGATCGCTATAAGGTGTTTCTGCACATGAAGGACAGCCGGTGTGTGGGAGCATGTCTCACTGAGCGTATCTGGGAATCACGGCCTGCGGAGTGCTCGACACCGGCTCAGAATGGAGCAGATCAGCCGACCGACTCTGCGATTACCGTCCGGGACGAGGTGCATCCAGCTATCGTGGGTATCTCGCGCATTTGGACATCGGGCTCATCTCGAAGGAGAGGAATCGCCATGGACCTTCTTGATTGCGTTGTGACCAACTTTATCTATGGGATGGAGATTCCCAAGGAGCAGGTTGCTTTTAGTCAGCCGACAGAAAGTGGGAAACGTCTAGCACAGGCCTTCTTCGGGCCAGGAGTGCAGTGGCATGTCTACAACGAAAGCTAGAACTGATCACCCAGCATGCCGGCACACGAGCGCAAGTGGATATTGGTTTGCGTTTTTGAGTCTCTTCTTTCGAATGGGCCAGATGATACCCTTCTTCCTCGGGATGGATGAGCCCGAGTCAGGAATCTTGTGATGACCCTTCGTGTCTGTTTGTATAACCTCAGGTGTTTGGGAAGGCGGCCTCTTCCTGTTCTCGATTGTTCAACATGCGCTACGTGTTTTTCCTTTTTTTTTTTTTTAATATTCTTTCTGGGTACCCTTGAATATGCAGGTCAGATATCATTTTCGCAATGTAACATATAGCCTTTTTCTTGGTCGCGTTTTCTTTAACTCTGGTGTTCTACTATATTTCGAGGCAACGGTTGGAGGACAATCGAATACAGACAGAATGCAAACAAGCATCATCAATATGACCATTCATTGAACGAGAGATAATTGACTATATCTACGCACCACACGTGCTTTGCTCATAATTACAGAAGTCCACAGTTCCCAAGTTGGTTGGCCGTCGCGACTTGTGATGCTGTGCGCTTGCCGGAAGCCGCGCGGATGACCGGCCCTCCATAGCTTAAACGCCGTAGCTGTTGGCATCTCACCTTCCACCCTTTGTGACTCCCTTCATCAATTCCATTCTCCCTGCCCTCATGGTCGGTGGGAGTAATTTACTCTGCGATGTCTGGATTAAATCCTTTCCGCCCTAAAAAGCCAGAGCGTGAGGTTCATCCGCCCCTTCCGAATGCTGGGCATGACGGTGTCTGGCCCCCGAGAGGTGTGCCTCGTCTATTATTGCTCTTTGTGTATGAAGTCAACGCTGACGGATTTTCATTAGCAGTGCCTCCTAATCGATCGCCATCCTCAGTTTCGACAAAATCATCCTACCCTGCCGCTCCGTTGACTGCCGGATCTTTGACGAATTCGTCCGCTACTCCTCATGGCCATTCCGTGACCCCTCCCGAATCCTCGACGTCAGATGCTGACGATTCTCAAACCTCGGACGAGCAGTCACTGCCAGACCCGTTCCGAAAAAGTTCGCACATGAGCGACAATGATGTGGATGACGGGGAGGACCTCGATGACGATGCCTGGAAGCCGTCGTATTTTCATCGGTCGACCCCCGCGGCTGATCGCCGTCACTCGGCTTTCAGCATCGCACCCCACACAACGCCGTCGCCCCCAGGAGCAGTAATATCGACTCCCACGACCCCTCTCGCACCCGCAGGAGGACAAAATGCCAGGACAGACAGCAGCAATCATTTGGGAGTGCTGGAAAACCAGAAGAACCTGGGAGGGAATACGATGAATGCGACGCCGAGCGCACCTGTACCTATATCAGCTCCCCGTGGGATGGCTCATACGGGCAGTGGTACTGCCTGCATCCCTGGACAACATACAGTTGCTCCATCGTCTGAGTTTGAGACTGGCCCGAAGCCTCTTGCGGTGCGTCCGGCAAACCGGGACAAGAAACCTCCACCACCACCTAAAAGTCATCATGGGAAGTTGATCAACCCCAGTCCTCATGCGACCTCTTCTCATTCCCAACCGGCACCCCTCGGCCAACCAAACGGTTCTCCTACCATGGCACTTCCTCGGAGACATCCCTTTCTCTAACACCAGATACACCTCCCAGCAGGTCATCTCAGCCGAGGATTGATTATTTTACTCCACTACATGATAATACAGCTCCTCAATCAGCAGAAACGCTCAGACGTAGCCAGTCACAGCACAAGCGGCCGCCGACGCCGCCGCTGAGTAGACGACACAGTCAGATGAGAAGATCCAAAAGCACTATGTCGAGAACAAATTTGTCTCGGCTCTCAATGCCAGCTGGAAAGATTGAGGTGAATGCATCTCCTCCTTCGAGCCCAGGTCCTCGAACTCAGGAGCCCAGAATAGCTCCGCCGATGGCGGACGATGCAGAACCTGATTCTGGTCAACGTGAGCCGCCGTTGTCAAGGCGAGCGTCTCAGGTGAACCCGCTGCCACCACCTCCCCCACCGAGGAGGAACCGAGTTTCCAGCAGTCATAGCAACAGTAAGAGCCAGTCTACACAGGAGAAGCAGGCAGGGGATGAGGACTTTATCCCTCGTCCGTCGAATGCCAATGACATCTTGGCCGATTTGTCGCGGCTACAGAAAGAAGTGGATGATCTTCGTGGTCACTATGAGAGCCGCAAGGTCAGTCACTAGTGGTTTCGCATTTATGATAGACACAGGTTTTGTACATGCACCTGGCACGAGCGTCTACTTGCTACACTTGAACCCATAACGAAGTGAATGATACATTGACTACAATGTGCTTATGCGAGTGACATCGATGGGGAGACTTGGTATATATGAGTTACGTCAGGGGTAGCCGAGCAATGAGTTATGACTACATAGCGATCAATCCAATACAGGTGCGAAATACGTCCATTTTGAACGATGAAACAAACCAACCTACTATGTGATGGAAGGAATGCAGTGTAATGTCTGGAGGCCTTCAATATCAGGCACCAATCCCTGCTACTGGATTTGCAGCTGTGATTGGTTGATGACTTACATCATTACGATGACGTCAGCTCCCCCTCCTTTCGTGTTCTGCGACCCTCATCCCTAAGACAGCCAGACAGAGAGTATAAATGACGAATATGAGACAAAGAGATGGATATCTCGTCGATTTAGAGAGGTTACTATGGAATCTTTGGGGTTCCACAAGAATGCAACAAACTCCACTGTAGCCACTGCTCCTCAATAAACTATTATTGCTCCATCTAGAACCAGAGCAGCCTCGCCTCACTTGACCCTATTCTGTTCTGAAAGAAACGCCTCACTTCACCTGACTGAGAGTTTCCATCTTCTGCCATAATCCACCTCATCATTCCAGAGCGCTTCCCGTGCATGAAGGAAAATCCTTAAGCGATCTTCTCATTGACTGCATCTCGACTATCATATTTTATGTTATTAATCACCTTTGCAAGACATCTCAATCTGAATCTTTTCTTCTGATTCCATCGTTTATCTATCTTATCTACACATCTGATTATCGACAAGGAAGCTGCGCGACGAACCGCATCTCGATTGTTTCAAGCCAGACGTCACTCTCCATTGACTCTACTGTGCTCTGCTCTGCTCAATCTCATTCCTTATAAAACCACGATTCCTGCACAACAGAAAGACTCCGGCATAATGACCACGCCGACTCTCATAGATCTACCTCCCCCGCCCTCGGATCCTGTCACGCCATCGGACATGGGACCGTAAGAGCATCCCTTTCCTTTCCCCGTCTACTCCTTTTACAATCTCCCAGATAGTGCATCCCTTGAAGGAGAAAAGCGCAATGAATTGACTAGTATTACTGTGCTACAGAGGCACACCAAATTCGGGCACAACCTCCCTCTCTGCACTGTCCACCACCGCTATCAAAGACGGCCATCAGGGCCAGCCTCTACCACACGGGCGACATGCTCATCACTCATCCTCTGCCTCGGCGACCTCTACATCTACCTTGGAGGCCGAGCGAGCCGATCGCATCTCCCGTCTCGCCGGGCTGGAACGTGTCGCAACCGCCCGAGCGGGAGGTGTTCCTCAGTCGAACCTCGTGTTCGCGACGGCGCACGGCCCTGGCTACTTTGACAGCGGATCCGGTTTCAAAGAAAGAAGCACCGTGGGCAGTGCCAGCGCCACCGGCAGCGTGGGTGCTCGTACTACATGGGCAAGCGGCAGCGATGCGCTCGACGCAGACAAGATGAGCGAAGACACGAACGACGACGATGAGACCTCTAGCGTGGGAAACATCAGTGAAGGGGATGCGAGCCTGGTTGCATTTGGAGAGGGCGCCAGTACGATCAGTGGCCCGATTTCGCACCCCACTCTCAACCGAATGTCGTCGGGAGGTCGTCCGAGTTCGCTGGGAGCTGGAAGTCCTAGCATGAGCCGAGCGAATCCCCTCACATCGTACCAGCCTGGAGTTGAAGACTCTGCCGCCGTGTCCTCCTCGTTATCTCCTGCGGGATCGAATACGCCGGAACAGATGCATGACGCTCGCATGCTGGACGGGGTAACCTATGACAGTGATGTGGTCGACACGACTGTGAGAACCCCGCGGCTGGCCACCCCGTTCAGCCATGGCCAGTCTGCCAATCGGAACGATGACTCGGGAGACAATTGAGAGGAAAGCAGGATTCAAAAGGAGTGAATGGGCGTTTTTACACAGATGGGAGGTTTGTACCTTTTTAGCTATGGATCATGGGAGGCACAGTGATGGGAAGTTCAGGCTGTGACGGGCGGCCTCAAAGCAGATACCTGGAGAACGAGTATGATTTTTCTGTAGGATAATTGATAGCACGTTGAAATGCCTTTTTTTCCTTTCAATCTAGCAGTATTCAGTATTGGGATAGTTGTTTCTTGTATGGGGTGGGTCGAGAAGAGTCGATCAGTCTTATCCCGAATGGCGACATTCACATGGCCACAATAACATCATAATGCCAGCAAGAATCCCCATGAACATCAGCCTCATGTCTGAAGACAGAATAGTCCAGGGATAATTCATAGAGAAACTCATAGATTCCTGTAGGAAATGACTTAAACAATCATAAGAACAATATTCAAGCCAAGAACACTCTAGACCGGCAATTTCGCCGCTGAAGGCCACCACCAAAATTTCTTACTCTTGGTCTGTCCGCGGTCTAAGAAATTCCTCTCTTCTTCTTCTTCTCTTCTTCACCTTCAGTTCCACTCCTCCCACGCCTCCTCTCTCCCAACCCTACAGTCTTCTCCAGTCCCGTTCATTGCTGGCATTGACTTGTCAAGCACTGAAGACCTGACAATTTGATTTATTTTCCTCATCCACTGCCAAGCTCAGCTGCCATCCGCTTTTGTTTTCTTTGTGCGAGCTTGCGCCCCAGTGTGTGTCTCTTTTGACTCTGCTCCGTTGCGTCAGACAAACAACAGCTCGCCACACTCAATTAGCATCAAGCACATCTGAACCGAGTCGGCCTCGAGTAGCTCGTTTTTCCCCCGGCTCTGCAAATTGTGACGTCCCTGCTCCATTGCCACCTTTGGTCTGGAAAACATACGTCCTGCGCCCATCTGCGTCATATTCGTTACACGCAGCACGAGCTAGACCTACGTCGAGTCCGTCAGATACTATACACTTTGTTGGAATTTTCGAGACACTGTTACGCGCGCATTAACGTTGCTGTTGTGCATATCGGAAACTTTCAAGGCGGGATTTCAGAACCGAGTCGAGAGAATTATTACATCAACAATGGCAGCTCCTACACAGCTTGCTTGTATGTCTCCCTCCTCGCATTCTTATAGACAAAACAACTTGTCACCTATATTAGGTGCAACCGAAATGTGTCAATAGTGCTGACTTGCCGCAGTCCGAACGGTCAAAGGGATTGGCATTTTGGATGCGGCCCCAGTCTATGAGCCTTTGTCGGGGTTTGTGAGGTAGGAACTGCGATTTTCTGCATTTATGCAATGGTCCAGGCTAATAGAACTTCTGTTGTGCAGACCTGAGGGGAACCTCCGCTGTAGCGCTTATTCTCCATGCGGCAGATATTTTGCCTGGGCTTCTCCCGAGAGGTATGCGATCATGGCGATTGTCAGAAGATCTTGCAAACGGACTCGCTAACCATCTACTTTAGGGTCACCATTGTCGATCCTTCGGTTGGACACGTCGTCTCTACGATTTCTGCCGAAAATGTCTTTGAGCTGGGGTTCTCCCCCCTCGGAACCTACCTGATCACTTGGCAGCGACCTTCGAAGGACGCCAACGGAGACGCCGTCAAGAACCTCAAGGTCTGGAAGGTGATTGAGACATCGCCTGAGAGCAACGGAGACGAGCATACGGTTGTGGGCAGCTTTGTTCAAAAGTCGCAGACAGGCTGGAACCTCCAGTACACGTTCGATGAGAGCCTGTGCGCTCGCGTCGTCACCAATGAGGTCCAGTTTTTCCAGAGCGACAACCTGTCAAAGGTCTGGAACAAGCTGCATGTGGATGGTGTGTCGGACTTTGCCCTCTCTCCCGGCAAGAACAACTCGATTGCTGTCTTTATTCCCGAGCGCAAGGTTTGTTTTCCCATCGTGGGTCTTTCGCAATGGTTTACAGCCGACTTACTTGTTTCTTCTTTTCGTCCAGGGTCAACCAGCAGCGGTCAAGGTGTTCAACGTGCCTCAGTTCGGAGCGCCCGTCTCCCAGAAGAGTTTCTTCAAGGGTGACAAAGTCCAGCTCAAGTGGAACAGCCATGGAACGACTCTGCTGGTGCTTGCGCAGACCGAGGTCGATCGCAGCGGCAAGAGTTACTACGGAGAAACAACTCTGTACTTGCTTAGCGCCAATGGTGGCTTTGATTCGCGTGTGGACCTTGGTAAGTCCTTCCGGTGTGTCTTACCCCATCGTACATTTGCTGACTCTACCGTATAGACAAGGAGGGTCCGATTCACGATGTGTCCTGGAATCCCAACTCCAAGGAATTTGGTGTTGTGTATGGATATATGCCAGCGAAAACCACCATCTTCAACTTCCGGGGTGTAGCCAAGCACAGTTTCCCTCTGGCACCTCGCAACACCATCCTGTTCTCTCCCGAGGGACGTTTCGTATTGGTAGCTGGCTTCGGTAACTTGGCCGGACAGATGGACATTTACGACTTGGACAAGAACTACAACAAGGTGGCGACCGTTGAAGCGTCGAATGCCAGTGTCTGCGAATGGTCGCCGGATGGACAGTTTATTTTGACGGCTACCACCAGTCCGCGCCTTCGAGTGGATAACGGCATCCGGATCTGGCACGTCAGCGGTGGATTGATGTACAACGAGGATATGAATGAGCTGTACGAAGTCGTCTGGAGGCCCCAGTCCACCACCCAGCACCCGCTGGGCGACCCCTTCCAGACTCTCCCCACACCCCACCCGTCCGCCCTCGCCTACTTGAGCACCAAGAAAGCGCCCGCAAAGCCGGTCGGCGCCTACCGTCCCCCGGGCGCCCGTGGCCAGGTCACACCTCTCGCGTTCAAGCGCGAAGATGAGGGCGGTGCAGCCTACGTCCGGGATGGCGCTAGCGGTGGTAGCGCGCTGAACGGATTTGGCAAGCCCCGCAGACGCGAGGTGCCTGGCGCAGAGCCGGTCGAGGAATACCTGCCTCCTGGAGCCGCTCCCGGAGGAGGTGTGGCTCTGCCACCCGGAGCTGACCAGGAGAAGCTCTCCAGGTCGGCAGCGAAGAACAAGAAGAAGCGTGAAGCCAAGAAGCAGCAGCAGCAGGATGGTCTGGCTCCCCCCGCACACGGCGGCCAGTCCGGACAGAGCCCCGACCGTCGCGGCCACGAGCGAAGCCGCTCCAAGGGCCAGAACGGCCACGTTGACGGCAATGCCCGCCGCAACGGCCACCAGGCCAACGGCGCATCGCAGTCGGCGAAAACGAAACCCGCCGAGGCGCCTGCACCCACCCCAGCCCCGCCGCCCCGCCGCCCTGCCGCTGCTGCAGACGCCGCCGCGAACCCTACCGCGCAGGATAAGAAGATTCGAGGACTTCTGAAGAAGATCCGGGCCATCGAGGAGCTGAAAATGCGACTTGCCGGAGGAGAAAAGCTGGAGGATACGCAGGTGAAGAAGATCCAGACCGAGGACTCGGTGCGCAAGGAGCTAGAGGCCCTGGGATACAACGGATAAGCGGACTATAGTCTTTCAGGAAGCGAAATGCAATATGTGATAGAGACGGTCCCTTGTACCTTGCTCGGTGTCTTGGACGTGCTTTGCCTATTTGGGAATATTTCCGCCATATTTCCTCCACATGTTTGAGTTGTAAATAAGGTCGACCGTGACTTGGGCTTTCTTTCTTCATATGTATTACGCTTTGGAATGGCTATATGCAGGAAATGGCAAGGAAGGAATGTACATTGAAAGAGCATTGTCGCTGACATCTCAAAGAATTGTCAAGTCACTGCATGAGGAGCATCGATAGATTCGATTAGAGGAACTTGGATGAGAATGAAATTCAGCAACATTTAGAGAGAGATACTTCTACTTCTACTTCTAGCTATACTCTTAGTCACATCTGTAAAATACTACGTTTAATGTCCCAACCGAAATAACCCCCGTCTCCTAGTCTTCGTTCACCCTTCAAGTCTGCCCAGCTGCCCTTCCGCCGACATTGATACTGATGTAGACTTTGTCCGAAGCTCGAACGAGATGATCAGAACCGATCAACGCCATCCGATCTTCTCCGCGAGGGAGGACAGATCAGCATCATTGCCTGCGGAATAAAACAGACTGGAAGAACCAGACCATCCAGATGAGGAAGCGACAACAGAAGTCCTCAATAGAAAAATAGTCGTCAAGGATCGGAAAACAGGGGACCCAGCAAACTGGATTCGGATGGGGGTTCTTGGCTTGATATCTCGCATCTGATACAGAGCTTATCCCGTCACGAAGACGGGATTTCAAGGCATGGTCCTCGCCTTGCGCTCCACCTTGCAGCGCGAATTTGGTTCGAGTTTGAAGGGCATGATGACCTTTCAGTAAGAAGGAAAAAGAACAAAGGTGCAGAACTACATTTATCATCAGTGGGATTATTTTCGCGTAGGAAGTAGTGGGTATCTCTGTTTGGAATTTCATGTTAAGATTCGAAGCTTCAAGCGAAGATGCGAGCTCGTTTGATCGGACTTCCCGTTCGCATTGATCGGTTGCCGCTGGCCATGCCACTCAGAAGGCGGTCCATTCCATCCACGTCCAACTCTCCCCTGCGGAGCATGAGCTGATCGGCCTCGGTGGTTGCTTCTTCGCTGGTTGACTGCCGGGAGACCGGGATCTCTTCGAGTTCGGTCAGTTTTGGCGCAAGTATGATGATGCGATGCTCTGATGTGATGAGGATATCAAAGTCCTGACGCTCCGTGTCCCGAGAACGGCGAGCAGCTGCAGGAAGATGACCGATGCCGGTAAAGTTCTCTCCCATCAGGTGGATGTCCTGAATAGGCGAAACTCTGCAGCGGTTCGATGCGTCAAAAGTGCCACTGGCTTTGATGGCGTTGCGCCACAGGGAGAGTAGACTGGGGATCACAGCACTCTGAGTGCCATGTCGTAGCAATACTGACTCGTCAGGCAGCGCGTCTCTCAGCGAACTCGTCTGGTACACCGAAATCTCTCCGCATAAAGACGGGGTGGATGTGCCAAGCGTGCCTTTCAACAGAGTATCTTCCCGCACACGCTTGGTGGAGGGAGTCATGGGCGCAAATTTCGGCCGCGGCTCAACGGGGGACTCGTTGCTGTCGGCCTTGTTTCGTCCTGTCAGCCGACTCACAATCCTACCACTCACGGAAAACGCGGTCAGCGAACCGCCAGTCACACCCTGTATGCTGGACTGTCGTTGAAGAGGCCCCTTAGTACTGCCCGGGCCAGCTCCCTCAAGATCCCACACACCCCATTCGCCATCCGCCATCAGCACCATAATGGCTCGTCCGCCGAGCACCCATTCGGCGTCAATAATGGTCTTTCGCCGCGCCAGCCCAGAAGGCGATTGCTCGAATCCAGGGTAGAGGCTGATCAGCCACCTTCCCTCAGTTTCGGCCTTTTCAAAATCACTCTGAGGCCCCGATGCCCTTCTAGACACTTTTGCAGGTTTTCTGCAGAAGCAAGAATAGACCTTCACGCACCCGCTGTGGAAGGCGACTAGTAGGGTTGAGTGACGAAGAGCTGGAAAAGTCGACGGATTGAAAGAGATGTTCTTCGCCGGCGCGGGCAGATAGACTCGTCTAGAGACAATCTCATCGTCGTACAATCTATCCTCCACAATGGGAATCCGATGTATTAACAGAAGACCGGATGCTTCCGCGGAGTGAGTCGCCACCAAAAGATCCCATCGCTCACTGTCCTGAAAATCGGACTTGGTTGGAGACATAGTGACATCCTCATCTGATTCGATCTCCTGACAAGTAAAACTGATACTGACTCCCCTTGGAACTTCCTGGTGAGACACTCCGCCGGATATGGAGACAGTTTGCACTTGCCATGAGGCGAGTTCTGTCTGACTTGGGTGAGGTGGGATCAAGGGTAGGGTCACAATCCGAGTCGAATAATCTGTACACACAGCGGAAATCACCATAAGCTTCTTCAGAGCGGGAGGAAAAGGATCAAGCGGCGAGCGAGCTGTCTCGGGGAGGATGCGAGGCACTGCCAATTCAAGAACTCTGCTGCCAAGAGGTATGTCAATCTGACGGAGGATATCCTCGAATGGATAGGCTGAGTCGACCTCAGTTTCGTCTTCTTCAAATTCGTAGACAGGCCCTTCTTCCTTGGGAGTCTCTGCTGCGCTCTCATCATCGGAATCGATGATCATGACCGCATCGTCATTGCTACTGTTTCCTCTGGCGGGTTTGGCGGCTTTCTGAGTGGATGGTTTAAGTGCAGAGAAGCGTTTGCCACCTCTCCAAATCACTTTCAGACCATTCTCATAGCCATATACGATGATGGATGAACCATTGGGGGCGAGGATCGGGTACGCTTTCGCCGCATGAACGCGCTGAGGGAGTTGATAACTAGAAGCGTAACACCTGGCATTAGAATAGGGTCTCTTAGAAAATCAAGGAGCACAAGCATAGTACCTCAATTGCAGCCCGTCATCCCTCAGCTTGACCAATGGTCTGGTTGGGAAGGATGGCATCTTGCCACAAGGTAAAGGCAGGTCTGGTGCAGCCACAGCAGCTTGGCTTGCCAGGTAAAATACCCGATTCTGGTCGACGATGGTAGGTTAATTTACAAGAGAGGAGAAGAGAAGGCAAAAGGTCGGGTATAGATGATAGAAGAGAATAAGAAGAATGAGGATGAGGGAAGTGCTTGTATTGTGGTGTGCTGTGTTTTGTCTCTGCGGCAGAAAATAATCATGAACAACCAAAAGTTGATTCTGCCGCGTCGTCGCGTCAACCATTCAAGTGAGAACTAGATAGTTCCTCTTGCGACTCAACAGCACGGTCCACCAATTTTCAAGAGTCTGCATGGATTGACAATGGATATGATCTCAATCCTGGCTCCTCTTGCCAGAGAAATTTTGGGTATACTCGCAATTCCGCGTCGGTGATGGCGTCCGTTCGTTCCCTAGGCCTCCACGAACCCTCGGCCTTACCTTTCCTTGTCGCAGAGGATCTCCTGCCTCCTGATCCATCAGAGAATCAATACGAATGGCGTACAACGGTCGATGAAGGTCCGAATGGGCCCGTGGATGATGAACTTGTCTGGACTACAAGCTGTGTTGTTTGGTCTCGAGCGGGAGTCGTGAAGAGGGTGTTCCGGTTGGATATCGAACGAGAGGAGATCAAACATGCTCTTTTCACAAGATTCTCCGTCGAAAAGAGTACTGAGTCAGATGCGCAAACTACGCAGGTGCAGGGGCTCAATGGCAACTTAGGCAGCGAGCCTGGCCAGAGTCGTGGTCCGCAAAGCCAACCATCACAGAAGACCCCGGGGACGCTGCCGAGTCTGCATGATCGACCTACTCAAGGATCGCAAGCTGTTGAGAATGGGGATAGCTCAAGAGCCTTGGTTGTGATACTCAAATCACAGGCCCACATCTTCTTCCTAAACGGCAATAGCCATGTCATTCCTCTACCTTTTGAGGTTGATTCGGTATTTGCGACCCCTCGAGGTCTTCTATTCCAGAGGAAAATGCAAGAGGAAGATACTAGTATTTACCCTATGGCGCCTCCAAATTCATTCATCTCATCATTTCCTACCACCGACTTCCGCGCCTCTCAACCACTGGAGCTGCCCTCTGGAAAAGTCAAACGACCATCATTGACCATTTCTCCTGCTCAGAACACAGCTTTGAACTCGCGAGCTACCAAAAAGGCGAATCTACCCCGGGTGTTCTCTCTCATGGACCCACACTCTGAGATGGGCCTGGTTGTGACCAAACAATCCTCACGTTGGTTACAGAGTAGTATCAACAGCAAACCCTCTGGCCTAGATGTCCTTGACCCTGCCGATGAAATCGTATACGTTTCTCCAAATAATGAACTTTTGGGATCTAGCCGGACTCTGAGTAAGAATCCGTTGATCCTCGTGGTAACCGTCAACATGAATACTGGACTGTATACTCTCTGGACGGCACGATATAGAGAAGAGGAGACTGGTCCTTCCTCCAAGAAACAACGGAGGCGAGACACAGGGGGCACGCGATCCAAACGGCGTAGTTCCCATTTCAGCATGACGACAGGAGCGACCACGCCTGCTGCACGCCCGTCCGCGGCCAGGGAGAGCTTCGGTCCCCGAGGCGACAACTGGAACGCGTCTGGCTTCTCCCACTCCCAGTACTCCGTCGATAGCAGGCCGGATGAGGATGACCTCGCTTCAAGGTTGGGCCAGGACTTTGGCGATCTCGGTGTCCCGTCTAAGACATCACGGCGGGTGAGTTCCATGCTCGCTCGCGCTGATCTTGCGAGCAGCCAGGATAGAATCGCATTCTCGGATCTCGCTACAGGAAGTCAAACAGGCACCGTGCCTCATGGAGGCTTGCGTCAATCCATTGGCGGAACCAGCACTCGGGGGAGTTTTGGATTTAATCCACGTGGTTCGCTGCCACCGGGAACCGGCTCCGTATACAGCACGGCAAGCAGTTTCGTCGATGCACCGGTCGATCGTCTGCTCGAAGAACTAAACGATGATAGTCTATTTGAGGGATTTGGCAATATGGAACTCAAGGAGGCGACGTCTGGGCTGCCGGAAGAGGTTTTGCTTTCGAAAGTAGAAAGCTTCTCGACGAGATTTGTTGGCACATTTCAAACTCCCGTCAGGTCTTTTAAGCCTTCTCGAAGAGTGAAAATCAGTACTCTGTGCCCCTCGGAATGTGGAATCACGCAGAATGGAAATTCGGCTGCTCTGGCTGTTTACCTTTTGGACCAGGACGCAAAATCGATGACCGTTGTCAATCTACGCGCTGACAGGGTAGCACTGCCGAAGAAAGATGCAGTGACTGCCAAGAAACAGCGAAAGAAGGCCTCTTCTGAGGAGCGTTCTTTACTCGTCCAGGCGACGGGCATACATCACTTTGCAGATATTCAAGACGCCTGCAGAGTTGTTGATGGTCAGACTTCACGCATCTTGACACTTGGAGTAGCGCACAATGGCGAAAACGAGTTGTACCTGCAAAGCCCATGGAGCAACCCTATCAAAGTCGATATTCCCCACAATCTAATGCTGTATGAAAGATATGGCGTCTCCTCCACCGCATCATCTAATCGCCCCGAGAAAGTGGTATGAATCGTATAATGACTGATGGCCCGGTATCAATATCTGGTCTTGACCATCCGTCTGTTCGAGGAAAATTCGATGTGATCGACGCCACGAAAAGAAGACACAAGCTACAGATACAGATGGAGCCCAGCAATGAGCTTGTGAAGAACGTCATTCGAATCTGTAAATTTGTTTTGCGTGACTTTGAGAAAGCTGGTGATGGTATATTGGCTGGATGGTGGGAAACGGTCAAGTGGCTCAGTGCGAGAGAGTCTGGCGAGACTGACCTCGAATGGACTGCAATGACAATCGTTTTGTTCGCAATGGCGTTGCAATTCATTGACAGTGATCAAACTCCCGTCAAACAAGCACGTCGAAAGAAGGGTCTCCTTAGGTCCAGCAGCGGAAGCTATGTCGACTTGGAGAGCTGGGAGTCGATGTTGGACAAAGAATCAAGCTCTTCTGGCGTTGTGGCGCCTTGGATGGCCAGCAGTTCTTGGGGATGGATCCTCGAGCAAGATGCAGAACAAGATGCTGTCAAGTCTCAGGGAAGGAACGCTCGAAAGGTTGACCAGCACGTTTCTAAGGGATCAACGTTTCGAACAAACACGTATTTGGTCCGATGCATAGCTCTGGCCCGGGAGTTTCTGCGGACTCCTCAGGGTAACTCGACGATCGGACCAAACGGCCATCTTCCTATTGCGCTCTCCTGCAATGATACTCTCCGGCGGACCGCCCTGTGTACGATTGTAGTAGGCTTACATCTGTTCAGGGAGGAACAGAAGCTTTCAATCTGTGATGCGGAGCATGAACGTAAGCCCTTAGGTCTCCTTGCACCCGTTCTGGCCCAAATCGGTGGCTGGCTCGGATGGATGTCCTGGACATGGGCCGACGATGCATACTACGGCTCTGAGACGGCGGGTATGGAACGATGGCAGTTTGAAGCTTCTCGCATCTCGATGATGGATATTCCTCCAGAGCCCTTTGCGCCTCCTTCGATCTTCGCTCACCTGGAGACTGCATGGGGGCAGCGCTCCTCGCCGTTCTTCACACTCCTGGACCTTGTCAGCACGTCGGAGAGCGCTCCACGCAATGGAAAGTTATGGCAAGAGTGTTTTAGGCTCACGCCGAGGACACTGACTCTCAATGGGTTCCTCTCCGAAATACACAACATCTCGTCCTCATTTGACAGGGTCAAGCTCCTTCACCGTTGGGGTCTTACCAGGAACGTTGTCGAGACTTTCCCAGAAGGCGTCAGTACGCCGCTGTATGAAGCGATCATGCGTACACAGACCCAGGCCTCCGCGTCCTGGAATGCGAATCTTTTGGAACTTGTCGAGCGAGAGGATCTGAGCATGTCCATGAATACGGATACACCATATCCACCTTCGATACCTCCCCAACCCTCCCTATCGCACGATGCAGTGCGAGACTTCCATCACATCGGTGGCTCAGCGCTCGAAATTGACACGATTAACTCGTTTGAGGCTTCTGCAGAGGCAGATCGTTTCTCTATAACACGGCTGATCTTCAAGGACGATAAACGCTTCATAGAAGCGGCCAAACTGCTCAACCAATCCAAAGCTCCCGTGGCAGAGTGCATTCCAGAGCCCGACTGGACCGATTCAGACTTACTTGAGGCGCAAAAGGAGGTGGTGCAACTCGTCACCCTCCGGACCTTGTCGATCCCTGCCGGCCGGGCCATGCTTGCTTTCAGCGGACGCTTGCCTCTCTTGACAGAGAAGCTTCCAATTCCGTCATTTTCGCTGCAGTGCGTTATGAAGCCGTCAAACGTGACAGTCAGCGCCGAAAGAGCATCTTTCAGCGAAGAAAAGGTGTGCTGGGCCTTCTTTCACAACGGCGTGTCCACTGGGCTCGCTATCTCCAAAAAGTCAAAAGGGATCGACACCTCATGGATCCTTTTCAATAAGCCACATGAGCTGACCAATCGACATGCGGGCTTCTTGCTGGCCTTGGGTCTCAATGGGCACCTCAAATCGCTGGCCAAGTGGGTAGCTTTTAAGTATTTGACCCCTAAGCACACAATGACATCGATCGGTCTCTTACTTGGTCTCTCGGCGTCTTATCTGGGCACAATGGACACCCTTATCACACGGTTGCTGTCGGTACACGTTACGCGAATGCTGCCCCTTGGAGCCGCCGAACTCAACCTATCACCGTTGACGCAGACGGCTGGCATCATGGGAATCGGCCTTCTCTACTGTAACTCTCAGCATCGGAGGATGAGCGAGGTGATGTTGTCTGAAATCGAAAATGCGGAACAAGAGGAGAGCTCGCCGTCGCATGAGGATCTGCGTGACGAAGGCTACCGGCTGGCGGCCGGGTTCGCCCTTGGCTTCATCAATCTAGGCAAAGGCAAAGACCTGAGAGGCATGCGGGACATGCATATCGTGGAAAGACTCTTGGCCATTGCGGTAGGCACGAAGACTGTTCACTTGGCTCATGTGCTCGATCGAGCCACCGCTGGTGCTACCGTTGCCCTTACGATCATCTTCATGAAGACAAATGATGAGGTCCTAGCGCGGAAGATTGACATCCCAGATACCACTGTCCGTTTTGACTATGTACGACCGGACCTCTTCCTCCTACGGACGCTGGCTCGACATGTCATCATGTGGGATAGCATACGACCCAGCTATGATTGGATTATTGAGAGTCTGCCTAAAATCTATCGACGTCGATATCGGCTAACAGGCGTCAGCCGACTGAAGAGTGACGACATGCCTTTCTTCAATATCATTGCTGGGCTCTGCTTCGCTCTTGGTCTGCGCTTCGCGGGCTCAGCCCAGCCAGCCGTTCGCGACCTGCTTATCTCCTACCTGGACCAATTCATCCGCATTTGCAGACTCCCAGCCGTGAATTATGACGGGCGACTGACCAGGAATTCTGTCCGAAACTGCCAGGACATTGTTGCACTCTCCGCGGCGACAGTAATGGCCGGGACGGGAGACCTAGCCCTATTTCGACGATTGCGGTCGCTGCATGGCCGCGTGGATGCCGACACGCCGTATGGAAGCCACATGGCCGCGCATATGGCCATCGGGCTGCTCTTCCTGGGCGGAGGCAGTTATACGGTTGGCACCTCCGACCTGGCGATCGCCTCGCTGATCTGCTCACTGTACCCCATTTTCCCAACGACGGTGCTAGACAACAAATGCCACCTCCAGGCGTTCCGGCACCTGTGGGTTCTCGCCGCCGAGCCGCGCTGTCTTGTGCCCCGGGACATTGATTCTCGCCGCCCGATCCATCTCCCCATCACCGTAACGAACACAAGCGGCCAGAGACAGACCGTGACGGCGCCCTGTCTCCTGCCCGATCTGGACAGCATCGCGAAAGTGGAAATCCGTAGCGCCGACTACTGGCCGCTTGTCCTGGACTTTACGCAGAACAAGCGGCTGTACGACAAGTTCCGGCACGGGGACCAGTCCGTCTATCTGCGGCGCAAGGCGACGTACAACCCCACCGGATCCTCCGTGTTCGTGGCGACCCTGTCCGGCCTCAGCGAGGCGCAGGACGTGCTCCCTTCCTCCGCAGCCACTGCCAATCCAGGCCGTCGACTCCTCCCCGCCGCGCCGCCCAAAGCCGTCGCGCTGCTCGCCTCGGGCTCCAAGCTCGTCCATCGCGCGACACCGTCACAGAGCATGTGGGACTGGATCTTCAACCTCGACTCCCTGCAAGGGCTCGACATCCATGAGAGATCGCTGGTGCTGCCGGCCTCCTTCCCCGCACGCGTTCGGTACATAGGGGCGACTGGTGGGCCGGGGATGCGCCGTGGCTGCGCGTCTCAGCCGTGGACAGCAAATTGGTGATCGAGAGCAGCGTGCAGCATGTGATCCGCGCGGCTGGAGGTCGGGGCGCGGACGCCGACGAGGTTCGCGATCGCCTCTGGCAGCTGCGGCTGGTGTACAGCTGGCTTGACCATGTCCGAGCGGGAGACGAGACGCAGGCGAACGGCGACGACGAGGTTGCTGCGTCCAAGGGGTTATGGCTGCGGCGGGAATTTTTGGAAGAAACCCGGTGGAAGATTTGGGGGGTGCAGATGGGAAGTTTATCATGAGCGTGAGGAGACCAGAAAGGACGCGGAAACACTGTTAATGGTTACTTATCTTATTTGAGCGTATGGCTACGATGAGTGTATGTTTATGTGAGGTTTCATGACTCTAGTGGGATGGCATAGAGGATAGATGGTCACTCAAGGGGTGTTCCAATTGTTTCATGTCATGTCATCGTGATTGTGGTAGCAGATAATATATATGATACAAAAGATGCAAGCTTTTGATCCGGCATATGCGAGAAATGCCGATAGACTACTGCGATCGGATAGTATTCTCCTTTAGGATACCCCGATCTCCTCCTCCGCCCATCTGCCAGAGCCAAACGCCCTCCACAGCCCAGGCGGAGGCACTGGCGTGACGACCGATCCCAGTTGCCCCCTTTGGCACTGGAGTACCTTGTGTTGGCAACGGAGATGGGTTGTTCAGATCAGCGGCCGTTGAGTCACGAGCGGCAGCTGAACGAGTCGGGCCGGAGGGAGCACCGTCTGCTTCGGCCAACATGCCGGCCAGTACGCCCTCGCGCTCGATCACGGACCATATGCCCTCGACCAAGGGGCTGCCGCGTTCACCAAACTGGCCCTTGCCCAGGCGGAACAGGATACGGCCGAGAACTTGCCAGGCGATGCACCGTTGAGCGGGAAAGGTCGAGCGACTGAGGATGGCGAGTTCGGGAATGGTGTAGCCGGCAGCATGCGGATCCTTGCCGTGGTGATGCAGACCGAGAGTGGTGGGGAGGGAGAGCGAAGTGGTGGGGGAGAGGACATTGCCAATGAGGGAGAATCGGAGAGCGGAGGGATGAACGGCCTCTGCACTACTTGCAGGGTGGTATGCGGACGTCGAGTCAGGATCTTCCGGGTCGGCTGAGGGCGGCTGCAGCCAGGAGAGCGCTGATGGATCATGAGACATTTCGGGGAAATAATGGGCTTGGAGATCAGACAGGAAAGAAGGAGACGAAGGATCGAGATTTGGTGGCTTGTTTTGGCGCGGAGGTGTAGGAAAATGAAAGGCCTCATGACTGGGCATTTCAGACGCTGGATGGAGGTCGGCCGGTGGTTGAGCTGGAGGAAGGTCTTCTGGCGTGAGAACGGAAGATGTTACTGCGGGGGAGTTTTTTTGAACTGCGATCGCTCTTGCTTCTCTGTTGCTGTCTGAGAATCTTCTTCGACGTCGAACGAGACTGATTTCTTGGGTTTCGCCGTAGAAGCATCTTGCGCTGATGACGAAGACGAGAGCGCTGGCTCTGGTTGTGACGAGCTTTTCTCGGTTGTGGTGATAGTGTCGTCATCGTCGATCCGTGCGCGACGGAGGAATCTCTCGAGCAAGGACGGGTTCAATGAAGACATCAGCTCCTCCCGCTCCTGTTGAATCTGGGCCGGTGACATGGACGCCAGTTGCCGACGGTTCTCTTCGTCGATGCTCTTCTTCTCAACGGAAAGGGCGGTAGAAGGAGTCTCCGCAGGCGGCGGTGACGATTCTTGTTGCTTGTTCGCTCTGCGCTGTTTGAAAGCAGACTGATTCACACGTCGTCGATGTTGAGGGAAGCCTGTTGATGCGGTGGAGGGTTTAGGAGCTGGGGGCACGGCAGCGGAGGGGGAGCGCTCGCGGATCTCGCCTATCAGACCGAAAGGGGAGGAGTCGAGGGAAGGTTGTGAAGAATCGAGATTAAGGTCCGCATCATCATCAAGATTGAGAGTAAAGCGTTGGCCTCGAAATGCCATGATGTATGAATAGTTCTGGAGTTGTCTGGGAATGAAGCTATTCAGGGAAAGTTGGCGGGGGAAAAAAAATAATAATAATAAAATAATGAAATCATCTGATGCGGCTCAAAAGCCTAAATTGGAACGCAGAGGGCACTAGTCTAAATAAGGAATAGTAGTGCGTTTACACGCCTTTCCCAAGAAGGCTAGTGTGAATGTATACTCCGTGCATCAAGGTACTTGCCGATTCAGGCAGGTACCTCACCTCACCTCACTGCACTCTCTCCCCTCCTTGCCTTGACCAGTTGGACCAATATGTATACTACTCGGGATTAGATTGACTGAGATGGTCATTAATAAGTGTCTTTCTCTGGCTCTCTATAAGGTCAGAAATCTCCGGTATCATCGTTAGTGCAGACTGTCCGATATCTTTGCACGGGAACTGTCCGAGGACCAGGAAGTCCCATTCGTAATTGATGATAAGAAGGATTCCATTAACCTGTCTAATGATCCAGCAGGAGTATAAGTCATTAACTATTGAGCAATTGACGTGATACACTGGGTGTCTGCCTGAGACATGGGTTGTGAGCGAATCCCCTGTATCTCTTCCATACAAAGTAGTACCACCTTAGATGAACGTCAAAGTGACTGATTTGGATAGGTAAGTGCTAGAACTCCCTCTGGGATTGAACAAGTGCTCAATGAATTGAAATAGAATCAGGCTGTAGACTAGTTTGTAATGCTGTTCAGCTAGAGGTATAAGAAGAGAGATGGTCCATGACCTCCATTGTCCATACACCGTAGAGTGCCAGACTAATCAGTTAATATCAAGCCATGTACCTAACGATCGGTACTTACTCCGTGCGTATGATCAAATCATATCAGATCAATAAGATCATCCTTCTGTCTTTTTGCTCTCTTTCTCTTTCTTTCTGATGACGCTGGACTCTTGATTGACTGATTCTTCCCTTTGTCCTTCTTTCCTTCTCCTCCCTTTCCCCTTTCTTCTCTTCCTTTTCCCTTCTTTCTCTTCCCTTCTGTCCTCATCCTACCGTATGATGGTTCGCTTAGCTTAAGATCCGTCTGATATAGGAACTTCAAGCACTCTGCAGACCGTCCAGAGTAGATAGCTTGTCCCTGTCCTTGTTCTTGTTCGTGTATCTTTCTTCTTCCCTTTCCTGTCTGTTTTCTCCCCGTTCATATCTCCCTTCCTCTCTCCCTCTATCCCCGTCGTGATCTCCATCCCCTGTACTTACTACTACTACCCTACCCGTCTCTCTCATTTTTTTCTCGGTTCATCCTCTCCGATAATCTATTTTGTTCTATTTGACCATCTCCAAACGAAGTCCTCCACCCCGTTCTCCATCCCGGGTCCCCTCCATCTTTTGATCTCTTCTACCCAAACTGCACAATTTTCAGGCCAACCTTTGACGCGACAAACCACCCGATATCTCATCCCCCAATATTCCCCCCAGTTCTTCCTTTTTATACATGCAAAACTCATCATCATCACTATCAGAGAATAGTTCTTGAATTTCTTCATTTCTTTTACTTTTTTTTTTTCTTTTCCCTTTCTTCAATCATGTCTGCCGATCCGCCGGAAAATAACTGGCCTGGCAAAGAGGACGAGTCGCTGTCCATCGACTCCAACGCCCGACCCCGACGGGCCTCCGCCACCACTCGACGGTCGCGTCGCAAGAAGGACGACGACACCGAGGCCACTCAGAAAGATCTCGCTAGGTCAAAGGCCCAAAAGGACAACAACAGTTCAAAAGATAGCGCAAAGGACACCAAGGAAAAATCCAAACCCCGGGGAAGTCGTCGCCAACGAGAAAAGTCCACCTCCACCAATCCCAATAACACTACCACTACCACCACCAGCAACAGCATCAGCAGTAATAATAACCACAACGACAACGACAACCAGAGTACAACGGCTCCCAATGACCAGAACTTGTCGAATAACTCTCGCAAGAAACCAAAGCTGGAGCCCACGCCTCCCGACGAGGTCCCCAAGAGTATCTCCGTGAGCTCCATCACCACCCCGTCTGCTCCTGCTCCTGCTCCAGCGCCCGCGTCAACGAACACGCCAACGTCAACTGGCCGCTCTCCGCACCTCACAGCCTCGTCCGCATTACACCTCCACCAACCTTCTCAGCATGAGCAGCACCAGCATCATCCCCAGCTCAATCCCTCATCCTCTCTTCCTCCCTACTCGAATTCGACCCCGACTCAGACCCCGACTCACGCGCCGTCCCCCGCTTATGCCATGAGCCATCATTCGCTTCATCCTCCACGGCCTCAATCCCAACCGCCTCCCCCTGCTCCCCTGCTCCCCCTCAGAGGAGGAGCGGTCAGAACTATGATCCCATTCGTTCAGCCTTTGATACAGCTTCTTCCGCTCCGGCTCCTGCCACAACCAGTCCCCCGCGCAGAATCATTCCCCGCGCAACACGTTCCGTGCAAGTGCCTCGCCGGCCATCTCCAGTATCATCGATCCACCCCAGCCGACTTCAACACAACATATCTACTCGCCAATTCCACGGCCCTCACCGAGCCATATTCCGTCGACGCTCTCCTCACCCGGAATACACCCCAATGCTCCACAGTCAGTCCATCCTTCACTGGCACCCTCGCCTTTGCCGGCGACCTCCCCCTCTCATGGGTCTATTCTCGCCCCTCAGCATCCACTGTCACTAGCCTCGCAGCCACAACAATCATCGCCGCCCTATTCACATCGCTCTCCCTATCCGCCTCAGCAGCAACTACCACAACCGCAGCCTCCACGTTCTCCGCGCAACGAACACAAGCCCGTCGCGGCAGCTTCAGAGCCCGTCCCACCCAGTGAGGCACCGCAGAAATCGTCTCCGAAGCAGGAGGCAGAGCCACCGGTTCTGCCTAAGAAACAGCCCCTCACAAAACCCGCCTCTCCTCCAGAAGAACCAGCCGCGATGGATGTGGATACGAATGAACCTGCTCAGCCCACTGCAGAAGCCAAGGCGCCCAAGAAGGAAAAAGGAACAACTGCCACCACTACCACCGCCCCTTCCTCCAATGCGGCATCGCCGAAGCCCTCGCGTCCTGTCAAGGAAGCGCCGCCTCCATTACCCCAAGGCTCCGGGTTGATCTCCAACGCACTATTTGGAACCGATGACACTCGCCCCTCCGGTTCATCTCGCAGCTCGCCCAACATTGTTCTACACATTCCCTGCAGCGAGACGGCAATCAAATCATCAACTTTGCCCGTATGGCGGAAGAGCAATACGGTTTCGCTGCCTTGCATCCCCGACTGGCCGCGCACAAGGAGCGACTGGCTCGCGTTGCGGCGGCAGGCGCGGCGTTGGAGCGGAACGAAAAGGGTGGCAAGGGCCTGTCTGCGGGAGAAAGCGCGGACGAGGATCTCAGTCTTGACGTCGATCGTGATAGCGACCTGGACGGCGATGTCGCGATGGGCGGTGTGGGTGTGAATGCCGCGGCGGCCACAAACGGTGCGACAGGGACCGATGCCTCAGAGGGAAAGAAGAAACGGCGCAAGAAGAAAATGGAAGAGTATGACCGGGACGATCCTTTTGTCGACGACAGCGAGTTGGCTTGGCAGGAACATGCGGCCGCTAGCAAGGACGGGTTCTTTGTGTACAGTGGACCGCTCGTCCCGGAGGGAGAGAAGGTCCAAGTTGAACGGTGAGTTAATCTGGCTTTCTATTCCTTTTATTTTTCTCAATTACAAATCACTAACGACGGATGACAGGGCGGACGGAACTATCAAGCGTGGACGTGGCCGGGGTCGCGGTGGTCGCAGCCGCGGGGGTCCATCGACTCATCAAGTGCCAATTGCCGCCGCGGTCCCCATCTCCCAAGAGACAGGCCTTCCTCTCCGTGGTCCGGGATCCCGTGGTGGCAGCACCGCTCGCCGTCCCCGTCCGAGCAAGTCCCGGCAACAGGCGGAACAGGACAAACAGGGCGCCTCTTCAGCAACATCGCAGGGACGCGGTGGAGGAGCAGCTGGCCACGGAGGAGGCGCGGCTGGAACCCGCGGTGGAAAAACGCCATCGATGGTCGAGCTGGCTCCTGCGCCTCGTCCGAGCTTGGCCCCTGCACCGCCAGGGCCCAGTCCTCTGGCTGGTCCAGAAGTGGTGCCAAAGTGACCCTCCTGCTGCCACTGATTATCTCCTCTTATGGACGTTTCGCCGATGCGAAGTCCAATGATTTGCCTTTTTTTTTTTTTTTTTTCTCAAGTAAAGGGATGTCCCCTTCATTGTTCTGGTGTACGGAGGCATTATGTGATTAATTATTGTGTGACTTGGCGTTTGAGGGTTATGCAGTACAATTGGTATGATGAAAGCCGATTGTCAATCTAACTTTGTCTGCTTGTGAATCCGATGAATGGCTGGTGAATCAGAATGACTATCTAGCTCTTTGTTTCTATCATACAGTGTCACACCTTATGATTGTTCCGATATGTATGAGGCGTGTTGCTTTCTTAGTCTAAAGAAGACTTGATCATTAGAAATCGCTGAAGATCGAATCATCCGTCATTTGGGTCATGAGACTTATAAACGCTATGTTGCATGGGAAATCAACAGTAGCTGTCTGATGCTATGGAATAGGGGCAGTGCACATACTATGCCTATTTGCACAAGACAGTCTATAGATCGGTATTATGTATGTGAAAATGCACGGTGGGTACCTTGCAAAAGTGATTTAGGCACGTATCACATAAGAAACACCAGATGGTGACACATGGTAGATGCAATGAGATCCAGCCTCTGATTGGAAAAGCAACCGACTACACAGACATGACATAGAAAAAAAGTCCATGCGACGAGAACAGGCTATGGGACATGACGACAGACTCCAAAGGGGGGAATTGTGATAAGGTACATATGAAGAAAGAGATAGCCAATGAACAAAGACGCCCTGTCGATGCAAAAGTCGTGGGGAACATTTGGTCAAGTGCGGTCAGTTTTGCTAGTTATCCAACACCGATCCAGTTGGCGGGCCACATGCCATTGAAGCCGGGGAGAAATATTAAAGAAAGTCGGGAACAAACTGATCGAGACGATGTCCGAAGTTATGGCCCTAGACGGCCCCCGTCATATCGCCGCGCGACTGGTTCATCTGGCGCCGCCAGGAGCCTCCAGCAGACACTGGAGCCGGCGGAGGTGGCCCGCTCGGGGGAGGGCGGCACGGATGGGTAAAGTCGCCGTCTGAAGTGGCATTCTCGACTTGGTGTTGTGGGAGCTAGCCGAGCGAGAACTGATGTGTGGTCGGGTAGGCGCGTCGATGGCAGACACGGGATCTCCCAGATAATTGCGCGATGGACGACGGCCAGACCGATACTCTTCCTCTTTGGTTTCCAGCGACAGGTGCTCCAGCGATAAGGGTGGAGGCGACCGGGTCGACCTAGCCAGATGCGGGGATGGGTTTGAGGGGACGTTGTAGTGGCGGGAGTGTGAGGAGCTTGAGTCGTTGGCGATGTTCAAGGGAATCTCTCCAGACGTGGGCATGTGGCCTGGAGTCCGAGATGGTCTGCTAACGGCGGGCTTTGGAGGAGGCGTGGGATGGCCTGCCTCTTCCTTGAGTGATTTTGGAGCCGGGGGAGCCAAATATGACTTGCGGTTGTGCCTCTCCATCATGCTGATAGCCCATTCCTGAAGATCCACTGGAGTACGTTTGGCAGCCTGCAGGAAAGCATCTTTGTCCTGAGGGGCAGTTAGCGAATGGCCATATGGCCTAAGAGCGGGGTAGGCCAGAAGACAAGACTTACATAGAGCTCCCGAGGAGTTGGTCGCTCTTCTGGTTTCTTGAGGAGACACTTGGCGACAAATTCATGCAAGATAGGCGGAAAAGCATCGCTCTTAGGTAGCTTGGGGGCAGGCTCGTGAACAATCTGCTGCAAGAGATCCAGAATGCCCATCGGTCCAGCACTGGCGCGATCGCCCGCAGACGAGTCCGAGGCATCAAAGGGGAAGCGTCCGACCGCCAATTCCATGACCGTCAATCCCACACTCCATACGTCTGATCGCACCGTGTAAGCGCCGCCTTGGATTCGCTCCGGTGCCATGTAGGTCGAGGTTCCAACGAAAGTGTCGGCAATCGAGTTGACCGTCTCTGTAGCAACGCCGAAGTCGCAAAGTTTGATGTTACCACGGGAGTTAACGAGAATGTTGGACGGCTTGATGTCACGATGCATGATGCGGTGAGCTTCATAGAGGTACACCAGACCAGCAAGAACCGACTCGGTGATCTTGCCCAGCACATCGACTCGAACAGGTCCAAAGTCTTTGGAAATGCGGTCGAGGGATCTAAATTCCACTACGGTCAGTATCCGAAAGAGAATTGCTCGGCTTGAATGACTCTCCATGATGTACATACCCGCAGTCCATATATTCCATACATAGAACAATGTCCCTCGCTTCATTCTGGAACGCTCCGTAAAAGGTCACGATGTGAGGGGAGTTGCAATCATGACCAACTTGGAGTTCACGCAAGATCTGCTTTCTCACATTCTCCTTGGCATCCACGCGAATGATCTGCAATCAAGCATAATCCGAAGCCCATGGTCAGCAAAACTTCCTCCTTCTCGGTGATCCGGAATGAGAACCCGTACCTTTCTGGCCATCACAACCTTGGTGGATGCGTGCATCACCTTCGATACAGTTCCTCCATTTCCGGCCCCTAGCTCCTTCAGAGTAATCAAATCCTCACTTCGAAGGTCCAGTCGAAATTCCAACCCAATCTCCAGAGTATCTGTGCGGTTGCTGTCGGTGTTTCCAATGGCACCGGGAATCTGAGCATCACCTTCCGACGGTTTGGGGAGAGGTTTTGGCGTAGAGTTCAGGGCAAGGCCCTTGACATTCTTCCGTTTCAGCGTTCGAGCTTTAAACTGGTCGGCCATGGCTGGGGCGACGGAGTGACTCTGCCGCAGTCACTGCGAGGTGGGGTAAATAGAGTGCTGCGCAAAGCACAATAACGAGCTCATGCACCTGGTTCGGACGATGAATAGAAGTAGGGGGAGGGTGATGAATAACTCTGCTGTTGAGTTTCCCTGGTGCCTGCTTGTGGTCTAGAAATCAACGACGCGGTCGCGTCTGATGGTCTATCGACGACCGGGGAGGGACACAGAGAGGGGGAATAAGGAGGGGAAAGACGGAGGGTCAATGGAGAAGATAACAGCCCCTTCCACGCCAGGTTAAAATTTGTAACTGTGATGATTCGCTGCAAAAGATTTTGATAGTCAGGGACTGATTGGAGAGTTCATCTTGAAAGTGACCAGCGACTAACTGAGGTAGTTGTGAGACTGTTGGAGTCGATGGGCCAACTATTGGGCGCTGAGGGATGCACGCAAGCGCCGAGAATCCGGGAAAGTCAAGGGTACAGTTCCCGTAGAAGTTCTTGGCCTTTGATATTTGAATTATGACCTCTTTTCAATCTTGTTGACCGAAAGGCAACCGGTCTTGATATGCATAAGATGGGGTGATCACACAGAAAGAAAAGAGGAGAGTTGTTTAGTGGTGGTTTAGGGGAAGTGAAACAACTATCAATAGATTGTGGATATTTTGTCTATGGTCTAGTTCAATCTAATCACACTGCAAAAGGGGGAGAAGAAGAGATCAGAGAACTTTCTGGTCAAGATATCCAGAAACTGATCAAAAAGACTGAATCCATTTTAATATCTACAGGTTGAAATTCACCTACATACGAATTGCCTTGCCTTTGTTGTAATCGTCTCACAAGTCTCATGCTTCAATAGATGTCGTCAGCAATGTGAAAGACCAGAATGAGATTCATCGTCCGTTATACAATAGAGTCTCCTCGAGTTAGTACTATAAGAAACAATCAAGAACACTCTACTGAGAGGTAATTCAGAAATAATGTATAGCATAAGTGTTGTATAGGGATCACTATCCGGTGTAGGTGACTGTCACCTGACTTTGATGCCTGCGCTGTTGGCTTCTCTCGTCTGTCCTAATGCCAAGAAATACAACCCCAAACAGACTAGACCCATTTGGGTCAGCCACAGGTCTACACGTGATTTATGATAAAGCCACAGGGCTCCACTGCAGATCGGAAGGCGGTGGCAGAACAGAGCCACAAGTTGCTAGCTTTGTCGTCGGAGTCTCTTTAAGTCTTATGGACGACGGAGGCGCTACTGAAGGAGCAGCAGCATACTAGTTTTCCATCTCCATCTTACCTCCCATACCCAGCCACCGTCGGGTGTCTTTTCTCTTGTGTTCATTCTTCTTGTTCGTCTCTTCTTCTACTTTCACTTACAATCTTCTCCTTTCTCTCTTAAACTTTGCATATCAATCCTCCGGTCTTTCCTTCTCTACGCTCTACGAAATCTTTCCTTCCAGACACAATGAGCGCTCGCGATTTCGTAGAAGGTGAGGCTATGCTGGACGATGAGGATAATGAGAATGAGGAGGAACAGGAGGAAGACTACGATGGCGAAGTTCGTGAGGGTGCTGGCACCGGGAATCGCTACAATGACTCGAGTGAAGAGGAAGAGGAGGACGATGATGATGAGGAGGCAGCTCGTGCAGTATGACACTCTGTCTTTCGAGCGCAATCAAAAAGTAGAAGAGTATGCAAACTGACATTTTCTCACTTGTTAGATCCGCGAGGGATTTATTGTCGATGAAGACGAAGAAATCGAAGAACGCGCCGAGCGCAGGCGCGAGAAAAGGAAGCGGCGTCGGGAGGAGCGTGAGCGCGAAGATGAGCATCTTGATGAGGAAGATTTAGAGCTCATTGGAGAGTTGAACCCTGCTTTCCAGTCCGCCGCAGCTGCAGAGGTATGCCAGACAGACTACCTAACTCCCACCAGGGCAATTCAGGAGGCTGACCAAAACCTTTTCTATGCAATACAGTCCAAATTCAAACGTCTCAAGCGTGGTCACAAAGACCATCGGCAAGCGTCCCAAGGCATCGACGACATCTTCAATTCGGATGAAGACGAGGAGGCGGCAGGCGACTATGGAAGACCGAGTCATCGCAGACCTATGCACGATGAAATGAAGGACTTTATCGAGGAAGACGTCTTCACGGATGATGAGCTAGAGCGGGAACGAGAGGATCTGGAGATCGCCCGTCCGGCGAAGAGGGGCATCACCGGCCTCGGGGCCACCGACGCAGCTGGCTTGGACGAGAATGCCCTCGAAGATATGCGCGCAGCGTTCGGCGACGGAAACGAATACCTGTTCGCCCTTGAAATGGAAGAACAAGAGGAGGAGCAAGAGGAAGACCAGGAGAAGCATCTGGACCTAAAGGATGTTTTTGAACCGTCACAACTGGCTGAGAGGATGTTGACAGAAGAGGACAACCAGATTCGATTGTTGGACGAGCCTGAGCGTCATCAGCTTGCCCGCAAGCCGTATCGCAACCTCGTTCTGACGGAAGAGCAGTTCCGCGAAGAGGCAGCCTGGATCTCAAATCTCATGCTTCTCAAGAAGCGCATCGAACCCGAATTGAGAGAACCGTTCCAGCGGTCCGTAGCCAAAGTGCTAGAGTTCCTCGTGACAGACGACTGGGAGGTTCCTTTCATTTTCCAGCATCGCAAGGACTATATGATTCACGCGACCAAGGTTCCTGTGGACGGTGCGCCTGCTGATGGGGATACGTCTCAGTACACCATCAAGGCCGAGAAGCTTTTGAACATGACGGATCTCTGGGACATCTTTGATCATGACCTCAAATTTAGAGCATTGGTTGAGAAGCGCAATGCGATCCAGAAGACATACGACAATCTACAGAGCTTATACAGCGTGAACGATAGTGTCGTGGAGGATATGCTATCTACGGCCGTTACCATGGAGGAACTCCAAGATGTGCAGGACTACGTTCACTTTCAGTATGCCTCGCAATTGCGCGATATTAACTTGATGAATGGGGAGGCCAACGGCGATACTCATCGGCGCAAGGCGACTGGCAAGTCCTTCTTTGAGCGTGTCCGCAACGGCAAGGCTTACGGTCTTGTTCGCGCGTTTGGCATCACAGCAGATGCTTTCGCGCAGAATGCTCTGAAGGAGGGTCGTCGCCAGTACACTGAGGATCCAGCTGAGCGCCCGGAGGAGATGGCTGACAGCTTCATTGACAACGATTTCTCCAATGCTTCCCATGTCCTCAAAGCCGCCAAGGCCATGTTTGCGGAGGAAATTGTAATGAGCCCCAAGATGCGCAAGGTGATCCGGCAGGCATACTACATGAACGGCGCAGTTGACTGCTTCCGAACTGAAAAGGGTCTCAGGAGGATTGACGAACAGCACCCTTACTACGAATTCAAGTACCTGAGAAATCAGCAGCTCAGTGACATCGCTCGTCAGCCCGAGCTTTATCTTCGGATGCTCAAGGCTGAAGAAGAGGGTCTGGTGGAAGTCAAGGTTCGATTTGAGAATTTTGATCATTTCCGGCAGCGCCTCTACCCGGACATCGAATCGGATAACTACAGTGAAATTGCTGATGCTTGGAATCGTACCCGTCGCGAAGTCCTGGACATGGCGCTGGGTAAACTGGAGCGGTTGATCAATCGCAGCGTCAAGGAAAATATCCGTCAGGAGTGCGAGAATCACGTGGCCAAGGAGTGTCGTGAAGCTTTCTCTCAGCGCTTGGATCAGGCTCCTTATAAGCCCAAGGGCATGGTTCTGGGTACTGTTCCTCGTGTCCTGGCCATGTCTACTGGTACCGGCATTGTCGGACGCGACCCCATCCACTGGGCATACGTCGAAGAAGACGGTCGCGTGCTGGAGAATGGCAAGTTTGTGGATTTGTCAATAGGTGACCGAGATCGCAGCATTCCCGACGGTAAAGATGTCGAGGCATTGATAGAGCTGCTGGAGCGCCGGCGACCAGACGTCATTGGTGTCTCAGGCATGTCCCCGGAAACACGCAAGCTGTACAAGCTTCTGACCGAATTGATCGAGAAAAAGGATCTTCGGGGCGCTACGTACACTGATGAGCGTGATGAAGAAATTAGCGATCCCTTGGAGGTCGTGATTGTGAATGACGAAGTGGCGCGGCTCTACCAGCACAGTGAGCGGGCGAAGAAGGATCATCCCAGCTTTGGTCCCTTGACGCATTACTGTGTCGCATTGGCCAAGTATCTGCAAAGCCCTCTGAAGGAGTACGCCTCGCTAGGTCGGGATATTGTTTCCATTCAGTTCAAGCGAGGCCAGCAACTGGTTGCTCAGGAGCAGCTCCTGAAACAGCTGGAGACCGCTTTGGTTGATATGGTCAACTTGGTGGGTGTTGATATCAACGAGGCCGTCACCGATACTGCGACAGCAAACCTTCTCCCCTATGTCTGTGGTCTTGGCCCCGAAAGGCGGCCCACCTACTCAAGATTGTCAACATGAACGGCGGTGTGGTCAATAACCGCGTTGAGCTATTGGGTGTCAATGCGCAGTATCCGGCTATGGGCGTGAAGGTCTGGAACAATTGCGCCAGCTTCATGTTCATTGACTTTGAAAATGCCGACCCGGATGCTGACCCGTTGGACAACACCCGAGTGCACCCAGAAGACTACGATATTGCGCGCAAAATGGCAGCCGATGCCTTGGAACTGGACGAGGAGGACATCAAGGCAGAAACGGATGAGAATGGACCCGGCGCTATCGTGCGGAAGCTCTTCCGGGATGAAGCGCAGGACAGGGTCAACGACCTGATCCTGGAAGAGTATGCGGAACAGCTGGAAAAGAACCTCAACCAGCGGAAACGAGCGACACTGGAGACGATCCGCGCCGAATTGCAACAGCCGTATGAGGAATTGCGCAAGCAATTCGCCTTGCTCAGCACTGACGATGTTTTCACCATGCTCACGGGCGAGACGTCGGACACCCTGGCCGAGGGCATGGTGGTACCCATGTCGATCAAGCGCATCACGGATGACCACATTGACGGCAAGCTCGATTGCGGCGTTGACGTGCTGGTGCCAGAGTCGGAGCTTACCGATCGCTACGACATCCCGGTACGGGCTCTCTACTCGCTACACCAGACGCTCCCAGCCAAGGTGCTGTTCTTAAACAAGAAGAGCTTCTTGTGCAATGTTTCGCTTCGCGAGGAGCAAGTCAGTCGACCAGCGCCCAGACCTCGCGACCACATGCGTGGCGAATGGGACGATCGGCAGGAGGCAAAAGACCGGGAGATGCTGCAGGAGAAGACGCAGAGCGGAGGGCGCGTCATGCGTGTCATCAAGCATCCTCTGTTCCGAACGTTCAACTCCACACAGGCGGAAGAGTTCCTGGGATCGCAGAGCCGTGGTGATGTGGTGATCCGGCCATCATCTAAGGGACCGGACCATCTGGCCGTCACCTGGAAGGTGGCCGACGGCATCTTCCAGCATATCGATGTTCTGGAACTCGACAAGGAGAATGAGTTCTCCGTAGGTCGTACGCTAAAGGTTGGCGGTCGTTACACCTACAGCGACTTGGACGACTTGATCTTCAACCATGTCAAGGCGATGGCCAAGAAGGTGGACGAGATGATGCTGCATGAGAAGTACCAGGAAGGCAGCAAGGATGCCACCTGTAAGTCGTTTTTTCCCCTTTGTTTCTCTTTCGATAGTTGTATCCAGCACTAACGGGACGAACCAGACTCTTGGTTGAACACCTATACCAAGGCGAACCCCAGACGATCTGCATATGCCTTCTGTATCGACCCCAAGCACCCGGGATACTTTTTGCTGTGTTTCAAGGCTGGTGAGAATGCCCAGCTCCACAGCTGGCCGGTCAAGGTCATCCCTCAAGGCTATGAGTTGCAGCGTAACCCGTACCCGGACATGCGCGCGCTGTGCAATGGGTTCAAGCTACTGTTTACCAATATGCAGGCCGGCAAGCGACGATGATTTCATTTTGGGACCATAGAGGGTGGACCGAGTGTTTCTTTTTTCCCTTTACCGTATATTTTCTCTATCTCCCACATTTCCCTCTCTGTATACTGTAATATCATGATGATTCATTCCTCTGCGATGGTGGATTTCTTGCGCGTCTGTGACTCCATAGCCGTGGGCAGAAAATAGCATTTGGCATGGTTTATGGCTTGGTTTCTAAATTGAACCCTTTTTCGTTTCTGATGTTCTTCTGGCCTTCTTTTGAACTACTTCTTGGAGTCGCTCATCCGTGATGTTGTACTCCGGACCAGTCTGGTACATGCTCCGCTAAGACAGGTTGCATACAAAACATAGCTACAATGAAGTATACTTGATCTGCACGAACTTGACTATCCTTCAAACCAGTAACCAACAATGCTCCCATGTCCCAACACTTTCCTCTGCCGTGACTCTGTCCCTTGTGCTGCTTCATGTGAAGATGTCATCCTCGGTCTGATTGATCATCCTCGGAAGCCTCAACGAAAGCCTTCAACGAATAGAATACCTCATGTCTGTCATTTGTTCCAAGTTTGATGGGCTTTTTAATGAGCTGGTCTGTTTCCCCCTCTTCCATTCTTGCTCACAGTCGTCTGTGGATCATTCGGTTCGGCAAACATCAGACTGTATAAGGCTGAGACACGGAGAACAAGGAGGGACTGAGTGGCTGAGGTCAGCGGCCGAAGTCCTCCGCAGCAGCATCATCATCATCATCATCCTCCCCCCCAGCAGACTGCTGCTTTTCTCTCAACACTATCTGCTTTGCTCTTCATCGCGTTTTAAAACATCATTGCTTACTTGCTTATGAGAATTGATGTCCTAAATTGTCTTCAACCCTGATCGTTCTTCTCTGTCTACAGTCCTACAACCTGTTTCCGGTGCGCCCCTGATACCCCCGCAGTCATGGCTGCCATGGAGGAGTTGGAGATCCACAGCAAGGTAAGGAGGGTTCATGCGTCAATTGGTGTATCTCTTATTGCGACCAATTCAAGAAACAAATCTACTGGTTTTGTGTCCTATCTCACATGCTGATGTGAATCCTCCCGCCTCAGTCCTACTTTGTCCGATGGGTCAATGTCAAGCCCGACCATACCATCTCCTGGAGCATCCAGCCACACAAGAAATCCCTCAACTTTGGCATCTTCAAGCATCCCGGCCATTCCGGTGTCCTCAGTTCTACCAATCATCCAACCGGCGACTATCACAGTACCGATTCGAGCGAGAACTTACCGTCGCCCTCTGCTGCCGCTGGCTCCCGAACCTCGGTCATCGAAAAGCTGACCAGCATCGGCCTCAAGCAGGTCCGATGGATCGGCAAGTGCGAAGCGGACAAGATCGTCAAGGGCACCTACGATGTACCTCACAATGAAGGGGGGAACTACGCGCTGGTCTTTGACAACACATTCTCCAAGCAAATCTCCAAAACGGTCACCCTGGTGCTGCTCACTTATCCTACCCAGTCGGGCCCGACGAACCACTCGACCACTCACCTCGCTCGCGAGGTCGAGTTCGCTGAAAATGTCAACTCAACGGCGCGAAAACGAGGTAACAGCATCCTTTCTAAAGCGCCGTCTCAAGCCGTCAGTACGACCTCCGGGACGACTCATACTGGAGTCTTGCACAAGCGCCGCAGGAAACGCCACCAGGGTTGGGCGAGGAGATACTTTTCGTTGGACTTCACCTCGTCGACCCTCTCCTATTACCACGATCGTAACTCCTCCGCGCTGCGCGGCTCAATTCCCCTTTCGCTGGCTGCCGTCGCTTGCAATGAAAAGTCGCGTGAAGTTTCCATCGATTCGGGCACAGAAGTCTGGCACTTGCGGGCCAGTAATGACCAGGATTTCATTGCGTGGAAGCGTGCGCTGGAGAAAGCTTCCTCCAAGGCGTCGGCCGAGGACTCTCACGCGCCCGAGGTGCTGCTTCGCGTGCCTTCCCAGCGCTTCCTCACCAATGCCGCGGAGGAACGCGAGTGGACGCAGGTGGAGCATCTGGTCAGCAAGATATCGGGGTCCCGGGATGCAGTACGCCGACTGGCTAGAGACACCGATCCAAAATACTTGAATAGTTCTTCGGCGGCTTTGTCTCCGTACGAGCGGCCCCGAGGTCGCTCCCCCAGTCCCCACCCGGAAGCCAACGGTGAGGACTACTTCGAGGCGCGCGAACGGCGTCCATTCTGGAAACGGAAGCCCAGTTCAAACTCCAATCAAACAGCCAAGCGTTCCGCCGCGACGACAACGACCTCGTCAAGCTCACAGCTGGCGGTCCCATCGCCCGCCGCGGATGCGGCGTCCCTCGCCGGCGACCGGAAACCCAGCAGCATTGCCAGCCATCCGGATCATATGGAAGAAATCCATGACCATTTGATGGCTCTCCTGAGAGATCTGGATCATGTAGTCAGCGAATTTTCGACTTTGATCGCCGAGAGCAAACATCGTCGGCATCCGCCTGGAATGACGGCACAGTCTCGGCTGAGCATGGAGTCCGAGATGTCGCAGGAATTCTTTGACGCCGTTGACGGAGAAAACATGTCACCATTGCTGACCATCAAGGGAGACAGTGACGACGAAGGAGCGGGCAATGCCCCCGGCAGACTGAGGACGAAGTCGTCGCGGATGACGCTCCATCAGACAGCGAGGAAGAGGTGGCGGAGCCCGTTACACCCGGTGGGGAGAAGGACTCACCTTTGTTCCCTTCACGCCCCAAATCGCTCACGCCGCTGCCTCTCAGTCCTGTACGTCGCCGCAGCAATATCACTGCGCCCACGGTCATGCCCCCTAGTCTGATCGGTTTCCTCCGCAAAAACGTGGGTAAAGACCTGTCACAGATCTCGATGCCCGTCTCCTCCAACGAGCCGCTCTCGCTACTGCAACGCGCGGCCGAGGCACTCGAATACTCCACACTTCTGGACCAGGCCACGAAGGCCTCGGACAGTTTGGAGCGCCTCATGTACGTGACGGCCTTTGCAATTTCTTCGCTGTCAAGCAACCGCGTGCGAGAGCGAGCCATTCGGAAACCCTTTAACCCCATGCTGGGAGAGACCTACGAGCTCGTGCGGGAGGACCTCGGATTTCGATTCATCGCGGAGAAGGTCTCGCACCGTCCCGTGCAGCTAGCGTATCAGGCAGACAGCAAGGACTGGAGTCTTGCGCAATCGCCGATGCCGACGCAGAAATTCTGGGGTAAATCCGCCGAGATTATCACCGATGGGAAGTTCCGGCTGACTCTGCACACGACCGGCGAGCATTTCAGCTGGTCCGCGGCCTCGTCGTTCCTGCGCAACATCATCGCCGGCGAGAAGTACGTCGAACCGGTCGGCGAGATGGCTGTGCTGAACGAGACGACCGGCCAGAAGAGCGTGTCGACCTTCAAGGCCGGCGGCATGTTCTCGGGTCGCAGCGAGGAGGTCGTCACCAAGGCCGTCGATTCGTACAACGGCGAGCTGCCCCTGGGGCTGACGGGCACCTGGACCTCGTCGCTGCAGCTCACCAAGAACGGATCCGCCACGGGCACGGTGATCTGGAAGGCCGGGCCTCTGGTGCCCAACGCGCCCAAACACTACGGTCTGACCGCGTTTGCGGCCACTCTGAACGAGATCACCCCCATCGAGGACAAGCGGCTGCCGGTGACGGACTCGCGGCTGCGGCCGGACCAGCGGGCGCTCGAGGACGGGGACGTGGACCGCGCGGAGCAAGTCAAGGTGCAGCTGGAAGAAGCGCAACGGGCGCGGCGGCGCGAGATGGAGGCGGCAGGCGAGAGCTGGACGCCGCGCTGGTTCAAGCGGGTGGATGCGGATGCGGATGCGGAGGACGTCTGGGCCCTGAAGCCGGGCAAGGATGGCTACTGGGAGGAACGGGCTAGGGGAGCTTGGACGGGTGTGGTGCCCGTGTTCGAGGCGTAGTCAAGTTACCATGTGTATGTTTATTCGTCTATGATCCTGTATAGACATGCATGTCGTATATAGAGGACTTATTTATAGAGACATAAGTAGAGTTGCTTACAATCTCACCCTCTACTAAAATTACCTCAAAAATAAACCATGAGAAGCTTGAATAAGATGGATAAGGTTGGCCAGGCCTACGCTTATGCTTATGACTGCGGAGCAGCCAATCGGCCTACGCTCGTAACGACAATTACTTTGGAAATTTTGAAATAGTGGAAGGCAAAGATAGTTTCATTCAAGCAAAGATAGTTTCAAAGACTGCGAAAAACATATCGTGTCCATTTCGTTTCTAGTCGTCGGTATCGGATCATTGTCGGTGTCACATCATTCGCTTGAGCGTATATACAGCTGAAATCCCAGAGCTGCTGGTCGGATATATTGCGGCAATCTCACATCTGTGGACAAAAATTTGTTCGGAAGATTCGCGTAATTTAATCCTCGTCTGATTGATCATGGACAGCCCATCGGTGATTATTTCGGGGCTTTGTCGATTTCCTTGCGCTCGCACGATCGGACGGTGGCGCGCGCACCATCAGCGGCAGACTGTCCAGGACGGCGCGGTTGCCCTCGAAGTAGTGTACTGCGAATCCTCCCTGAAGCACTCGTCGGAGAGAGTTGAGTCGAATCCACTTCCACCAACGGTCAATGCTCATGACCCCTTCCCTTCCAATCTTCACGCGGACTTTGCTCCCGTACTGTCGATTCGAATCTTGGTCGATCGCTTTGTTGTACATGGGGCCGCGTCGGGGATTCTCCACGGTCGTCAAGATGGAGGCGAAATTGCTGTGCAGGTTCTTCTTGTCTCGCTTGCTGATGTGCTTGTTGTGCACGGTGGCCAAGGACTGGAGTTGCTGTTCCAACTCGTGGGTGTTATGGTACGCATTGTAGCGTTTAACGAGCTTTGGCCCATCCCGGTCCCCGGCACCCATAAACTCCTCTTCCTCGGATTCAACTTCCTCGTCTTGGTCGTCGTCGTCCTCTTGCGGTGTGTAGCTCTTTTCGTACAGCAGGGCGATGTTCTCGCCAGCGGCAATCTGCCGAGCCGGATCATTGCTATTAAGCTGATCCATGAAAATCTGGACCGCCTCTTCGCTTTCAGCCTCCAAGTCCTCGATTTCTGTCGCGAGGTAGCCCCATTCCTGCAGAGCGGCCGTGACAGTGGCCGCATCGTCAGCCGCATCGATTGAATGGCCATCGGAGGCAGCGATGTCCAGGAAAAAGGTCATCTGGTCGAGAATGCTGTCTTCGCCAGCACCACCAAAGCTGGTGCATACCCCCAGGCAATGGATTGCGGCAGCTTTGATCACAGGAGAGATCGAGTCACGGATCGAGCGGGTCAGCAGCGGCTCTACATTTTCGTAGATGGTGTTGTCAAAGGTGGTGATGGTAAGAAGACTCAATGCGCGAAGCGCCAGGGTTGTCTCTCGCACGCTGCTTTCAAATTTGATACTCTTGGCAAAAGCGCTCACAAGGTCAATGACACGAGTGCGGATACGATCCTCGATGTAATGAGATTTGGCGAGACGGCAAAAGGCAGCATAGGCTTCTTCTCGGGCCAGGACGCTGCTACGTTTGCGATCCAGGATATCTTCAACGACATCCTCAAGCTCTTCGGGCCAGTTGGCGTTTGTATCAGCATCTGGAATGTCACCCACGTCATCCAGGGAACCGAGGCTGTGAAAATGCAAGCATGGTTAGTTATACTTCGACTGTCATGAACAACAATTACGTCATCCCGCCCATCGAGGATCCTCGAAAAGGAAAAAAAATACATGGAAAAGAAAAGCGAGGGAAAGAAGCTCACCTATATGCAGTGTCGTCGCTGAGATTACCTTCATCTTCTTCATCGGATGGATGTCTGCTCGGGTTGCGAGACGACTGTTTCGAGCTTTGTGCAGAGGCTGCTCGAGAGGGACGGCGAGAGCCTTCGCGAGACGCGGCCTTGCGGGACATGGTCTTGCCGCTCTCAAAGATCTGACGGCGTAGGTCAGGCATGTTGAGAGATTCGTAGAAGGCGAGATAGAAGAGAGATAAGGATTGATTCAGAGATCGTATAGATAGATGACGAGGCCGATAATCAAGTATTGTTACGGATAAGGCTCACAATGATCAGTGGAGACGAGGATATCTCAATACTAGGGTATGGAGAGTGTCGGCAGAAAGAATGTTTTCACAAAGACGATGGACATGATAAGACTGGAAAAAGAACCCTAAGGCAGAATAAAGGCTGAGAAGCGTCTGTTTGAAGGCTCAGTTGATGCCTACGATGGAAAAGGATGAAAGATAAAATGAAGACGTCAACGGCAAACCCTCTCTTTTTATGAACAGGACGGGAAGAACAATAATACGTAAGAGCCAGTCTATGCTTGAGCCTTGCGCCGTGTCAGCCGGGTTCGTCCCCTGATAACTAGTCTAGTCTACATTACCCCTCGATATTCTTTTCACATGAACTGAACTACTTGAGATCCACCAATAATGAATCCTTAATTCTTCTCTTATCTCCTCAACCTCAACCACTACTGCAGACTTTCTGTACTCTCGCATATGTCTTTCTTTTCTTTTTTCTTTTTTCTTTTTCCTTTGCCAATCGCTGAGAGTCTTATCGCCACGTGATGCGGGGTCGCTTATCGATTGACGGAGCTTGACTAAAAGAGATTCTTTGAATGGCCACAGTTCTACGGTACAGAGAGTAGTAAATAGGCATCGAGTGATGATCATTTCAAGCCAGACTGGGATGACTGTATCCTGGAGACTGTCGCTGTCTATGGGTATTCAATAGTGGATTGTGTTCCTTGGTTACTAACCTCTCCCGCAGTAGGTTGCAAATAGGGAATCGTAATATGCGGATATATTCATGAAAGGGTATATCTATCATGTATGCTCTCCTGTGCTCCTGGAAAGCATTATTATCCTCCTCATCGTGCTTCCATTGCCAAAGCCAGGATCCCCGAAGCTTTGTCCCCCTCGAGATACTCCCTTCCTTCTCTTCTCCGTTCGTCCTCATCCTCATCGTCACCAACTTCAAGGTCGACCTGTAAACTGGCATTGTATGCTCTCATGACCGTTTCCTCATCCACACGTACTCCACCTTGAACCAGCACGCGAATACATTGCGCCAGGCGTGCAATCTCGCGCCGTGTCTGCGGTGGAATCTCGTCGTTCTGGCTGGAATAGATAGAGCTCGATACCATCTCCTCCATGCGGGTAATAGATACATTCTCCGTCGTAGAGGATGCTGCGGCCGCGCCGTCGGCGTGCTTCGCGATCCAGATGTAACCATTCACCCCGAGTATAATGTTCACCTCGCCGCCTCCGTTCGCCGTGTTGACCGTCCACTGTTGTCTCCGGGCGCGAACCACACCACCCGTGCCTGAGGTGCCCATCGCCCCTGCAGAGGCTGTTCCCGCTCCAGGGCCTCCCTTCACTGTCGAACTCGATGCTCCGCTACCACCGGTTCCTGTCACAGCGAGGAACACGCCATTTCTAAGCTTGCCGTATTTCAGCGATCGCGTGTGCAATGATGCTGAGCCGTCTGAATGCACGCTCTGAACTTCTGCAACCACCAAATCTCCTTCACTGAAGAAGGTTCGAATCTGCAGTTCATCCGCGCTTGTCCGTCGACGAAGGATACCGCCCGGAAGATTGATGGCAGAGAGAGGTAATTGTGCGAGCAGAGGGGCGGCGATATCGACCTTCCATCTTCGTGACTGAACCTCTACAATGCGTCCAACAACCAGATCACCGATTTCTGGGATATACCGAGCCCGCAGCGGCTGAACGGAGAGCAATTTGTTGGTTTTCTGTACAGTACCAGCAACGGTAGCGATGATTGAAGTCGAGAGCGGATTTGAGTAGGTACCGTGACCTCTGCAAAGTGGTCAGCGACAATCCTGAATCTCCTGTGGAAGCAATCTGAAAATGCGCGAAATATCGGAGCCCAAACGTGGGTAAGACCAACCTCATCCATTGTGGATCATTCGTCACCACTTCACCTGGTGTCACAATTCCTGCGCCAATCTTTGTCCCTTCCACTAAGCGCGGCCGTTTGCTGGGTCGAGAGCCTCCTCTTGAAGTCAAATCGACTCCTCCGTCTGAATCTATCGACATTGAATCGAAGTCTGAATCTGGATGGGGAGAATTGACATCCTCCACAACGGGAGGCAAAATAGTGATGGCCATTCCTGAGCGAAAAAATTATCAAAGGTAATGTTTGGCCGACAAATATTAAAAATGAGTAATGAGCTGAAGTTGGCTTTGGGAGTTGTGTTCGAGCGTCAAGAACAGAAGATTCCGCAAACGAATGTTCAAGAGCAAACAGGACAAACTTGATGCAAGAGCACGTGAAAACATCCAGCTAGAAATCAGGACCTATGTACGCAGTACGGAGTACGATGTAATTGAGAAATCCATATAAATTTGGCAGACTTTGATATAAAGAGAAGAGGAAAATAGAGATCTGTTCAGTTGCACCAGTGGATTTTTTATTGTAGTTATTCATGCATCTAATTAGGCGTTTCCATTTATGGTTCATATCATGCCCTCGCCAGTCAACATTATGAGGAAAAAATGAAAGAGAATGATAAGACAGCAAGAAAAGAAGTGAAGGAGTATGGCTGAATGATAATGCACGTTTCTCAAGCTTGTCAAAATACGACACACTTTGCGAGAGACAGCCATGCCGGTCAAACCGGGATCAACATAAGAAATAAAGGGCAGTACTGGCAGTCCTCAGTAGGCAGCTTCTCCTACGGTGTCACCCCGGATAGTCCGGACGTCGGAAGGGGAAACGAGAAATATAATAGTACATAGAGGGAGATCAATGCTTAGAGCAGACAAACAGGTCTTCAGGCAACCAAACCTGACGACCTTTTCGACGTGCGCTTGGCATTTGAGTTCGTGTCGTCCTTCTTTTTCTTGCTGGGACGGCTACTGCCACCCTTGGGTCTATAGCCCGTATCGTCATCGCGCTTGCGCTTGCCTTTGGTGCTACCCGGAGTAGGACCGGTATCCATTAGGACGCCATCCTCGTCGTAAGCCTCCTCCTCTTTGCGTGGCTGGGTTGCTCTTTTGGACGCCCGCGCATTAGTTGGTCTAGAGCCTGACTTCTCGGAGGCGTTCTCATGGTCCTGCAGGAAAATATGTGGCTGATTGCGCCGGAGCCAGTTGTAGACGGAGACTGGGTTTCGTAGCGCCAATTCCCTTTCCCGTTCAGCGAATGATGGCTTTTCGGGTATGCGACTAAGCTCGAGGGCAGCTGCTTCGTCGCCGAGCTTTGCATCCATGCTCAAGTAATACTCGGTCTCGTGCTCCGGAGTAAGATATCCAAGCTTCTCCTCCAGGCTGATATCTGTAGAAGAATCCTGTTTTACGGACGGAACCGACGTATGAGGCACCTTTTGGAGAGCAGTGTAATGCATGTGCGGTGCAAAGGCGTTGCCTCGTTTGATATCGTCTTCCAGAGTGCGATATGCTTCGAGTGTCATGCTACCAGCAGCCATCTGTGCTTTCGCATCTTTCAAAGTGGATTTTGCCGTCGCAGTGTCGACGTACATCGGCGATCGTTCAGGCGTCGGCAGGAAGGAGGAGTCTCCCGGCGCACTGATATCAAATCGCTGATCCGCTGGGACGTGCAAACTTTCGTTAAATTCAAGGAGAACCTCTAGAAGTTGGCTGCGGCAGGAGAGTCAGTCTCGAACGATCCTGTGTCTTTTTCTATACATCCGCATATATTCGCTTACTCGTTCTGCTCCTGAATTCTTTTTGAGAGATCTTCGATGCGCAACTCTTCGCGGATCAGAGACTCGCTCTCCTTCATCCCAAGCTCGAATTTGACTTTGAGTTTGGCATACTTCTTTCTGTAGCACCAAGAGGTAGCCATATTAGTTCTCATACCCAATGCTAAAGCTGCGCACTGAACGACCTACTTGAAAGAACGATATGACTGTTTCGCAGGGGCACTGGTCGATTCGTCGGGCAAGCTCTCGGCCACGGAGCGGGAATCCTCGTCTTCCTGTGACATGTCGAATCAAGATTGATGCGGAGACGTGTGTTCAACAGAGTGACACAGATAAGGTATTGATGATTGATGATGAAATGGCGAATGTTAAAAGAGAGCTCTAAGGCGAGCGATGGTGTTGGTGATGGCTGGTCACCTGTCGCCAAGTCCGAACTCCGCAATCTATGGAGAGATTGTTGCGTCGGCTGGTGTTTTTGCCCGCCGTAAAAAGTTTCAATCCTCTCCATTCATACCAAAGACAATAGCTGAATGCGCTTGATTGACTTTGCCAGTCAAAAAAACAAGTTTCTATTGTGAATTGCTATTTTACGATCTCATTATTCTATTAATTGAAGTGGGCCACTTTTAAAAACGATTTTCGAGTCATTGACGAACCTGATTTCTATCCAACATGGCTGGCCTCGGTGAAGGTAGTCAGAAAAAGCGAAAGCTCACAGACGTTCCTGAAATTGAAATCGATGTGTCCGCGCCTGAACCTCCGTCGAAAAAGGCTCTGCGCAAAGCCAAAAAGAAGGTTGCTGAGCCTACGGCAGATTCTACAACGAAGCAAGAGGCCGCTGTGCCCAGCAAAAAGCAAGAAGATGAGGCCCCCAACAAACGTTCAGACCACGGCATCTGGATTGGAAATCTGGCCTTTTCGGTGACCAAAGATGATCTTCGCAAGTTTCTCACAAGCAATTGCACATTTGCGGATACCACAATCACCCGTATACATCTGCCCAAGGGCCAGGAAAAATTTGGAAAGGCTCAGAACAAGGGCTTCGCTTACATCGATCTTGCCAACGAAAAGGCTGTGAAGGAGGCAGTAGGATTGAGCGAGCAGCTGCTAGCTGGTCGCCGTGTGTTGATCAAGGATGCGAAAAGTTTTGACGGCAGACCAAAAAAGTCAGAACAGGATTCGGCGGCAACAGCTACGAAACCTCCTTCGAAACGGATATTCGTTGGCAATCTCGGCTTTGATGCTACAAAAGAGGTCATCGAGGAACATTTTGGACAATGCGGTACCATCGCACATGTACATGTGGCAACATTTCAGGATAGTGGAAAATGCAAGGGCTATGCTTGGGTGGAGTTCGAGGATCTTGCTGCCGCCGAAGCAGCGGTGAAGGGCTTTGTTATGGTTGATGAAGACGAGGAAGACGATGAGGGCTCCGGAGAAGAAGAGTCCGGAAAGCGCAGGAAGTCGAAGAAACACAGACAGAGGAGGGTTTGGGTGAACCAGCTTCTTGGTCGACGAATGCGCATGGAGTTCGCGGAGGATGCGACAACACGGTACAAGAAGCGGTTCGGTAAAGATGGGGAAGGCAAGAAGAAAGATGAATCGGTCATTACTGAAGTGGAAGACGGGCCTCTTGAGCAGGAGCCGACTGGAGACAGGCCGCAACGGTCACATCCTGAGAAGCCCAAGCGAAACAACAAGCCTGAATACTCAAGATACGCCAAAGAAACTGTGCAAAAGCTTAGCGGTGCTATTGTCGAACCCCAAGGAAAGAAAATCACTTTTGATTGAGACTTGTCAATATAAAAACGAAGCAGAATGGCTCCTTCCTATGATTCATATTCCATACTGAAGCTTTTCAGTCAAGTGATTGACGTTCAACCACTTTTTCTTTGCGAGTCATTTAAGAACTGTCAGTATTGCAGTAAATATTGATTGGGATGATCCTGAATAGAATAATGTACTGTCCTATTCTAGACAGCTGTACTGCTGCTGTTAGCATGAGCGTACGTACTTTGCACCTAACATGAAACTGGAAGATAGGCATAAACAAGCTATGACCACTTTTGAGCTAGAATCCATCCATTGGCTTTACATTATTAGTTAACTCCTCATGCAAATATCCAACCCTGATGTTGTAGATAGAATTTCTTCGTCCACTATGGACAATAATGCTGACTTATCTGATCGCTATACCTAATGTGATTAGCTATTCTTATGCCTAATGCTAACAGTCTAACCGTCGAAGGCTATCTATGTGTCGGATTTATTTATGCTAGTAATAATTCTAGATTCGCTGAGGTGGTCTTGGAGGGCACTAACCAGATTTGGATAGTTGACATCGAAGAGAGATGTCATGGCTCATGCTAAAAGCGATCAACTTTGATAGTGCTCGTCTCGTTGCATTTCCCTCGACTGCCCAACCGTCCCACACTCTCGCCCTCTTTATCGAGGTGCATCTTCCTCTCATCCGCCCATCGACCTTTCTACGTTCACTCCCCTCTCTCCATACACGTGTTCGAGTTTTTGCCGCTTCTGTTGATCATTCCCGCCCCCCGGTCCTTGCAATCCGATTGTCTCGCCGCTCTTCGTTCCTGGTCGGTGCATCCTTCATCCTTACCTCAATCCTCCTCCCAAAATTTACGGTGACACGAAGGAACATCGCATCTGGTGTTCAATCATATACCTTCTTTCCATCGCCTACGCCAATCAAAAATGGCCTCACGTCGTCGCAACATCGGTGCTAGCCGGCGGAGGAGAAGAAGAGATGAGGAAGGCGAGGATGAAGGTTCCCTAGAGGGAGAGTTGGAAGATGATTCGTTAAGCGAGGGCTCGGTCATCAGTCATCCCGGTGATGATGATGATGATGCTGATGCTGATGGCGAGGGAAGCGACGAGAGCGACGGGGAGGCTTCTTCGTCCCCGCACTTGGACAGAACCAACGGACTTCAGGTCAACGGTCTCGTGCCTGAAATCAACCAGCGGTCTGGACGACGTCATTCCTCATCTCCTGGAAAACGACACACAGCTACCGCTGTGTCAGATACTGAGGCAATGATGAATGGATTGACGCTCTCTGATCAGACGAATGAAGTGGCGGAAATCCACTTTGATGATATGAAGGGGGAGTCTGGTTCATTGACAGGAAGGACACCATCTGCACCTCCTACAGAAGCGAAGAGAGGGACTTTTGCGGAGCGAAAACGCCGCGAACACGAGAGGTATGCAAAGGAGCGGGATGAGAATCTGGCCTTCGTGCCCACTCGAGGTCGCTTTTTCCTTCACGATAAGCGTTCCACCGAGTCTGGCCCGAATGGCCACAGGCCGTTCAACAAATCAAAATCGAGACCTTATGGCCTCATCGTGGATGGAAATGTTCGCAGGTGAGCCTTCCCCGACCCTTTGTCATGTGCTCCTGATAGCTAACCATCGTTCCACACGCAAGGCACTCCAAACCTGATGCTAGTGAAGGGCAGTGGACGCATGATCTGCACGAGATGGTCGCAGGAGATGAGCCCGTCAACAAGCCCTCTGCTGTGCCTGGATCCATGTCGAACTTTGCCCCAAAACCTGTCCCTACGGCTCCTCGTTCTACGCCCCCGAACAGGTCTTTCTCGAGCACCACCCTGATCGGCAATGTGCCTGTTGTAGTGTTTCTACAGGGCATGGCTCGGCCCATACCTTTCCCTGCCGTTCCAAAAAAGCAACACACTCGTCTCCCTCAACATCGTCCCCCGTTACGTCGAGACAAGCCCGTTCGCATATCGTTCCCTGGACAGTCTCCGAGATACATATTCCCCTCGACAGAGCGCTCGTTTATCTTTATTCCACGAGCGCTGAGGCCAAATCAGCAGGGTTACCGTGGCAGGGCCGGGGTGGATTCTATGGCGGACGCCGTCCGAGTATTTATGCAGGCTCCGTCTACACCCCGAGTGTCACTGCTAGCCGGAGATCGTCGATGGGAAAGCCAGCCTCTCATGATGGATACCCCTCGCCGGCTGCGTCTGTATTGTCAAGACATACGGTGGTTACGACCGAAAATGGGAAGCCAATCGTCCGTCTGCCTCCACCTTCCAGGCCATTAGGCGGCGTGCCTCCGGCAGCCGCTGCTGCTGGTCCCGGAGCCGTTGTTACCGCGTCACTGCCACAACCTATGCCTCAACCTCAGCCCCAGCAGCCCTCGTACCGCGAGAGCCGTCCGGCTCCCATCCCAATGCATCAGCCCCGTCCTCAGAAAACGGTTTCTGTCGCCGATATAGAGACTCCTGCAAGCTTCTCCTTCAACGCCCCCCAGCCACAGCAGGAACAACCATTCCAACACCAGGTTCCTATGCCTATCAATGGCCCCGGCTATGGTACCGATGCCCAATCTGCCCATGCAGCTGGGACGCCTTCATCGCACATACCCGAGCGAGCAATCCATGCTCAACCTTTCCAACCATATGGCTTCCAACAAGCCCAGCCATTTTATCCTACCGCTTATCCCCCCGGTACAGTATACTATCCAGTATCTGGAACAGAATTCCCGCCCTACAACGCAGCCGGCATGCCCGGAGCATCCCTCGTGCCCTATCCCCCAGCGGGACAGCAAGCTCCATATGTGGTTCCAGGGACCCACGCCTCATCCGCAGAGCAGCCTTCGCAACCAGGCACAGTGGCCCACGAGGCAGGTGGCACAGTCTATTTCTATGACGCCACGCAGATGTGGCCTAACGCATCCTATGCCACGCCCTCTGCGCCGGGGCCTGGTGGCGTCATCGGCATGGGTGGAATGATGACTCCTCCAGGCACAACCTTCTATTATCCTCAGCCGCAGGGTGGTGTATACTACGCTCCGCAATAAATTAAAAAAAAAGAAAAAGAAAAAAAGCAAAAGAGGCATTTTCTATGTTTTTCTTTCGTTCACATTTCGATACCTTAAAATATTCTTACCTTGTCGTCTTCCTTATCCTCTCTTGCTTTTGTTTTACATTTCCCCTTCCACACATTTCTCGTCCTGCGCTTTAGTCTCACTGTGATGCCACGGAATCGATTATTCCCAAAACTTATGATGTCGACTATAGGAGTCTCGTCCATTGTCAACCGGTGTTCCATCTCCTCTTTTCACTTTACCGTCCCGTCTTCATGCTTCCTGTCTGATGCAACTGTCCATGGTGCCGTTTCCTTGAGCTTTCATATGGATTGTTATTAGATAAGCCACCCTTTGCATCCTTAGCGACTGTCTTCTCATCATTGCGGTGGCAACTTTTGTTGCCCGGAAGCTCTCATGTTCTGTACGCATTTTTTTCCTGTTATTATCTGGAAAGCGATGTGGCATTGATTTCCCCCTTCCCGGTGCTGTTCCATCCTTTCTTTGTGGAATGTTGACATTTTCCTTTTCTCCATATTCCTCGAAAGGCGGACCCTGGAAAAATTCAAATATTTACCTGTTCCCACACTTTTGACCTGCAGGGGTCTTTCGATAATTCTACTCTTGTCTTTTACCTGCATTGTTGTCCGTGCTTTGTTCCGCCGTTCGCTGCGCTCTAGCATTTAGGAATGGTGTTTACGTTGTGGCGTGGGCCTATAAATTCAAATATGAAGGAAAACAACCCGTGTGATCAGCTTCTTCTTGTCCTCTTTGGCTGTAGAAAGGATCCGGGGCGTTCGTTGGATGAGTTTATGACTAATCCAAAGAATTGGCGAGATGGGATGGTGTCGTACCTATGTACATAATACAGGAGCACGTCTATATCTTCAAATGAGTAATCACGCATTATCCTTAGAAGACAAAAAGAATTAATTCAAGCAGTAGGTAGCCAAGTACCTTTGATACATCTCTAAGTACGTATACAGTAATGATGACGATGATGATAATACCAATGGGATCTGATGGTGTTTCCTGCAAGTATGCGAAGTACCTAAGGTAGTACGGATGGTACCAATGATGATAAGGATAATGATGTGAGCTTCACCGCCTCATTCTCATTGAACTATTATTGTTAAAGCCTTGCCCCGGAAGCCGAATGGAGACGGGAGCAGCAGATGACCTTCCTCCTCCGCATCTCTAGACTCTAGTTGACCTCTTAGATTGTTACGTAGCCCCAGGCAGCCTTCTGCCATACCTTACCTTTACCTCACTTTATTACCTAGCTCCCTCTCTCTCTCTCCTCTCCTCCCTCTTCCCTCCTCTACCTCTATCTATTTAGTACATCATACCTAACTTCATCCATTGCACTTTTTATCATCCTCATCAATCCTTCAGCCTTTACTTTCATCATCTTGCTTCTCACAACCTTCTTTCTTCGGTCCCTAGTCATCATCTCTTACGTAGGTGACTAGTGCCTTATCTCTAGTTCACCTTCGTCACCTCCATCCTCTATCTACACCATGGCTACCCCCATTCCCCCGGCTAGTCCAGTCGGACCTGGAACCCTAATCACAATCAAAGTGCTCTACAATGACAGCACTCGACGCTTCAAGGTTCCTCTGAGAGAACTGGGTGCTCGGGTTCTTCCTCAGAAGGTATGTAGATGGTCTCCACCCTAGCTAGCTCCGGTCGGAGCTTGAGCCAGTCCCCATCAAGCAACCTGGAATCCTTGCCGACCACCGCTGGCAAGCTCCCTATCCTGCTTGTCCATGAATTCTGTCCTATTACTTTACGTGATTATATCTTGAGAATACACTGAACAGCATTGCTATCCTATTTTCGTTTTTGTGCGATGCTAATGAGCTCGCGTGATCTAGCTCCGTCAACTCATTGGCGTCCCAGCGGATAGCAACGTCATCTTTGAACGCTATTCGGACAGCGCCGGTTGCTATGTCCGCTTGGACAGCGAGAACCTCGCAGTCTACAAGCAACTCTACCGTGCTGCTAAAGCTAAATTGAAGCTGCGTATCAAAGCGACATTGGTCAATGAAGTGAACGAGCCTGTTTCGCAGCCCTCTCTTACCGAGAACGCTCCGGAGGAACAGGGCCCAGCAAGATACAGCTACCTGGAGACTGTCCTGAGTTCTCCCCCACCTGTGATGGGTGCCGAAGTAGTTCCCTCTGGCACTTCGGAATCGGTCCCTGACCTTCTAGGTGCCCTCGAGAAACCCGCTTCAGTTGGTCCCCAATCTGTTCAATGGACAAAGGACAACATGGCACCCGCTCAGCCTGGCTATAGAGACTTTGTCCTAAACACAGATAACGTCGATGTGCCCATCGTCTCGCACAGGTCCCCAACTGGTGTTTTCTGTATTGACTGCAACAACTGCGGACGTTCTATTCCCAATGAACACTACCATTGCAGCATCTGTGAAGACGGCGATTTCGATTTATGCTCTCAATGTGTAAACTCGGGGGTCTCGTGTCAGTCTGAAGATCACTGGTTGATCAAGCGTATTGTCGAAGATGGCATTGTCACTAACAGCACTACTGAACGAGTGGCTCCTCGCAAGGTTGAGGAACCGACAGAGTCCAACAAAGGGTCTGGAACTCTGCCTGAGCTCGCTGATGAGAAGGTCCCAGAGCCTACTCCAGCTACAGCTGAAAAGTACCCACTTCAACCTGTGGAGCGGATCTGCAACGCTTGTCTCAAGGGTGAGGTGCCTACTGTCACATGAGGTTTCTGTTGTTGCTCACTCTTGGCAGATTTCGACGAGACCAAGATGGTCACATGCACTGACTGCGAAGACTATGATCTTTGCATGACCTGCCTTCTGAAAGACGCGCACGGCCATCATCCGGCTCATCGCTTCGAGCTCCTTCACGACCGAGACTTCTGCCTGAAGAGTCTTGTGCAGTCGCGTTGCAGCCCTGGCCGCCATCACCAGCATGCAGCGATCTGTGACGGTTGTGAAAAGGTATGATTAGTCCGCTGTTGAATTGGGGTTTCATCGCAGGCTGATATATACTCTCAGCGCATCATCGGTGTTCGCCACAAATGTCTGGCCTGCCCCGACTGGGACTACTGCTCGGAGTGTGTTGGCAACGCCGCGCAAAGCCACCCAGGCCATCGCTTTGCTCCCCTCTATGAGGCCATCTCGGAGCCACTACAGCATCATGAGGTTCACTATGGCATCTACTGCGATGGACCATTGTGCAAAGACAAGCCGTTCCCCGCTACATCACTGGAGTCCGGTACAAGTGCTCTGTGTGCCATGATACTGATTTCTGCGCCAAATGCGAAGCCTTACCAACCAACCCCCATAATCGCACCCACCCATTGCTGATGCTCAAGACACCGGTGCGCGGCGTTACTATCAGCAACTCCGTGACTGAGAACGGGCTCGGTGGGCCTGTCATCCTTGCAGGTGACCAAGTCAAGAGATCTACCTCCGCACAAGCCAATATTCCAGCTGAAGCTGAGAAGTCTTCAGAAGCGCCACGCGGCGAGGAAGAAGGAGCTGTGAAGCAAAAGGAAATCGTGGAGCCATCTCCAGCACCGGCCGAAAAGGCGCAATCCAAGGTGTATGAGATGCCAACTACCGATCCCGCTTCCAGCTATCAAGCTTTCTTTATACGTGACACCGTCCATGACGGCACCGTCATGCCACCCAACAAGATATTCCAGCAGACATGGACACTCTACAACCCTGGACCACTTGCATGGCCCGCTGGAAGTAGTGTGCGCTTCGTGGGCGGTGATTCCATGTTCAATGTCGATATCAATCGCCCCATGAGTCTTGATGCAGTCTCCGCCGCTATGGAGAGCAACCAGCTCCTCGAACCCTTGGAGCCTGGCCAAAGCGCCGATTTCACTGTGACTCTGAAGGCCCCGAGCCGGGTCGGTACTGCCATCTCGTATTGGCGCTTGAAGCTTGCCAACGGCATGCCCTTCGGTCATAGACTCTGGTGCGATATTCAGGTACGCGACTACATGGCCGCGTCCACCGAGCTGGAGCCTGTACAGGAAGCCTCTCGCAAACCCGAGCAACAGGCAGAGGCGGCTCCGGCGGATGGCACTGAACGCACGGGAAGTCAAATGATCTTCCCTACCCTGGACAAGGAGTCACCGGTCGGGAGCAGCCACCAGGCAATGGTTGCAGCTCCTTTGACTGCCCCTTCCGTGTCCAATCCATCCGAGCAAGAAGTTCTTGAGGATGTGGAGAGTTTAACCTTGGATGATGCCAACACCGAGACCGGGTTCTTGACCGACGAAGAGTACGATGTCCTGGACGCCAGCGACCAAGACTACCTCGAAGCCCAATCACAGGTCTAAAGTCAGTATCTGCATGCTTTGGGTCTACTAGCGAGGCCCTTGTTTTTTTTTAACTCGATCACGTGGGCGTAATGGGAGGGGACGGCGAAGGATGCATGATCGAGCTTCTCATCTCTCGTCAATATAATCGTCAAGAATCACGTGCGATGAGGAGATGCTGCAACATTTTTGGGAATTTGATTGTTTTAAAATGGCTATTCGAAGAATGAACGGAATGGGACAACTGGGGGTACTCTTCTCACTTGATGTGTTTATCTGTGCTCGGTTTTTTAACAAGATCATTTCTCCAACTGTCGCCCAAATTGTCGTAGCCATGAAATTTTCTTTCTTCGACACTGGTGAGAGAATAATTGTATGGGAACGCTGTGCTCGGTTCTGTTCGGCAATTCAACACTGTCTGGGTACTATGACTCCAGGTGCAGAGTCCATACGCGATAGCTCCAACGAGGATCTTCCGTTTCTTCTCCACTCTCTGGCGAAGATCTGTTTCTCCATGGATGACCGACCAATTGAAAGACCCCAATTCATGGAGCTATGCAAATGCCGCTGTGTTAGCGCTTACTACGTGGGCCTTTTCACTGCTGTGTACGGTACTATGATACTATCAAGAAGATACTCCGTACTGCTCCATTCCTTCCCCGCCCTTCCGCCCCTTCCACTGTGACCACAGGTGGAGGTATCACATAAATCACATTCTCAGCGATTCTCTCTTTTCTCCTCGTTCCTTTGTCTCCTTGCGTCATCCTGTTACATAAATGCGAGAAAAGACAGACACAAGCTTATATATCGCTTTCATCTCGCAGTCTCCATAGACTGAACTAACAGGCAAACCAGGAGTACGGAGAAAGGCGACAACGAGACCGTCACCATGGCTGGCTTCGTTCCTCTTGCTCTTCTTGCCGTCCTGGCTGCGACTCTGTATGGCCCTGTGTATCAGCAACTCACCATCCTGGGGGTCTTCCGGCGTCCGGCGCCTCTGGTGATTGTTGAAGGACAGGGTTACCACAGGATTGCTGATACGATGCAATGCGAGGATCTGCATTACTGGCAGCCAACGAACAAAATATTTACAGCGTGTGAGGATTCGGTCTTGCCACGCTTCAAGTGGTTCCCTCCGTTGGGGAACCTCGAGGAGCCCGCTGTCCCATCTACTGGCTCAATTCATGTCATCGATCCCAAGGTACTGCTTTCTTCCTGCCCAACTGGCTTGGGTTATCTCGTTGACCTGTTGATTAGACAATGAAGTCAACCCGGCTCTCGTTTGAGAACTTCTCAGGTCCGTTTGTGACACATGGCATCGACATCATTGAGGACCCGGAGAATCCCAATGCTGTGTATATATTTGCTGTGAATCATCTGCCGAATCCGGAATTTACACAGGACGGCAAACGTGTTCCCCAGGCGCGATCTCAAGTCGAGCTCTTCCACCATGTTTTGGAATCAAGCACCATTGAACATGTTCGTTCCGTTCAGCACCCGCTGATCGCTACGCCCAACGACATATATGCCGAGACTCCGAATTCTTTCTACGTGACCAATGATCATTACTACCGCGAGGGATACGGACGCCTGATTGAGGATGTTATCCCGGCAGCCAAGTGGTCGAGCATCATCCATGTACAGATCCAAGATTTGAAGTCCAAGGACGCCGACAAAGGCATCGACGCCACGGTGGCTTTGACCGGGTTACACAACAATAACGGACTTGGTCATGGTAGATCTAAGGACGAGATGCTCATTGTCAGTTGCATGGGCGGGACTCTGTATCGCGCTCGCTCAAACAGTGGCAACCGCACGATATCTATCTTCGACGAGATTCGTCCAGGTGGCCAAATCGACAATCCCACTTACTACTCGGACCCGTATCGCACTGCTGCAGACGATGCCAGCGGTTACGTTCTGGCGGGACTGACACGTCCAATTGATCTGTCTAAAAATCACAATGATCCCAATGCTAAAGATGGAGCCATTGTATGGTATGTGCGGCCCAAAACAGGCACGAGTGGGAACGGAGAGCAATCCACAGAATGGGAGTCGAGTGTTCTTTTCGAGGACGATGGCACTCTCATTCGGACTGCTAGCACCGGGCTCTTGGTTCCCAGCGAAACAAAACCTGGGAACAGAAAGAAGGCATGGTTGTTTGTGACCGGATTCGTCTCAGAGAGCGTTATTGCCGTTGAGGTCGGCCTTTGAAGCAAGGCTCTTGTATAGACAGCTTGAAGTCTACCTCGATATCTCAAAATTATCCCGCCTGTTGATGACCAGAATGACAGTCATAGCTGATATTACATCTCTATCCCTAGCTGTAGGGAACTTTGCAATAATTTTCAACGTAATGACATGTTCGTAGCCTAGAGAATTATTGTCGAACATGATGATTGATGCCTTGCAGCCGTGGTGCCTGGACGATATGCGGCTGCCTGAGGCACCTAATTATTTTCCATGTGTCAACATTCGGACCGACACCGTCAGCAGCATCTCAAACACGCCAACGCTTCGCCACTTTCTTGCCTCAATCTTGCCAATATGTCTCTGGTCTGAGGTGCTTTGACCATGCCATCGACCTTTTCGACTCACACAGCCCTGCGTATGCGGGGCAATTGCCCAGCCATCACCTCCATGGCATCATCCCTGGTCCAGCACCAGCACCTCCGCTATCAACCTGCCGCCATTCGCAATTGCTATAGCCTTTTGACTCGCGGCTATGCCAGCCCGTCATCATCCCCGAAATCACATACACGATCCCCATCGTCTTCCCAGCCGGGGTCCCCCATTGTCCCGTCCAGCTCCTCAACCGCGACCACTTCTCTCGCCAACGATGTCAACCCTCCGCCGAGCACCCGGCCCGCAGACCTCAACCTCCCAGAGCCTGTGTCCGCGTCGGCCGGACCGGCCGACAAGCTGAAACGCTACGTTGCGCTGGGCCGCGCCTACCTGTCCTTCTACAAGACGGGCCTCAAAAACGTCTACCACAACTACCGCGCCTCGCTCCCCCTCCGCCGTTCTCTAGGTCTACCCGTCTACCTCCCCATCTCGCCTCCCCAGCACCCTCCCCTCCTCCTCCACCTCCAACGACAGCAAGCCCACACCGTTCCGCACAGCCGTGCACTCCCAAAACCTCAGCCGCGCCAACTTCCAGCTCGTCCGGCGCGCCGCCTACGACGTCCGCCGCATGATTCCCTTCACCCTCATCCTGATCGTCTGCGGCGAGCTGACCCCTCTCGCCGTCCTGGCCCTGGGCAGCGCCGTCACCCCATTCACATGCCGCGTCCCGCAGCAGATCAAGAAGGCCCGGCTGCAGCGCGCGGACCGGAAACGCGCCGCCCTCGCCGCCCACCAGGCGCAGGCGCGAGGCTCCGTTACAGGCCCCGCGGCCGGCTCCGACGCCGAGCGCGAGCTGCTGGCCCGCGAGTTTGCACACGCCGGTTGGGTCGAGAGGGCCTCGGCGCAGGAGATTCTGCAGGCGTGTGCGGCGTTGGGGCTCGTGCGCACGCATACCCGGCCCCGGCGCTGGTGTCCTGGTTGTATCGGCCGCGGCTGCGGCGGTACGTGGAGTATCTGGCGCTGGATGATGAGTTGATCCGGCAGGGGGGAGGGGTTCCGGCCATGGAGGCGGCGGAGGTCCGGATTGCGGTTGAGGAGCGAGGGGGTGTGGGCGTTGCGGATGGCAAGGAGTGTTGGGAGGCAGAGAGGGAGGAGAGACGGTGGTTGGAACGATGGCTTGAAAGGGCTTAAGGCTTGCAAGTTGTATTTATCTACTGATGTATATTTTACTTGGGATAGATATCTAGATTTTCTAGCGCGTGATATGGACTAGAACCGAAAAGAACGCCTTCCCCGTTCGTGATTTACTCGAAACATCACGGAATCGAATGACAGGCCCATCGTTTGCAATGGCTTGATTGTTTCTATGAAAAATAATTATCCGAGACCAAAGTCGTAACTTTTCGGCTGCTTCTGTTTCTTCCAGCCGGTTCGCCCGAAAACACATGTGTCGTACTGTTACACTCATCATAAGTCATGTCGTTATTGAGAGTTCATCCAACTCCGTGCCCCAAACCAAGCTAATCCGATCATATAGTGTAGTCGTTATATATGGCCCGTCGACGCCCATGCCTGCTGAAACCCTTGAAAGATCATCCGCTTCTAAGATACCGCACGAAAGTTAAGAAAACGGAAAACGAGACCAGACAGAACGCTTGCAATTGAGGTTCGTGATAAATTGCATGATAAGAACGAATTGTAGAGAGAAGTAGATGGAGTCTTAAGTGGCTGGGGCTTTTTGCTGTATGGCATTGCGGACCTGCTTGGCCCATCGTAGCCCACAGCTGTTGCAAAGATCGCGATTGCCACTGGGCCCTCTACGCCATTCAGGCGTGGTGCGGGTCTGGCACATGGCGCAGGTCTTTTCGACGGGAACAATGCTCTGCTTTCTCTTGCGCTTCTTCCTCCGCGCAAGGAGCCGCTGGACCTCGTCGGATAGGGTGCGGTTCTGTTTCTCCAGTTCGCGGAGCTCGAATTGCCAGCTTGAACCTCGTGCCGTGTTCAACTCGGCGAACAGTATTGGTTCATCGAGAGCCGGCACGTATTGGTCACCGGATGAACCCATTGCCGACTTGTCGGAAGTCGTTTGGCCTGCCGCAGTGACGTTTCTTCTTCCTGTGACACTAATGTCCCTGGAAAAGGTAGCGGTGATATTTGCAGGTACAACCTCTTCCGTCCCTTGAGCAGTCTGCGGTGATTTGGGAAAACGCAGCTGCGCGACCAAGAATGAAGGTTTCTCCCCTTCTTTGGTGTCTCCAGGGTACAATGTGGTTTGGGCCTGCAACATGTGACCCTTTTTGTGCCGTATTTTATGGTTAAAGCTCGTCTGCTGGCCAGTCCGAGCCACCTCTAAAGCCTGTTTTGCATCCATCCGGGCATCGGCTGGGATCAGGTCCTGCATGCCTTTACCGACCAGATCATCGGGCACTCGGCCGAGCACTGGCCGAGCCTTCGAGGACATGAAGAGAATGATGCCAGAGATCGAGAGCTTGGCCCACAGATCGTTCTCGGCTAACCGGCCATCGCCAATGTTTGCGAGCTGGTCCAGCCGATACACGGGACAGACCCGGCCGATCATCACCATATATTGCCGGCCGCGGTCGCCGATGTGCCACGAGCCGTGACTTTCGAACCACATGTACCCGCTATACTTCGTCCGGACGCGGTACATGACACTGACCGGGTCGGAGTTGGTGCAGGATCGGAGATCGCGTATGACAGGACCGATATCACTGGGATGGCAGATCGTCGATAGTGTCTTGCCAATCAACTCATTTGAATCGTACTCGAGGACCTTTCGACAAGATGGAGATAGGTACAACAATTCACCCTCGAAAGAGAGTACATGAATGACATCGTCGGTGTTCTCGACTAGAACGCGGTCCAGATACCGCTGGTAGCTATGGTCAGGAGTGCCCAAGTTGTCCAGTATCGTCGAGACCTGGTCGTGACTAAAGTATGTGGCAAGGTCCGGATGCAACTTATAGATGTCCGGGGGAGGCGCCACGTAATTAGGCAGCTGCTTCCGTTGGTAGTTAATCATGTAAGTACCATCTGTCACATTTGGTCAGTTAGGTCATCAAGTCCAAATGAAGAGCATCCGGAACATACCTGGATTCCTCATTTTGATGGCATCAGGCTTTTCCACGAGATCGACCTGGAACCCGACATAGAATCGGTAATCAGGCGAATTCCACCGGACAGGAATCATTGTGATCAGATTCATGAATGGCTGACCGCCCTTTCTGTAGTTGATGATGGTGGCCTGGATCTCTCCACGGTGCTCTATTGTAGACCGCAATCGAAATGCGGTATGTTGATCGACGAACTTCCGGGGCATGCCCTGCTGGACCACACCACTGGGGTCCTGAAGAAAACGACAATTCTGGCCAACAATCTCCCCCTCAGTGTAACCGGTCAGCCGCACAAAAGCCTCCGATACATAAATGATAGGATGATCCTCCTGGTGGATGTCACACAATGCAAATGCACATGACAAATCAACAGCGCCGATGTCAATCTTGGGGTCGGGTCTTGACACAACCTCGGCCTGGCTGAAGTTAGCTTGTACATATGGTAGCAGTCAAGCCGTCGGATTGGCAAGACGAAATGATCTTACCAATATACTCATCATGTCAATGCCGCTGCTCGAATATATGCTGTTATAAGGAGTGATCTCACCGGTGGTCGCCGACTTTATTGAAGCTGTGTAAAATTCCATGTCAGTCCACGTCTGTTCATGCATGGCACGTAACACAGGAAAAAGAAGATGCACTTTTCATGGGCGATGGCCTCTTGGGCTGAATGTAACGGTGAGAAGAAACTTGTGTTGTAGGGCCTGAAGAAGCTGGCGTCGCCTGTGCGGTAACTGCTGGCTTCGTGAAGAATCAGTCGATTTCGAAGCGTTGGTTGATCTGCGGGCCATGGACGTGGTTTGGGCCATGTTGGTGCTGTCCTTCGCATCAACCGAGGATGTACAGTAGGAGTTGCTGCTCGATGGATGCGCTTGCAAGGTAGAAGAGTAGGAGGCAGTTGGGTCTAGGCTCATGGTCTGGTTCTGAAATGAAGGAAGCCGCTGCTGCATCGACTGCCCATTGAAGGTCTGTTCAAACATCAAGGAGGGTTGTTGGTATACGGAAGAAGGGTCGTATGCAAATGCACTTGCTGTGTCCACTGCCATGGGCACGGAGTTCCCCATGCTAGAGAGCGGGTCATACGCGAACAACGCATCGGACAGATGGTCAGCCAACGGCGCAGGGGCCGCGGGAAGAGACGAGCCAGAAGCCAGCAGCTCGTCGGCTGACATGCTGCTCAACAGCATATCTGACCCATGAGATTCAGAGAAAGGAAAGTCCCCCATTCGGAGGGGATCCAAAGGCGCAAATGTCATCATCATCTCGGCGTTGCTACAGTCAAGGGCGGGATGAGAGGTGTTGGACTGGCTACCAGAGGTCGTGGGAGCCATAGGGAATGGAGTATTGCCGTAGTAGTCGCCATTATTGAAGTTGTTGGCCATATCAAGACGTAAGGCGACGTTCGATCGATTCGATGGGGGAGTGTTCTGGCCAATGAGCGGATCGCATCTACACAGCGAAGATGCCTCGAAACCTAGCCCAAGATAGTAGACATTCCTCCAGGGGCCAATGATTGGTAGCCCTGTAAGTGCATCCAGAAGTTTCTGTGTGAATCAAGCAGCAGAAGGTCCGGGTGTATAGACGATGTACAGACGAGGAGGTGCAACTGTAGAGTTGCTGGGAATCTGGGAGTTGGTTAGTTCCCCTGCGCACTAAAAGAAGCAAAGCGGAGTCGGACTCAGAAGAGGGCCATGATAATATCAAGAATCATCAAAGAAATTGAAGAATGGTTTACCTTGAAGATCACAACAGCAGAATTGGCTATACAATAGTAACCGTACAAAACAGAGGAGCAGATGGAAGATAAGCGGAGTACCTGTATCACTGAGATGAAGCGATGAAGCGACCGTCCAGATCAAATGCTCAGCGCTGGATGGACGGATGTAGATTCCGTGGTTTTCATCGAATAAGACTGAGGGGCGAGTAAATATGTTGAGGCAGTATGAGGATTCATTCTGTTTCTGTGAACAGAATGACTGCAGACTGCCAATGAGCAGAGAGACGGAGACATTGAACTCAATGATCAACTTGACGTATCGAATTCTAGTGTGACAGATCAGTTTAGGAGGCAAAAGGGGCTCATGGAGGCAAAATATCATGTATCTAAATATTCCAAAAGGAAAACGAGTCCCCAGAGCTCTTCCAGGGGACCAGTTGAGGTTGAAGTTACCGAGAGGATATATATAACTTATGAAAGCTTAAGCGATCATTGATTGATGCTTTACGACAAGCTTCTTTTGCACCCTGTATCTACCCATTTCGATCTTGCTGCAAGTGGAAGTAAATATCTATCAGAACATCCCAGATTATCCAAGTCATCTTATAGAATAGACTACTCGTATGCAAGAGCATAATCTCCCCATACTTATTTTATACAAGAATATCCAATGTATGATCCTGATAAGATAAGTGGAAATTGCAGATGGCCATCAAACACCGAAAGGGGAAATTTGGCGTCGCGCCGTCTCTGGCGGCGTCTCTCCTTTTGATCGCTCGTCTCAGGAGTCGAGTCCAAGTCTCTATTGCAACAAAAGAAGCTTCAATGTGAATATTCGTTCAGTTTGGCTCTCTCCCCCCAATTATCAGTCCATAGCGATTGCGATTCTATTACCTCCTCTTTTTGCCCATAGCACCCAGACGGCCTTTCGTCAAAATACTTGATGTATCACGAAAATAAACATCTCCTCTACTGACGCATAAAAATCCAGCATCCATTTCGACATACAAGAAAAGACACAATGGAAGACGAGCCAGACAAAATCTCCATTACAATTTGCGGCGATGGTGGATGCGGTATGTTTTTCCGCATTCTTGCCAGTGACGGTTTCTAAGATCTCGCGATTCACTCGTCTGGACAGCGAGAGAGATAGCTCTCATTATCGAGAAAGCTTGACACTGATCTGCCGTGGTTGATAGGTAAATCGTCCATCACTTTACGACTGGTGCGGAGCCAATGGGTCCACGAGTGAGTATCACCCCTTGAAACAAATCGCAACGTGCAAGAACTAAGGACTGACACATCGCGACAACCTTAAAAAGATACGACCCTACCATCGGTAAAGCAGTACCCGAACCCTGAACTCCAATTCTTCTTTCGTCGTCGACGCGTGTTCTTCTCTAACAACAATCTTGATTCCTCGGAGGACTAATAGAAGATTCTTATTCGGTAACACGCGTGATCGATGGCATTCCGTATTTCTTATCCATCACCGATACTGCCGGCCAGGAGGAGTATAGAGGGCTGTTTGCGCTGTCCAACCTGAGGTCGGACGCGTTTCTGCTCGTCTACGACATCACCAATGCATCGAGCCTAAGCGCATTAGATTACTTCATGGGTCTGATTGATATCGAGGCAGAGCAACGTGCAGAAGACAATGCTCGCTTATTGAAGGAACTGGGGGACAGCGCACGCGGTGTGGAAGTCGGCATGCCTCCTCCAGTCAAGATCATCGCCGGCAACAAGTGCGACCTAAAGGACAATCGAGTCATCAGTGCTAGGGAGGGACTGGAATATGCCCGCAAGCATGGTTGTGGGTTCATGGAGACAAGCGCGAGAGATATGGTGAACATTGAAGAGACATTTGCCCGTATGTAACTTGCCCTCTGCAGTATCAAGGCTGCCCAGGTGAGACGGCCTATTGATCTGAAGCTATCGCAGTCATCGTCCGTCGTGTTACCGAAGCTCGTCGACTACATTACCAGCAGAACCAGGCGACGGCGAATCCTGGTCAGGCCGCAGCGTCTGCAACTGCGCAACAGCCTGCCGAGCAGACGGTCGATGAGACCATCGCCGCTAAACTATCAAAAGATGCCAGGTCCCCGTTCAGCCGTCTTTCGATCTTCGGAAAGAAGAGCAGTAAGCGTGCTGCACCGAAGCCAGAAGATCAGACTGGCGAGTCCAAAGGCGAAGGGGTGGAATCGAAAGAGGAGCCCGGCAAACCAAGTATATGGAGACGCCTGCTTTGCTGCTGATTTGACATCTATCATCCGTTCGATTGTATCATTCTTTATCTCTTTTCTTATCTTCTGTTTTTTCCTTTATACCCCGGTCATCCGCCTATTGACCGGCGATGCCTTTCCATTCTTGACGATGTGTTCGGGATGAATTCCTTGGACAATATCCCCACCATTTCTTTGTTTTGTACAGTATTGATAGGCCAGATGGACTAGATGTTTGTGCCAACGCGGCATCGGTCACGAAAGAATGAAGTCAGTCATCAATCAACCTCGGCACAAGCAGGGGTAACCAAGCAAGCTTAACTCCTGTGCCACTGTCACGCAACTCGAGCGATTTGATGGGTCAAACGGTTTGTGGTGCCGATCAGTACAAGTCTACCCACATCCGGTTGAGGACAGGGAGATAGGCACCTGGGAGTCTGCCCAATCAATCCAATGGTGGACTTTCTGACATCAACGTTCGATAAGATAAGCGTAAATCAGGGTCGTTGATCGTCCTAGGCCAGGCAGGTCATGTGGCAATATGACAATAACAGGATATGCACATAGTGAGATATTAAAAAGAGATGTCCGAATCATTGGTCATCACTGGGCTGATTGCAAGCCAAAACTCTATCTCAGGGTTATCCTGGACATGTGGCGCAAACATGAAGTCAGCATTCAGCACTCAGCTCCCAGTAAAGGTAAAGAGGAAGCCGACCCTGATCAATGGGTCTTCCAGCTGCAATTGGCTGTTCCCAGAGCTTCCAAGTAGGTCCTAGCCTTCTCGGTTGGTCCTCGGCCGAGTCAATTACTGAGATAAACCTAAGCGACGCTCATAGACAGTTTGGATTGTAAGGGCCCATTGGTGAATCATCAACAGCACTCATGACATGATCGGTGATAAGTCTTCCATCATGATGTCAACGTCATTGACTGGAGATAACACCATGGCGGCTTTGATTTCCGCGAGAAAGAACTTGATGGGCAATAGACCGATAGAACATATATCATGATTAGGTAGATACAGGTCAAGCTAGAAGACACCTCGGCAAATATCTCTCGGTCTCGTGTACTATTATCTTACTCCGTAGTATTATAGGGAAGAAACCATGTCCTGAAATTGTGCTCGCAATGAAGTGCATACGACGAAGTATTTACTCCGAACAGGGATTAGAGCCGGTCTACCGCCAAGCTTTTAATGAGGAGTGTGCATATCCAGGAGAGAGGGAACTCGTGACCATGAACCGATGAATCAGCGGAAGACGCATAACTAGAGTTGGTTGGTTTAGTATGCTGATCGCTGAAGCAGTTGGGAGTTGTCCTGGAGAGTGAAGAAACGATCGGCAGCCATGTGCCGAGAAGAAAACTCGAGAATAAGAACCCGCTTTATGAACGGTTTTAGATAATAATAATGCGATGTTTATGCGTCAACTCCGTCTTTGCAAATACTACTCAGCTTGATGCGACCAGTATGCTGTAATGTTGATACAAGAGCGCTCCATGTACCTCAAGGAGTCAGGCATCATCAGGATCGTGAATTGATCCTGCCTCCTTTACCTTAGAGTTAATACCTCATATCTATTTTCTAACAGAGGGTTGTGCGTCCTTGTAACCTGATACTAGAGCTGATGATCAATCAGACTCGGATATACGGAATCGCTTTTTACTGCATCTTCCGAAAAATTTTGGCTGGTTATGGATTGGCTACTGAGAAAGGGGAAATGAAGGAAATAAACAAATAAAATAATAAAGATGAAATAAAAGACAGAGAGCATGAGAGACCAGTGAGACGAGCAAATGCCTGTAAGAGGAAATTTGAAATCAAGGAAACATTTGCCCGGGACATCTCCGAGGCCCGATTCAAGTCTCCGGTTCCGAATACTGTATTGTAACGGATATCAAATGTCCTGTACCTAGAATTTCTTGCGGTGTACGGTAAAGTATCTCAGCATCTACATTTAGGTACATTCTATATTCCTAGCAAAAAATTCCATGGTCATTTTAATGAAGGTATAGAATAGCTTCAGTTACTCAATTTGTTTTGATGCCTGGACCAAATATCAATCAATATTCTGGCAGGTGTGAATAGGGCATACCTCAGCGTCTAAGTAACGAACAGCTACTCGTACAATACGCTGTATATACAGGCGGTCCCGAGGACGACCGTCTGGTATTACATGTACTGCAAAGTTCAAAGGATCGCCGAACACAGCTAGACTAAGTAGATCCATATTTCCTCTTTGGGCATACTGGGCCCTGCTGGGTCTCTTGGAGTCTTGGGCGCTGCGTCAAGTAGAACGGATACACTACTACCTTGCCTTGCCTTGCTGTAGATGTTCAACGCAGCTTCGGGATGGTCGAAGCTAATCACAAAAAGTAAATATTACTCATTTCCTTAGAAATTTCGAATAATCAAGAAATATCTCAAGTATTAATCATAATCTCCCCAATAATAATAATCAATCGTCACCTCAGAATCTAGTTAAAAAGCTGTCGGTCCTCCCCTCCTCCATAGCGCCTCTGTTCTATTAGTATACTGCTACTACTACTACCTTACCCTACTTACTACTACTTTACCTTGGGTCAGTGGATAACTACCTATAACCAGCAGCTCCAGACCCTTGTGTTGTATAATCCACTGTCCTTTCTTATCGCTGCAACCTTTACTGGCACTTCCTTGGGTCCATCCAGTTCTGTCCATCCCTCCATTACATCTTCATTCCTCTGTCAGCTGTTGGGACTGGCTCGTGAGCTCATCTATTCTCCGTCACTTAAGCTCATTACCCCCACTATTCGACCAGTCCGTTATATCATTGACCGACCTTTATCGTCCTTCAACCTTTTAACAACCATTGCTGTTGTTCTTACCCCGGGAAGTAGGGGTTTGAGATATCCGGATATAGTTTTCGTTCGATCCGTCTGGATTGGTGTTGCCCTACAATCGCACGCGCCCTCGTTGGTGTCAACGGCATCTTACTTTAATTGATACTTCCTATACCACATAATGACGGCACGTCAATCGTCACCCACTTCGGACCACTCACATTCGGATGGCAACGTTCGCAAGAGGGTGTGTAAGGCGTGCGATCGATGTAGATTGAAGAAATCAAAGGTAAGCAGGCCACGGTCCAGAAGCAAGCATCAGCGCGCTCTGAGGCGGCGCTGACCCAGTGCAGTGTGACGGCGCCAATCCATGTGGACGGTGTAGGGCAGACAATGCCATCTGCGTCTTTGGCGAGAGGAAGAAGGCCCATGATAAAGTGTACCCCAAGGGGTGAGCTTGCACCTTTGGCTACTCTTGTGATTTTTTATGCGTGCGGGCAAGGTCGAACATTAACAATGCTAACGCATATCTCGCTTACAGATACGTTGAGATGTTGGAGCAGCAACAGGCTTGGCTGGTGTATGGTCTTCAGGAACTATATCGACGCTCTAGCGAGGGTGAAGGGTGGCCGGGAGAGCCGTTAAAATGCGAAGCAAACGGCCACCCTCTGACGCATGATCTGCTCACACGGCTTGGGGCTCTCGATCAAAGTAAAGGCGAACGCTTCGAGGAGAACACCGAGGTCATGCAGCAGGAATTGTGGAAGCAGAATGCCGGCCACATGCAACGACAGGATTCATCTGATGGCAGTTCCGAGAGTGCGCAATCGCCCATCACAACCTCGCGCTTTGCAGACGCCTTCTCACGACATCAACTTCCTCCCACGCCTCCCAATCTTAGCCCAGCAGCGCGCACCCAGGCACCGACGATCAAGGCTGAACCCCAGATGGCTCCCCACAATCCCGCATACATTGCCCCCATGTCGATGCAGGGGGTAGTGAACCCCATCGCCTTACAAGGTCCACCGCAATGGCCTAACAGCAGCTTCGGAACCTTTGACGAAATGGACATGATGGGGCCGTCCGACTTTACCAGTCTCTCCTTCGATGATCAGTTATCATCACCGATGTTCAACCGGCAGATTCCAATCAACTGCGTAACATCGGCCTCGTTCATGGACACGAAGAGCGACTACGAGGATTTCAATCAATTTCTGAATCCGAACCCGACAGAGATAACGTCCATCTAGTGCGCCCACTCCGCATATTGTACAGTGTCTTTTTTTCTTCATCTCATTTCCAGTCTACGTCATGTTTCATGTCTACTGTGGGAGGTTGTTTTTTTCAGGGCTCACTATTTAGTAGCTCAATGGAGCTTGGCGTTGGGATAAAACAACCGGAGGTCTTGGATAATGGGACCGTTAATGGGGGCGTTTGAAGATCTTCCTTTCTCATTTTTTTTTTCCTTTCCTTCCACATGCATATCATGTCTGTTCATTTGTTTCGGTGTTTGACTCGGGCTTATCATGTCTGTCAGTGTTACACCATAGTGAGCGAATTGAACTTTGATACAACAATGATCACTCCTCTCAACCTCGGCGACCATATTTTTTGGCTCATTTGGCCCATAGTGTCTCATCATTAGATCATGGATCATGGTAGAATGATTGGACGACGTTGCTGATCAGGAACTGAAAGTGCGGAGTGACGTTGAGACATGCCTGACTAATAGCTGAGGCAGAGAACTACGTCATGCATCGCCGCATACGGGGACTTTTTTACAGCGTTCGGCGAACTCAAACAGTAGGCTTGGTAGATTGGAGCATTCATGAGCCCTCTTAACGTTTTTCTTGGCTGATCAATTAAAGGGTGCATTTGCAGCTTTTCCGAGATCAGAGTTCATCGGCGTCTTCCTGGTCGTTTTTGAAGGTTTGAGGATTGTGATCCGTTACGCCATTCTGTCTCTTCTTCGTGTTATCTACATTTGCAGTACAGAGACCATGTCTCACAATAGTTGATCCGCGAGTCAGGGTTTCCATGTTCCAAACGACATTAAGTCATATTATGATTATGGATTATGGATTCATTTAAAGATCGGTTGTGTCAAGACTCAAGGTTCAAGTGAAAAGGCCAAAGGAGGGAAAAAAATAAAACAAAATAAAATATAAAAAAAGAGAAAAGAGGGTCCAATATTCCCCACTGTGAAAAAAGTTCCATTGCTCCATCAGGGCAAACTGGTCAGCCTGATCCCAGCCTCACAGTCCCAGCCCGCTTTATCTCCGGAACCCGAGATTTTTATAATGATTACTATTCCGTTTGCTTGGCTTAGCTCAGGAGGCTGGAATCCAAAGAATTCAGAAGAAAGTAAAAAAAATGTCCGAGATGCCGACCTGCCGACCCAGAGCTTTAGAGTTGGTGGCTCGTTCACAGTTCCCGATCTCCCATCGGAAGTTGGCACCAGTTTTAGGCATCTCGACTCCCATCAGTCCACATGCACAAATTCTTACTTGCTACCTTAGTATCTAGATACTCCGTAGACTACTGCACAAAGGACTCTTACCTCCGTAAGATGGCGAAATCCTGGAATGGATGGATAGGTCAGTCGACATTTTTCTTTCTCGTATTTACTTGTAAAAGCCGTCGTTACGAGGGGTCAAGGTTTGTTTAGTCCTGATCACTATATGATCGTTATGCTGATATCATATTGACATGGGAGACTGCTCAGCACCCTACGACAAAGTACCGATTCTCATAGTCCACTTCGAATACCGAGTTCTTGTCCTCGATTGGGTCGTGGAAGTTGGAACAGGTACCATCAGTCCATCGCACTGTTCTCCGTTACTGGCTTTGCTTCGTAATGGAGCCTCTGCTCTCGGCTCTCGCTGAGGAATAACAGCGTGCAAATGCTCCCATGTAGAGACTTAAAGGAACAGATCGATACAGTTGTTAGCCATGAAGCTCAGGTAGCCACTGGAAGGTTTACTTCCATTATCCCAACCACTCATCCAGGCGAGAAGACTCATGGACTCGAAAACCTTAGGCAGCTTCTCGGACCTGGTTCATCATTCAGCTTCGGAGTCTAGGCCCATTCGCATTCCGCAGATACTTATGAACGGACGACGGATCCATGCTATGTACTATTGTTTTCTCCAAGCTGACAGGTTCGGGTTTCGGAAGTTCGGGGTAGACGCTCTCCGTGATCACCGACCCGTGCTGGATATTTTGAATGCTTGACACTTGCACTGACGGCATGACCAGGAAGAAGAGACTAGATGATAGGTACCGAGTCTGTTGACTGCGTCAGCTGCTAGAGTACTTCTTAGACATTAAATAACTTGAGATTTTTACGGCGTAACGGTTGGCATTCTCGATAGAACAATTCTAGGATATATCCAGATAGGGTATGATAGGGGGTACATTATATAAGCGCACCGCGGATATACCACCAAATGCTCCTATCAATGAGCATGAGCCGCCGACACACTGTTCGAGGCTCATACCGCGTATCCAAGCGCGGGGGCGGCTCTTTATATATATAAATCGAGTCTGACACTGACGACGTCTATGCTCCGTGCTACATCAGTGTCATGCCAAAGAGAGTCCAAATTCAGAATGTAGGTGTACTGCCTCAGGCATCAACCCCCGGAAATCTACCGGATTAGGCAGAGTATCAAACTATCAGCATCTTTAGCCTAAAGCGCGGCCCCTCCCTCATCAACAAACCATTTTCAAATATCAACCTTTTATTCGTCAATTCGCAGCTTGCAATGGGTACTATGAGTATTTAGCCGTCGAAAAGAAGGACAACTAGACAACTAGACATCCAAAATGTGAAATGCGCCTCATCTCATTCAGGCTCCGGTGCTTGCTTTTTCCCGTCCTGCCATGTTGATCGACGTTTGCGGGGTTACGTAGTTACATCTGCCCCTCCTCCATATCAACTCGCTTTTCTGCAACAACTCGCATGTCCAGATTGACCACTTAACCTCATTATTGTCCATTTCCAACCAGTGACAAGATCCCAAGCAAGAGATAGGAAGACGAGCATCATGTCTGGAGAATCTGGATTCGCCTTTCTGCCTCTCGGAGCCATCATCCAGGAGTTCCGCGTCGGAGGGAAGAACATCGTTCTTGGTTTCAACACTCAGGAACAATATGATAAATACAACTCGCCTCACTTTGGCGCAACAATAGGTCGCGTGGCCAACAGAATCAAGGATGCCATCATCCACAACCTGAATGGTGGGGACTACACTTTGGCCAAAAACAACGGGCCCAACTCTCTACATGGCGGGGAGAAAGGCTGGGGCAAGTGCGTCTTTGACGGCCCTCAGACCGTAAAGCATGATGGCAAGGATGCCCTGCTATTCAAGTACCTCAGCAAGGACGGCGAGGAAGGCTTCCCCGGCACAGTGGAAGTGCGAGTCTGGTACACGGCCAGCAAGGAAGACTCCAAGACAGTCCTAACTACCGAGTATGAAGTTGAGTTTGTGGGTAACGAGTGTGAGGAGACGGTTGTCAATATGACCAACCATAGGTAAGTTGCAGGTGACAGTGGTATTCTATCATAGCGCAATAGTTGATGAATATTTGTGTCGGCATAGTTATTTCAACCTCGGCAACGGCCCTACCATTGAAGGCACCAAGGCCCAATTGTCCACCGCCGACTACCTGCCCGTCGACTCCACCGGTATTCCGCTTGGCAACATCGACAAATTCCCTCTGGACGTGTCCAAGCCATTCGTGCTCGGCGAGGCCGAGCCCGACATTGACGATGTGTTCCTGATGGAGACCGATCCCTCCAAGGTCGTTTTGGATACGCGCAGCCAGCCCTTAAAGCTGCTGGCGCAGTTCAGCCACCCGGACACGGGCCTGCATCTGGAGGTACACAGCACCGAGCCCGCGTTCCAGTTCTACACGGGCAAATACATCGACGTGCCCGCGATTGACGGGCTGCCAGCGCGCGTGGCTAGAGCCGGCTTCTGCGTGGAACCCAGCCGATATGTCAATGCGCCCAACGAGCCAGCATGGCGGTCGATGGTGCTTTTGAAAAAGGGACAGATCTTCGGATGCAAGACCGTGTACAAGGCCTGGAAGGCATGAGCAATTGTCAACTCCTCTCCATAACTATATGATATGCCCTTGTATCTCGGCTACGGCTCAAAATTAACTGGATGAGATTTCCCTCTTGTGTCTTTTTTGATTCGGTGGTCCGGCACTCCGTAGTTTAGTTCATGTGCGATTTTCGCCAGTTTTGGCCGCGGGACCCGCAGCATCATCCGATGCAGCGGCACTAAGACTTAAGTGCCTGTGCAGGTAGCGCGCTATGTGCCGATTATCCTTATCTCCGTGATATGTATCCGAGAGACCACCAGCGTCACTCACCTAGAGAATAGTCTAGAGAGGTAGACAGCGAATGAATTTGTGGTTCACTGGTTCCCACTTGTGCCAACCCAGAGCCCAAGTCCATTCTAGAATGAGAAAAGTTCGATGCTCGGGGTCCACCAAGATGAAATCGACGCAAAACGGCGTCTGTCAGGCCATTGACGAGCTGAGCCTACTAAGATTGAGAATTATGCCGCGGAAGACGGTCTACGGACGTAGTTCTAAGGCCTGTCCCATCCCGTACTCCGTGCTGAGTTACCAACCCGGACAAGTAGTATCAGTCTGGCGTCCTCCGTAAAATGGCTCATTTTTGCCGTCCCTGAGATGCCAAGAGCTTCTCGAAGCCTACTATGGGTCTTCTAGCGCGCAATGATCGTCCATATGATCGTGCGTCATGGACATTTCGACTGGCTGTGCTCCTCTGTCTTCTGGGCTATTCTATTCAATAGTGTATAAGTCTATAAGGCCAAGGCCATATGACCACACATTCTCGGCAAATTGACACAATGCGCATTGGCATTGTACCAATGTATAGGCACAGAGTATATAGATGACGATGAATACAGACGACAAATGGACTCTACTGTTGATACTGGTATCCAGAGCCTGGTCTAAGGTAGACGGGCTGTAGTATATGCTGGTAGTCAATATTCAAGGTGGTATAAAAGCCAGTGCCATATATGGCATCCCACTTTCTCTGTAAGTACATGAGATGGCAAGGGCAGAAATACCGGTGGAGTTCAGAATTTCAATAAAATGTATTGCGCTTACCTGGCAGTAATTTAATGGTAATACCTCCTGTATTTCAGTATTATAGCGTAATGATACCATGTCTGTACAGAGGTAACTGCAACGCGGACGGAAAGAGGATTGCCGTGTAATTAAATTCCCTGGGTAATATTGGCGGACCCGGAACGGAGATGTTCAACTTCCTGTGTCCTTGGCATTTTCTACCTACTACTCAAGTCGGAAAGATTATTAATGGAGTTCAGGAAGCAGCATGCTAGGTTGATGCGGGAATCAATGTCTTTTGCTTGGCCTATGGTCTATCCAGTCATTAACAACCTAGAGTCAAAGTTGGACGAAGCATAACA